TTTCATCCCTCAAATTAACGAAAAAAATTTCAAAAAAAAAAAGCGGAAGATTCAGTGCTAGAATTTTATATTTGGTAAATTGTGGTAGATTTTTGAGAGATAGAAAAAGGGCAAAAGGAAGTTTTCTACTCAGCGCACGTATTATCTCCACGATCGAAAAAAGGCTTAGTCAAGATAAACCTTGGGCTTCCGGGGCATTATTCTGCAGCTCAATATACTCACTTTACTTGTACCTGCGCTTGACAGCCTGTGAAGAAAACCTGAGTCAGGGTCTCAAAATCCTAAATGAAAAGCCGCCAAGCGGCCTCGTTCTTTATAAAGCCGCAACGCGGCTTATCATTTTTACTCTTTAGGACCTGACTCGGGTTTTCTACACAGAAAAGCCACGTCATTTTCGACTCAAAAATAGCTCTTCGGCAGCATTGAGCTTTTAGATGAGCAGTCATGAGTTCCGGACAATTAGAGCACTTTTCTGATCAAATATCATTTCGGTCTCTCATTTTTTGGGTCGTTTATCGCTCTTTTTTGATACTCGAAGAGAGTTGCTTGAAAGAGTCTAAAAAACTCGTGTCTGAAGAGTGCGCGTTTGAGGTTCAAGCTGGCCCAAGTCTGTCTCAATTTTTCTTTTGGTTGTTCTAGCGCTGGCTATCGAGTGCGAAAAGAAAATAATCCAAAGGAGGACGGAATGAGTTTTCACAAACTCACCACCAGAAAAATTCGATAAATAGCAAATCACCAGCTTTTTTTTAACGTGTGAACGTATTTCAACACCTGCGAAAACCAGAGATCCAATTTTGATTTGGCTCAAAAATTAGTGTTCAAATTTCTGGAGAAACCAGCTATCTTGTTAATTAATCGATTTAGACACTAGGCTCGGAAACCTACGAAAGGCTTTGAATGAGTCAAAACGAAAAGCCGCGTAGCGGCTTTTTTTGAAAAAGAAGCCGCAAAGCGCCTTCGAGAAATTGACATTTCAACTAACGACTTTTTGAATACTTGCGAAGCCGCTTTGTGGCTTCGATTCAAAAAGCCGCTTTGCGGCTTTTCGTTTTGACTTTTTTAGTGCTTCAGATCTTCTGCCTGCATATGAACGCCTGACTTTTGAAAAACACCGATGATTTTTGATGAAAAGTTTATTGAAAGTTGCGACTGTATTTTCAGCTTTTTGGTGGATTCCTTGGTTTTTTTACCAAGCAGGTTAGGACAGAAAGTGGTTTCCTCTACTTTTCTAGCAGTGTGTTGCTAGTAGTATAGACTAACTTCGACTCTGCCTTCGTTTTTTTTTTCGAAGGAAGGCAAACATCGAAGCAGAACTTTTCGGCTTCTGTTTCTTTTCTGGTCTCTTAATCAATATCATAATTAATAGATAAAATTCGTGAAGAACTCACCTCAAAATATCTCTGCGCCGGACCGGGAAAATCCGAAGAATGAGGAAAAATGAAGGCGCGCTCTGTTGAAAACAGCCATCTAGAGAAATTTCCATCGCGCTCCAGGTCTCTCCGACGAAATAGGGTCAAAGAAAAAGGCTTGAATTTTAGCGTTTTGTTGTTTTTAAAGCATGAGTTCCTAAGAAATTATCTTATGAAAGAATTTCTCACTTCGCTTCTAATGAGCCACCCGGCACGAGTCAATATTTCGTGTTCAAAGAAAATACAACACATTTTTACAGTATGCGTGTTCTTACAGTTTCGCGCAGATGAATCCACTCTTTTTCTTATGCTCACAGCAGAATCTGATTTCTTGCGAATTCAAATTTTAGAAAGTCAATTTCATTGTTTCAAAGTTTCAAAATCGACGAAAATTCGCTAGAACAAAATAGTGAAAATTTCAAGTTGAAAAAAGAAAAATTTTTTCTAGACGTTTTCAACAAGGATTCTCTAGATTTTTACAGGATGTCAGGGCTAAATTGCGCGAACAGGTCAGTTCTCCAACTTTTAGGAGTCCGAAGCCCGCATTTTTGAGGTGAGAATTTTGTCTAAGACGCTTGAAATTTATCCTTTCTTTTCAGAGACCACTGCCAAGACGCGCAAGTTAGCTAAGAAGTAAGAATCCCCACGCCAAACCGAAGAGCCGGTCATGGGCAACATGTTTCCTGCGAAGGAATGAAACTGGGATTATTCTGAAGCAGAGATCATAAGAATCATCGAAGAACAAAGTTCTCTTCAATACTGCACATCCTTGAACTACTTTCACGTCCCTGTAGTCTGAAAATACAGTCGCAACTTTCAATTTCTCGAATAATAAATAATTCGTAAAATACTTCTCGGATGTTATCTTGCATGTTCTCCTTTTCAAGTTTTTGAAAGAACAAACCGCTGAAGCCTTTGATTACTAAGGGAAGTTCCACCCTTAATCTTTGTAAGGTCATAATGCCATGCCTTCAAAAATGAAAGAAAATAATCGAAAAGTAGCGTGTTGTATTATTTTTTGTTATGCAATGATTTTCAGGGAAAAGCTTACTGTAAGTCTTACAGTAAAGAAAAGAAAGAGTCAAATACCTGGGCTCGGAAACCTGGGTAGAAAACCTGAGTCAGGCTTTGGAAGAGCTAAAATGAAAAGCCGCATAGCGGCTTTTTTCAAAACGAAGCCGCAAAGCGGCTTCGCCAGCATTTTCATTTTAGCTCTTCCAGGGCCTGACTCAGGTTTTCTACTCAGGTTGCCGAGCCCAGAATCAGAAAGGAGTCAAATACTGTTTGGTCGAGGAGCTTCAGCGTCAGAACCAGCGGGTCGGGTTGGTTCTTCATCGATTTTTGAATAATTCGGCTTTAATTCTTTTCCGCCCCTAGACACCCTTAAGACAAACAGAAAAAGAGCACAACACGTTTACCTTAAGGTTCCACGTCGTTTAAACTGCTTGCTCCGGAGTCGAGATGTCCAGGACTCTCTGTCAAATGGGAGAATAATCTGTGGAAGCGATAACTTTTGAGGAGGGGAAAACGGTTGTAATTGCGGGTTCACGCTCTTTTTTATCGCTTGGCTTGGATTTTAAGTGGTAGTAGGAAATGAGATCCAAAGTGCCGAGTAGGAGGATGAAGAGCAGATACAGAATCGCCAAGACGCGCATTGTATGGGAAAGCCTACAATAATGATAAATTGTCGACAAATCTTGAAAAATCTTTGCGACAAAAAAACTGTCGACAAATTTTTAAAAATCATTTAGACCAAAAATTTTTTCGAAAAATTTTGTCACAAAGACTTTTCAAGATTTGTCGACAATTTCGACTCGGTAAAATGTCGAAAACCTGAGTCAGAAACCAAAAGACTGACTCAGGTTTTCTACACAGGACAAGACCTACCCAAACAAAAAAGCATCGTAAATCTGGCTCGAAGTCGTTTCACTTTCGGTTCTCTCCATTTTTTCGATTTCTTCGATTTCTCGACTTCTTCGATTTCGCGCACTTGTGATTCTGAACTGATCCCTTTTTCCGAGCTGCGAAAATATTCAGCCTCTAAACTCGCTTGAATGGATTCTCAAAAGGACGTTAGTACTTCATGTTTCCTTAATCTCTTCTGTGAATTATTTATTCAAAGTGAACAGAAAAAGATTAAGCTTTCCTTTTTTCGGATCAAAATATCTGACATTCATGAATTTTTCCCGAAAATTATCAAATCGATCGTAGAAATAATTTAATTTAAGCTGAAATAAGGGTGTCGTCATGAAATTCGAGATTTGTCGATATTTTTTTTTGTCGCGATGATTTTTAAAATTTTGTCCACAAATTTTTGTCGCAAAAACTTTTCGAAAATTGTCGACAACTTTTTGTCGCAAAGATTTTTCGAAGTTTTGTCGACAATTTTTTTTGTGGAAAAGATTTTTCGACGTTTTGTCGACAAATTTTGTCGCAATTTGTTTGTCGCTTCCACCCTTAATTCCGCGGTTTTATTAAGGATAACATACTGGATCTCAAGAAAAAATCATTTGAAGAGGTTGAATCTTGAGAATGATCAACTAATCGGCTCTTCAAAATTTTATATAATTTCAAAACTTCTTGATTGCAGCTCTTGAACGATGATGACTTTAGAACGCGTCATGGAAAAGTGGGATTGAGCGGATTCAAAATATTTTTTTCGTTTTTTTTTATTTTACAATATTTTTCGAATATTGGCCATCTCTAGCGTTTTCTAATAAAATTTTGAACGCGTCAAATTTTGGTGGAGCATAAAACCTGAAAACCCTCGTTTTTAGCTCGCGATAACGTCAGTCGCAAAATGCAAAGTCAAGCAGCAAAGATGCACATCCACGTTGCGAAACGCATTCGCTTTTTATTTGAACGGAAATAAAGAGTTTTCTTATTCAAATCCGGTTCAAGCGAATTCTATTATGGAAACGACAATTTTCATGTTGAAGATTATCAATTTGATTTTAATCAAAAAAGGAAATAATTTTATTTTTTTGTTTTGATAATTTAATTGATGATTTTGACAATAAATTTAATTTAAGCCGCACCCGGCTTTCATGAGAATGATGAAAAAAAGAGGTTTGATTCAGGGACCCTGACTCAGGGTTAAAAACATTTTAAGAAAAAAAATTCGAATTAAAGTTTTGGAAGCCGGTTCGCTTAGGCGCGGCTTTTTATTTAGGAACGTTTACGTAGATCCTGAGTCAGGTTTTCGAAACAGGTTGGCGAGATCAGAATTGATTTTTTTAAAAACGTGATTTTTTGAAAACTGTTATTTTGTCATTGACCTCCACGGTTAATTGCATGAAAATTATGTCAGGAGACTCAACTTGAAATTAATCAATTAACCCTTTCAACACCATAAAACAGAAAAGCAGAGGAAAAAATCAGAGAAAAAAAATCCAGCGCTCCTCCACCAGCAGATCCGCGCGGCGCTCGCCACCAGGAGGATTTTCCGGCGCCCAAGCGCATTCTAGCGCGGCGCGCGACGCATATAAAAACGCACGTCGAGCTTTTCGAAATCATCAAACTAAGCTTTCGAAGCGCAGCGAAAAAGTTACCAAGAGACAGAAGCTAAAAACCGACAGTTAAATCTTCAAAATGAAAATGTAAGTTGGAAGAAAAAGATTGATTTTGATGCGAAAAAGCCGCTTGCGGCTTTTGAGCCAAAAAAATCGAAGAAATTATTCATCGAAAAAGCCGCCTGCGGCTTTTCAGTTATCAAAACTTTCAATTGATTTCGACTAAAAAGCCGCAGGCGGCTTTTTCGATCAATCATTTATTTTTTGTTATTTTGGCTCGAAAACCGCATGCGGCTTTTTTTTCATCAAAATCGATATTTTTCTTCTCCTTTTTTTTCAAGCTCTTATTGACTCATTTTCTTCTAGCTTCTCTCTCATCTCCTCCTTCGTCGTCGGCACATCCGCCCAGGAAGAGCGAAAAGTCCCCCCGCGAACTCCTCCACAGCGATTGAACACTCTCCGTCGATTCGCCAGCGAATGGGTTCAGATGGAAATCGGCCAAACCGTCAACCGTCCCAACCGCGCTTCAACCATGACAGCCGCCGGCATCACTCGAATCTTCGACACCATCACCGAGGCCTACGAAAAGTGCGGCTTCTTCGACCCGACTCTTCCTCACGGCGGCCCTCGACCAGTCACCGAGCGACGAAAACGATCCAGCGACGAGAAATTCTTCGCTGCCGAGCGAAGACGAATTGCTCGAGAAATCGCCGACAACAACGATCTCGACATTTTCGACAAAATCTTCGAGGAAGAATTTGACGAAACCGAACGAGGCTTTGCTTTGGCAAGATTGTCAGCAGAGCCGAATTTGGCTTGGAAACAAATTGGAACTGGCTTCAGAAAGTGGATTCTCCGATACCTTGCTGAATGCTATGGAGAGGTAAGAAACAAAAAAATGTTCAGAAAAAGCCGCGTGCGGCTTTTGAGAAAAATAAATCAGAAAAATAACGCTTTTTTAGTCAGAAAATTCGAGTCGATTCTAGACAAAATATTGATCGCAGCGGTTTCGACTCGAATTTTCTGACTTAAAAGCGTCTTTTTCTGATTTATTTTTCTCAAAAGCCGCCCGCGGCTTTTTATCAAGAATCTAGAAAAATCTAGAAAAAAAGCCGCGCTGCGGCTTAAGTATAAGAAAAGCCGCAAAACGGCTTCGCTGAAACAAAAAACTGATCATAATTGTCAACTTTCCATTTTTCGACTTGTTCGATTCGGCTTTTTTGCGGCTCATTTTTTGCGAAAATCATCATCTGTTTCCAGGTCACCTACAACAACCACTCCAGCCGTCTCGAAAAGATCCACGGGCGAATCAAAGACGCCTACACCGGCCTCTTCGACGAGCAAAATCCTGATGAGACCCTCTAACGCGCTCCCCTTAGAAAATCGCTCACTCACTTCTCATCCCCTCATCTTCGGAGGGGCTAACCATAATCCCATCTTTCAAATTTTTTCTCTTCCAAATTGGCGCTTCTTCAGAATCAATATCAAGATTTTTTCAAGAACCATTCAATTTCTAACTGATAGCTTGCGAAAGACTCAAGCTCCAAAATGCGCCAAATTATGACTTAAGGGTATACCCCCCTAAGTTTGGATTTTTCGTTGAAATTTGGGATTTAAATTAAAATGCTTATTATAAATTAATTTTTTTTTCTTGTAAATAAAATTTTTTTTTCGCGCAAGTTTTTTCTCGATCGACTTTTTTGACTCAAATACCTAGAAAATTATATGGCCATATAAAAACAAAACAGGTATAATTTTTTTCGCCAAAAAATGCGAAAATGATGAGCCAAGGATCCGCTCGGCCCGAATCGCGATTATTGGGACAGGAAGGCTCCAGACGATCGAGAAAGATGACAAAGACGATTTCGATGAAGATATTCTTCGAAGAAGATCTACAACACTGTTTTGAAAATTTGTATGCTGTAAATATGAATACTGCTTATAAATAAATAAACTTGAAAACTGATTAAAACAAAGTCTTTTTTTCTTCATTAATCTGCTGGAAGCAAAGCCAGAAAATATTTTTGACAGTCATTTTATTCAGTATCATAAATTATGATTCATAATCATAGTTTTTCAAAGAATATTATAACATAATAGGCAGGATAACGCTCATTAGCGCACCTTTTAAAAAACATACCTAGTGGACTTTTCGATAAACATTTTTTAACAAATAATTTTTTCATTATTTTTTTACAAATTAACTTATGAGAAAATTGCGGGGCTTATATATAACCACAGTTTCGTGATTTAAGTTTCTTAATTTTTTAATAAAATTTCGTTTCGACAATTTCTATTCATAATTTGTGATATCCACCGGCCCAATTAGAGACGTCAGAATAGCCAAGCTCAACCAAAAATGCCTGAATAGATGTTTTCAGCCCAGGCCGATTGGTAACTGCTAACCTGTGCCATTTCTCCTCTTCTACCACTTTTGCAGTAGACAATTATTTTCTGATTTTTCTTCGGCTTTTCGATCCCATGAATCGTCTTGAAATCCTCATCTTTTTGCATGAACTGGTGGACGATATCTTCAAAAAATTATTGTAACTGGAAAAGAACGGGACAAACCTGAGTGAGGAATATTGAGAAATCTGTCCGCCTGAATCTTCCCCGATTCCAATTCGTACGCCGCCCGAACATCGATAAATAAAACCTCAGAATTCTGGAGCTGACGTTTTATCTCGGCGCTTGGTATTTGGTGAAACTTCTCGCTCATTTTCTCAGTTCGTCAAAAAAGAAAAGCGCAAAGATTTCAAACTGAGATACTATCGCTCTTCTTTTTCTTTGGCTGGAAATTTTATGATCCACCAATAAAAGAATGGCCGCGATGAGGTTGTTTTTGTTTATTATTTGACAAACTGGGCTAAGCAACCTGTGTAAGAAACCTGAGTCAGGGCGAAAAAGGGCTAAACTGAAAAGCCGCGTAGCGGCTTCTTTTTAACAAAGCCGCGAAGCGGCTTCGACATAAAAAAGCAGAAAGCGACTTTTCATTTTGGCTTTCTCAGGCCCTGACTCAGGTTTTCTACACAGGTTCCCGAGCCTAGTTTCGAAGATTAGAAAAGCTCTTTTTTTGCCTTCAAAGTTCATTAAAGAAAGCGTTAAAGTTTAGCAATAATCGTCAAAAAAAGCTGATACTCAAACAAGAAAAAAAAAATCTCGGAAGGTACCGCTTTGAAAGAGCCTCCCCGGGGGCCTATTGTATCGTCATCCGTTCGTTGCTTGTTCATTCTTGCGTACTATCGAAGCTCAAAGATCGACGCAGAAAAATTTCGTGACATTTTGAATTTTATTTTTGACGATTAAAATCGAGCCGCGAGAATTACCTTGACTCTTGGAATTTGGAATTCAATTCGAATTCGGGGCAGTTATGAAAAAGAGATTTTGAGAATTGAGAATTTTTAAGGAAGATGGTCGAAAAATCAGAAAAGTAGGTTGTCTACTTTATACATTTTTTCTTAACCTTAGCCGGCCAGGGTGCACCATCTATGGAACAGGGGTCAAAGAATTAGGTCTCCCACCGAAGTGATTTTGAGTTCAGAAAAACGGAAGAAACTGTAGGGCTATTTATCGATAAGCTACCCATTAGGTTACCTTTCGACTACCCTTGGTTAGGGTTAGGGTTCGGAAATAGGCTTATTTTGAGAATAACTGCATGCACCATGTATGGTGCATTGCTACATTAGCGCCGACACCACTGATGGTGCTTTTGGCCGGTAGGCAGTATTTTTCCGAAAAATTCGCCGAATAGTCTCCCTCTTTGAATTGGAAGACTCTATCTGATGCTGAAACCCAAGCCTTAATCAGCACCCAAACTCAAACCCAAACTAAAACCAAGACCCGAACACTTACCAATAACCCAAAAACAAACCCAAAGACGTACGTAATAGACTTTGAGTTGAATTTTTCAAGAATATTAGCAGGTGATGCACCACTCATGGTGCATTTGGCCGGTAGGGTCAGAAATGACATTTTGGCCGGCTAAGGTTAAGCGGTAGTGTATAATTCTCCAGACAAAAGAAACCACGTGGTCTTATAAAACCAGAAGATCAGTCTGTTTAATCCTTAGATGATTTTAACTTTTAACCTCCGGATTATCCTTTTTTATCCCCTTTATTTCGAGTACTGCGACCACGATTGACCTGAAAAGAAACGTGTGAGAATAAAAATTCCTTTATTTAAAAAAATCTCTGTCTGCTTGTTGCTTACGTAATTGTCATCCAGTCTCTATGGAATTTATTCTATTTTATACCCGTTTTTATATGTCGATAGTGCTCCTGGGTCCTCAAATAGTTGAATATTCGAAATTGACTTTGCCGATTTCATTTTCAAAAAATGACGAAAATCGAGGCAGATGATAATGATTCCATTTCTAGTGAAAAGTCAAATGGAGTTGAGCTCAAGAGAAATATCACTCTTGCGGGAGGAATCGCCATTACAGTAGGAACGATGATCGGATCCGGGATTTTTATTTCTCCGACTGGTATTATCAGGTAAGCTAGACTAGGCAAATATACAATAGAATAGAAGCGGTGAAGTTCTCACTATAAGAATTGAAAAAAAGACCGTTATTTACTAAAAATCCAAAAGCATTATGGTTTTCAATAAAATCTTCAGCATGACTGGCTCAGTTGGATCAGCCCTTATTGTCTGGTGCATATGCGGTTTTATCGCCATTATTTCATCCCTTTCTTATATCGGTAAGAATCTACAATCGAGTCGGAATTGAAAAGACCTTTTCAGAGCTCGGTTTGCTGATCCAAGAAGCCGGAGCGGAGTACTCCTACTGCTACAGAGCCTACGGAAGCATCGTCGGCTTCTTGATCGGTTGGACAAATATCATTCTCTGCAAACCCGCTTCGCTGGCAGTAATCGTCTCCGCCTTCGCTGAGTACACGACCGCTCCGTTTTATCCCGGATGCGACCCGCCCAATGATCTCAAACGATTGGTTGCTATTTGCGCCCTGCTTTTCATTTCCATCGTCAATGGCTTGTCCGTCAAGGCGTCCGAAAGGATGCAGATTGTCTTCACTGTCGCCAAGCTTTCCTTGATCGCCGCAATCATAATCGGCGGATTCGTCTACATGGGAGAAGGCAACACTGAAAACTTTCAAAACGCCTTTGAAGGCACTTCAAGGTCCCTGGTTAGAAAAATAAGAGGACTTTTTGTCGAAATTGAAATTTTAATTGTGAACCAGAAAAATAGCTCTGCTTCCGCTTGGGCTATCGCGATTTATAACGGAATGTGGAGCTACGATGGATGGAACCAGCTCAACTATGTCTCTGAAGAGCTAATCGACCCAGGCATGGTGGGAAAAAGCGGGAGCCCTGGTTATGTCGCCGAATGTCGGCGAATGTCGGCGAATGTCGCTGAATGTCGCTGAATGTCGCTGAATGTAGCTGAATGTCAACGAGTGTCGCCATCTTTTTGTTTTTGGTCAAAAGTAGAGACCTATCTGGCGACATTCAGCGACATCCGGCGAAATTCGGCGACATCCGGGGACATCCGGCGATGTAACCAGTGCCGCCTGGAAAAAGAGACATTTTGATTCGAACTTTGATTGTTTATCCAACCACGTAAGTTCGCAACTTCCCAATCGTCGTGATCGTCGGAATGACATTGACAACTGTCGCTTATGTCTTGACTAACATCGCCTACTTTGCCGCCATGTCACCGACCGAACTGCTCAATTCCAAGTACGTTCATCCAATTCAAGAGATTTTGAACTTTGTTTTTTCTAGCGCCGTCGCGATCACTTTCGGCGACCGTGTTTTCAAGGGATTCGCGTGGATTGTCCCGATCGGCGTCGCTTGCTCAACTTTTGGAGCTTCCAACGGGTCGGCTTTTACCGCGGCTAGATTGTCCTACGCTGCGGCTTCAAATGGTCATTTTCCAAGATTCTTATCGTATCTCAGAAAAGGAATCAATTTCTTTTTTAAAATTTCGACAAAAAAAAATTTTTTTCTAAAATTTTGACAAAAAAATTTTTTTCAAAAATTTCCAGAAAAAAAAATTTTTTTTTTCGGAGAAATTTTTGATTCCAAGTGAAATCATGAAAGACTCACTCCTCTGATGGCGGTTGTTTTCAACACCTGCCTGGGCATCATTATGCTGATCCCGGACTCCTCTTCGATTGAAAATTTACTGGATTACTTTTCCTTCGCCATGTGGCTGATTTATTTCATGACATTCGTCTCGCTCATCGTTTTCCGCTTCAAAGAGCCTTACAAGTCGAAAGAACGGGCTTTCAGAGTTTGGCTTCCGATTCCGATTCTGTGTGCTTGCATTTCTGCTTACTTGGTCATTGGCCCTCTTATCGGTAATTTTCCACTTCCAGGTCATTTTTACTGATTTTAATTCTAGAGTACCCAAGTCCAGCATATGCAATCGCCGCTGCCATGGCTTTTGGCGGTCTAATATTCTACTTTCCCTTCGTTTTCTTCAAGCTCAGCCTGCCATTCCGCATTTTCGAGCGCGTCGAAGTTTTTATTCAAAAGTATTTTGAAGTTGTTCCCCTTGATTCTGATAAAAAGGATGAATAAAACTCAGGACATATATTTATAAAAATTTATTTCAAATGCAGAATTTGAAAAAGGGATGACTTAGTAGAAAGAAGTGGAAAATTAACGGGGTTTATCCTGGTTGTCCCGAGGAATATCGGCTTGGTCCCGAGGTGTCTCGGCTTGGTCCCGAGGAACATCCGCTTGGTCCCGAGGAGCATCAGCTTGGTCCCGAGGGAAATCGCCTTGGTCCCGAGGAACATCGGCTTGATCTCTTGGAACGTTCATTTTTATGTTTTTTATTTTATTAAATATAAAATATTTTTATAATTCGATCAAGTTCACCCTGCATATAAAGAAGCGAGCCAGGATGTAAAAATAGACAACTGGGTTTTTAGAGCAGACTATACATCATTTCCGGTCTATTTTCAAGAAATAGACGAACTTTTAGCTCACAAATTTAAGTAATGTAGGTCAAAGATTGTCGCTTTTTAGTCTTAGAGTACCCAAGTCCTGCATATGCAATCGCCGCCGCCATGGCTTTCGGCGGTCTGATATTCTACTTTCCATTTGTTTTCTTCAAGCTCAGCCTACCATTCCGCATTTTCGAGCGCGTCGAACTTTTCATTCAAAAATATTTTGAAGTTGTTCCTCTTGATTCTGACAAAAAGGATTTATAAAGCAACCAATTTTGCAAGCCAATTTACTATCAGAAAAAAACAATTTCTTGCGTATCAGAAAAAAAACAGAAAATATAATAGGTTTACGACATCTTGTAAAAATAATTTATCGCCTGTTTTAGCTGACAAAAGCTTTAAAAGTCGTAGTCTAAGCCGCGTGATAGAACACTAATTAAAACGAAATAAAGCGCGATAGCTTGGTCTCAGAGCCTAGTCTGAGAGTCAGGAGATTTTTACCAATGCCGCGATCATTTTGTGCAAGTTCCGTGAGTGGATATGAGAGTGAAAGCTACTTATCTGAAGAAACAGAGAACACTGTCACTGTGAATATAGAAACATTGGGTAATTAGTATTGATTATTTTACTTATATGGTATTTAAAAATTATAAGGGCGAATTGCCGAATTAGAGGACGAGAATCAAAAATTGAGCAAAAAAGTTTGCTTTCTCATGGCGAAAACTAACGAGGGAGAATTCGAAAGAAAGGAAAATGCAGAGATGATAGAAGAACACAGACGGAAAATAGCAGCACTGGAGAAGAAGTTGGAGGCTCTTGACAACAGTATTGACTCGCAAGAACTGAATATGAAAGCTCAGGATGATGCGAGAGAGTTGAGGGAAGAGGAATATGAGCAGTTGCGGGAAGAGGTCACGAAGAATTCAAGAAGAATCAAAGAGCTCGAGCGAGAGACGCGGACTTTTGTTGTAAAAGGGCCAAGAAAAATCTGCATCCCGCTCGAGCGATCGAAGAAGATCGCGGAAAACAAGCTTGAAAGGATTAACGAGCTTCCATCACCTGCAGCTACTCCGCCTGAGACTCCTACAGTCTCTCCAGCTGCTACTCCGCCCGAATCTCCTACTGTCTCCCCGTGTGCTACTCCTCCTGATTCTCCTCTTCCCTCTTCTTCTAGTCTTCCTTATTTTGGCTTATATTAATATTGAAATCTTCCGTCAACAATTTCCAATAAATCAGCTACTTCTCTATTTCTCAGTTTCCATAATTTATTCGAATAAGATATAATTTATATTTACAGCGAGGTAGATTCCAATAGTCGATTATTTGGAGGTTTTAGTTAAGGTAGTAAGCTACTTTTGAATTTCGTCTCGAAAAGAAGGTTTCGTAAATGTAGATCATCACAGCCAAAGCCATCGAAATCACCATCACACTGCAAATGACCAGAACTGGCACGCTGAAAAATTTTTCATGAATAAAGAGCTTGGAAATCGATGAAAAAAAAACCTGATTGAATCATCGACCGGAGCCAGCGCTACGTCCCCAAGAGACTCGCCCAGGCTGTCGATGGCTTGCAAGAGGTTGAAGTGCCGCGAGTCGCAGAAGGCGAATTTCTTCTCGCTGCAAGGAGCCGATTTTAAAATGGTGAAATCGGACTTGTACAGGCATTGCTGACTCTTCTCTTCGTTGTTTTCTGAAAAATATTTCGAGGCAAAATTTTGATTTTTTCTCACTTAAGTTCGGAAAGTCCAAAACGCCGCCATAAGAACTAGAAAAGGTCGAATTCGGCAGGGCAATTCCATCCACCCAAGCTTGAATCGGAATCTTGCTCCTAAAATTTAAAATTTATGTTGATTCTGATCTCGAAATTAAATGGGTATTAAAAATTCAGAGCGCAAACAAACCCCCTCAGAGGGTGGCAGTCAGATAGCAGGGCGATTATGAAGCGATTAGTGGCAATTTGGAGGACTTACGTGAGCCTGTTGATGTGTGAAGGGTGCACCAGCCGGGCGGATTGGGATAGGCACCAGGAAAGCGCTAGAAAACTCGCTATTATGAGGAGTAAAAGTGGGTGGATTAGGTGAGTCCATAATCAGAGATTGCTGATAGGATTAATGTTATTTTTTCACTAGGACTGCGAGCCGAAAATATCCAATTTTTCCTTCAAAAAAGAAAATTATGGTTTTCTTATTCCTTTTTTTTAAACTGCTTAGATTTTTTTCGACAGGAAATCGTACCTGATAAAAAGTCCATTTCTTCGCTACTGTACAAAAACGATTCTCTTGGCGACATTTTTTTCTTCAAAAAAGTTCCTCCTTCAATCAATTTCAAGCTTGAAATATATCTTTTTCTTCGAGTGTTTAATTTTTTCTTTCTCTGTTCTGGCCTTGAGTTGGAGTAGAAGGGCCAGATGGTTTGCACGCGCGTTTTTATCGATCTCGGCGCTCGTCTGAATCATTAATTTAAATTTCTTCTTTTTGTCTTTTGCCAGAAAAAGGCAGTCAAGGGTTAATTATGGCTTTGATGGTTGAGATGGACGTGCGCTGAATTGATCTTCAGGATAATCCCCCCTTTCAAGCATCCTTTCAGAAAAAAGGGGATGAAAAAAGGGAGAATAAAAGCTATGATTGAATTTATGGAATGAAATCTTATAAAAATTCACAGTAAAGAAAGAAAAAAGGGATTTTTTCGAGAAAAAATTTCGAAATCAAATTTTCCACTTTTTATAATTATTTCTCTTCTTCCCTTTTCCTCTAGAAAAAATCAGTAATAGTGCTCTTCCTTTATTGCCTTCGGGATTTTGCCTAAGCCCTAACCTTTTGAAAGCCTGGCAACCTATCTCTCCTTCAAATAAAAATCACTCCCTCTGTCTTCGACTTAACCAAAGGTCAAATTTTGTTTCCTGCTTCCAAGAAAAAAATCCAAGCAAAGGTTGTTTTATTGCACAATTAAAAACTTGCTCCCAACCCGTCATTTTCAAGTTTACCTGCAACACAAAATTTTTTATCGCTCTATTTTCAGATATTTTCGATCTCGAAAAGGCCGCCAAAGTCGACGTTTCTTGAGACGCCTTCTGATTTTGAAAGCAATTGTCGCTAATTCACCCCAATTATGGTCCTCTGAATCCCGTTAATTCTTTTTTGAAAGCGGGTTTTTGGACGAAAATCAAGTTTTTTGTTTATTTTTTCTTAAAAAAAAAAATGATTTTTTCTTCATTTTTTTTAAATTACCTTTTTGATCGATTTTTTAGTAAAAGTGCTTCGTTTTTCTCTTTTTGCAACTTTGACCTCTTTTCGACTGGTACTCCCTTAATCGCTCTGGCACTTGATCAAAAAGACGAGGTGTGATAATTTCTGTCTTTTGCTAAAATTTGCTAAAAATAAAATTTGCACAAAAGTCGCGAGGCGATAAGCGGACAAAGGAAGATCAAGCGAGAGTCATGTTTTTTAAAGAAACATCTCAGATGTGGGAAATTTTGAAGAGTGTGATCTTCAGAAAGCGGAAGAATCTGAATCAACTTCTTTTGTCCGGCGATGGTTTACTCAAGCGAAAGAGGAAGGGCAGCGGACTGACACTGCTGAATTTACCGTATTATTAGTACGGCATTAAGAAAGTCTCCTGAATAAAAAGGGTGGTTCATGAAAATTGCTGGTGCACCATGTTGGCGAATATGAAAAAGGGGCAGCACTTGCTCGGCCAGGTCCTTTAAATGCAGACGGTTGTACTTGTTAAAGTACAAGAAGTACTTGAATTTTAAATTTCTTTTTGGAAGAGTTTCAGCCGAATTGCTTGAAGTTGTTCTTAGTTTAAATTCCTCCCAAGAATCGAGTTCCTTAATTTAATGGATCACCCCCCGTTTTTTCAAAACTTTGACTAAGTTCCATATGTCCTATTTCTAGATTCCTCGTGTTCTGAAGATTATTTGGGTGTAGGGTGGCTACGTTCGAAATTTTGTTCGAAAAATTTCTGAAATTCATTAAATTAATGAGCTCATATGGGCTCCGCGCCTGATTAGTGAGTAAACTCTCTCATAATGATGCAAACAACCTTAACTTACACGATTTCAATATATCTTAGTTCAATGAAATCCAAAAATTGGCCGGAAAAATTTTTTTTTTCTTTGCCGGCTAGCCAAGTTTCCCCTTCAAAATGCTAAATTTCGAAATCTTCAAAAATCGGCATGATTTTATTATTTTTGATGAATTTTTCAAATTTTTCCTTGTTGAAGACATTCTTATTAGAATTTAGTCATTTTGAATGATTTATACACTTAAAAAAAAAGCCAAAAATGATCAGAAATGGCATCATTTGGGCCTTATTCTCATGGAGGGTTTTTTATATCTGAAAAAGCGGCCAATTGTTAGGTGGGCAATTTTTGGGTTTTCACTGAACCCCCTTACATGAATGCATCTCCTAAATTTTGCCTTTCAAAGCTCGGGAAAATGCTTGTTAATTGTGTTTAGCGTAGAAATCGATTATTTTTTTCGATTTTTCAATGATTTTTCAGAGGACAAATAAGGGGTGTATCGAAAGCTTAGAATGTGTAGACAAGAAATAAAAGAACCGTGCTAGGAATCTTTGCGATTAAATACCAAAAAACGCCGAAAAAACTCGAAAAAATATTAAAAAAAGAAATTTTTTTCTATTATGCTACTTCAACCAGAATAATAAGTTAAGGGTCGAATCTTTCTTCTACAGGTAAAAGATTTGCTATAAAAGAGGCCACAAAAATAAGAAGATACAATTTGAAAATGACCTCTTTTTGACAGTCTATCATGCATGAGCGAATGGCAAGATAATGAGCTGATTCTACTAGAATTTATTCGTTATAAAACGAGGTTTCAAATGAGCGTTTGATCAGCGTACGTAAGACCAATATAAAGAAGATACTGGTCAAAGTTCGGAAAATCGTTTTTTCATTTCAGGCTTTCGTGGGGAGGTGGAATGAGCATTTTTCAAGAGAATTCATAAAAAAGGGGCGCTCTTACGCACTCTATATTTCGAGAGAGCATGTTGAGCCCTATATAAGGAAGCGCATATCGGAAAATAAGTACACATAAAATTGAAAAATGAAACTTGGAAAATTTTTACTTGTCTCTCAAGCTAAAGCTTGGTGCTTAATCGGTGCTTATTGCAGCGAGGCCATCCACTTAACCTGCGGCGGGGAAGTCAACGAAACGATTGCTGCCAATCCCATCGAGAATGGCGCTTGGGGCTGCAAAGATACTGTGACTGGGAACAAGATCAAATGCGAACCTTCTTGCGAAAAGGGTTTTAAACCAAATTGGACTGTTCGTCCAAAGAAGGACTCGCCTAGTTTCGTTACTAATTGCAACAAGATTTCTAGCTCCACAAAGTACGTATAAGACTAAATGCCAGCAATGATAACATTTCGCAGAAATCTTTCCGGAGCCGTCCTAAAATGTGAAGAAAAAGGCCATCAAAATCGATGCGTCAAGGCTGCTACAACGCCCATCGCTAATGGTGTCCTTTCCCCGCGAAAAATCGTCGATCAGGAGCGAGCCTACTACGATGTCGTCTGCAAGGATCAAACAGTCAAGGGGATTATTCATTGCCAGAACGGAAAATTCAGAAAGCCCGGATGGTCAAGCGACTGGAAGAATTCTTGCGCCGGAAACAACATGCTCGAGGTACACTCAGATTTATTTGACTTCTTTGAGTAAGATTTTTCTAGAGCGGCTCCTGGTGGGGCTGTGCCACTTCCATCGCTGAATGTGTCGCTGCCTTCGAGACTGTTACTCCGTGTCTTAATGCGCTAGCAACTTGCGCTGGTGTTCTCTCCGACGAATGTGAAACGAAAATTAAAACATGCACAGAAGACCCTTCTATCGAAAACTGTGTCAGCGCACTGACAAGCTGCAACCCATTTTAAATGCGTTAAAAGCAAAGAAAATGGTCGACTTTGATATCATAGTCCACATAATGTTGCCTTACTTCCTTCTTCTCTCTCAAAAATGCTCTTATGACCCAGTTGTATCAGAATTCTTTATAATCACCGTCCTTAAAATTTTGACAATTTTCAAATAAATTATCCAAGAGTTAAAAAAATTATCATCATAATCGTAAGTGACCATAATGAGTTTATAACGAGCCAATTTCTTCGGCATCTTTTTTATATGTTGTACATTTATTCACATTATAAAGATGAGAAAATCAAATAACTACAGATTCTTGAAATTTGCTTCCACTGCGACCTTTTCGATTCGCATTTTCATTCGCCGTAAAAATGCTCTGGAACTGTTTGAGAATCTGAATGCTCTCCTCCGTCGCTTCTGGTGGGGGCGGAGGACTGTAGCTTGGCGCATGAAGGCTTTGATGATGATGATTCTGTGGAGGGCGACTGAGGGTGAGGTCGACTGTAGTTGTGTCGTGATGAAGAGGGACAGCTTGATATCGGCTTGATTGATGGTTGGTTGAAGATTGACTACGATACTTGCTCTGGAAAAAATTTAGCTAAGAATTTTTTTTTTCAAAAAGGTAACCTTGATTCTGGCGATTTCATCTTCTGATGACTCATCGGTCTCCGAGTAAACCTCTTCTTCTGAGTACTCCGAATCGCTAGGAATAATTTTTACTTTACCAGTCACTTTCAATTTTATCAACCTTTCTTGATTGTAGTTGCCAACAAAAGTCGTCGAAATCTGCCTTGGTTTTCCGGAATTGAAGCTTCCAGCAGTCGCATGTCCGTTGACAACCGACTCAGGATACGAAATCGAAGGAGCTCGACTTTTCTGATTCTTGCGATTTCGGAAGACGAAGAAAAGCGCTACGCCAAGGCAAAGGAGAAAGACTCCGACACAGATGCCAACGACGACACCAACGGCGAGCTTGGACTCATCGCCGTTTTGGAAGAGCTCGGACGAGATAGGAGGAAATTCGTTGGTTGAAACTTCGCAGATAAGGGAGGCTTAAAATACGAGTCAAAAGATGACCACCAGACCTTAAAATAGACCCTTACCCGGAAGATTAGAACTAACTCCAGTTCTACAAGAAAATTTATCGCCATCCATTTCCGCCTCCATCTCGCCACTTTCAAATGTCGACCCGTCCACCGTGCCTGAAAATGAGAGTTTTTTACAATTTCCGGCAGTTGGCATGTAAATCAATACCATAAATGGAGCAATGAGGAGGCGCCGCAGGTGTTTTGTAAATTCCACGACAGACGTACTCTTCCATGTCTTTTTTTCGAGGGTTTGAACAGGCAAAAATACTCGATAAAAACAGCAAAAATTAGCGAATTTCTTCAAGAATCGCAGCCGAAAATGTTCCATCCCTTCCCTGTCGTCATTTCAACCTCTTTTGGCGGCTCAAAAGCATTGACCTGCCTCGCGCTTATCGAAATCAGCGGTGAAATAATCGTCCCCAAGTTGTTTGCCGAAGCACATCCGATATCGTATTCTTCCAGTTCGACCATTTCAGTGTAGTTCAAATACAGCGGCAGTTTCTGATGCTCGAAGCATTTTGTTATCGGCTCGGGAGGTTTGTTTTCGGATGAGCGCTTTCGGAACCAGCAGATTTTGTTCAGAGGAAAGTAGAACTTTTGCTCGCAGATTGCGATCAGGGAGTAAGGGAGGTCTTCGGTGGAATAGACATGGTCGGTTATTTGTTGGACGGAGGGTTGACCACTTGATTCTGATCCGACGACTTTTCGAAGATATATTTTTTATCGAGTTTTTGAGTCAAAAATTTTGACCAATAAAAATTGCCCAAAATGAGTTTCTATTCCCGAAATTGATTTGGTCAAAAAGAGCTGCGCTTTTTTTTCAGCCAATAAGATTTCAGGAAAGAGAATTATGGGATCTGATTGGCTTTCAAAACGAATGGTTTATATCTGTTCCTGAATAGTGAAAAACATTCGATTCCCCCAAAACTCCATTTTCATCAAAAAACTCAACAAAGAATCCGAACTCGCCAGTTTTCCCAAATTTCTCCACTTTCACTTGCAATTTTTTTTCCTCGGTATTTTGAGCGACTGTAAAATCCCCGTTAGCCGTCTTTATTGAATCCTGTCCGACAAGATATCGACTTCCTGACGTGGCGTGAAGCGTGTCCTGCGTCACAATGGCCACTCCGGATGTTGTTTTTGGAACTTGCTCAATTTCGACAATCAGTTGTCCCGATAAAAGCACTGTAAAATCGAACGCTTCATTCAGATCGGGCTTGTAAAGTCGTTTGCGCTCCCACTTTGGCCAGTCAAAATACAATTCTGAGGAGCGCTTTTCTTCGGCCAACTCGTCTAGGGTCCATTTTTGGGTGGATAGGCGGCATTGAATGAGTTTTTGACCTTTTGAAATGGAGATTGAGAGGTCTTCTTCTGATAAAGACCTGGTCGAAATCGTTGAGGAGCAAGAGAGCGAAGATTTTTCATGAACAGCTGAATCGGCCCACTCGATTTTCGGGGCGGGGTTTGACGATGCTAGAATTTTCGTGATGATTTTTAGCAATAAAAATGGTAGAAAAATGTCTATGAAAATGAGTATCTCAATCACGTGATTTCTCGACTTTCATTTTATCGAACATTTTGATGGCTCTCGATTGAAAGTTTCCTCTTCCTACTTGAAACATCCGTACTTGAGAAAGTACAGTAGAGGAAGCGATTTTCCACCCACTCACCTTGGCAAACAGCCTGTCTCGCTGCTCCAGGACTTTGCGTCCAGCTGGCGGAGACGGTCGAGTCCTGGTTCCAGACTTGAATGAAGGAGACTTCAGAAGATGCTTCGAATTCAAGGTCGCCCTGGTGAGAAAGCATGTAAATCCAGTATCCGCCGTCTGTGAGCTTTTCACGATTTTATTTTCACACGATCAGACTTTCTACTTCTTTCAAATTCTTCATGAATGCAAACAGATGTCAATATCAGCTGGCAGAGTCATATGATCACCTTTTTATAAGAAATAACTGCAAAAAAAAACATTTCGATTTTGATATCAAATGCTGCGAAATACTGTATCTGATGTTCCGCGCTAATTAAACTTTTTTTATGAATGAAAAATTCTTTTTTTTTATGCAAAATTGAGAATAAAATCGTTCCTGAAAATTTGAAATCGTAAATTTATTGCCATGGAATGTCAGTCTTCCTTCCAGCTCAAAGTTGGTTCTGCATTTGCCATTATGAGAGCAGGAGAATTGAAATCTACAAATAACAAATTTTCAATTGCAGTTGAAACCGAACTTCAAATGTCAGTGGTTGACTTGAGTCGGGATATTTGCAAATTTTCGCCAAAAATTGCCCTTTTTAAGAACTTACCTTCTCCTCGAATCTGGATCCAGTTGATCCGCTCTGAACGCGTAGAGTACCTTGTCCGTGTTGTTTGTCTCCAGCAGCGATAAGGTCGCTTATCGGCGGTGCAAATTTTCCGTGAATTCGACAAACGAGATTTACTTGTCAACGATTCTACATTTGTCAAATATTTTTCAGCGCGTTTCAGAAGCAGCTCTTATTTTGCTCTTCTACTTGCCAAAAAATCTTGACTAAACAAAAATTATCGATAACCAAAGCTTTTCAAAATGAAATTTTTTGACCGACCTAAAAAGCCGCTTGCGGCTTTTTCAAAAAAAATATCATGAAAACAGTAAGCTTTTTTTGGGATAAAATTTTATTAGATTTTTAAGAAAAGCCGCGCGCGGCTATTTTATAGCAGGTGAAAAATTGTATGGAAAATTTATTCAGAAAGAAAAAAAGCCGCACGCGGCTATCCCATTCTCCTTAATTTTTGAAATGATTGAAATTGGCACCAATCCCTGTAGATCCAACAGTAACCCTGAACCTCTCCCTCACATTTTCTTCCGTAACATTAATATTCTTGACAATCTCTTGCAGCGTATGCAATCTATCCAGATAATCTTCTCTAAGTTCTTTCTCCATTTCGCTCTCTACACTTTCGCAATTTGCCAAAAATTTGCTTCTCTCACAAATCATTAAAAATATCAAGAGTTTTTTCATTTTTTTCGAAATAATCTGCAGGAGGCCTTGTTCCGCCGCGCACTGCAGATTTTTTGTGAATAGAAGAGTACACAATGTGGCTACACAGAGCGCTCAATTTGTATTCATACAAGCCCAAATGTAAGGCAAACATTCGATGCCACGCAATACAATTTTATGATGGAATTTTTATTTCTTCTTTTTTATAAATTTTTGCAAAGAAAAAAATCATAAAAAGGGCGTCCCCTTATTTCTCCTCGTTTCGATGCATAAGGCCCCTTGATCATCCTCTAACTTAATTCATGTGTCCCCTAGTTCATCCTGCCCACGCAATTACCCTTTTTCTAGTCTTAAATATCTAGAAAATTCGTCAATAACGGTAAAAAATTGCGTGGGCGGGATGGACAAGGGGCCCCATACATTGGGTTAGAGGATTAACAAGGGGGCTCATGCATTGAATCAAGGATAAATTAGGGGATGTTTTTTTTCAAACTAGACTCTAGTCCCTCGTGCTTTCTAGTATCTTCTACCTAAAAAACGAACCTCTTAGAGAGGGTCTGTCTTTGTGAAGTTAAAAGAAGGTCGAGAGAAATGCCAAGCATCAGAACTGTCAGCTTTTTCTTCAGATGTACCTCATTTACGAAAGTACTTCGTCAAACTTCTTTAAAATGGAAACTCACGAGTTAGAGATAAAGTGTTTGGATTGCGATTGCGTTGGTTTCGTAAGAAAAGTTAATAACGAAGTTGTTTTGGTCCCGTCAGAAGAAAAGATTTTATTTGATTATCATCAACCACAAAAACTTGGTCTCGCTAAACAGTACGTAGAAAAATGCTTTCAAAAATATTCTAGTTCCAAAATTCTAGTGGTTTCGCAACCCTCCGCCAAAGGTTAACCTATCTTCTTCTTGGCACTCTATTTTGGCAGACAATAATTTTGATAGCGAACTTCGAAAGTGTTAAAAACCTTGCTCCTTTGGAAACTTTCAAAACTAAAACCTGCGCGCGGAATTTTAAAACATGCCTACTCAACTTTCCATATGGTACTTGTTACGAGAGCTTTTCTACTTGTATGCGAGACACTGGTGAATTCGTTTATCCGACAAAGGTGGTCTTGCCCGAGGCGAGAGAAAGAGCTGATGACGATTTTTATACAAATGACGAGCAGGACGTCAATTTGAAAAGGTGCAAAAGATACAACTACTACGGTAAAACCCATTTTTCATCCGAAAGAGTAAAATTTTGTTTCATAGATTTGAAAATTTGCGAGCAACTTTGCTCGAAAATCAACGAGGAAGATGTTGGCTTGTGTCGTCAAATCTGCGAATCGCATTTGAGCGACAACGGGGAAATGGATGAAATCTGCCCTTTTGAAAAACTCTGTGCTGCTGGCTGCCCATGTTCTTATTTTCAATGCGAGCACGTGGATGTCAAAAAAATTCCTCTTGTTTGGTACTACAGCGAAAACGACGCTCTTTTCGAACTAACAACTGATGCCGATATACCTTCAACATCCATTGGTCGCGCCAGCTTTGATGCATCTGTCGACCCACGCTCTCTCAAACTTAAAAAGGTCTACGAACGCGTATTATTTTACCAATTTTGGGCCGAGTACCTCAACGAATTAAGGGATCCCCCCCCGATTTCGCCGACTTTGAGGTCGAACTACTTTTTTTCGGGCTTAGCTATCTTGAAGGTTAGGGGCTTATTTTAAAGAGCATTTCTAAATGAGCAATCTCTAGTATAGAAATTAAATTTGATAAGGGGAATCACCTATAAAAATCGCTCTAAAGACATTGATAGTCGCCAAAAACCCGGTTTTAAGCCATTTTCAAAGTCGAACTTCTTTTTTCCCCTCTTATATATTCCCCTTATTTTATTATCCCAACTTTCCTTGATACCTCTTCTACAATCTCTAGTACAGGCATCCGATTTGGTCAAGGATTTTGGAATTTCTCTATACAAAAACTTTTTCGACTGATTCTTGCCATTTTTGTGACTTTTTATGCTCTCTCGCACCTCTTTGTGGCAATAGATTTTATCAGGACCTATTTTTTCTGATTCAGCTTCGTCTAAGCTTTCTAAAAAGCCCTCATTTATATGATTTCGTCGACTTTAAAAAGTCGAAAATTTTGCGAATTTTTTCTAAGTAATTTTTTTTTATCAAAATAAGCCATTTTCAAGCCTTTGTCACGGCTAATCACGTGACGTACGCCCCTTGACATAATATATGGAAATGATCCTCAGACGATGATCATTTTAAAAATTTACCAAGCAAAAGCTCTCGATGAAATTTTTCAAATCGGGAGGGGATCCCTTAACCCCAGAATCCCTGAAAAGCTACCGACCAGACTTCATCATCAGCCTTGATTACAACCCGAGTATCGCGCTTTACCTCCAGGGAAGAAATTATCTCGTTGATGCCGAATTCAACACATTTATCCTCGGTGATGATGAGCTTGTCGATATAGGAGTCGAGTCTCAGGCATTTTTGTCAAGATATGGAGTGACAAATCGCTTGATTTTCAATGGAAAAAGCACCTCCATCGCCGCCGTCTTTCAGGACGACTTCTACTTCTGCTCGACAATCAAATACCCAAACTACTGTTTCTTTTTCGACCCGCTTACCCGCGGACGCAAAAAAATCCTCGAAGCTCGCGGAAGAATCAAATCTCGTGACTACGACACGCGACGACATGCTTTCGTCTTCGACGGAAAATTGAACATTCTATCCGTCGATTCTTTACTTAGCCATAATATACAGCTTCAAAGAATGGAAAGCCGGGAGCGCGATTGGAGCGAAAGCTATTACGAAGACCCCCTTTGGGAGAAGGAATTTAGGAATGACTCGCATGGGGTGGAAATTGGAATGCAGATTACTCAATTGCCATACGAGACGGTTATTAATGACTTCTTGCCGATTCCAGGATAGGATACAGTAGCTCTTTTAAAGGATGAAAATTTTGCTAACCGTTAATTTCATTTTGTGAGTATCTAAAAAAGACCGAAAAGGAGTCCTTTTTGTTGCCACTTTTCGCTGGCGTGAATTTGAGTTTGGCAGCGACCAGACTTTCGTCAACAAAAACCCTGGGCCCTATTTTAACACCCATTCAAATTTCAGCTTTACAAAAGCAAAATATTTTATCATCGTGTACCGACTTGCTGCTGGAAGATTCGTGCGAATGGACAGAATGGAGACGAATTTTGCCTATTCAAGTGTCCGGAATCCTTTTTATAAAGATATAAACGCCTTTGGAACGAGTTGAAAAGCCCTAAAAAGATCCAATAGGTTCTTCTGTTTTAACTCAATAAAGAACACTTTGGCGAAATTATGATTTATGCTAATTCAGAGGAAGATATTTTCCGATTGAATTTTGAATCTGGCGACGAAAAAACCCATCTGGAGAGAATCGAGACCCCTGAACTTCATTTTATGGGGGTTTAATTGTTCAAAGTCAACATTTAAATAAAACTGTTCTGAAGAAAAATTCAAATAAACGTCAAATTTAGTCCATTTCATTTAATTCGTTTGATATTTTCTTTTGCCCATCTGAATAACCGCCCATCAATGAACTCTTCAAACTTTTTCAAAAATGACGAGCTCCGGAGAAATCTTAGAGATCCAAGAAGAGGATAAAATTGAGAACTTGATGAAGAAGGTTTTGGTTTATTTTTGCGGCTTTTGGACGGTTCTGTTGTTTCCAATTACCTTTTTCAAAGCGGTGAGATTTGTGGAGAAATATGAAGAAGCGGTTATCAAGAGATTTGGTGAGGCCAGGCAAAATCGACCAATACAGGTTTCTCTCGCCCAAACTAGCCTGTGTCATTATCAATCATAGACTGGTTACTGTTATCTCATCCCCTGTACCGATTCATTTGACCGAGTGGACCTTCGACCGCTCAAATTCGACTTCGAAATCAAAGATGTGCTCACGAAAGATTTCGTTTCCCTGGATGTTGCCCTCACTTTCTGCTATCAAGTGCTGAATTCGATGGTTTTTGTCAACAAATTGCCTAAAAAGATGTCAACAAAGGATAGATTAAAAGTTGCAATAGAGTCGGCTTTGCGCCTAGTCATTACTGCGAAGGATTTTGACGACCTACAGACGATTTCTCAAAGAAATGGGCTTCTGAAAGACCTAAAGGTAGTTACCTTAGATAAGTTAACGAATCCTAACGAAAGCTTAAATTGTAGCTATTCCTCCAACAAACAACGCATGCTTGGGGCATTTCCGTCCGAAAAATCCAGTTCATCAACATTCAAATCAGCCGTGAAACCCCCGATTACGCCGACTTCAACCGACATATCGAAATTTCTAGAGCTCCTTCTGCTCGAAGTGGTTACCGAAACGAAGCGCTGAGAATCGACGTCGAACATCCTTCCCTGCCGACATATGACAGTATCATTGGAGAAAGTCTCGCATAGCTTTTTCCAACCTTGTAAATTTATGTTTTGAGTTTTATTGAACAGAAAAAATTGGAAAAATAAAAATCTGAATATAAAAAATTTTCAAAGCGGCGTCAATTATTTTCTCGGGAAGAACTTGGCGAGGCAGAATCACCAGGTGTTCGTTGATAAGATGAGTCTTCTGAAATCGACGATGAGAAAGGGAAAATGGGGAGAAATTACCTTCAACGGTTGTGCTCAGTTCTGGCAAATGATTGAGCTCCATTTCAGACAAAACAACGGGGCTGCCTGGAGTAACGTTGAAGTCAATACCAGCAAAGCCGTGAACCAGAGAATTCGTCCCGGAATTTTCTGAAGACGGGCTTGTCGGGAGAACATTCACTGGTTCTGTTATCACTCCATAGCTTCAAAGAAATCGTTAGAAAAAGAGCCTGAAACAAGCAAGAAAACCTCTCATTAGCAATTTCCGCTGCGTTGAGATCCTTTTCAAGCCCGTTGAATTGCTCCATCAGCAGTTTTGTTAAAATTTCAGTGTCAGTTTCGGACAGCTCGTCAGGATCTTCGTTAGGATCGGGCTTTGGCAGCTCGCTCTTTGTATCGTTGTCGGAAGAGATGGATTCTAGCTCGGCAAAGGTGGCTGGGACGAGGGGAGTTTCGTTGACGGTCGAGACTGGTGTTACAGATAAAGAAGGAAGTCTGAAAAAAGATATCAAAAACGACTTCCCAAAAAAGCAGAACTCACCCAAGAGCAACATCATGTCCTTCTTGTTGCATAATTTCCTGCAGTGTTTCTCTGATAATGTCGTTGATTCTCCCTTCCGAGTAGCTTCCGGAAAATGTCGAGTGTTGAGCCTCATGAGCGTTTCCAGTAGAGATTGGGTCAGATTTGTGCTTTCGAACTCCAAGAAGAATCGATTGATTTGAAAAAGATGGTTCTGTCGTTGTTGGCTGCTCGTCCGTTGCCTTTGAAATGCCGATCAGTGTTGCTGTGCCGTGTGATTGGGTTTGGCTGTCGCGGGAGATTGTTGAAATACTCGAGCTGGATGAGTTAAAGCCCTCTGAAAAAATTGATAGAGGATCAAATGAGTATTGCGCCACTTACGAAACTTGTACGGTTGAGTATCTGGCAGGGAAATGTATGAAGTCTCATTTACGCTCGAGTGAGACAAGTTGGACAGATTTTTCGACACTTTTCTCGTCATTTTCGTCCGTTGCTCTGATCGCGGAGTCGACTCTGTGGGAGCAGAATCCGTGACGCCAGATTGATCGAGTTTCAGCCGCTCTACAGTCACTGGTGGTGGAGTTGGAGTTTGAAGAGTTTCTTCTCGACTTGCTGCGGGAGCGTCAGCGACTTTGATTGAAGATGCACTTGGAAAAGGATGAGAAAATAGGAGAAAAGGCGGTTTTACTTGGAATGATATGATTCTGAGAGCGATGGGAGATCTTTGACTTCAATACTTTGCTGGCTCTGTTGATAAATTGGCCCTGTGCTTGATAAGGTCAACCCCATCATTTGCCTTTCCAAATTTTCTGAGATTGCTCGGAGTTTTTGAAGCTCTGCCTCATTCTTTGCTACAAAGAAGGTTGAAAAGAGGATTTCCTTTAGAAGATATTTAACTTACCGATTATTTCTTGCTCTTGTCGAAGTTCTTCTTCAATATCAATCATTCCTTTCGATGGCTCCCTTTTTGATATGCTCGTTTGTGAGACTTTTGTCGCATCAAACATTGATTCATGGAATGTTGGAGGTGTGTAAGGAGATAATCCAACGTAATTCGGGCCTGAGGTGCTTTGCTTCGAATTTGATAAATCTGAGGAATTGACTTCGTGAGCTTGAATTGAGTAGTTGATATTTGAAGGCTGCTCTGCGCTGGAATTTGTTGAAGGAATTGCACTGGTTGATGCTGATATTGATGATGAAGTTGTTGCGTTGTTTTCTGAGCCAGAAGAGTACTTTTGAATTAATCTTTCTTGATACGACTTGATTGCGTCCAAGTTTTCGATCACTTTCTGCGTCATTACTGCGCTGCTATTATTCGACGTGGAAGAACACTGACTCGCTGAAAGACCACTCGTTTCGCCTTCAAGTGTCGATGCTTGAGCAAGTTCTAGCTGACGGAGGTTCTCTTCATGCTCGATTTTCGCTTGTTCAAGAAGTGCTTCCATTTCGCGTTTTTGTGATTCGAACATTTCCAGCAGCTGTCTTTGCTCGTCGTTGAAGCGCACTGAGTGGGTCTCTTTTGCGATATTGAAATGATTTGAAGTTTTGAGAATTGATGGAACTTGTGTCGCTTCTGGAAGGGTGGCAGTTGGTGGCTCGGGAGTCAACGTTCGCTCATCATCATCTTCGGGATCTTGCTCTTCTTCTGGCTGCTGTGGAAGATCATAGTGAGTGTATGGAATTGAGTGCGGCGGATCAACGGCGCTAGAATCCGTTGCCGAGGAAATATCCAGCTCTGGGTCGGGCGTGACTGAGTACCCTCTACCGCCAATCGCGTCAGCAACGATTTGCTCCATCTGAAACTGCTTTGTCGCTTGGTTCATCGCCAGTCTCTTCTCAGTCGCCGCCATTGACCCGGCATTCTGTCTCGCAAATTCTTTTCGACGAAGAACTTCCAGGTTCGATTCTAGCGTCGCCTTTGAATTGTCCAATCTGACTTTTCTCAGCGCATCTTCGCCTCGGAGAGTGGACTTCATTGCTGCTTCTGTGTGGCGGATGTTCTCATTACGAAGGCGTTCTTCGACGATTTTTGCTTGCTCCGCGGCGGCTTGGAAGGCGTCGACGATGTTGTCTTCACTCGTGGCGGGGATAACAGCATGCTCTGGTTGATCATAAAACGAGTCTTTCACTCGTACATCGTTGTTATGCAGACTGACTTTGTTCCTCAACGTTTTATCCTCCGCCCGCGGCTTCATCGACTCCGGCGTGCCCAAAGCCGCCACAGCTGCTGCCCGAATTCGTTCTTTTTCAATCGCTTCGGATTTGTGCTTCTCTCGTTCGCGGTTTTCTTCCGCAGCGCGTTTGCGCTCTTGGCGCAGCTTCGTCACCGCTATTTGGTATCGTCGGTCAGCATCGTCCATTCGTTTTCGTTGGAGATCTTGGTCGAGAGTCGAGTGTTGTTTGGAGTTATTTTGAGCTTCCGCGATGCGCTGGGCTTCACCACGAAGGCGGAGGGCTTCTTCGAATTCTGCCTCTGCTTGCTCTAGTCGCTCGCGCTAGAATTTCATGGAGAAAATGAATTATTGAAGGACAGTACCTGTTTTGCTTTCCATTCTTCTTCCAGCGTATTGCTCAACTCTTTCAGCGCTGATCTCTCCTTGTTCTTCACTTTATGATTGACTCGATTTGCAATCTTCTTCGACTGCGCTCGAACTTGAAGGAGTCTCTCTTTCTTTCTCGAATCAAGGGCGGATTGTATAAGTGTATTCGCCTCATCAGCTGTCAATTTATACAGCCGCTGAAGGCGGAGGCGAACGTCCTCCGCTTCCATATCTAAAAAGAAGGGGGTTGGTTCGAGTTGAAGATTGTGAGGATTTTCGAGGTCGCAAAAGTTGGCGTCAAAATTAAAAGTGAAGAGAAATGGCAGTTATTTAGAGAGTGTTCCATTTGTCAGTTCAATTATTCTAGAAATATCGAGCGTTTCTGCTCTTCCTGGATCATCCCCATACAGTTCGCTGTTCCACGGCAGTCCCTTGTCTTTTCTCATTGACCGGTCGATTTCCACTGAAGAAAAGAAGGCGACATTCTGCGGCAGCTGAGGGAGCCCGCATTTCAGGGAAAAATATGCGCGAGTGTACAAATGAGCCAGCTGGAAGGCAAGTGCCGTTCGATAGCGATCTTCTTTGGACGAAATAAACTGGATCATATCGTGGATGGACAGGCTGTAGAACGCGTTGATCCGGTATTCCTTGATCAAGTAGTCCATATTCGCCAAGAACAAATGAAGAAAATCAACAGCAGAAGACTGAATCAGCCAGTTGCATCGCGTCGTCTGGTGCATTGGCGCGTATCGGTTCAAAAGCGGCATTGGCAGATTCCCGCCTAGAACGGGAGTCACAGGCTGGTCCTCAATGGCAGTAAGTTGGAGATAATTGAAGAGTTCTGATTCGATCCCGTTGGCAAAGACTCGCCTGGGCTCGTCAAAGAGATCTTCGATTTCGTCAATGGTCTTTTTCGCAGCTGGAACGAGCTTGTAAATTGACTGTAAAAGCTCGTCCTTTTCACTGTCGCGGAGCATCGTATCCGACTGCAGCTTTTGAACAAGAAATTTGAATCGTTTCGCCTCATTTTCCGTCAAAAATTCCAACTGGTTGATCCCATCTGACAAAATTTTGTTCCCCTCCTGGCTGACTGGATTTCTTATCAGTACTGACTTTCCTTTCGTAAATCGCCACAGCTCATCCACAATCTTTCCAGCTCCGTCTTTCGGCCCGAGTAGGTCCAAGGCATTCTGCTTGCCGCATAAGTAAAGCCTGGCATAGTTGAGTATCTTCGCTGAGTTTCGATCCATTCCAACTTGATTCGCGGTGATGGTATGAATATCCGTCCCAGCTGCTTTTGATCCGTTCAAAGTCATGTACGAGAGGCCTAAAAATTGAATAAATCAAAAATTCTTCAATCCTCAAACTTTGAATATCTAGTCGATCTAAGAATATCTACCAATTTAGCAAATAACTCACCGGTAACTCCAACTTCTCCAAGATCTTTGTACATATCAGCAAAGAGCGACGCAATCCAAATTTCCTGACTGTCAACATCCGCGCTTACATACACCCAATCCTCATCCATCTGTGCCAGCGAAAACGCCCCCATTCCAAGCTTCTCATCGTTCGAGTCATTTCCCTGGGCGACCATCCAAAAAGAATCCTTCGCCCTTCGAGTCACAGTTCCATGAGGAACTTGCATCGGCAAATGCCAGCTGTATCTATCCTCTTTATCATTTAGGAACAAGATCTTTTTGAAGCGCTCGCGGTAGGCGCGCCAGTAGGAACCGCGGGTATTTACTTCCATGATCTTCTTGATGATTTCTTTCCCGAATTCGCAGCGAGTTGTCAATTTCCCGCTGAGAATGTGCTTCGAGTAATTACTCGTCATGAGCATTCCGACTTTCTGACCCGCTTTATCATGCGGCAAAGGCGTCAATTCTTCCGAATTCTGATTCACATGCGCCCAACCAGTTTTTTTCGAATGAAGAACCCGTTTTCCTTCCCACTCGAGGCGAAGAAGGTAAGGAACTGATCTGTTATTCATCGATAGTCGCTTTTCCTTCAAAATAGGCTTGATCCACTTTGGCAGGGGGCTCTTCTTCGTCGCTGGTGACCAGTCAAGTGAGGCAAGAAAAGGGTCGGAGTTCCAAAGATGTCGCTTTTCAAGCGCATCGAAATTCTCCTTCCCGGCAGATTCGAGCCAAGAAGACTTGTATTTTTCAAACACAGCTCTTGCCAGATCAGGTAGAACATCGCATTCAAGCGTGTTCTTCATACCTTCGAATTCCTCATTCGACTTTTCGACGTATTCGTTCCAAGCTGGAGCGGTAATCTTTAACTTCGGCGATCCCATCTTCAGCATTCCAAACAAATTCACAGGATTTGGATACCTCGACAAATAGAGAGGAAAAGTCGCGGCGAAGACTTCAGCTGTTGCTTTGACGTCGAGGATGTTGTAGGCCATGAGATCGTGAAGATTTTTGCGGATGTCGTCGATTGTTCCGTCGACGAAAATGTTGCGGATTTGTTTGTCCATTGGCGGGGCGTTTTTGTGGTAGAAATGGTGGACATCGGCCAAGTTGGAAAGAGAACAGTAGTGCAGCCATCTGAAGTCGGGACCGTACAGATATCGGTCACTGAATGAAAGGTTATGGAAAGTTTTGCAGAAGCCGGTTGCAGAAGCCGGTTTTCTTCAAGTAACGCCTCTTGTCTACCTGAATTTGAGCTTGGTTGATTCCGACTTCTTCTTCAGCGCATATTGCTTGGAACTAACCCCATGAAGCGAGTTATGAAGCGACATTGTATCGATAAAGGTCTTGTTGCTCTTGAATTCATATTCTTGTTGAACTCGTGTTCTGTCGAAAGCGACATTGTGTCCGATGAGAATTTGTTCTTCAGGACCAAAGTCGATTAGGTCGGATTTTTGGAGATGATCGTCGGTTGGAAGAGAGTTGGAGAAGAATTTAGGGCTGATCCAGGTGTACCAAGCGGAGTCGGAGACGGCAGCAGTCATGACTTTAAGAAACTAGAAGTTAGATTAACCGCATGGGACAGATCGGTGGATAGAGGCGCTCGGACAGAAGGTGTATTCCACTGCACTTAAGAAAACTACTGGTCGGATAAACTTGAAAATTATACCCAATACTAATTTTGGGGTGTAGATTTCAAATCCGCTATCAAAATTTGCATAGCGCTTTTTCTTATTGCAGAAAAAATGCCATTTTTCTATGGAGGGTTTCAAAAATTATCTCTTATTTAGATTTCTCGAAAAAGTAAATTCAATATTTGAAATCAGCAGCATCGAAAACATATAAAACCCCTTTTAGTAGACAAAATTCTTGATATTGGTTCGGTTTCAATGTGCAAACACTCAGCGGGAGGGCAATTAGGCCGCATATAATCCGGTGCAGAGGGCGGTCGGTAACCGATAATTCCTTGAAACTTGGCAGACATGCTTCAATAAAGTGAAGGAACAACCATTTTAATTTTTATCTAATTTGGACTATTCGTTCGGAAGTTATTTAGCTGAAAAGTCCTTAAGTGCAGTGGAATACACCTTCTGTCCCATGCGGTTAACAAAGAAAAGGAGAGAAAGGGCCCAGCAACCAGTGTAGAAAACCTGAGTCAGGGTTTTCGACGACCTTTGATAGCGGCGTTTCAGGACCCTGACTCAGGTTTTGTGCACAGGTTACTGAAACCAGACTGTACCTGGGCAGCTGCCAATTCGGACAATATTTTCAGTATCGAAAACGAGGCATTTTTCATCAGGATAGTCAATTTTCTTCGGCTTTTTGCCACTTTTGTACTTGATCCACCCAGATTCATTCAAAACAAAAGAAGTCGGAGCAGACGGGAGATTTTTAACGTCCAAGACGCCAGAAATATTTTTGAAAAAAGAGTCTCCGATTCCATCGAGGGCGGCTTTTTCGGTGTGCTCGACGAGATTTGGAGAGAGTAAAGTTGGAAGGGAGAGATTTTCGGCTTTTTCTGGGTTTGAAATTGCTAGTAACAGAATGTTACTGTAAGAAATTTGGCGCAAATATAAGCGGAACCCATTCCTGAATCGAAATCTGAGCATTCTTCATTAAAAATCTTCATATTTCTCAACGACCATTCAATTTCTTCCAAATTTTCGCATTTTCCCACTTTTTTCGCCTTTTCTCCAAAAACATGATCGCTTATTTTCTCATTGACAAGAGGAATGTTCAATCGGGAGACTTGACAGACTTTTCTTAGGCTTTGAATTCTCATTGTTTATTTTTCCAGCTTTCTTCGGATTTTCTCATTTTTGAAAGGAGGAATTTCTGGACGCGCGGGAGATTGGCGCAGCGCCGCTGACTCATTTCTCAAAAAATGAAAAAATAAAAAAAATGGTTTCCGCTCGCAAAGAGAAAAAAAGAAGATTAAATGAAGCAATATCAACCCATCGCACTTCGCTGTACTTAGCAAACGATTCTCTCCGTCCTGTTTATGAAATACAAATTATTATCCATGGTTCTTTAAAATACAAATGAAAATAAAATGAATCATTATTACTGATTATTTCTTAAGTAAATAAGTGAGATATAACTTCAAAATCTTGTATAATTTTTAAAATGTCTTTTTATTCAGAAAAAATGGCGCAACTTTCTACCGCTCAAGTTCAAGCCCATCTCTCAAACGACTCCGTTCTCTTCATCGATGTCCGCCGACCAGACGAGCTCGAAGCCGGGAAACTCGGCGCCAAGAACTTTTTGAACATCACCCACACCAACGTTCCTTCCGAATTCGCGAAAGAAGCGGGCGATTTCAAGAGCGCTCATGGAATCGAAAAGCCGAAATTGGAGCAGGAAATTATCGTCTACTGCCAAAAAGGGAAAAGAGGACAAATGGCACAGGAACGGTTAAATTTTGGGAAATTTTTTTATTGAGGAAAGTTGCGACTGTATTTTCAGTAAGAGAGATAGCGAGAATTATCCGTCGATGGCTTCCACCTTGCCCCATTTTCTTGGTATCCGAATGGTGGATGAGAGCTCGCTGTGGTGGGTACTTCTGATATGGTGTCCCTTTTCGCTAGAAAATGAATTAAAATCAAGATCGTTGATCTCTCTTCCTTACTTGTTAAATTCTCTGGCTCGGACCCGACAAATCCGTAGAATGAGAAAATGCCGGCCGGCGCGCTCCTTGAAAAATATCATCTAGAGATTTCTGGTCGCGCTTCCAAGTCTCGCCGACCATCTTACAATTAATGATCCCTCAAAAATTAACCAAAGAAAAGAATGCATTGATCGAACTTGGCTACAAATCCGTCTCCAACTGGGAAGGTGGTTATTCTTCTCTCTAACTTCAAGAATTCAATATTTGTCTTATTCAAAAACACCAGTTTCCTTCCATTTGATTTTCAAAAAGTTGATTTTGCACCAGGTACTTGGATCTACAACCAGAGTTCTGAAGGATGAAAAGCGGCTTCGTTTTTAAATAAGCCGCTACGCGGCTTCTCAATAAAGCTCCTTCAGACCCTGAGTCAGGTCTTCTACTCTGGTTGCAGGACCCAGAACAGCCTTTTTTGCTTCTGTAACCAGTCTGGCAGACTGAATGAATGAGTCTGCACTACTGTAATCAATCACTTCTATTTAATGATTCTTCCAACCCATTTTTCTCCTGATCCAAAAAGACTCGACTCCTTCAATAAAAAAAAATCTACCGAAAAAGTGGCAACTTGGCAAATTCTACTTCTTGCCTATTAACTTTTGATGAATTTTGGGCTGCCTGGAGCAACAATTGAAATTGCCTCGGGCGAGAAAGAGAGGTGGAGATCGCCATCTTCGGCCTATTGAATCGCTGATCAAATATTGAGCTGGAATAAGCAAAATCAACCTTATTTAAAATTTACTCTATTCTTTTTTCGCGCTTCTCCAAGGAGCTTAAAACTAAAATTTATTCACTTTTTTATTGCCGAAATGAGCTTTAACGTCCCTCAGGCGTATAAGAAACATGGCTTTAAAAAGAACGAAAGAGAGAAGGAAAACGAACAGATTTAGAGCGGGGCAACCTGTGTTGAAAACCTGAGTCAGGGTCTGAAAAATATTCATGAAAAGCCGCGTAGCGGGTTTTTAATAAATAAGCCGCGGTGCGGCTCCGCGAAGTTATCATTCTTTCCATCAGATATCTTTCAAATCCTGACTCAGGATTTCTACACAGGTTTCCGAGCCCAGGGTCATCCTAAATTCAATATGAAGAAAGGTTGAAGAACTTCAAATTTTCTTTTCATTTTTCGGAATTACTAGAAAGCCAAAAAAAGTTCAAATGCAAAGAAGCTCCTTCCGGTGCTTTCAAAGAAAATATTGGCTTGTGGCAGCTTTTTTACTTGTGTTTCTGTTTGCTTATGGTTGTTTCCGGCTGGCTGTTGATGCGGCTCTTGAGGGCAATTTGCGGATATGACGATTTTGAGGATGAGGAGCTCAATTATGAGTACGTATCCAACCTGTGCTCGGCAACCTGTGTAGACAAACTGACTCAGGTTTTCTTGACAGGCTACCGAGCCAATTATCTAACTGTAACTGTACTTAATTTTTGGCTTTTTCCCAAGAATTAATTAGTATTTTTGTTGGATTTTCGGCGACTGAATAATTGAAACTCGCATTCCAGCGCCAAGGATTGAGCGAACAAGATTTGCTTCAATAAATTTATTCAGAATGCCGTGGGTAACTGCTCAAAGAACGTGGCGCAAGACGTCGAATGTGCGAATCATCGACTCCAAGCTATCCACTCCTGCCCCTGTATAAATACTTTCAATTTCGGACTAAAAATCGCTTCTTTTATTAGAAAAATTAGCTCATGAACAAGAAATAGAGTCGAAATTGAACGGCCCAGCGATGAATCGACCAGCTCCACCAGGTCTCCAGCCGAGTTCCTTATCGCAAATCACTTTTCTTATCGCGTCTTCGTTGAATGATGTTTTTCGTCGGTTCATGCAAAATGCTACAATTTTGAATTATTCCCACTCTCCCCCTTATTTTTTCATTTTTACCTCTGCATCGTTTTTTCGTCCGTTTTGCCAATTCTAGCACCGAGCAGCGCCAAAAAACGCCATTTTCGTTCGGCGCAGCAATTCCACCGCATTTTGAGTTTTGAACTTTTCGCCATTTCGGTTTGCCATTTCGCCCTGCTCCATCGAGATTTTCAATGGCGAAGGCTTCGAATCCTTCATTTCTAGTGTCTTCGTCTTGATCGTCGTATTCTTCGATAAATCCGGCGCGGTCGTTTATTCTCGCCATTACTCCAAGGCCTTGAAATGAGGATTATTATGATAGGATATCGAGTAGCCGCGTGCGGCTTCGAGACAGAGAAAAATTGAGCCGAGAAGAGATTCAAAGCCGCATACTTTCTTTACTTACCTCCGAAAAAGAGTCCCAAAACCTTCATTTCTCTGATTTTTTAAACCTCGCGTATCCAATTTGCTTTTGTTCAAAAGGAACCGAGCTCAAACTGCCAAACTTTCTCATTTTTTGTTTGACTGAGATTTTTTTAATCCCTGGTCATAATTAACAAAAACGCTGACTGTTATGAATATGGCCATAACAAGCGATGATTTTTGTTGATATACAAAGCGTCACTCTTTTTTTCGAATTTTGAATTAGAAATATTTTTCAATTTTATTTTTCAAAGTTTCAAACAGTTTCATCAAAATCAGCAGAATCTATTCCATTGAACTTGTCTTCAACCAACTCAATTTTCTCCTCCAAATCGTTGAGGAAATTCGCATTTGCGAGAATGTCGCTTTTGATCATAGTCAGCTTCGCTGGTTCAAGAAACTCGCTGACTTCTTTTATCAGCATGGCTGATTTGCTTGTAAAGACGGAGTTTTTCGCATTCATTTTTGCGATTCCCACGTTTTTGATCGTTTGGACGCTAGAAAAATCTGTTTCCAAGGGGAAAACAAATGAAAAAGGACGAGAGCCTAACCTGAGTTAACAAATAGTGATCTACTCCTATCATAACTTACGCTTTTTCATGTCTTTCAACATATTCTTCCTGAACAGCCAGATTCTCAAGGTGTATGGTCAAGTTTCCATTAAGATAATCGTAAGTGTGCTTATCGCCAGCAACAAATTCTTTTTCCAAATTCTTTTCAAAGGGTTCAATTATTTTCTAATTTTTAAAATTTTAAGGGTATAGTAGTCGATATTCTCATTTTGTCATAAAACAAACCCGTCCCTCGCATAACTCACTGTATGTCTTGAGCTGATCTCTTCCCGCCTGAATCTGATCCTCGAAAAACTCTTGTTCTTTCACCTCCTTTTTCAGGACACTTTGTAATTGCTGAACTTGCGCCTTTTTCTTCATAAACATCTTGTGAAAATCCATCAGTCCGCTGTGAAGCTCTTTCATTTTCCCATCCTTCGTGACTTCTTCTAGCTCTGACTGTATGTCTCCTGTTCTGAGAGCGATCTGAAAGAGTAGAAAGTACCCAAAAGTAAGGCCGCCTAAAAGTTTCTTTTCGTCTTTCGAAAACATTTTTTCACTTTGAGATTTTTCGAGAGTTTTGAGTTGTTTTGAGTAACGGTCGGTTTCGATGATATTTACAGTCAGTTTCGCCGGTTGGACAATGACGAAGCAATTTTTTTTTTATTTCGAGTGACTTAGTCAGTCTTTAATTGATATTTTTGTTTGCTGCGTTGACTTTTTCGTTGTTTTGGATATTTTCTAGAGCTGAATGAAAAGGAGCTCTGATTGATTTTGTTTAGAATGGATTTGATAAAGGATAATTTGCCGACCTCGATGTGGAAAGTCCGTGGACTCATCGACAAGGTATTCTTGTCCTTCATTTTCTCTAGAATATTTGCTGATAATCGAGACAATGCTCGCTTCTTCGCGTCAAAGAATATTCAAGCCGCAAGCGGCTCCTATATTACAGCAATAAAAATGATTTTTAATGAATTTTAGGCGACAAATGTGGTCATGAACTACACAGAAACTGAGGCTCAAGTCCGAGAAGCAACAAATGACGATCCTTGGGGACCATCAGGTAAAAGCTGTGGCTCACATTTCATAATGTTTCAATTTATCGCTCCGCTCTCAATGGGAGACTCAAAAGTTCTATGATAGAATTGGTTATAAACCGTTAAAATAAATTACTAACTTCTTCATCTAAAAAATATCTCCTACTTGAGTTCTAAAAACCGGTTTTATGGCGCTGTTTTAGGAACACAAATGGCGGATCTAGCGAAAATGACATTTCAATACGAATATTTCACAGAAATCTGCGGCAGCGGCACTGGAATGCTTTGGAAACGCATGTTTCAAGGTTAGTTAAGCCCCCTTCCGTGTTGAGAGTGATAAATTTCAGAGGGGAAGAAAAACTGGCGAAGAGCGTACAAGTCCCTGTTGCTGTTGGACTATCTTTTGAAAAATGGATCGGAACGAGTCGTCGGCGTTGCGAGGGATCACCTCTATGACATGCGAGCGTTGGAGCACTACACTCACACGGATGAGAAGGGAAAGGATCAAGGTAAGAATAAAAAAACTCGGCGAAAACATTTTTGTTTAGGAATAAACGTGAGAAATCGAGCCAAAGATCTACTCGCCCTGATCAATGACGATGAAGCGTTGAGAGAAGAGCGCAAAAAGGCGAAGAAAAATAGAGACAAATATGTTGGCGTCGGGTCTGATGGTAAGAAACCAACTCTTAACCAGAGCATAGAACTGACGTTTTTTTAGGAGGCGGATGGGGCGGACGATCGAGCGCTTCTGGCGGCTGGGGAGGAAGTTCTAGCGGAGGATGGGACGATGATAGAGGAGGGTCGGGCTACAAAGATGTAGCGGATGATAAGGACGATTACAAGGTAAGCACCCGGTTGATTCGATCTAGATTCTCCAAACATTCCCCAAATTATGAGTCTCATTTTTCACTAAGGGTCAAGGCAACACTTGGGATTGGGACGAAGGCGTCCGCGAGTGTCATTCAGACAATGACGATCCTTCTGGCCGAGGCGGCGCCCCAACTCAGGTCAGTGGCGACGAATCCGGCTGGGCTGACTTTGACAGTATGCGAAACAGCCGTCCCATTTCCAATACGCCATCTTCAACAAGCGCCCAACCCGCCGCTGCCCCGACCACTCCGCGAGTAACATCACAAAAGAAGTCCTCACAGCCACGAAAAATGGTTGATCTTGGAGCTGCGTTGAATTACACGGCTTCTGCTGCTCCTAGCTCCCAGCCACTTTCCTCAAGTAACGACCTCTTCTCCGTCTCTGATTCTGCGCCGATTTCCGAGAATCGCTCCGTGGATCTTTTTGGAAACGCATTCGCATCTCAACCAGCAGCTCAACCGGTCGCAGCAGCAGTTCCTCCTCAAAATGATGGTGGTTCTTTCTGGGGCGAAGCTACTCCCTCTCCTGCGCAGCCAACTCCTCAACAACCCGATTTATTCGCTTCTGCCCCTGTCAGTGCTGCTCCAGCTCAGGCCCAGGCGCCCCAAGTTGACCTTTTTGCCTCTTTGAGCGGGTCAAATCCAGTCCAAACTCCAGCATCAAATAATTCTTCACAGCCTCCTCCCGGTGCAGGTTGATCAACTCAACTTTACTCAGAATTTACTTGAACTTCAGGCTTTGATCTTCTTGGCGGCTTGAATCCAACCCCGAATCCAGCTACAGCTGCTCCAGTGGCACAGCCAAAAGTCCCAGCGCAGCCGAAAGAAGTAGGGTCTACGTGGAAATCTTCTGGAGTCAACATCGATCTAACGTAAGTCTGATTGTATGTGTAAGCCTTTAATTTCTTGTTTGTTAAGTTCGCTTGGGAAACCCGCTCAACAAAAGCAAAAAATCTCCATGAATCAAATGTCGACTTCAAGCTCCACCAACTCCATGAACATGGCATCTCCAATGAATAACATGAGCATGGGAGGTTTCCCAACAATGTCCCCAATGGGTGGCATGAATCCAATGATGGGGCAGCCAAATGGTATGATGGGCCAAGCACAGTTTGGCGGAATGGCGAACCAGCAGATTACCCAACAGCAACAAATGGGCCAAATGGGTGGTGCGCCCAATTTTGCCCAATTTCAACAGCAGCCGAATCCAAACATGAACATGAACTCGAACCAAATGCAAAATCCAATGATGGGCCAAATGCAGAACCAGTTCGCCGGCATGGGCTTGCAGAATCAGCAACAAAACCAACAACCACAGAAAAAGACCTCTTTAGACAATCTTGGAAGCTTACTGTAAAGAAAAAAGAACCCTTTTTTGAAAAGAACCTACCCGTGCAATATTGCTTCTCAAAAAATGAAAGAAGAATTCAATCTGAACATAATTTTTATGCTAAAATTAATAATTGATTAATATTTAGAAAAAGTTTTCAATATTCATCCAGGAATAGTTGAAAAGCGCGTAAACCATTATTATAGTTCCTCTCTTCCTGAGCTCACCAACTGCGCAAAAAGCCTGAGTCGGGTTCATGAAAGAGCAGTTCTAATGAAAAGCCGGCATCTTTCAGACTCTGAGTCAGGTTTTCTACGCAGGTTGTTGAGCGCAGCTCTCTTCAAAGTATAACAAACTCCCTGCTTCATTCCCTATTTCCAGAACAGTGCCTACTAAAAACTATTTCTGCTGCATTAGAATCAACTAAAAACAAGTCAACACAAGTCATGAAAATTCGATTTCTCATCCCTTCTCTATTTATAACTCTTTCTTTTCTTTGTACAATCAGAAAATTTCATTCGAATCCTATTCAAGTATCATACAGTATCATTTTTTCTTTCTGTATCTTTTTAACAAATTCAATATTTTCGGATTTCTTCATCAACCAAAAATTTAAGAAAGAAGAGGTCAGATGGGAGAGACGAAGGAAAAAGCTCCTGTTTATCACGATTTATCCGATGATGAATACCTTTACTGTCTGGTGAGTGTCTGGTAGACGAAGATCGTAGATAACAAGCTCTTTCAGAAACTGAATAATGTCCAGATCAAGTACCAGTACAACACGACTTCGAAAGAAAAGAGAATCATCATGTCCACAGCAAAAGTCAAACCCTTCTCCAAAACGCTGGATAACACATGGGGAGGGAAAACAAAAGACCTTGTGAATAAAGATGCGATCGCTGTTTTCAAAGACTTCATGGTCGAAAAACAGCTGCTTTCAAAGTAAAATTGGCCTTGAGAACGAGTTTTTACCGACTTCTAGGTCTCCAGAAGAGATTTGGCAGGAATACGAGCTCATTTGCAGCAAGGAATTCATCGCATTCTTCAGAAAGCCAGGACGATTGTACCACGAGAGGATGAATTCATGCCAGAAAGTTTATACGTATCTTGATGGACAGTAAGTTTTCTCACTTTTTTCTTTTGTTAAAGCTCTTTTCAGGTATTTTGCCGGAGAGGGACAAACAAAAATTGAAGCTGTTCGAGCTTGCGCAAGGAATGTTTATTACCGATGGCGGGAAAGTTACTGCCTTGATGTTGAAGAACTAAAGGTGTTCTTTGACCGGGGCCCGACGGATCCAGATGCGATGAAAATGGCGTATATCGCGACGCCGAAAGATTTGGCGAAAGTGAAGAAATACGTAGAATTGGCGAATTATCTGTTGATCGACCAGGAAGGAGACCAGCTTGGACCAAATGGAAAGATTACCGTCATTCAAAGTATGTTTTTGAAGACAAGATCTTGCTATTTGTACTTTTCATGAATAAATCCCATTTTCAGTCAACACATACGAAAGCCCAAACTGCTTCCTCCTGGACATCCTCGAAACAGGCGATCAAGAACTTCGAGAAAAAGACGGTTGGTTACGTCAGATGCTCGAAGACCCAAAGAAAATCAAATTCTTCTGGGGAGGGTGCTCGGATACTGCCAATTTATACGCAAGCTTCGGCATCAAAATCGCCAGTTATGTCGATCTCCAAGGTTTGAATTCGAGACAGCTGTTGAGTTGATGTTTATTTGTTAATTTCAGCGGTGGAGTTTCATTATCGACATAAGCTAGCGCACCTGACGGATGGGTTTGTTGAGCCGGGTGATAAGGGTCATCCTTTGGGACTGGAGTCAGCGTACAAATGTAAGTTTCTTCGATCATCACCATTCTTACCAGCACATTTTCAGTCTTCACAGAGGCAGATCTACTCAAATACAAAGCTAGTAAAGGAAAACACAAAACTGACCACCACATTTGGGCCCGTCGACCACTGCCAGAATCGCTCCTCAGATACGCTTCCTTCGACGTGGCCGCGATGCGCCCACTTCTGCATCTTTTCTTCAACAATTTGGAGCTCTGGAAATGGGGAAAGATCGAGGCAGCCATTTCTATCTCTACGCTTTCTGCCTATCCTCGCCATCGAACTTGCTTTGCATGCCTACAGTACGTTCTTTGTTCCTTTTTCTTTCTTTATCGTTTTTGACAAGATCGATCAAAGTCGATGAATTCGCGAAAAATCAGCAAAAATCGCTGGGAATCTGCCTCGAATGCAGCCAAAATCGAAACACAGACGAATTCTTCTACGAGCTTGAAAACGTCGAAAAATGGCCCGTAGTCGCGAAAGAATTCCATTTGCCAGAATCACTGACGGGCCACGAAAACTGGGTGCTCAAGTTTCCGCAAAAAGAAAGAATAGAAAATGGTTTTGAAAAATAACTGCCAGTCAAAAAAGCCCAGACAACTTTCAAAGTTCAATTTTGATGCAATTACAGATATTTATTTATTTTAAAAATTCATTTTTGCTTGTTTTCAGAACAAGCTGATTTCAAAACCGGTCAAAAGTCAAGCTTCCAGTGCCAGAGTACAATCCAAACGTCACGATTTTGCAGAGACTACAGTTCTTGGACCTTCAAAACGGATATTCTCAAACTTAAGTTTTCTCTTCTCCTCTTCAATTCATCTTAAAATCACCTTTGTTGACTATAGATACACGCCTAGATCTCCACTTCATTTACCGCCTTATTTCAGTTACCTCAAAATCTTCAATTTCGAAAATAGATTACTGCCCTATCAACAAATTTTAGGAAAGACAAGAAAGAAAGAAGTCTTCCTTGTTTTCATTTTATATGAAAAATTGCATTTATTTTCTCGTTGCAGTTGTTCAGACATAAATACAGTGATCCTTTGGGATAGAGTTAAAGGTCTCAATATCCTGGAGAGCCTTGCCCTTCTTGGCCTTGGATCGGCCGGTGATCTTCTGGAGGGCAGGGTTTCCGCCGTAGTTGATCTTCTTGGGCTTGAGGTGGGAGAAGACGCCTCGGGCGCAGACGATGTTGTTGTTGGAGACGTTGATGTTCTTCAAGCTTGGGTTGTTTTTGAAAAGATCGGGGTGCATCTGAAACGGTTTTTTAAAGGAAGTGAGGTTGGCGTCATACCTGGCTCATGCCGAGTCCAGCAAGGTTGACAGCCTTGAGGTTTGGAAGGTAGGCAAGGATCTGCTGGATAGTCGCCACGTCCAATCGTGGGTTGTAGCTCAAATCGGCGGAGGTAACTCCAGCTCGTCCTTTTTCGCCGAGAGCCATGAGCTGCTGTGCAAGGGCATCACCAGTAGCCAAGTTGAACTAAAAGAAACGATCGGTATTTGGGAGAAAGATGGGAGTTCTTACGTTAGCGCAGCCGAGGGCTTTTCCCTTCTTGAGAGTGCAGGCGATGTCGACTGGGACGCCAGTGGTGGGAGCTTCTGTTGGTGGTGCAGTTGGCGCCTCGGTTGGGGGATCGGTGGGAGCTTCGGTTGAGGTGGTAGTGGTTGAAGTGGTAGTTGGAGTGGTTGTGGTTGTTGTTGGAGTGGTTGTTGTGGTTGTTGTCGTCGTGGAAGTGGTTGTTGTTGATGTTGTGGTGGTAGTGGTCGAAGTCGTGGTAGTCGTAGATGTGGTGCTGGTTGTTGTAGTTGTAGGATTGTTGGCAGCGAGTGCCTTTGCCTTCTTTTTCTTTCCTCGGGCCCATTTTCCAGCCCACTGGCCAGTGTTACCACCTTCCGTAGTTTCGCCAGCAGCTGTTGTCTCACCGGTAGCTTCGACCATGGCAGCGCCGAGCATCAAATAATGAAACAGCTTCATACTTTTTTTTTTATATTTTTCTCTCCTCTCTTGATGCAATATTTGAACAAGGGACTCAATGAAAAGCGGATGGTTTGGGGAGCGTTTTATAGGAACGGGTGGTAGATAAGCGTGTTGCGACAATAAAAAAATGATGCATAAAGCAGGGAAGATAAGAACATATGACATCAACTCTGACATACGTGTTACCAGCTGCAGAAGAAGGAAATTAACGATGAAGAACAATTTTCAAGTAGAAAAAAAAACGAAAAGAACTTTTGTTGAAAAGAAACTCCAAGTTCATGTTTTTCGTCTTTTCGGACATGTCAAGTTTGATGAGATCAAACTATAAAGTTTCGAAAATTAAAAAACGCGAAACAAACGGCGGAAATCGAGAGCGGCGGCTTCAATCGCGCTCTTCCGGCGATTTGGGCTTCTAAGAACCGACATCCGACTCGTGTCATTTCATCCGGTTTTCTTTCTTTTTTGGAATGTTGAAATTATTGAATGAAAATTTTATAAAAAAAAGGTTATCAAAAGTCGATTTTCAGCGAAGATAGGTTTTTTTGTTGTTGTGATAAGGATTATCAATTTACTGTAAGTCATTGAAAGAAAATTTCAGTTAAAAAAGACGCGTGTCAAGGACAAACATCGCAAAACACAGAGATAAGTCGTTAAACTTGACGAAAGACTGCTGCTTATCGAAAAAAAATTTAGTGTTTTTTTTTCAAAAAAAATCGAAATATTCAAAATTTCGAAGAATTGGCAAATAAGATTGGGCAGCTGAAAAATGATGAGTAGGGATTATAAAATTCAATTTGAACTTGGCGTGGGGATTTATGGTGTTTGTTGAGGAACGGCAAGGGCTACTCTTGAGAAACCGTAAAGCCAAAGACAATCAATTTCATTACCAAATATGATCGTTTAATTTTTTATCCGCGCGAGTTTAGTGTCGCGGAAATACGGCGGCTGTCAATTAAAAGGAAACTTACTAAAACAGGGGTATTTTGATTGACACCCTTAAAAAATTCTTATCAAATATTTTCGTCTTTTTGGAGGGAAGCCCTTATTTTTGAAAAAATAATCTTATTCGACCACAAAAACCGCGTTTTCTTGTCTTTTTTTAATTTCCTGACTCAGGTTTTTTACAGAATCTCCCGATTTCTTTTTAAAAGAAAGAAACTGTATGAAAAGAAACTGAGTGAGGAAAACAGTGCTGCTATCAATCAAAGACAGGCCATTGAAAAACGCCTTTTGCCTGCTGAAAATGATCGCTGATTATCTTCTCAGAAGAAAATTGAAAAGTCGAGCTCACAAGATTCAATCTTCGCTGCTTCTGAAGCCATAATCGTTACGGTTTTTTTTGGGTAAATGGCAACGCTGACATTTGATTTGGCTTTCTTCTCAAACAGCTGAAACTACTGTCGCTCAGAGAAAGAGAGAGAGCCGGAAGGGTGAGGCACAAATCATTCAATAACTCCATTCAAACAGTTTTTTCTCCAGAAAAAGAGCAAACTTTACTTTTCGAAAAATTTACGGAAAATTTTTTGATCAAGGTAGGTTTTCGGATTTTTAGAAAATTTTAAGTTATTTAATAAAATTTTTAAGTACCCCTGAAAATAGCTTATTCCCGCCGCCATCTAAATATTTAGCATCCGATCAATTCAAAAGCGTAATCAACAAGCGCCCGTGAGAGATTAATGGCGGATTTAAAAATTTTAAGGGTATCAAGGTCAACTCCACGAGCAAAAAACCGCGGAGCGCCCTCGACGAGCGCCAAGAAAAAATTCGAAAGGGCGAAATTTTCCACCGAGGAAGATAAAGTTCTAAAGAAAGAGAGGATTAGCCACTAAAGAAGAAGATGAAATTCGGTGAGTTCCCTTTGGAAATCCATTCCAACAAGATTTGGCTAGCGATCAAATTCGAGCTTTTTTGGCAGTTTTTCGAGAAAGAAAAAAAAATTTTTTGACCAATCAGATTTTCGCGATAGGCCAATAAGATTTCTGAAAAATTTACCTTTGTAAATATTTATTTTATTTACTTTTTTTTATAAAAATCGAGAAATAATTATTAAAATTTGAATTCAGTTTTATTAATATTCACGCTACTTGAAAAACTGTCCGAATGTCGCCAAGAATACACTCCCTACGGCCGGCTAATCGAGTCAAATAAGCTGTTTCATCACAAGAAAGGTAAGCCATTACTGTCATTTACTGTCACTGGCCCTTTAGGCCCAAGTGATTCAAGGTCGTCCAGGATTAGCATTTGATAGCTACCAAATACCCAGTAAGCGACCCTGCTTCTGACTGTCAAGCTAACTGAAGCGTTACTGTATCTTCAGAATCTTAAGATAAGAAGAGTCTGAAAGGTCACATGGCTCCATCGTGGGCGGTCGGAAGTTTATTGCAGTTTAATTATTGAGAAAACAATTACGGGGAAAATTTTCGAAAATAAAATTGAAAATTTTGGAAAAAAAATTGGAAAATTATGAAAAGAAATTTGAAAATTTGGAAAATTTTGGAAAAAAAAATTGAAAATTTTTGAAAAAAAATTGGAAAATTATGAAAAAAAAATTTGAAAATTTGGAAAATTATGGAAAAAAATTTGAAAATTTGGAAAATTTTGGAAAAAAAATTGGAAAATTATGAAAAGAAATTTGAAAATTTGGAAAATTTTGGAAAAAAAAATTGAAAATTTTTGAAAAAAAATTGGAAAATTATGAAAAAAAAATTTGAAAATTTGGAAAATTATGGAAAAAAATTTGAAAATTTGGAAAATTTTGGAAAAAAATTTGAAAATTTTGGTAAAAAATTGAATCGGGGGCGGGGGAGGAAAACTGCCGGAGCACCTGTTAATTGTGTTTGTAGACAAGACCTTGGCCCGGGCAAAAAGGGAGCCGCCTGCGTCGAGTGTGACCTTATTAAGGGGCAAACGACACGTGCCAAAACTTTCTTCAGGACTTCAAAAAATACACAGATTTTATTTGACGCATCGGCGGCTACTTATCATTTTCTTTATTTTTCCGCCTTTTTCTTTCTTTTCACCCGTTTTCAAGTCGCCTCAAATCGAGCCAAGCACATGGCCATCGACGAAACTGACAAATTCCACATTCTGCTCGACCAACGTAATTTTATTCTTCTCGTCGCATGCTGGTTTTTAGTGCTTGAATGCGAAAAAATTTTGAAATTTTGAAGTTTGCGGTCTCAAATTTTCTCGATTTGGGTCAATAATTATGCCTGCGCTCCTCGGTGTAATCATTGTTTTGGCGAGTTTTTAACCCGTGTCTTTTTGTTGCCAAAACTTGAGAAATTGATAATTGAAAATAAAAGAATACGTTTTCAAAATACAAAAATTATTATCTACCAACTTGAACTAACAAACTTGAGTTTTGATCGGAAAAATTGAAAATTCTAGCATTGAAAATTAATAATTCAGTATCAGCAAGCCGCTCAATCCACAAAGCTCGCGGTGACAACAAGAAGAAGTCACGATACTATCGCCCCCCACGGCAGGTATGTATTCAGGCAGCCGGCCAAATATTCAGCCATCTGATAATTTTCTTATTCAATTAAATCCTTTACTTATTCATTAATGAAAAGTATTTGCCTTTCTCGCCTTTTCTATACAGTTTCTTCTTTTCAACTATTTTTTTTTTAATCAGTCGAAAAGTCAACTTTCAAAAAATAAAATTTCAGCGGAAAAATGAAAACCAAGAAGGAGGTCGCCGCGGGCCTCGAGGAATGCCCGGGCCACCTGGTCCTCCCGGAACTTGTCCCGAAAATGTCTGCAGAGCTGCAGTCGAGCCTCAATTTTCAAATTTGCTTAAAGAAATTGCAACACAGCTGGAAAACGAGGTCTCTTCCAGCAGCTTGAATCAGCTCATCCCAAGAAATGTTCTTTCTCGCGCTCAATTTTGTCAATTTTCGACTCGAATTTGAAAGAACCTTCAAAGCACGCCGGCTCGAATCGCCTTTACAGTAGGATTGTCAGACAAAAACTTTACCCGTGTCAATTCGAAGCCAACTACAGTCGTTTATGACAGAGTAATTCTCAACCAATCAACAGGTAATTTCCTCTCTTCCATCTCTTCAAAAAATCATCGAAAAAATAGGAGAAGCTGGTTTTGGCCGCGGTGGATATTCGCCGATTTCTGGCGCTTTCGTTGCTCCAGTTGAGGGGATCTATCATTTTACAGTCACGGCGCTACAGAATGAAAAGAGGAAACAAGTGTTTGTTGTCTTGACAAAACAGCCGGAAGATGTTGCGCTCTGCTCGATTACTTCGCAGGGAAAGTGAGTTACGAGCAAATTCTGGAAATTATTGTTAATGCTATTCATTATGAATTGTTTCTAGCTATCAATCATCATCGTGCTCGGCGTTCGTGCGTCTCAAAGTCGGCGAATTCGTTCAAGTAGAATTGCTGCGCGGCGTGTTACTCGGTCATCCATATCTTTTCAACACCTTTTCCGGATCTTATTACGGCGACTAGAAATTTCATTTCTAAACTCCGTTACTGGAATTCGACATAAACAATTTTGACTCTCTGCCATCTCTTTCTCTTCTTCTGACATACTACCATTGAACATACCAGCTTCTTTTATCAATAAAATATTCTAAATGCTAGAATTTTACTCAAGATCAAGGGCAACTTTTCAATTTAATATTCTGAAGTGAGCATATTTCGTATTAAAGAAAGATTAATAATAAAAACACAGCATCATTTTGAAGGAACAACTAAGGCCTAAGCCAACAGTTTCGGCAAGTTGTCTACAAGTTCTCCCAATTCAATTATTAAAATTACAAATCGCCTTCTTCTGTGCTCCAAGAGATTCTAAGTAGGAGCCTAATGACTTAATCCTGCGGAAACGGGCTCATCCAGAATACCTGCGATTATGCCAATTGGTCTCCTCCTTGATTTCAATTCCAAACCTGGTGAAAGGCGTTCAAAAGGAAGAAAAGACAGGAGAAGATTTTTCGAGACAAGATTACGCCTAGACAGTGTAAAAAAGATATGATTACTAATGATTTATTCATAACATTCTGTATAATTTTCGACTGGGATAATCATATTTTAAAGAACCGTATTCGGAGTAGGTCTGCCATATTCTCATCAGGCTAAAGTCTGCTCTTTCCAGTGAGTCTCCATGGAACATTGTTCAAAGCACAATTAAGTCCCTGCGATTTCCCGGCTTGACTGCAAGTTCAAAAGCTTTTAAAGATTTCACATTCACGTAAAATTAAGCTTAGATTGACTCTGATGGACAGTTATTGAATTAAATATTTTATGCATTATCGACTTATAAATTAATTATTTCAAGGGATTTATAAGGTTCACGTCAAATTTTTAAGCATGAATAGGAGAACATTAATTTGAACAAAAGGGCATTGCTTTGAAATTTCAATCGACAATTAAAAATTTATCGGTAAAAACCAAAAATTGAAATTTTTCTTGAGATTTTTCTTCTTCTATCAATTTCCTTGGTTTCTAATGTAGATAAGAGCTTAAAATATAAGTTGATTAAGGCAAAAAGAATCTGAAGCGAGGACCCAAATTCGCAGGTGGGAAAAAGCTTGGAATAAGCGGATAGTCTGGCTCTTATTAACCGCATTTCGCTATTCAGGGAGGGCAGCCTTGAGCGCGCATTTAAAAAGCCTGTGATTCAGGAAAAAAGATGAAGAGGTAATGAAATTGCTCAGAGTTCTGAACTGCTTATTGTTGACCGGCGATTCCGTTGATGCAAGATCCTGTCAGAAGATGTACTGTTTGAATGTAAGTTGTTGTAAGTTGTAAGATGATGGAAAAGTGATGGTTTTCAGTGTCACGTGATGTACGAATATTTGACTCCTGGGACGAAGATTTTTGGACTTTGCAATGATCTTCTTAGTGAGCCTTTTTGCTGCGCAAGATATCTTATTCAGGAAAGAGTTCAAGAATTTTCTAGAGACCATCATTCCGGACATATAAAAGTATATCGACAATAAAAGTCAGTCGCTAGAACTCTTCAAAAAAGGACTACATAAGCTAAGTGACTCGGAGCCGAACCTGTCGATGCCAAAAAACATGTCGCTGATAGAATTTTTTTCATTCTGTAAATAAACTCGAAATTTGGAAAAAATGCTGAGTCGTGATTTTGATTGGTAATGAATTCCAATGAGTGACAGAATATATCAAAACGCGCGCTGAGCCTGTCAATATTTATCATATAAATGCACTGAAATGCGGTCACGCCTTTTCATAACGTCAAATCTGCCGATTGTAATTTCGATTGAGATCGAAAGTTCCATGTCAATTTGACCATGTGTTTGATAAAGAGGGGTTATCTTTCGAGCCAAAAATTTGGGAATGGAACCGACAAAATAATTTCGACAAATTTTGTAAACTCGGCTGCTGATTGGCCAGTTTGCAGAATCCAGGCTTCTGATTGGTTGACAATTTCGAAATTTTCGAATGTCGAAATTTTTTGTTAGGGTTAGCGTTAGGGGAAACGAAAATCTTGGGCGAGAAAAAAAAACAATGTTTTTATAATAAACCTCATTCGCGGTTAATTTTGGTAATTAATTAAAATGCATATCCATCTCAATATATTCAAATAGCATAATCATCGGTATGATTCCTATTCTTGCAAATGTGAAGATGTGTTGTTGTGTCGAAAATTATTTCGAGAGACTTTTCGCCGAACTGAGATCGTTTAAAATGTTTCTTTTTCACCGGGAGACATGGAGGAGAACACTCAGAAGTCAGCGGCTGAATGAATGTTCGGTAGATTGCGATGACGAATGTGAGGGTATTCGGTATTTTGAAAGAGTTGAAAAAAATTCTAGCGTTTCGGAGCAATGCCCTTTCAAGTATCATGGCTGACATGTGCGGATCTGACGTTGAAAATGCCACCTTACCGAGTATTTCCGAGGATTCTAAAGCCGCTCTCATGAATGATTTCACAGACTTGGAAGAATCATCCTCGGACGACGGTGGCGAAGAGGATGATGATGATAACAGCGACGACGAGAACCGAATCTACATGTTCCAAGAAGTCAACAACGAGATAGCTTTGTTTTCAACTACATTTTCGACAACGCCCCTTTACTAATTACGTGTTTGAATTGTTGTTAAAACGACATGAAAATAAAGCTGCACAAGAACTCGAAATGGATTTGTTGTCGAACCACTCAAATGACAGCGCGGCTTATAGGGATCTTGATGATGTCAATGAACAATCAGGTTAATCGAGAAAAGTTGGTTAGTAACATGATTTCATAGCGTATTATTATTACGACGATATTTACAAAATTGAAGATTTCGAGAGCGAAAGTATCATGAGGAAAGTTATGATTAATTTTTCGGGAGAAACTGAATTCTGCCGGCCTGCGCCGCTTTGCGCCGGGTCGGATGAAAGCCGGATGGTTTCGGACCGGGCGGCCCAGGGCGGCGTAGAGCGGCGCAGGGTGGCACAATTCAGTACCCTAAAATTTTTCTGATTTTTTTATCAACCATTTTTTAGTACGACGACATACAGTGATCATGACTGCTCCCTGTCACGTGATACTCAAGTCGACGATGAATTTGCCCTTGAAATGGGCTTCGAGTGTTTTGATGCGATTATCGATGAATAGTACAAAACAAAATTATTGAAAACTGCTTTGACAAAACAATAATTCGGATGTTTTGTGTTTCAATCCCGATTATCGCAGAAATAATTGCTGGGGACAATTTTTAATTGATCAAATTGCTTCTTTCTAATAATCCACATTGAACTCCCATTTTCTTCTTTGATACCACTCTTGTTTTAATTGCGCAGTATTGTTACATAGCCTAAACGACTGGATAGAAATACAGATTACTAAGAAAGAAAGAAATGTTGCTTCTCAAACTAGATTTCCGCTGAAAGCATAACGCCAATTACCTTTTTGAGTGGCTCGCTTAGTTCCCACGAGTGGCTGCCGGGATAACCAAAACGGTTATTCCTCTTTCTTACAGTTGAAACACTACAATAAAGATTTGACTATCAAACCGCTATTTGAGGTAAAATAAAACAGTAGTCAAGTTAGCATTTTCAGCGTTCCTAGAGCTCCTAAAAATCCTAAAACAGACGGATTTATTAGATTGGTATTTGTCAGTCAATTACTGTAATTGAATGCCCTGCAAAATGCATGGACCTTTTGGAAAACTCAAAATGATAGAGATGCTTGATGACTTTTTTGTTGAAAAAGAAGTTCGATATGCTCTTTGCTTGCCTGGAATTGCCTTTATTGTTGACTACTGTTAGGCTTTTATAAACAGTGTTATTTTTTATTTATCTTTCAAAATTTTGAAAACGCCTTGAAAAGCAAGCTTTTCTTTTCCATCCTTATGTCGATTATGCTCTGCTGCTTGCGGCGAATTGACTATGCTGAGGAAGATGATCGCTTGTACGGAATGATGAGATACTGGAGCATTGGAACAATATTTTTCAGGAAGAAATAGAGCGCATTGAAATTCATTACAAGTCTAGCGTTTTCCGCGGCGTTACTTTGGTGGATTCCGTTTTGGATTCTTTGGATGAAATGGAACTTCCTTGCCCAACTTCAAACGATTTACGCAGCGATTGCGAGCTTTTCCTATCTTTCTCAACTAAAAATCAAACGGTCACCGATTCATTGCATGCAGTTTTGTAATATTTTCATCATCATCGGTTGCTTGCTTGTTGTTCTGTTCAACTGGTGCGCTTGGCTTTACTGGCTTTGAATTAAATAAAAAACTGACAAATCGACCCTTCAGTAGCCTTTGTTTAAATTGCAATTAAATAAAACGATGTCAGAATTTCTTCGCTCTTTAAACACCATTGGTATTAAACATCAATTATCCCTCTTTTGCTTGAGCTATAAGATCATTTACAGATTCTCTAGCACAGAGCAAATTGAGAGAAATGACGAATTTTTTTTCGAAAGATTCCTTCCCTGGTTTTTGTTCGCCTGGACTGGCAATTATTTTCGACTTCAGGAGGGCATTGAAAATCGATTTGAAAAATCATCAATAATTACTTACATGTTTTTGGTATTTTGATGTCTCTTATAAGCAAACTTATTTTTGGCTTCATAATATTGGTTTTATATTTCCAGCACATTCAATTCGAAGTCATAAATAGTCAAAAAATGGACAAAAATTATATAATAGTCAGGGACACTACTTTTTCGACGATCATACTTGGTGAGTTCACCTTGGAAAATGAGGGTCAGCTTATCATATTTTAGCTTTTGTCGGCCCAATTCTTTGGTGCGTTCCATTCATGATTACCGTCAACTACGTTCTTCAAATAGTCACCATCTTCTCGTCCATTTCAAACAGCCTGTATATTCTCAAAATGACCAAGAAATATTCCAGTTTCAAAGCGATAACTGTACTGAACATATTTATTTCGATCTGCAGTCTAGCTGTACTGTTCTTGAACTGGTGTATTTGGCTCGGTTATTTGGCTTGGTATTAGTAAATAAAGTAAATGCGAATTCCTTCGAAGCAAAAGTTCGAGCGAGTGAAAGCCCGAAACGCTTAATCCCCCAATTGACCATATTTCCGCGTGCGCAATAATGTGCAGTGGTGGTGGTGTTGCATACCAGCCGCGGTTAACAGCTACCGTCCGACTCGCACATTCCGCGCTGATTCGAAGTCAAACTTGCACGATTCGCTCTCCTTTCTCAAAAAATACGCATGTACAAATTTCAAGTCCCCGGTCTCAGAAATTTAAATTGCTAAGTGCAAGAAATTTGAACTTTCCCACTTTCCCCAAAGAAGTTTCCAAAATTGAAGCTTGTTATGTTTCCGAATGTCCTCAAATGTCCCGAAATGTCTCTGAATGTCTCTGAATGTCCCGAATGTCCCCAAACGTCCCAAATGCTCCGAATGTCGCATTTTTCATTTCTTCAATTTTTGTTACCTCAACTAGGTCAGCTAGCGAAAAAACATTACAGAACTTTCGAAAATCCTCTGAGAAAACAGGATCTTCAAATCTCCAATTTTCTAAAAAATGATTCAGCTGCCCGGTTTTCTTTATCCGCCTTTAGCAGCGTTATTATCACTTTTAGTATAATTTTCTCAAAAAAGAAGCAAAAAAAATGAATTTTTTAAATCACTTTTTAACTTTTTTGATGCTTGGACACGTTTCTGAAGCGAGACTGATTCCAAATCGGAGGGACGGGAGAGCATGGCAAACACGATACAGGTAGAAATATTTGTAAGCAAAGGGCTTTTCGAGTGCAGGAAAATAAGAAAAAGTGGCTTTCGAAGAATAAATGCGAGACTGTTATTTCCCAGAAATATTTTTTGTCCGGATATCACGTGTTTGTGACAAGGCCTGAAACCTGTGTTAGAAACCTGAGTCAGGGTTGGGAAGAGCTAAAATGAAAAGCCGCCTAGCGGCTTTTTCAAAAATAAAGCCGCTTTGCGGCTTTGCCAAAATTTCCATCACAATATATTTGAAACCCTGACTCAGATTTCTACACAGGTTCCTGAGTTCAGTCAATCGACAAAGTCAGTTCCACATTCAGGAAATTTGCTGACAGTTTATCAAAAAGACCATCAATTTTTTTCATTTTTAATTTTGGACATAAAGACGCTTCCGTGAATCGATCATACTATCATCTCGCTATAGTTTATTTTCGTAGAGGCCATGTCGTGCACGTGAGCGAAATCCGGAAGCGCTAATCCAAACGAAGGAGGTACCTTCGGCTTTGCATATTCATTAGTGCGCATGTTGATGAGTCGTGCCGTATTCCTGTACTAGAGAATGTTACTAATGATCGGTTTTTTTTTTGAAACACGCGTTTTTGGTGTTGACAAAACTGTTTAAAACACGATGTTTTTAGAAAGAAAATTAAACAAGTTTATTAAATAAAATATTTTTAAAAAAGCACTTCAGACCGTCTCGCCGCCAGATACCAGTAATGAACCGCTGCTACTGTGGAAGATACATCGTCCTTTCCAGCTCAGGCTGTTTTCGGCTCAAAAAACAACCCTGGTGTTCCCATTTCAGAAATTTCCGCAACTTTCTTGGCTAAAATTTTTAATAAAAATGTTCTTCCGGAGTGTATCTTTCTTTCGCAGCCACGTGAGCGCCAAAAAAAGAACACTCGCCAAAAGTCAGGTGCAGCGTAATCGTCTTGAACTGGCTAAGCCAAAACGCACCTACCAGACTTTTACAAGAAAAATTAATTTATTGAGGTGAAGTCTGATTTCTCACACTTTTTAAAAAGATTAAAAAAAGAGGGGATTTTTCGTCGGGAAGCCCTTAACCTGTGTAGAAAGCCTGAGTCAGGGTCTGAAAGAGCTGAAATGAAAAGCCGCGCAGCGGCTTTTTCAAAAACGAAGCCGCAAAGCGGCTTCGCTAATCTTATGATTTTAATCAACCAAAAATTTTCATTATATCAATATTATATTGATAGAGCCGCTTCGCGGCTTCGTTTTGAAAAAGCCGCTGTGCGGCTTTTTATTTCAGCTCTTTCAGACCCTGACTCAGGCTTTCTATACAGGTTGCCGAGCTGCATCTATTGAAGCTAGTATTGAAATAGGGCTATTTTTAACATAATATTGATGGAAAATTGAATAAGCAAGTATTTGTAAAACAAAAAGGCAAAAGTTCTTATCCCTTTTTTCTAAATCTGTAAATACTCATCCATTAATTCCTTGTTTGGTTTGACAAGAGAAATCATGCTCGCGCCCGTGTTTCAACAACACACAAACTTTATTATGAGGTTCTTTCATTGTCGATTAAGGATCTCGGGAGGATTTCAGCGCAAATCTTGTTTTCAAAATGGGGGTTTTCTCTGAAGGGTTTGGTAACAAAACTTGACGCGCTTTTTCAATTAAACTTTTCTCTCTTTTCTCGTAATCGGTGTTAACCAAACCAAGTTGTTTTTAGCCTCAATCGACTCTAATCCAATCATTAATTTCTAACTTAGAGATTACAACTAGAATAAATACGGTTTCTCCGCGGGAAAGGGACGTTTTGAGTAGAAATATCAAAAATGAGATCAAAAAACGGAAAATTTTTATTTAAAAATTGGCAAAATTTTCGACCAATCAAATGTCCGCGTTTGGCCGTCAAGCCAATCAGATCACAGAAAAAAATTTGTCTCGAAGAATCGAATTTTCGGTCCATTTTTGTCTATTTTAGCGAAAACTCCCAAAAAACTGAATTTCCAGGAGACTTTCTCTAAGATTTCGAGTCAAGAAAAAAGTGCTGAGTTTTACTGAGAAGAGGAGCTTATGGAAGCTGATAAGCAGCGATATGCCACTTTATCAGGGCGGCGATAAATGTGCTTTGAACCTATCAGCCTGGTTCGGACAAAAAATCTCATCCGGCGCATCTTGCTTAGAATTTTTATTGAACGAAAACGTAAGCTGCCGAGTACTGATCATAAAATATGGTCATTATTATCAGAAGAGGCGCCCAGTGTTTTATCGCTAAGATTATGAAAAAGAAATCTTCTTGAAAAGAGAAAGGAAAATTTGAGAGAAAAAAGATGGACACTGAAGATGTAAAAAGACGATGTGATCTTTTGAGTATTGCAAACAGCGGTTATAGCAGTAACTGGCGTGACAGTTATTCTATCTATTTTGGTTGCGCCGCATCATATCCGAACATTTTCATTGCCTTTCATCTCGAATGCGTTCAATTAGAGTTCCCAGTATTGAAAGATATATCAGAACTCGTCAACAATAAAACTACAATGGAGGGCTAAGAAATATATTGTTAATGAATTATTATTAAGATGAGACGAAAATTTAATAGTTTCTTTAATCCTCTCTCAAGTTATTACTGTAATTTCGATCCAAATCCATCTTCTATGCCGCTTGAAGGAGGAGAATCAAGTGAATATTATATTTTCGACCTTGCTTTTTCTGATACAGAATGCTTGGAAATCGAATACTTTAAAAGTGACCCATCTCTCGATAAAGAAGATAAAATCCGATACTCTGTGACTTTTGAAAAACAAGCGCCAGAAGAAGCTGTTCAACTTGGAGCTGAACGGACCATCTTCGGGTACACCTTCCAATGCGTTACTGAGCGATATGGAACGGTTGATGTCGATGCGATCAAAATACAAAGCGTGAATACAGATCTGCCGGAATCGAATATTGACGCAGTTAAGCGTAAGAATCTTTCGCTTCTTTATTTTTCAACATTTTGTTAGCTGATCAACCGAAAATGGAACTCCCAAATGGTCAAGATTACGACCCAACTGTCCCACTTGCTCCTGGAATACCGATAACACTGGTTTTCGACGATATCATTCAAAATCTCGGGTACCAGGAAAACCAAAAATGTATCAATTTTCTGATTTTCTAGGCAATTCCGGGTCGATTCCTGCAGCGTCAACGGGGCATATTTTGTTAAAGATGGATGTACAAACGACAATTGGGACGTCCTTCAATTTGGAATAGACGGTCTTTCAAAAAAAGTTACAGTTGCTGCTGTTTCGTCGACAGAACAATCGGATGAAATGCAAATTGTTTGCACAGGTAAAAACTCGAAAGAATAAGATCTAACTTTTTTAGTCGTTTTCTGCAAAAGCTGCGCGGATGAACTCACAAATTGCGATGCAACCCCACCGATCGGAAACGCGAAAATAATCAAAGACGAAAACACGGCATCATCCTCTTCCCAACAAAATTCTGCTGGAGGAGGACCGAATCAAAAAGCTTTAGAAATCAAGCCAAGAAGCTCAATCTCGCAAACAATTTCCATCGAAGCCCCGGAGAACCCAGTCGTTATCGAAATGGATGGCGTCAAATTGGTAAGATTTTCTGAAAATCACAGAAAAAAGTACTTTTTAGATTGTCGACGAAGCTCAAATCAAAGGAACGGAAATCGTTGGAACGCCACTTATTGAAAATCCAAGTCCAGAATCTCCAGGAAAATATTCATCGGCTCAAGGGCCTCAATTACTGTTTCTGCCGATTTTTCTCTTCTTGCGGATTTTCTTCAAAATTTGATTAATTGAGTGAAAAAATCAGGAAGCTTGAAAATGTTAAATCATAAATTTTCCTCCCTGGGGCGTAAAAAACAAGCTTCTCGACCTTTTGGCTTTCCTTGGCTGCCTCGACCAGCTCTCTCCCTCTCTCTCCTTTCGTAAAAAATTCTAGAGCACGCCACCGCGCGGAGGACCTTCGCCAGGTTGCGGCCCCGCTCCCGCGAGCCGGGAAAAAAAGTACGAAGAGTACCTTGCTTCTGAAAAGCATTGACTTTCGCTCCTTGTTTTTGCTGCTTTTTTAATCGCTCCATTCGTTAGAGTTTAAAGAAGACTAATAACGAAGAAGAATAAGAAAGAGAGAGAACTTGAAAAAAGAACAAGAAGAAAAGAACGGAAGAAAGAAAGAAAATGAAGCTCTTTGTCGCTGCTTTTTCAGCTGTTTCAGGTTTGTTATCAAGATAATTTTGTTGTATTTTGGACTGTTATCATTTTCGTTCAAAAATAACATGGGGAAACCCTTAATTATATGAGGAGTAATATGGTCATACATCGAGAAGCCGCTTGCGGCTTCGAGCAAAAAGAATAAAGCCGCGCTTTTAGCGGCTAAAATTTTTTCACTCGAAGCCGCGAGCGGCTTTCCGATTTTAGATCATATTAGTCATCAAATAATTAAGGGTATACCCATGTTAATTTTTGAAACGATCAGGTTTCACAATTCTTGGGTATCTAAAAGAATGAACCAGTTTTGATGGCACGGATATTCTTAAAATATCTTCATACCACGAACTTTCGATAAACTCGCTCTTTTTGTTGACCCATCAAGGATTTTACGAAACGTTGGAGGAGATTTTTGCTAAGCGCCGTTTCTGACCCGAAAACAAACCTTCCTTTTTCTGTCTCTTTTTCTATGTTTCGTGTTTGTTGAAGTTGAGAATTCAGTTTCACTCAGAGGGAGCTAGAATTGCCTGTAAAAATGAAAGCCGGGTAGAAATGCAGACAGAGATAATGCGGGCAGATAAAACACGTGTACTGGGAAGTATAAAGACAAAGGAATGTGAACAACGCGGAGGATAGAGAGACTGAAACAAATGGAATGTTAAAATTAACGTAACAAGCATTGCTCCTCTCCGAGCAGGAAAGTTTAACCTACCTGGTCAGGAGCTAGGGGGGGGGGAAAGCGGGCGGTCCAAAATGGGGGGGGGGGTATGTTCGTCCGTGATTGGCTGATCTGAAAATACTGGCTTCTGATTGGCTTTCGGGAGAATACGGACTTCTGATTGGCTGACGCGAAAATTCCGGTTTCTGATTGGCTGAAAGAACCCTCGCCAGTTTTTTGAGGGGGTGGGCATTTTTTCTTCCGAGATATTTGAACTCCAAGAAACAAATTTTGAAAAAAAATTGTTCCTTTGAAAAATGAGATTGGATTGAATTTAACGCTCCTGGGTGCAATTTTCTACAAGCTGCAATCACCTTGGAATTTTAATAAAAATCCAAAGCAAGGAGCTCCTTCTCTAGAAACATGCCTCTCGCGTTCCACGTGACAAGGAATAGAAACATGCGCTTCTCCGCATTTTTTTCATTCGTATTTACGAATTAACGAAAACGAAAAAGCCGCAAAAACAAAATCGTAAAATGCGAAAATGAAAAATTTTCTGCTTTTTGGAGAAAGAAAGGAGTTGAACTTTTCGCGGGCGATGTTGATCAAAAGCCAAATATGCACATCGACCTTATCAGAATTGGAACAGCTATTATGGGCTCTTATCTGCATTTCCTGCGGTCCTCGACTGTGGTGGTCAAGGTGCGTGGTTCTAGAGCGACTCGAGTTGCTCTAAGACGTGTCATTTAGAAAAAACATTCTATTTTTTTTCTGAATTGGAAAGTTATTGATTTTGCGTTTTTCGTGCTCGAAAAAGCCGCTCGAAAAAAGCCGCTCGAAAAAAGCCGCTCGAAGAGGCCGCAGCTTTCATTCAAGGTTTTTCTGGCTTTTGAGTAAACTACTGTAAATCTTCTCATATTCACGTTTACACTACATTCCTGTCGACAAGCCTTATCAGCCTTATCAAAGCGCATGATGCTCTAAAGAATTTTTCGCCGCCCGGTCAAGCCCTCTTTCCAAATCCACGACTTATCGGAACAGAGCGAAAAATTATCTTTCGAGCGCTTCCTTCGCAAATCCTGAACCCGGTCGTCGCAGGTTTTGGCTCATCCCTCGCTTTCAAAAACACAGGGCAGCGCTTCTGGAAACTTTGTCTTTCCGGTTTAGCCAGACTTGACATGTTTTTACAAGGAACCAGGGGAATAATAATACCCTCAATTTTGTTCTCTTTTCTTGAGCAAGAGAAATAAACTATTAATGAAAGTATATTATCATAATCAAAAAATAGAGCGATCAGAATGGCAAGATTTATTTTGACAAATTTTGAACAATCTTCTTATCAACGACACGCCCTTATTTATCTGGCTCAGGGCTCGGCAACCTGCCGAAAAATCCTGAATCAGGTTATTTTCATTGAATGTCGAGCAAAGGCGAAAGTTGCATAAAGGAATAAACAAGGGCCTTTTAAATTCCACCTCCCTGGCTCATTTTATTCTTGGGTTAACCCTGAGCCGGAAGCAGCGGCTGCGATAATTACCTCGGAACGCATTTAGGCTCGCCTGTTGTTAGCATATCGCGCATGCCGAGAGCGCTCGCCCTGTCAAATCACTGAATATCTACAACAAAAGCGGGTCGCCGCGCTATCTGACCTGCTCGACCTCGAGCAGCAGGAGAAAGCGCGACGACTAACTTCAGTTATCAGTGCTAGAATACCACTTTTGAGGGGAAATATATTTCGAGATATGCAAGGACTCGAAACGTGCTCGACACATTGCGGTTTCGATAGTGACTTTTGAAATTTGACAGGTCGATTTTAAGGGGGTATAAATCAAAAAGCGCAATTTTCCTTCAGCTTTTTCTCCAACAATTTACATAGTGACACCCTTATTTTTTTTCAGAAATAATAAAATCAGACCTTTATCAATTTCTTTTGGAAGCCAAAATTAAAAATTTCGAAGAATTTTTTCAGAAAATTTTTCATCAAAAATTACTAATCGACAGCACAAGCAAATTTTTTCTGCGTTTTATTTGAATGCAAAACTTCCTAATTTCTAATTTCACTTGAACTCTGGACGACAATTTGCAAATCCGGTAGCAAAATTTGCTCTCAAAATATTTTATACAAAAAGACGATTTTTCGCGAACATCGCCAAAAATTAATAATTTCTACATTGAATTTGATGTCAGCGGTTTTATGGAACGTTTTTTCCAAAAATCAGCTCAAATTATGGTTTGCGCGATAAGATAAAAATTTTAATTACTTCTAGTCTTATCATTAAAAACGTCGAATAAGCGACGTACCTTCGTAGGACTGGCCAAGTTGTAAAACATGATTATCGCGGGAGGGATGAAAATATTGCCAGGGAGTGGGGCCTGATCGAAATCGCTCTGATCGGATTTGTGAAATTCTTCTTGGCAGGTGCCACTTTGCAACTCGAAGAAAAAACGCTTGTTTCTTGAACTAGAAGGTCAACTTTTTCGACTATTAGTCACGTGGTCGAATCGACCGAGCAAAAACATGGTCTAAAATCATAAATTTGGCTCGCGCATTAGAAAAAGATGGCCGCGGTCAAAGCTGCATTTTTGCAAAAACAAGGAGTTTTTCTTCTTTTTCCGAAAAATTGAAAATTGTTGAAAATAAAAACTTCCCAAGAACCTCTTTCAAAGCCTTGGGAAAGCATAACCGGGCGGAGAATTTGATAATCGCGGGGTTAACTTAGTTAAGTTATTCAGCCAGTTCCACCCTGTTTTTGGTCAATTTTGAGCTTTAAGGGCCCCCCGTCAGCTTTTTTCGAAAAATCAAATTTCGGTATTTTTAAATTTTGACCGCGGAAATGGATTCTACGGGTCGAAAAAGGATTTTGAGGCTTCATTTTTTGGGGGTCTATCTCGACTCCTTCACCCTCAAAATTGCGTTTGAAAATTGGACTTTTCGCCGAAAATTGACGAATTTACCCCAATTTTGGCAAAAATATTGATTTTTATTGGTCAAAACTTCTCCTTATCAGTTTTCTCAGTCCCTAAGGGTACTACCTTTGATGACCGAAAATTTTGTAGACGTCAATTTTTTATTCAATGAATCCGATAATTGAAGGCGCAGATGTGGAGGGTTGCTTAACACATGTCAATTTTCGAGTCACGATTCAAGTCAATTGTTATTACAAATTTTACGGTGCTTCAACTCCTTGTTCAACGATTTTCTTTGCAAAAATAGAGCTCTCTTTGTCATCAATTAATTTGCTTGTATTAACACTTGCAATTTCTTACCGCTCAAGAACCGTTAATTGAATTCTCTCTAAGTAACATCTGCGATCAGCAGATCAATTAAAATTAATGATCATTCTCGAGAATAAGATGAATGTATATATTTCAAAGCTCCTCAATTTCATGAACTGAGCAAAAACACAACATAAACTCTTCAAAGTATGAGTAACGCGGGGCACTCCTTTCTTAAGACCTCGCTAATACTGACACAAGTACAAAGTTGCATCAAGTATTCAAGACTCTTGAAACTACAGCGCGCGGTTCAACGAAAAATTCGCGGAAAAGAAACGATAGGGTATTGTGAGGCTTCGTAATAGATATTTTTGATACATGTGTTTTCTTATGCGAGAGCATGGTTTTTACATATTTTTGCATATATTTGATTTATTTTACGGCGTACGATTATTATCATCGAACAGCATACAGTCAAAACGCACAATTCCGGAACTTTTTTCAGCGAAAATGGCAAAATCTCCGGAATTGTGCGGATTTTCGAAAAATTTTTCTCCTCTCAAAAAATCTGTTTTTATTGGACCAAGCTCACTATGGCCGAACCTAGAGGCCGAAACCGAGTTTTCGAGGTTTCCTCCTTTGAAAATGCCAAGAAAAGGCAAAAATTTCATAAAACGGACATTTCTTTTACAGAAAAACATGAAAAAATCAAAAACACAAGCTGAGATTCCCCGTATTTTTCTTAAAAAATGCCCGAAGTTCGATTTTTTGTCGAAAATCTCCGGAATTGTGCGTTCCGGAATCGTGCGTTTTGACTGTATTATTTTCTGCATGTTTGTAGACAATGTGACATCGAAATGTCTGCTAGACATTTTCGACTCAAATTTGATAGTTTTTTTATAATTGAGAATTAAGGATCTCCCTTGCTTATATATTTTTTCGGAAAAACTTTAAAAATTAAACCAATAATGAATCTCCTTCCACATCCCCTTTATCTCTAGAATAGTTCTCTTGAAAGTCATGTCGATACGAAAAATTCCAGCGTAGAAAGTCAAGAGTATCAGTGATCTACCCCGTGGAAGCAAAATTCCCAGCACTTAGTCAAACAAGCCGCAAGTCAAAAAGCCTCTGTTACAAACTTCTTATTCGTCTCCTGTATATCGATTTCAGGCTTCGTTTGACGGCGATTCTAACAGTCTTCTTTCTGACTTGAGCTGGAGGATGTCTTCTAAAAATATTTTGAGCTCATTTCTTCGTTAATTACGTAAGCTTGAGAGAAATTCCAACGCCTCGAAATGGCATGGGGGTTCAAAAACGAACCACGCCCTTCAAAATCGAATGAATTTTCTTAACCATGCGGAGTTCGAAGTTTTTTTCTTCAAATTTTTTTATAAAAAACTTCCTCGAAAACGGTCAACACCTCTCTAAACAGCCTGTCACCCATCTTTCCTCCTCCTCCTCCCCGCAAAGCACGTGCTTGTCGTCGCCAAATTTTTCCAAAATTTCCTCCGCGCCCGAAAATTTATAGTTTTCCCGTCGCCGCGAAGCAGTACTTCGTTTCCAAAATATTTACTTGTGAAAATGGCGCTTTGAACGTTATCCACGCCGCCGCGAGCTGCTCATGATCATCACGAGCGCGCTGCTCCTCTTGAGCTTCGAAAAACACCACGTGCTCGTGAGTGGTTGTTTTGCGGTTGCGAGCGGACGTGCTGATTGAGGGGAGCTTATATAATAGAAAATGGAGAAAGGCAATTTGAGACGGAGAAAAATGACTTTGCCAACTTTTGAAGGAGAAACTGGATTTTATTTTTGAACAAAAAATCAGCTCAGATTTGTGGTAAAATTTCGAGGTAGATCCACTTCTTCAATTTTCGGCCAAACCGCGATAATGAGAATCCAAAGTACCACGTTTATTGAATCTAATGAGAAACAAATTTTCGTGAGCGCGAGGAATCGTACGTCGAAAGATTAAGGCGCCCGGCTCCGTGTCGCGGATATTTGTTGAGTGATGGTACTCCACCAACGTTCCGGACTAATGACGCTCGTGAATTCTGTGACGAGGCTACTTGTGCTTGTTCAGCCACTCCGCCCAAGACGGGTCTTAGGCTTCTTTGCTGCTCGAAACTGTCGCAGATAAGAAATACCTTTTAGAAAAAGCTTTTTCTTGAGAAAAAGAAACATGATTTTTTTGCTACTTTTTTTGCCAAAAATGTATATTTTGAAAAGCCACGAGTTCATGTTTTTCTTTAATCAAAAGAAAAAACCGCTGTCTAAGAAGTCATTCTTGACTTCCAAATCTTTTGTTTATCAACTTTCTACCGCAGACTGCCTCATTCCGTACTCGCTATCCCCCGCTGCGCTCCGTCTTATCGCCAAGAGATAAGGAGGTTTTCTTAAAACAAAGGTTGTCTCCGGAGGCTCCCTCTGGCTCTGGAAAGGATCAGGAACTGATAGTATTCGGTGATAGTATTCTACAAGTAAGGGGGTAGAATAGACCCGGTTAATATCCGAAAATATTGTTTTTAGTTTAAATAACCTCTGGCTCCTTAATATTTTGGCTTGGAAACTTGTGTAGAAAACCTGTATGCCAGATTTACTCAAAACCGCAAGCGGCTTTTTTAAAAATTCGTTAAGTCATAAATTTCTTTCGTAGAAAATTATTTGCTCTTAAACGAAAAGCTGCTTGTGGCTTCGAGTAAATATTAATTGAGCCGCGCAAAGAGCGGCTTTTTCAATTTGACTCGAAGCCGCAAGCGGCTTCTCGGCTCTTGAGCAGATCATTTTCTACGAAAGAAGATTTGGACTCTATTTTGGATTGAATATAATTTTTCTTCATTCGGGAAAAAGTGGTTTTAGCCGGCTGACAGGGCGGTAAGTACAGTGAAACCCCAACTTAAGGCCACTTTTTGGATGACAGCTAATTTGAAAAGTGGCCTTAAGTTGGGTGATTCTCCAACTAAGTTGGATGACGCTAAAATTTTTCTATTTCTGGAGCAAGGGACTGAATCTGGCCTCGGAATCCTGTACACAGGAACAGGGATTTTTTTTGGCCCATCTGGAAACAGGACAGGATAAAAAACACAGGAACAGGTCCTGTTTTACGGGTTTCACAGGCTTTGCAGGCCTGTAAACTCAAATTTCACGGTTTTAATTTTTCCTTGATGAATCAAAATTTAGAATTTTTTTCTCGTTATTATCATGTCTACAGACAGTTTCAACTATAAAAGTTTCTTTATAACATATATGAAAGAAATTCCAAGAAAATTTTTACGAAAAATATCTTATCTTCCCCATTTCTCGCCTGTTTTCCTGCGATTTACTTACTGTGAATAAAAATGGAAAAAAGTGGCCTTAAGTTGGATTTTTTTCGGATGACAGATTTTGGGTTTTTTTCAAAAAAGTGGCCTTAAGTTGCTGGGCCTTAAGTTGGGGTTTCACTGTAATTCACTTTACAAAATAAACAGAATTACGTGCTGGTTGCCAACCAGGGCGTAAGCGTTTCTGAAAACCGACAGGCGCGTCCTGAAATTATGCGGTCAAAGCATGGAAGGGTGACTCTCTTTTTTGATGGTGGAGCATCATCGCCGCAAAGAAATCCGTCCTTGCGGGTTTTTGAGCTTTGGGCTCTGAGCGCTAGAATGTCAGAAGCGACATGAGAAAGTGACGTGCTAGGGGGTCAAGAATTTGAACACAGTTGTTAGCTTGACCAATTACAAAACAAGCTATTTTTCGTCCTTCAAAGTTCTTTTTTTTGTTTTCAGCTGAAACATGAAGCATTTTGAGGGGTCAATTGACTGATCCTTCGGGAGAATAAATTGCCGGGCATTTTAAGGATCAACAAAGATTTTCGAGGATTTGTAAGAAAGGACTTCGACGTGCACGCGAAATCAAAGAGGTCACGTAAAAGAACGCTTCTTGTTTTCCGAAACTTTTTCAAATCATCGAGTTAAGCTAGTGATACCCTTATTTTAATTCTCGCACTGTTATAAATGGTGTTAAGGAGGGAAGGAGTCAGGAAACGACAAAAATCCCGACAAATTTTTCGTTGAAAGTTTCAACCAATCAGAAGCCTGGATCCGGCAGACTGACCAATCAGCAACCAAAAAACCGCCCACGCAAAATTTGTCGAGATTTTTCGTCGATTTCTGACACATCCTTATCTTAACACGATTTTTAACTGTAGGGGACTCAAAATAAGGGTATCACTAAAGGCTGTGAAACCCTTAATTTCGATGTCGAATTTGTTTCATAAAAAATAGAACCCGCGCATAAAAAGAAGGCGCGCTCACTGCATTGGGTTTATTCTTTATCCAATTTCGGTTGCGAGTCGTGTCACCAACACCCAAATTCGATTTCCACAACAAACTTTTCAAGGGAGCAGCTTAATCCTTTCTCGAAAGAATCTTCTCTCCGGCCGGGTACTACCGATACGGGTACATTCGATAACACGCAGTACTTTAATTTCGGATCGCTTGTCGAAATTTCTTGTAAGTTTTTGATAAAACCATGTCGCGCGAAAATGCATGAGATCAGAAGAATTACGATTCCTTGGAAATATTTCGGTGGTTTTTAAAGCGCTACTTTTAGTTCTATTTTTTTCTTGAAAAAACGCTCAGTTACAAGACACTATTCTCGGATCTTAATGAATTTATTCGTGGGTATTGAAAAAGTGAAATTATAAATTTGCCACAGAAAAACTCCTTTTATGGTGTCCGTTCGAAACTCTGTATTCATGGATGCTTATCTTTAAAATAACCCGTTTTCGTACTTTTGGCAAGGAAATTGTAGGCTTGTGTATTCGGAAACTGCAATTAGGACCGACTGGAATTTGGATTATCTCTTCATGACCGGCTCGAGCATTTTCGGCATTAGAAAATTGCTGCCATTTCTTTCTAGCTATATCATGAGCTATCATGAGAAAATAAGCTTGAACCTAGCCTAACATCGATTTTCTTATCTTCTTCTATTTAAGCGTTGTTCGAAAAGTTTTATCTTTAAAAAAAGTCGGGTTTTCTTGTTTTTCAATTAGTTTCGAAACTTTGATTTTTTTCAAGGCTCGAAAGCGTCAGATTATCTTGAAAACCGCGAGCTACGTCAGACAGAATCCCGTGAATTTATTTCCTAAGACAGCGGCCCGTCACGGACACTTGTTTAAGACGGATTCTTGCATTTTTGATGATGTAAGAAACGAGCACCGGGCCCAGAAATTGGAAGGAGGAAAGAATTTTTTTTAATTATTTTTTTCTTTTGAAAAACGACATTTCTTTCTTTGCACTTTGAATTGAATATCTTTTGATGTCTCTAAAAAAGTCAACATTTGACATCAGTTTTCAAATGTCTTCAAATGTCTTTAAATGTCAAATGATGTCTCTTAATGTATTTGAATGTCTTCTTGCCAACTAAAATGTAAATGTACTCTTAGGCATCAGTTGACATTTGAAGACATTCGATGTCGAATTAAAAGACGCATTTGAAACACATTTCATATTTGACATTGATAATGTCACATTGTGAATTGATGATTTTGACATTATATTTTATGTCTCTTTGATCTTGGATGTCTCATGATGTCAGTGAATGTAACATTCAAAATTTCGAATTTTCAAAGTGTCAGAAAAAATGAAAACAGAAATAGAAATATACTTTCTTGCGTATTTAGTATGCAAATGCTTAAACGCCTGACCTCATATTTAATGCATTCGGAAAAGCGCTCGTCCGGTCCTAAGACCGCGTGTTTCCAGCTCGTTTTTACCCGCCGCGCTGTTGTCCTTCTAAACATGTCCAAAAAGAGGCAAAATTCTGTACCTTCGCGGAAATAGAATATCGTACCCCTCTGCGAACCCCCGATAAAAATCATAACCTGCGGTGGCTGGTGATAAGCGCCGGGCACGTTTTTAGCGCGAAAATGATAACATTCCGAATTCTAGTTTGAGCTCCACCACCGTGAGAGCTTCTGAAAGCTGCATTTTTTAATTGATTTTGTTTAGCAAACATTGGATGCAGCATCTACCCGAGGGGCGACATCGTTGGAACTTACGACCCAAAGACGCAGAAATATGATCAATTTTCTGACATTTACCAGGTAAAAATCGAAACCCATAATGTTGGTTTGATTTTTTGAAAATTGATTTTTCCGATAATTAAGGTTTTCGAGATAAAAATTAGAATATTCCATGATGTTTCACTCTGAAGAGAGTTATCATCAAAAAATTAAGAAAAAATGAGTTGAACAGCGCTGATTCAAAAAAAAATAATTTCATCGAATTTGAGCTCAGTGTTGGGTCGATTAACTCGCTGGCGGAATCAGATGGAATCCGCAAGCCGCCGCAAAGTGAATATTATTTCAAAAAACTCGGCCGCGCTGAGATTTTGCTTGCCGAAAAAATATTTCGAAAAAGGATTAAAATTTTTCGTGTTTTTCTTTTTGGATCAATTAAGATTCAACTCAATTTTCATAAAAAAAAATAAATTATAATAAAATTTTTTTTTCTTGAATTTTTGAATTTGGCTTTTTGAGCTTTGAACTTGGGTTTTTCGGCGACGGCTGTTTTGAAAATTGGACTGTCGTGTCTCTGATCCCACGTCCGCACGTTTGTTTTCACAACTTAGAGTTTATTTTCAGTACCAACCGCTCAACTTCAAAAAATGTACAAATCCAATGGAAAACGATCGCTTTGCGGAAGGCACCACTTGCGAGCAGATCTCTTGCTACGGCAAAAACTCGCATACTTCAGGAAATGGTTGAAAAGAAACATCTTCAGGGGCATTATTTTGTTATACAAGAATGTTTTCCTTCATCCCTTTTCATTTCGACGTTATCAAAGAGAAACAAGTTTTGGTAGTACGCGCGGTTTGACAGAAAAAGTTGGTTCCGTGACGTGACCTGCCAAATAGTCAAATCCGACGCAGAGCACGTGTTCTATTTCAGGATTAAAGCTCATCCAGGGTCACTGTTGCGGGTCCTAGCACAGATTTTGAGTCGAAAAAACCCTACTGTTTCAAGTAAGACCTTAATGTCTTTAAATGTCTCCAAATGTCGTTAAATGTCTTCCAATGTCTTTAAATGTCTCTAAATGTCGCTAGATGTCTCAAAATATCTCAAGATGTCGTTAAATGTCTTCAAATGTCTTCAAACATTTCCAAATAACGTTAAATGTTCCCAAATGTCGTTAAATATTCCCAAATGTCGTCACATCTCCACAAATGTCAATGTCGTTTAGTTTTGATTAATATATTATCTCATTTTCAACCATTCTCCAGAATCCAATGCAATTTGCTCCTGCGATTCTTCTGGCCTGAACTGCAACTGGGTGAAACAAGGTAATAATTCATCCCTTCAAACTTTGAGATTGATCTTCTTGACTCTAGAAAATCGCGCTGTTTCCGCCATCCCGAAATGCCCACGAGGCTGCCAAGGAAATGACATCTTTGACTTGTACAGGTGCAGAAAGAACTACATGTGGGGCGACAACAAATACATGGACAACGATGGGCACGAATACTTCTACCCTGGAGAGCGATGCAAGAAGGTCACATGCAGGTAGGGCATCTTTGAGCTTTGATCGTTCATCTTATGCTTCTTTTCTAGCGGTGCTCGTCAGCCAAAACAAATGCAAGGAGCCGCCCTCGCCGCCTGGAAAGCCAAGTCCCCATCGTTCTACGAGTGCATGTGCGACGGCGACCACTGCCGCTGGTCTGGGTTAAACGACGATGTCGTGGAAGGAACTGGTAAGAACTTGAACTCGTGTCTAAATATAAATTACCCGCTCGATCATAATTACCATCAGCTTTGATGTCGACAAGCTATCAAACAAGTCGTTATCGAGTTTTGCAGAGCATCGGCACTAATTATTATCAAACTCAAAACAAGTCGTTTTCGATTCATTTCTCAGACATTTGTTATGATTTTCGATGTTTTGAAATATTCATAATTTTAAGTTAGTCTTGAATGTCTGAAAATGTCTTCAAATGTCCCGAAATGTACACAAATGTCAATTAATGTCGTCGAATCTAAAAAAAATAAATCAACGCCGTAACAGACATTAAGAGACATTTGTAGACATTTCTTGACATTTGACGACATCTGGAGCCATTCAGAGAGATTTTTGATGATTTCAAGATCTATTGACATCACGATGTCAAATGTCTCATTTGTTTATTAATAAATAATGTCGTAATAACTTGAACTTTCATTTTCAGCCTTCAACTATGGAGTAGACCTGACCTGTGCCGAGTGGACTGCCTGGGAAAATGTCGGAGAATGCGTTTTCGGAAAGCAAGTTCGAGTTCGAGATTGCTTGGTTGACGAGACATTTTACGAAGCAAAGGAATGGTTGCAAATGGAAAAAGTAAATTTGAATTAACCCGGGTCGCTCACAATTTTCTCTGATTGCAGGGTAATTCTGAATTGCTTCCGGGGAGCCACGTGACCCGCGAGACCTCAATTTGAATTTGTGGGAAACTCTATTTGGTACCTTTTAAAAGACCGGACCAGAAGCAGATGGACGAAGAGGAATCCCCGGCTACGATTGCCCCGGCGAAGCAAAAGACAAGATCGCCTGTTAATTTTATTTCATATTTACTTCGTTTTTGACAAAATCAAAAACGACCCTCTCGCTCTTAAAAATTAAGGCCCTTGTACAAAGCTCCCGAAAACTCGATCACCGCCAATTCCAGTTTCCAAATAACTCCACAACCCCACTTCTGCACTACTGTAAATTTCAACAAAGCGAATTGAAATATGAGAAGAAGTCGTCTTTTCAGAAGAAATTCTCTTGCAAACCTTTTAAACTGTATCTAAATAAAATAAATTATTCATATCACCAAATTTTCAGAAAAAAAATTTTCTGAAACAAAAAGTAAAATGAAATCTTGAAAATGAGACATTTGACATCGTGATGTCAATAAATTTCGGAAGCCTGAAAAATTCCCTTGAATGTCTTCGAATGTCCTGAAATGTCCAAAAATGTCGTAAAATGTTTGTTTTGAAAATTGAGAGTTAAGGAGGTGTGGGGCAATTTTTGGCAAATTGACCATTTTCAAACAGCCCTCAGGCTCAGATGGGTAATAAAATTTTTAAAAACTCTTGTTCTATTTATAGATTGGACCCTAAACTAGAGTTGAAAATTTTTTCAGAAAAAATGATTAAGGGATTTTGGCCATAATGACCTCGACTCCAAGTCATGTCCGTGAAAATCGTCATTTTGCGTCATTTTTGAACGCGATTTTTTGAATGAAAATATTTTTATTTTTTAAAACTAAGACGATAAAAAGAAACTTCCATCGCTGTTCTAGGGTTGAATTGAAGGAATTTAATTTTTCTCAAAAAATGCTTATTGTAAGCTTTCGATTGAAAGTTGGGTCTCAAAACGTCCAAAAATTGCTATTCGAAATTAAGTTATCTCGTAATACAGTAAGATAATTCTGTCCTTGTCATTATCAAAAATACTTAACAAGTCGTGAACTATCCAAAAATATAGAAATAATTCAATTTTTAAGACATTGAAAAATATAATTTCGCAAGTTTTCATGAAAACGCCAACTTTCAATCCCATTTTTCACTATCTTTCTCTATCGATGAGAAAAAAACATAGAGACCTTTTTTGTTGCTCTTGACCTGAGCTATCTAAAAATGGAAAGAAAATTTGAAAATTCGAATTTTCGCCAAACCGCCCCGTACCTCCTTAATGATATTTATTGACATTTGAAGACATTCATTGATTTTTGGAGACATTTCAAGACATTTGGCGTTGAGAAACAATCATATTTTCTGGCATCTTATTTATCACTTTGTTTTAAAACAAGACAACAGACAATCGTTAAAAAGAAACCTTAAAAATCACCTCATTAATTTTATTAAACGGCCGCAGGTCTGAGTCGACACTTAAATCTGCACTTATAAATAATCATTTTTATTGTTATTTATGAGCATCTGCTTCGTCACATAGTTTGGCCATTTTTAATAGACAGTAGACAAAATCGTTAAAATGCACAATTATTATTATTATTTTTTCAATAAATAAAATGAACTCAAGGACGGCTTAAAAGATCAGCAGACTGGCAAATGTAGTCAATCCCACATCGAGATGGCTTGTTTTCAAGAGCACTTGGCGTCATGATGATATTGCGGTGATAAATGAACTTTTCCCACAGAGGCTGTTGCTCGTGCGCGTATTTTCGAAGACGCTAGAAAATTTTCTCAGAAATCATTTTTTCCTTCAATCTTACCGTTAAAAAGGCAACAATTCTTCCGAGAAAGGATTCCGGTCGCTCGCTGATGTGGAACTTTATTCGTAAAGTCATCATCATTGTCTCCTAAAGAATGCGATCAATTTCAGTAAAAGGGCTATAAAAATAGAAGAAAAAATGGTTTAGGCTTGAATTTATTATTCTCTTCTTCAAAAACATCCGGCAATGAAGCTGGCTCAGGTGATGGATAAGCCAGTTTTATAGGCTTTAAAAACTTTTAATACTGATTTCACTCCCTTATTTCAAATGTCTTAAAATGTCCAAAAATGTCAAAAAATGTCAAAAAATGTCAAATATTAAGAAATATATTATCAAGGAAACAGACATTTTGAGACATTTATAGACATTTCTTGACATTTAACGACATTTGGAGACATTCAGAGGGATTTTGCAAAAACTAAGAAAAAAAAAATAAATTTTTTGTTTTAGCAAAGCCGCTTTGCGGCTTCTTTTACAAAAAAGCCGCTGCGCGGCTTTCACGAATGCTCGAGCAAGATTTTGAAAGTACCTGTAGAGCGGATAGAATTTCAAAGTCGAACTCGGTCTCGATGCCCCTATCAGGACTGACAGCAGCAACACTGGCCAAAAGACTCTCTTCGTAAGAATCGAGACCAAGAGCGGCAAACATGCCCATCGTCTCGAGCGTGTCTTTGACGAAAGATTCTGAGAGCCCGCAGCGGTGGGCGATTTTGAAGAGCGCATCAGGAATTTCGGGGAGATTCGCCATTTCCAAAATCAAGGAAGAGTATCGCGCGGCGAAACGCATGAGAGAGATTTCGATAGCGGAACCGACGAGGACGCGGCGTTTTGTGTGATCGGTGAGTTTTTGCCATCTGAAATGATATCATTATTTTTGATCAAATTTAAGGACCCCCCCCCAAAGAATTGCAAAAATGGGCCTGCTAGGAGCAATGTTTTCTCCGAAACTATCTTAGATACACCCTTATTTTCAAAGAGAACTTTAAGATAAAATCCAAGACTACAACTTTTTGCCTTATGATGATCTGTCGATATAAAACTTAAGGATATACAGGCCGTTAAAGGTCAGGTTTCCAGGAGCAAGCTTTTTTGGGTTTTTAGTTGAGGTATGCCCTTAATTCTCACCCGATATGTTAGACCGCAATCATTCCTTTTTTAAGCGCTTTGGAAGAAATAAGGGTATCGCTGTGTTAATTCAATTTCCCAGGACCAGCTTCTCAATCATGTTTCCTATCCTGTTTTTGACTCTTTTTTATCAATCTGCTAGCCACAGCTTTTTTTTTCTTAAACAAATCGCCTTTTTTAAAAAACAGGAGTTTAGCATGTTTGCAAGTCTAATAAAATATCTTTCAAAAAAGCGGTTTTCTGAAGTCGAGTCGCTCCTATCAATCTCGTCTGTCCAACTTACCTTGTATTAGGAAGCATGGAGAGAAGCAGATTCGCAAGAAGCACATGATGATTAATCAAGTCCTTGATGAATTCGAGCCCGGCAAGGCCGTTCGCGATATTTGGATCTGGAAGCTTGAAGCGTCTGAATCGCGATTCAAGTCTGACGATCGCGTCTTGTGTCGTCTTGTGCACCATTTTGTAGTCGTTGGACAACATTACGAGGCCTTTTTCGGAGATAATTTGAGCGAAAGAGTCGTTAAATTGCGCGGTAAAGTTTAACCCGTGGAATTTTCCAACGAAAGAAAATTGGCGAATAGTCATTTTTGACCGGTTTTTTTTTCTTGTTGATCAAATAATCGGCGATCGAAATCATAAATGAAAAACGAAGAGAAAATAGCTATTCGGAACAAGATGCGAAAAAGGGATAAGAATTAGGTAGGGGATAAAATTTTCTCCGTTCCTAAACCGAAATCAGTCCGGATCAGCGATTGTTCGTTCGTCAGCATCGGGAAATCGCGATAGGCAAGCCAGAATCCCTCGACAATCGACAAGAAGTTTTCCTGAAAACGAGCGTTAAACTAGTTGAAACCAGAGCAAGAGCACTTCCCCCATAAAAAATATTCTCAGAGGATTAGTGTCCTTTCATTATTCATTTGTTGTAAAATTTAGTGCTTTTTTTCGAGTCGAAATTTTTTTTTACCTGAAAAGGATCAAGAATTTCAGAAAATCTTGAGAGCCGATTTTTTGCTGGAAGCTTCCCAACTCTTCTTTTCATCCTTTTCATATTCAGCTCTCGGACATAATTCGCTCTAGAACTCGTTTATTCCCGCTTTTTCGCCTGAAACACTCACCTCATTCCGGAATCAAGGCATTGGCGAAGACGACAGCCCGCGCAGAATCGTCGAAGTTTGATGTCGCATTGTTTTCCTGTGTCGGCAATTTCGCAGTGCTAGAATTACTTTACACCCTGAGCGAAGGAAGCATTCTTTTTACCTGAGAAAGATTGTTTTCGAGAATAGTTCTTCTGAAAAAACTTTTGCAGGGATTGCAAGTGAGCGCTCCATAATTGAATCCGGTCCCATCTGCGCCGCAAACCGAACATTTTTCGCCTTATCAGGTGTTATTCAAGGGCTAATCGCGGACTGCTCGTAGCTCGAAAGATTCTCAAAGCACCTGCTGACGATTATTTTCGGGGTTTTATCGGAATTGTCTCAAGATAGCAGACAAAGTTATTGGGCGATTATCTTATTGAATGATCCTTCAAAAAGCTCGAATAAAGGGTTAGAAATTTACGCTTTTTCGACTCAAATTTTCAGTCGATTTTATAAAAAATCCCTTCCGGTTTCAGAAAAAAAGCTATTTTTCGCGATTTGAGTCGAAATTTTTGATGAAAATTTAATTAATTTCTCAACCAATCAGATTTCCGCATTTAGCATTTCGACCAATCAGATTTCAACAAAATTTCCTCGAAAATTTTCGTAATTTTTTGCCGTTTTTTTTCTTGTTTTCGAGCCGAAAATTTTCTTGAAAACACTTTCCTGCGTAAATCCTCCTCCTCGGCCCGCGCTTGAGCTTCATGATTCCATTGAAATTTTCCTCATACTCTGGTGTCGTGATTATCGTCTCCTGCTCGTCGACGATTAGCTCCTCTTCTTCTGGCATCATGGAGATGTTGGCATTTTGCATCGCGAGGAAATTCATTTTTTGAATTTTTTCTTTTCTGAAGTTAAAAAATGAATATTTTATTCTGTTGTCTCTTCTGCTAAGTTGTTTTGATAAGGTTTAACGAAAAGGAAGAGAAGTAGAGTAGACGAAACTGGCGCTGTTTCTGGCGCTGCCCGAGAGCTAGAGCATTAGCAGTAGGGAAAGACCTAGCCGAGGAAGTTAAGGTCTCTTCTTCTTGAAGAAAGCCAGCGCGGGTTTCTTTTTACGACGCGAAAAAAGAAGAAACAAAAAATGATGCCAGGTTATTTATGACCGCGTCGACTTGACTCAGGTCTAATCGTCGAGCGGCGGTTGACTTCTGATCAAAAAAGCGCTTTCAGACTCACTGGGCGAGAAGAATTCTCAGAATTTAAAAATCTGGTCTTTTCAAAAGAGCTCTTCTCGAAAGTTTCTAAGAATAATATCAAAAAACGCAACTGAATGATGAAAATTGGAAAATCGGGAAACAGGATTTTTCGTCAAAATCGCTTTTTGAGGCCATTTTGATCGAAAAATCGAAAGATCCAACTTTTTTTAAATATCCTTTTTTAAGAAAATACCCAATAAATCGCTTGATAACGGATAAAATTCTCAATGACATCTTCCTTTCCACTGAATGAAATCGAGCCTGTTGTCATTATGATATGATCTGCCTATTTCAGCTGCGATTCCAGCCCAATCACCGACAAGATACAGCCTTTTAAATGTCAGATAAAATATCAGCCGAAAAATATAGGATTCGCAAAAATAAAAGAAACATGCCTGCTGCCGGCGTCAGCTCTCAGAAAGGGATCATGGATTTCTAGTGTCCTGGTAAAAATAACCCTCGGCCTTGAAACCCTTAGTGAGCCTCTGGAAGGGCTAAAATAAAAAGCCGCAGAGCGGCTTTTTTAAAAACGAAGCCGCAGAGCGGCTTCGCCAAATTTTCAACTTGATTAAGATTAATATATTTGCGAAGCCGCTTCGCGGCTTTGTTTCTAAAAAAGCCGCTACGCGGCTTTTCATTGTAGCCCTTTCAGAGCCTTACTTCGATAACCCACTCAGGTTTTCGAAGCTAGCTCATAAGCTATCAACTTTGCGGAGTTCATCTAAAGGGAAGAAAGCGGAAACATTTATTATTTTACGGTTCAGTCTGAGCGCCAGTCACGAAAAAAGCTCGGGAGAGCGAAAACACGGACTTTAACGATCAAGGTCGTGAAAAAACGCTGCTTATTGGGAACAAGTCTACCAACTCAGCGCATTGTCAGACAACTCTGGTGCGTTTTAGTTGATTCTTTTGGAGCAATTTTCACGTACGCAAATAATTTACGATCGCACACTGCGAATTTCGCAAATAAAATAGACATCCGGCCGTCTCAGCCAGGAAAAAAACGGTCTTGTGGTTTGTTTTATATATGCACTAAAAATAATAATACCGCTGTTTCAACAAAGAAGACTTTGATCAGTTTCGTCATTTTTGCAAATTTTGATCAAGGCTTGGTTTTGCGAAAGAATCGGAAAGAAAATTGCGAAGAAAAATATTTTCCGAAAAAATTTTGCGAAAATCCGAAAAAGAAAAGGTCAAAAAATAAAAGAACCAAGCCTTTTTCGTGAAATTTTTGTCCAAAAATTGGTCAAAAAATGGGAAAAATTTGGAAAAATTTGAAAAAATAAGAAGAAAAAATTCTCTGTTTCAAAATTTCTAGGGTCAATTTTGGTGAAATAGAATAAGGGTGTCACTTTGATAATTTTTTATCCATTTTTTGGTCTTAAAATATATGATGTATATTTTGGTCAATTTGGTATTCAAAGCAAAATTCATGGAAAAAATAATGAGATGAACTTTGTTCGTAATTCTCAGCAAAGAGGTTTTTACTTAGTAAATAGAGGACTATTTTCGTTTGAGTTGGGATGTTCTTTTCTTGTTTTGTGCACTCGCTTTCGTTTGACAAATGTTTTTGGCTCAAACAGATCAAATGAGCACTTGCCAATTGAGTATTTCTAAAAGAAACAATTGTCGAAATAGTTTCATCTCTGATCCTTGGAACACAAGAACAATTACACCAAATTAAAGTCAATTAATCACTGATCAAACCATGTCGTTTTTGAAAATTTTCTTGTTGAAACATTTTCTTGTTTACATCTGTTTTTGAAATGTAGAACAGATAAATTATTGCTCATTGACTCAAAAATATTTATATTTTTTAGCTTATATATTATTTAATTTTAATTATGCAACATATTTTTTTATACAACAAATAATTTTTACCTATTCAAATATCATTTAGTTCTATCCAAACCTTGAAAATTAGACTTAAAATTGGCATAGTGCTTTAGCTAAAACTTGATCCGTATTGACTCAAAACATTAAAACAAAAGTACTTGTTGCAAGAAACTTGAAATAGACACATCATGTTCCATGACGATAATTATTGAAAAAATTTTTAAGAAAAGGCATTATTCAAAGAATAACAATAAACCTTTGTAAGACTTTCTCCCCCGTTCACTACTCTCCGCCCCTCCCAACCCCCGCGCTTGGGGTGGCAACTCCCATTTTGAGCGGGAGAAGGGTCCTTTCTAGAAGCGCCCTAGTAAGACTTGATACAAGGGGGGGTGTTTCTTGCGTCTGATTGGCTGAGAGGAACCCATATCTCCCTCTACCGCCACCTGAATTAACGGATTTTTCGTCTATTCAAATCAATATTATCTTTTAACTTTTGATTGGAAATTTTTTACAAAAATTTATTCTATTTTATTATAATATATTATTATTAAAATTATAATAAAAATATATTTAAAATAAAAATCATTCATTGATGGATAAAATTCTAGAATACTTACGTTTTCTCTTGGAGGCGATTGTAGCTCTCTTATTTTCTGATTGTAATTTTTATTGTGACTTTTTTCTTTCAAAGCGGAAATGATTAAGCGTCCGAGTTTCAGCTGGTCTTCTTTTTTTTTGCAAATGCTTTTGGAAAAAATATCAATTTCTATTTTTGTCGGAAGAATGAGATTGAGCTCGCATTGTCGCGTGGGGTATGAACAAGTTAGAACGGAGCCTCAAGCGGCGAGACACTTTTATAACCTGGTATAACGCCACCACACGCGGTTGGTTTTTTCTTATCGCTAAATCAACCAGGTGATAAGACTTTTTCATTGATAAATATTATATAATGATTAAAGATGTGTTTCAAAAATTAATGTTGTTTATTTCATTGAATTTATCTTGGTTGATAAGTTATCAATTAAAATACTGTATTTATAAGAATAAACATACAGTTCTTTTTAAAAGAATAAACATATTGAAAGATTTCAATGTTTCAATATCGTTTAACAGTTAAAAACAAAGAGTTATGGCTCAAATTACAGTGTTTTTTAGCTAGAGCGAACAATTGAGTTACTTTTAAAAATTGGCCATATTTTTTCGCTGAAATTCCGCGTATTTTTCATGAAATCAACGAGCATTCTTTGTCTTTTGATAAATGTTATTTCGGAACGAAGTAGAAATGGAATTTCGCCTCAAATTTAAACCCCGCCCTGCGGGTTAAAACTTCTACCAAAGAGCCTCTCAAACTAAATCATCCTCACAATCCGTTCTAATCACTATAAGGTAAGGTTTCTTTCTGATTAAAGTTCTTTTCTGAGTCAGAGTTCATCAAGTTCATTTTGACCAAATTCGTTTTTTTTCAATAAAAAATTGAATTTTTTTTTCAAAAACGTCAACTGAAATGACCCTCTTTTAATTTTAGTTGCGTGAAAATTTGCGGTAGTTAGAAACAAAGTTCATTCCTCCCTTTTTTCGAGTGTGAGTAAACAGAAACCTCGATAGACCACAAAATACCAAGCAAAAGTTTAAACTGTTTGGAAAACGAACCGCGAAAATAAGCGTTTTGCTGGAGAAAAAAAGCGCATGGAAAAGATGAAAACAGTTCTCGCCCTAGGCACCTGTCTCCGGAAGAATTTGGGCGTTGCTGTCTATTTTTTCAATCCTGTCTTCTCGGTGATTATGAGATAAAAAACTTTGTAAGTGCAAGAAACACAGTAACCGTAGTAAAACAAATTATTGCCGGACTGACATATACCTCCCTCTATTTGCTTTGAAAGCCGAAATTTTAGATCTGAAAAAATTATCAAAATTTCTGGTAAAAGTTCGCTAACTTTCCTAAAATGTTCATTTCGGCGACAAACGGAGGTGCCAGATTTGCATTGTAGCAACTCGAAGAAGCTCAAGAAATCTTAATTTTTGGCTTACATAGGAAAGAGATGATTGCCTGAAATAAATTTTTGCAAAAAATATTACGGGGTCAAAATGTTACAATTTTGAGAAAACACAGACAGAAAATCCGATTCTTGTTTTTCAGACAAAATCTGGGTTTTATTAAATAAAACTCAATTTTTCGTTAATTTTTGGGTAAAAATCGCCCGAAAATTAAGGGCGTCGCCCCCCTTAATTTACATCCGCTTATTATTTTACTTATTATTTCACTACATTTTTGTCAATAAATCATATTTTTCTGAATTTTTTTACTAATAAAGAAAACTCTTCCCAATCCCAGTTGCCTGGTTACCACTTTAGATGAGCAAAGACATTGCTCATTTCTTTGTTGATTTTTTCCCTCAGAAAGAGAAAATGACGGAACTATAAGAAACGGGGATGGATCAAAAAGTATGGCCGGTGCAGCTCGGTCGGGTCTACCGACCGGTCTTTGAGGCGGAAGAAATGCTCGTCAGAAGCCTCAAGAAAAATTGCCAAAAAGCAATTCTTCCATCTGTCAAGTCTTCTCAAAGCTCTGAATTTCATGAAGCCGATGACCATGAAAGAACAGATGACCAGCTGGTCTATCATCTTCCAGATCGACTTCCATCCATCCAGAGCGAAAAATCAGAGCGGCTTCGGAATCTCGAAGAAAGAAGAAAAAGTAGACATGAAAAAATCGTGGAAAAGATGAAGCACTTGATTTCCGAGACTATCAAGAAGTTTCATCGGCAATTTGAAGAGATCTCCAAGGAACTGCTTCTTAATTTTTGATCGGGTTTTGATGACCCGAGTCTATTTTTTTCCTTGAGTCATTCTCGAAGAATGTTCCAATTCCGTCATCTCCGGAAATAAAAGTAAAGAAGCAAAGTAAAGAGCTTAAAATGCCAGCTTGCGCGCCATAAAACCGAAGCAGACGAGCTCGTGAGTGTTTTTGACGACCCAGGTTACGGTTGATCTTTTTTGGCGTGTTTTACCACCGCCGTCTGCTCGCCAAAATTCGTAAAAGCTTCGTTTCGAAATTATCGTCGATTTCGACCAAGTTTCTGGGTTAACTTTCGCGTTAACAAAAAATATAGTAGAAACCCTTTTTAAGCCAGTTTTGAGCCAAAAAAAAATCTGAAAATTTTTCCAACCGTAGAAAAAGACAAGCTAGAAACCTTCACCGAATCCGATTTCGACTCAACTTGGTCGATGCTTGAAAACATCATAAAAGCCTCCGAATCGGCCATCGCCAACTTTCGCTCCTCTTGCCAAGCTCTAGAATCTTCGCTGATCAAATCCACCGGCGAAATTCTCGAGTCCACCCTTATGGCGATGAACAAAAACGGCCTCTTGGTCGAGAAGGAGAACCGGAAAATCATCGAAAACGAAAGCATGGTTCTGAATCAAGTCTTTTTCGCGAATAATCGGACCTGTTCAAAGATCCTCAAGGCTCTCGCCACGGACCATACCTCCGTTGCGCTTCAGACAAGAGTTGCCTTCACAGAAAGAAAGAACGCCTGGATCGATGTCAAGAACGAAAGTGCCAAAGCAAAATTTTTCGAATACTTGGACCAGCAAGAGCTTAGAAACCCAAGCTTTGTGGAAGAAATTCTCAATGATTTGAGGGAGAATCAGAGTCAAGCAATTTCACGAAGAACTGATCTTCTTCTAAGTCTATCTGTCAAAGGATTCGAGATATTTTCCATCAATTTATCATTGTATCAAAAACAAAGTGTTTGATCGTAATTGAATTTATCAAGATCACTTTCAGTTGAAAAGGTTGATGAAAGTTTATTGAGTTTAAGATACCATAGTAGAGGTAAATCGAAGTATGATATCATGTTGAAAATGGAATTCTTTCAGCAAAATTTTCTCCGAAACCTCATTAATCAATCAAAGCCGGTAAGAGAGGAGAATTTTGCCTGTACGCCAATCACAGTCGAGGCTGCGCTAGAAAACCTGTGAAGAAAACCTGAGTCAGGGCCTGAGTAATCTGCAAAGAAAATATCCCGCAGACCCTGACTCAGGTTTTCTACACAGGTTGCCGAGCCCACATGCGAAACCCCCCCTATTCCCCTCCAATTTTTCGAATCCTGAATAAAGACCCTACCACCATGAACATGGACGAAACAACCATCTCCTCCATCATCTACGATCTCCACAAAATCGAGGCAGAGCTCGAGTCCCGCCTTCACGCGTCCCTCAATAATCTCCAGGATCATTTCCGATCCCTCTGGCATTCAATTGACGTCGAAGAGGAGAAATTCATCGCGATCGTCAAACGATACACAACAGAGGAACAATTCGAAACGACCCGGGAAACAGCGAAAATGTCAATATATGAACTCTCCGAAGATCATCAACGGCAGATTTACGAGCTAGACGTTGTTTTCGAAGACTTGTCAAGGAAAAATGCTGAAAAATAAGGAACAAATATGATTATTTATTATCTCCTTTTTTCAGTTATATTTTTTTCGAACACATTGTTCTTTAAAAAAAAAAGATATAACTTTCTATCTCCCTGAAACATATGTTCGATTTGGGGCCATTTTATGATACCGTCTAAAACAAGGCTTCATTTCTCACGTGACAGCTTGGAGTCAGCTTCACTTTTCTCAGCACCGAAAAGTCATAACAAGTCTCAACTAGCTTCAATCATCAATCTTCTTGAAAATCTTTCGACTGCTTGGTCCCGAAATCAACAAGAACTATCAACTCTTCAAAAATCGCTGGAGACAAATTTAAGGGACTGAGTTTTGATTGATTTTCTTTTTAAATATTTGTAAAATTTTTTTTTCATAAAAATTTATAATTCCAACTTGAAAAGCAAAAATAAGAAAAAGTGGCCAACGTATCTTGTGACCCTTTCAAGATGATTCTAAGTTATCATGTGAGGCAATAAACATTTATATTTTATGATTTTTATGTCGAAAACCAGCCATTTTTGCCAGTTTTGGCACAATTTAGAAGATTCTAGAACTAGGAAGGGCGAGGTGCTTTGGGCGCCCTGGGGGGGGGGGGTAGGGAGACTCTCATCCAATAAGATACGACTCGTATCATACGAGTATTCTTTCAGCCGACCAATAAGAGACGAGAAAACCCCATAAGTCCCCATTACCCTGATCATTTGCCCGCCCTAGTTCTAGAAAATCTCTTGACTTCGAAAACTCAGCTTAAACTCGGAAAAAGCATTGAGCGAACGAACCACGATTCAGCCCAACTCGAGCTAGAATCCTTCATCAGCCTTAAAACCGATGAACTGGCACAGGCAAACTCTCAGCAAATAATCGAGCGCTACGAGGGCTCCTTGGCAAAGCTCTTTGAGCAGAAAGACATAAAAATTGACGAGTTCAAAAACGCTTGTTCCGAACACGAACGGGCTTACCAAACAAAAGTAGAAGAACAAGAGGATTTCTTCGCAGCGGAAATCAGCCAAATCTGCAATTTAGAAGAAGAGCTTCTCGAAAATCTGCGAAATAAAAAGGAGAGCCCTTCGAACTCGCCGGAGTCAGAAGAGCAAGATGTTTCGTGGGGCCGAGAACTGGAAATTCGCGCCGCGAAAAAGGCCGAAAAGACGGCAAAAGGGGCCAAGAAGGATGGAAAACACGCGAGTCTTGAAAAACTTCCGACATTTAATTTCACAGCTGAAGATTTTGAGATCCACGATTCGGTTCCATTTTCGATCATCGCGGAAATCGGCGATGAAATTCTCACCGAAGAAAGTCTTCATCGAGCAATCAAGGATGGCTATTTGAAGAAAACTTTCATTCAAGAAATCAAGCAAGATTTCAAGCTCTTTGTCGCGCGATTTTACGAAGCTCGGAAATCAACGCTCTCTTCCGAAATCGAAAAATCCTTTTCAAAGAGAGAAAAAATCTTGGGAAAAGAAATCAAAATGATGAAAAAGTTCAACTCAAATCGCCTCGGAGAAATCAAGTCGGAAATTTCCGCCGTTCGAATTGAACAACTAAAAGACCACGAAAAGCTTCTGTCCCTCCATGAAGGAAACATCAAGGCGGAAATCTCCAATTTGATAAGTCAGTCGAAAGAATTGAACAAAATCGCGAAAAAACAACTGGAAAAATCGAAAGAAATTGGACCAAAATTGCTTGAAAAGATCAAGGAAACAAAGTTCTCGAGGGAACTGAAGGAGATAAGAAAGTTCTTTTGTAGCGAATTCGACAAGGCTGAAGATGATCTGAAGGAATCGATATCAAACAAGAGCAATTATACAATGTAAAAAATTATTACAGTGAAACCCCAACTTAAGGCCCAGCAACTTAAGGCCACTTTTTTGAAAAACCCCCAAAATCTGTCATCCGAAAAAAATCCAACTTAAGGCCACTTTTTTCCATTTTTATTCACAGTAAGTAAATCTCAGGAAAACAGGCGAGAAATGGGGAAGATAAGATATTTTTCGTAAAAAATTTCTTGGAATTTCTTTCAAATATGTTATAAAGAAACTTATATATTTAGAACTGTCTGTAGACATGATAATAACGAGAAAAAATTTCTAAATTTTGATTCATCAAGGAAAAATTAAAACCGTGAAATTCGAGTTTACAGGCCTGCAAAGCCTGTGAAACCCGTAAAACAGGACCTGTTCCTGTGTTTTTTATCCTGTCCAGTTTCCTGTTTCGCAGATGGGCAAAAATATGAAATCCCTGTTCCTGTGTACAGGATTCCGAGGCCAGATTCTGTCCCTTGCTCCAGAAATAGAAAAATTTTAGCGTCATCCAACTTAGTTGGAGAATCACCCAACTTAAGGCCATTTTTAAAATTAGCTGTCATCCAAAAAGTGGCCTTAAGTTGGGGTTTCACTGTATTACAATGTCAAATTGAAACACCCTAACCCTAACCCTAGCTTCATCCGTAACCCTAACTTGGAGTATAATCTGATTGATTGGATTAATTTCGATATTGAAAAAGTCAATCTTCACCAGTTTCAACGAGCAAATGGAGCTAACACTCTCTGAAGTAAAACGCGCCAACACCCTCTTTCTAAAGAACTATCAACCCTTTTCCTCGGGCGGCTGTTTCTCAGACTTTGAAAAAGAAGAAGCCGAAAAGAGACTGATCAAACTCGAGAAAAATCTCGTCCGGGCGATGAGAAACATCGGAAAGGAGATCGAAAAGAACATGCCAAAAAAAATGAGAGAGTTCGAAGATTTGAAGAAAGATTCAATTTTGAATATGGAGAATTTCGAAGCAGATCTTGATTTCATCGCTCGATTAGACAAAGAAATTAGACGGATAAAGATCGAAGTTTCGGGACTTATGGAAGACCATAAACTGTCCTTTAATGAGCTTGATAGGAACTCAACGACCCTGAAGATGATGGATCGTGCGATTTTATCTCCGACACATGAGTTTCCGAATGTTTCTCTTGAACAACTACAGAAGCAATGGAAGGAATGGGGCTTTATTTTTTGCTAAAATAAAATGACGCCGAGTCGTAAAATTTAATTTAGAATTAAATTCCGACGCGACCATAAAAAACTTAACCTTTGAAATTTATTATGATTTATCGTTTCTGCCAAAAAAATAACAGCCAGATAATTTAATAGCTCTTCCACCAGACCGTGCGAGAATCTGCGAATAAGATCGTTACATCCTACAGAACGAGACAAAACGATGAGTCGGCCTCTGAATTGACGGAATTTTACGAGAAATGGTTGTTGGAAAGGGAAAAGGAAAAATCTCCAAGCCCGAGTATGGAGCAAATAAATCGGTTTGGACGGCGAATGAGCTCGCTCAGGACGGATAATTCCGCCAGAAAAGCTCTCAGGTAAGATTTTCCATTATAATTAGCCTTTGAAAGTCCTCTTCAATCATCTTTTTTTCAGCAATAAAATCAGCCGCGGCCAGCAAAACACCACCGAAACCCAAACAACTGGAATCGTCCGCCGAATCATTCGAGATCCCAAATCTCAGTTAAAGTTTAATATTTTCGCCCTTGACAATCCCCCTGAAATCACCGATCTTCCGACGAAAATAACGAGCGAAATGATGGGCGCCGCGGATAACGCGCTTGAAATCATAGACGAGTTTTTCAAGAAAAAGGGGCCGCGGGAAGTTTTGTTCTGCAAAACCCCGGAGAATTTGGACAAAGCACTTTGCTACCTGGAAAATTCTTTAGAAAAAATTTATTCTTCCGGCCAAAAATCACTGCGAGCAGAGTTCAAACGATTCGAGGAAATTTCGCGATCGCTTGAAAAAATCGAGGGAAATCTTCCATCGAAAATTTTCAACAGCTGCTTCTCGAATTTTGAGAAAAGGATGAAAAGTGGACAAGAAGAGGTTCGGAAGAGGAATGAGTTTTTGGAAGATGCGCTAGAAGAAGCAAAGAAAGAGCATTTTAATCAGCTAAGGTAGAAGAATTAAGAAGACTCAGGCCACTAAGGCTACTAAGGCGTTTTTCTTTAAGATCAATTTTGAGAACAAATTTTTTATCTTTATAAAAAAGAAAAAATCTCATTTTTATGGTTTCGGCTTTTTTGCTTGAAATCTGAAAAATTGATGGTCTGAATTTCGGATTGCTTATCAGTTAGTTTATTGCCGATTCCAACGTATTTCTAGAGTCAACCTTGGGCACCCAGATGACCTTTGGAAGCTGGAGAAAATCAACGAGGAGGAAAACGACCGAGTTCTGCGCCAGTCAAAATTCATCAAGGACAAAGCGGAAGAGGAAATTGAAATGCTCACAGAAGAAATTTCCGCCTCTCTTTCACAAATATACAAGGAAACCAAATTTCTTTCAGACTCGTTTTCGTAAGTTTTCGAGCTTTTTCTTCTTTTTTAATATATTCAGGGAGCGGATTTTGTTCGATGAAATCATGGAAGAAAACCCTCATATTGAAAAATCGACGCTTCGAAAACTGGATTGCGAGCATCTACCGGTCTTTGAAAATGAAGAAATTCACGTGACAAAGAAAACACTTGCCCACCTTGAACTTGAAAAAGAGCGCCAACTCTTATGTAAGCCATTTTTTCTGAAGTAATTTTTCTTGAAATTTTGACTTTCAGATTTGAAGCTCAAAACTTTTTACACGGAGAAAAAACTCGCTGTTCGAAATGAAGAAGCAAATGCTCTGGAAGATCTTCACCGATGGGAAGGACATTTCGCCTCGCACCTTGCAGATATAAAACGGCTATTTTCTTCCTCGACCTGAAGCTGTTTTTTTACAAAATAAATATATTTTCATATCAATTAATCAGATTTTTTTGTGTTCAATGAATTTCGTCAATGAATCATTGAGACGAAAACGTTGTCAAATTACTGTCAGGGCTATTACTGTATAAAGGAGAACCTCTCTTGAAAGATTTGAAGATTGAAAGATTTTTTTCATGAAGACTCTTTTTCTTTTTATATTTTTAATTTTCCCTGCAGAAATCGAGCCGCTTAGTCCCGCTATCAAGGCTGAAATTAACCGGCCTCAAAATACGAATAACGACATGTTCTCCTATCTTGAAGATCGAGAAAAGATGCTGAATCAAGATAAGGATCAAATTTGAACAAAGAAAGGGAGGAAAAATTTTTGATTCAAAATGAGCTCCTGGTGGTTTCGTGAACGTCCTGAGCAAGCACAAAGAAGAGTCAGAATCTGATGAACCCCTTAAGAAGTTCTTGATGAATCGGTTGGAGACAGTGATGTTCAATCGGATGCTTACTGAACTTGGGCTAGGAAAAGAGTGGATAATCAGCTTTTTTGGACTAAACCAAAAAATAGAAGTGGATTTTTGAATAGCCAATAAGATTGCTGTATTTGGCCAGCCGGCCAATCAAAGCCCAGATCCATAAAATCACTTATTTTTCGGTCTAACTCGTTTTTTTTAATTGAAAAGAGTCTATTTGAAGAATTTTCTTACAGGTGGTATTTACAGTTAGTAATATACAGTATTGACAGAACTGAAATTTAGATGGCTTCGTAAGATTCTTCCCAGAAAACGATGGAATTTCCAGAATCGTTTTGAATAATGGAAATATTGTAGTTAATTATCGGGGCCGAAATCGTTTCATCCTCTTTTTCTTCAGCCAAAAACTGGGACTTTTTCATTTCTTTTGGAGCCTTTTCGAGTTTTAGGAGTTTCTTGAGCGTCTTTTTCAACTTTTTCATCGGAGAGTTTTTCGGAACTTGCTCGTCTAAAACCATTGAGAAGCGGCGGATGTTTTCGCCGGAGCATTCTTCGATTTCGAGTCGAGGGCCGGAGAGGGTTCGAACTCGAGTGGGAGTTGTGGAGATGGTCATTTTGAGCTTCTGGTGTTCTTTTGGTTGCTGTTTTTTTGATTTGATGATTTTTGCAAAAGTGATTTTCGTTTTATATGAAAAGAACAGGTGTGATAGTGGCGCTGAGGAGGAGGAGGAGTTAAAATGGCAAGGTCGAGTTAATTGCCCTTGACAGGTGATTTGAGCTGATGATGATCGCAGGTGACGGTACTCAGCTTGATCGAAATTAACGAGAAAGTGCACTCATAATGACTGATTTCGTATTCTGATAAGATCAAGGACTATGAGCATTGATTATTTACATTTTTATTAAAATAAAGATGTAAATGATATTGAAATTTAAGAGAAAAAAGAAAAGTATGTTTAGAAACTCAAAGTTCTTTTATTGCAAAAATATTTAATTCATTCTTGCAGAAACTAATTTGTGGTCTTTGATTTCTTTGATGCAAAAGCTTAATTATCCACAAAAAGAACGCGATGAAAAGATGATGAATGACATGCGACAATTTATTCATGAATCATGATTCATGAGTCTAAAATTCTGCAATCGAAAAGAATAAATTTGAGTGACAGGAAATGTTACGATTGTTCTAGATTTATTTTTTCATTTTCATTATTTTGCTCTTGCTTCTCCAGATTTGATTTTTTGAGAATGTTTGTTAGGTGCATTCTTTACCAAGGTAGGCCATTCATCCGCATTTTATTTACAGTTTGAAGCCGGGAAATGCCTCGAATACGCAAATTATGAAGACATAAACGACTACTTTTTGATCGACGAAGATGACGACGAAATCGAAACAGACCCGGATGAAGATGATGATGATGATGAAAAAGACATTCCCACAGACCCAGATGTCATTTCGGGATGGATTTATACTGTTGGTAAGCGAGTTTTTAATTAATGATTGCATTTAATTGTTTTGAGGAATAATAATTTTTACGATCATTGTGCTCTACTGCTTATGCTGCAGCGGCAGAGATGGAGATTCAGGAAACTTTTGAGAGCTTCACTCTTATTTCAAAATAAAGATCCGGAAAAAGATAAGCTCTTAAAACCAGCAAAGTCGCCAGCTCTAGCTACGCATCTGACACTGAACATGGAAAATCGAGCAAAGCATCCTATTCTGCGGCGAAGAAATCGGCCGGATTGATGGATAAATTCAAGCAGAATGTGAAAAAATCCTTTGACGTAGCGCTCGATACGGATTCGGACGGAAACGGCGTCCCACCAGCTCCTTCAGCCGCTGGCTTCTCATTCCAAACCAAAAAGGTGAGACTTCATACTTCGCGAAAAACGAGACGAGTTTCCACAATTTTTTTAGCGGGGCTTCAAGAATTTCTTCAAGCCAAGGACTCCGAAAAAAGACTACATGCCGCTCTCTGCCGAAGAGGAATCGATGAATCAAACGATCCAATCCTACCAGAATTAGATTTTCCTGCCATTTATTTATCACCACAAATTTCCTTCCCACACAATAAATTTTTATTTCAATAAAATGACGTCTTTTTGAACGGATTTTTTTTTCGCGCAGATTTCCCTGATAAATCGAAAGAAATTGTTATGTCAAAAACACGAAATTTTAAAAATAGATTCTCAAATTAACATTCTCAGCCGTCGATAGCTCAGTTGGCAGAGCGGGAGACTGTAGAGGGTTGAGCAGTTATCTCTAGGTCACTGGTTCGAATCCGGTTCGACGGAAGCTTTTACTTCCGGTCTTGATTTTTCCGCAAAGAAATTAAATATACCGTGCCCTTGTTCATTCTGCACTTTTTGAATGTGTCCCCTTGTTCATCTTTTGGCCACGTAGCCTTAATCGAATTTCTTTCCCTATTTTCTTGGCATTCTGAGTCGATTGCGAGAAAGAACAGAAAGAAGGTTCATATAAACAGAATATATATTTGGGTATCATAAACACGATTTTTATTTGATCAAACAAGACATTCATGTGTTCTTTCAAATCTTTATAATGTAACTTTCATCTTTCATCAAGTCTTATTCGAACATGCTGGTCATCCATGACTGGAACCGGCGTTTTTAACAAGATCCAACATGATAGTCACCAAACTACTGTTCCCCGAATCCAAAAAGAAACAAAACGATCGAAAATTTGAGCAGCGATAAAAATTTAAAACCAGCTCAAATATTCTCTGCGGCCTGATCTTTGCCATTCCCGGATCCAGAGAGCAATTTTTCCAGAAAGAAATCGAGAAAATGCGTCTTTTTGGAATCCTTGCTGCTGCCTCGCAGGCCACTGCGGAAATCATTGTCCCAGACATTATTCGAGGTAAGCACCGGTATTTGTGATTTGACAATCAGCCTTGCTAAGATGCTCTTGCCAAGTCGGACTGTGCTTCCAACACTCTTGAAAAATGCGCCATGCGGGTGAAGCAGGACATGGAGGCCGCAATCACTTACGAGAACTGGAACTGCATCGTTGCGGCTGAGAACGCTGGTCAATACTCCTCCCTCAAGGTAACAGAAAAAGCAGGAAAAAATGAGGGGTAAAAATTTCTAAGAACGATGGATTTGGCTACTACGATGCTAGCAAACGGCTTTACGCTCAGATAACGGGATCAAAATATTCTCTTTTTTCATCCGTTTTTCAATCTTTTTTGATCCCTTTTGCACTGTGGAAGCTACAGAGGCTATGATGTCAACCAGTCGCAGCTGACTGCTGAATGCCAAAAAGCCAACAACGCTTGCAGGTCGGTATCTCTTCTGATCTCAGCAAAAAAGCATTTGTTCTAGCACTACTGAATGCATCGCTGATTGGTTCAACGTCAACTACTACCAGAACCCATTTTGCCCGGACGGATTGAAGCTCTACGAGGCTCTCTTTCTCAAGAACACGTCTCGCTGGTCCTCGGCCTGGTACAACGGAGCTGCTGCTTGGGATGAGTTCCAATGCATCGCTTACTGCAAGTAAACATTCCTGTCTTCCAATATTTGAATAAATAACATAAAAAATATTTTCGCTTTCCAATCCAGGATCAAGCTTGTTCCGGAGAATATATCCGTCTTTCCATAAATAGGCTGAGAGGAGAAAGGTCACAGCATGGTCGAGCAGCAGTGGAAACTTTTCCCAGGATCAGGAGTCCTCCCCCTGGCTCCTGTCTACAGCCTGGCGAAAGGAGCTGAGTTTCCTTTCGTTTCGTTTTGATGCGAAAGTATCCCCGTCTCGTCCATAGCATTGGAGCCCGGCTTTTCAGTCTCAGCCTTGTCTCATCGACGGTCGATGATCGACCATATAACTAGCATGACATTTTCTCAAGCAAAAAAAGGGGGGGGGGGTGGCGTGACGAACCGACAAAAAATCTCGACAAATTTTTCGTGGGTGTCTACTCACCTTTTTATTGGCCGGTAAACAGAATTCAGGCTTCTGATTGGTTGAAAATTTCCACGCAAAATTTTTCGGATAATTTATTCAAAAAAATTTAAAGTTGACATAAATGAACATAAATGAGAATTGATCATTGCAAAAGCAAGCAAGCAGGAGTTCGTCTAGTCAATGTCTACACTGTGTCTAGTGCAATATAATTATGTTTATAGTAACACCTTGCTTCTACCAAAGAATTGATTCAACCGAGTCCCGTTAGGATCAGAGAGCCCAGACATGGCTCAAATTCTCGTTGATCTCCAAAGAGAGGGCGCTATAAAAATCATCGCGAGATCGAATATAAACTCGCTTGAGTTTATCAAAAATCCATCCAAAACAAAATTCATCAAAAGAAAGAATGTTTCTTCCGCTGGTTTTAATTCAAATTTCCGTCTCGACACAAATAGCTGACCTTCAAATTATCGAAAAAATCCGGGCCTGTAGCGAGCGCGCCGGAATCGATCAAAAAGTCATTCCGAGGATTTGCTATGAAAATCCAGATGCTACTCCCTTGATAACTCCAAATCATCTGTCAAGAGGGAGACGGTCGAATTTGCTCTTTAGGGGACATCATCAAATGTGCAAAATGCCCTGTCAAAGGGTGCCACTTTACATGGACGCTAATGTTAGTCTCTAGAAAGAATTGCTCTTATTTATGTTCTCTTCTTTCTTTCTTTTATCTAACTCAAAATTTAGCTTCTTGGGCGACAATTTGGCATCTTCCTGAAAAACTACGACGGTTCAAAACTCATCGACATCGGCAGCTGCCGAGGACACTGTATGGCCTTTCAGAATCCATTGTAAGTTTTACTCTCCCAATCTCGATATTCATGTTCTTTTCTAGAGGATCGGACATCAACCAAGGCTGCTTTCCGTCAAAAATGGAGACGTTGGATTTTGAATCAAATGGCTTCGTTTTTCAAAATGAGATGATCGTCAAAACCTGCCGCTGTGCTAGCTTTGTTAGCTGCCATTCATGATATTTTTGTGTTTTTCAAAATTCTCGAAATTCTCGAAATTTTCAAAATTTAGAAAATCTCGAAACTCTCGAAATTTTCGAAATTCTCGAAATTCTCGAAATTCTCAACATTTTCGAAGTTCTCGAAATTCTCAAAGTTCTCGAAATTCTCGAAATTTTCGAAATTTTTATTCATCAAAGAAAACTGCTTATTTTTCTGTGCATTTCTGTTATTTCTGATAATAAATCATTTAGATAAAATAATAAGCTGAAAAAAAGTCAGTCTTCCCAATAAATCAACACCGAGATTAATGTTTGCCAGTTGTATTTGCCGAATAACATTTTTTGGAAATTACAAACATTTATCATTTTGACTGGGTCCTATTTACATTTATCATCTTCTGCTTGTGTTGCCCGGCCAACGCTGCTAATCGACCAGTTTCGAAAGTCGTTTTAAGTTTAACCCATTGTCTCTCCAACACCACTCCATTATCCTCTTCCCTAAACAAGCACAAAAAAGAGAGAAGGTCTTTCATTTTCTAGCTTTTTTTTTACGAAAATGCCGAGTGAATCGAGAAAGAAGTCAGGATTTGGGGGCTTTCAACCTTCATATAGGGGAACTATATTCGAGTAAGTACAGAATAAACGGATTTTCTATCTACGAACAAAAAGAGAAGGGATAGTAATCCAAGCGAATCCTATCGGAGCGAGCTCAAGAATGTAGCCCAAAATTGCTAATTTTGTGGGCTAAGTGCGCTGAGCTAGCTCAATGAGCTAAGCAGTCGCTCAGCTCAGCTCAGGTCAATATTTCAAATGGCCTGCACAGCACAGCTCAGTCCCGCTCAAAATTGTGTCTGCTCAAATTCAGCTCAGCTCAACAGCTTTCGAAAAAGGTCTGCTCACTGAGCAGTGCTCAGCTATGCTCAGTTCAGCTCAATAATCAAAATATCTGCTAAGCTCAGCAAAACCCACTCTAAGGAAAACAAATATGATAATCAAAATTTCAAATTCTTATTCTTTTTCTTATTTAAAATTCTATTCGTGTTATTTTTATGATAATTCCGAAATTGCGTCACCCACATCCATAAATCCTCTCTTTCAATCAACATGATTTTTCCCCTCTGCTTGCTAGCCAAGGCGTCTTCTTCCATGAGGTCGATTCACAGTTTTACCCCGTAGATCGACATCTTCCAGGCCAGGGCCCAACAGACTGGTGCGAGAAGGATTTTCTTTCCTTGACGATTCTGAATAATATTGCCCCCAACAGCATTGTTTTTAGTCACCCCTTGGTTCAAAAAGCACGAAGAGGAATGCCATCAGAAACGTCATCGAATAATTTGAATTCGCTGAGGTCACAGTCGATGGGAAATTTGCCTCCAATGAAGACTGAATATACTTATCGATTCGAAGGCGAAAAATATAATATTCCGAAATATGAGGTGAGAAAAATATAAAATCACCATCAATTTTTTCTTCAGAAAAAAGACAAGCCGATTGATCCCTGGAATCTCGATGCAATGGTCGAGCAAAAACTAAAACGAACGAAAACGACCCTTAACTTCCGTCGAGGAGCCCTGCCTGCATATGGCGGTCACGTGCCTGGATACAAGTTTCGCTTTGGCGAGAGTTTTGCTGCTCTTTCTGTCAGAATTCCGAAATAAAAAAAAAAGTTTTCTTTGAGTTCCAGTTTCTCCATCGTTATTCAGAGATGAGAATTTAGTCGGGAAGATAGCTTTCTATATAGCCAGATATGTAAAACATATTCAAATTCGAGTAAACAACGCCCCGTGGAAAATGGATCAAATGCTAATTATTTCGATCGTTTGATGAAGAAAATATTCTCAAATAACAGATAAATTCTTGAGTTGTTTTGAGAATATGGCTGGTTATTCCTTTGTCAGAACATAAATGAAGGTTGTTGATTATGTACCTTATTGAGAATTTATTTCAAAAATCGCCGAGTTCTCAAAAATATTCTCAAGAAAGGGGAGTCCGTCCAAGTCCTCCAAAAAGTATTTGTTTAATTTAACCGTTCAAATAAGTAGACAGATTTCTATTTGTATCTCATTCTCCGGGTACGTTTTTCAAATGCCAGAGTCAGAGTATTTGGAAGGTACCAATTTCCCCGTTTTTCTTTCCTGATCATTTTCATTAGATCTCGAGGAAAACACTCCTTATCCCTACCATGTGTTTTTCATCATTGGCAACGAGTTTTGCGAACGATATGCGTATTATGGAATGCGAAGTATTTTGATCATCTTTTTGACTTATTTTCTTGGTTTCTCGAAGGACCAGGCTTAATTTTGATTTGCCGATTAATACGATTTTTAAATTAAAAAATAATTTTTTTCGGTCGAAAAAATTCGTTTTTTTCTGTCAAAAATCATTTTTCGGTCGAAGAAAATTTTTTTTTGGTAAAAAAATGTTATTTTTTTTTGGTCGAAAAAAATTTTTTTTGTCAAATAATGTTCATTTTTTTGGTCAAAAAATCATTTTTGGGTAAAAAAAGCCAAAAGAAAGGATGAGTCGACAATCATCTACCACTCCTACATCGCCATGTGCTACTTCTTCCCCCTCATTGGTGGGATCATTGCAGACTCTTGCCTCGGTAAATTCTGGACGATCCTGAACCTCTCCATCGTCTATCTCGCTGGAATGGTGATGATGACTGTAAGCGCGGTTCCTTTCGGCGATGATAATTCACCAAATAATACCAACACGATTCTAGCGATCTGTGCTCTCATCACAGTCGCAATGGGAACTGGAGGCATCAAGCCTTGCGTGGCGGCCCTTGGTGGTGATCAATTCAAGGTAAGACCGGAAAAACGGCATTTTTTGACAATTTTTTCGAGGACACGAAAAAGGGAAAAGAACAACTTTCCGGCTTCTTCTCCCTTTTTTACGCCTCGATCAATGCTGGCTCGCTCATGTCGACCTTCGTATCTCCGATTCTCCGAGAGCTTCAGTGCTTTGACCGAGCCGATTGCTATGCCATCGCTTTTGTCGTCCCAGCTTGCTTGATGTTCGTGGCTATTATTGCCTTCGTCGCTGGAAGCAAGAAGTACATTATCAAGCCGAGTAAGGGAAATGTTTTTGGGCAGTTTATATGCAAGGGCTTTTCATTTTCATGTGAAAAACTTTTTTTTTTGAAATTTTTGGAATTTTTTTTCGATTTTTTTTCGGAATCTTTTGGAATTTTTTGGAATTTTATGGAATTAATTGGAATTTTTTCGATTTTTTTGGGATTTTTTGGGATTTTTTCGGAATTTTTTTCGGAATTTTTTGGAATTTTTTGAAATTTTTTGAAATTTTTTGGAATTTATTGGAATTTTCTCGATTTTTTCGGGATTTTTTGGAATTTAGTTGAATTTGTTTGGAATTTTTGGAATAATTTTGGATTTTCTTTGGAAATTTTGAAAAGCCCTGAAAAAGCGGCGGTCTGCCCATGTGGTGATAAATCGCAATACACGGAAAAGCAAATGAAGGAGTACAAATCCGTCCTGCCAATCATCGTCATGTACATTCCCCTGCCCTTCTTCTGGGCGCTCTTTTCCATGCAAGGATCTCGCTGGACCCTCTCAGCGACTCAGACGAATGGATGGGTTGGAAACGCAAAGATTCGACCCGATCAGATGCAGATTATGAATCCAATCATGATTCTCGCCTTCTTGCCACTTTTTCAATACTGCGTCTATCCAGCGATAGAATGGTGTGGCTTCAAAATGACGTCTTTGCGAAGAATGAGTGCTGGCCAGGTGAGTTTCCAGATGGATTTACGGACTTTCGGGTCAAATGATTCACAGTTTTCATCCAGTTTTTAGCTCACAACCGCCTTGGCTTTCCTAGTCGCGGGATTCGTCCAACTGGCGATCGATGACGGACTCACTCCTATTCCTGATTACAAGACTCAGAACTCTCTTCGCGTTATGAATGGCCTAGCTGATGCTGACTTCACCGTTTCCTCGAGCTATTGGGACTTTCTCGGAGACGAGTACCCAGTTGGCGGGTATTCAGTAAAGCCGAATATTGAAGAGTTCCGGACTGAAACTCATGCAAAAATCAGGAATCGAATTTGAAAAATATTTTTGCTGAATTTTCGAAAATTAAATTTCAAAACCGATTGAAAAGAGACGATTTGCCAAAAAATGAGGTTCTCAAAATAAACGCCCCGGGCAAATTCGACTTCGATATTTCTCTTGATGAAATCGAGCATGAAACAATCAATAGCTTTATGGTCTACAAAAACGAGTCGAAATACGAATATCTTTGGGTAAAATTCTTTCCTTGAGTCTTCCTTGATTTCAGCCGAAAATTTTAGTACGTCAGCCCAAAGGAAAAATCCGGGTCGATGCGAGTTAGAGCGGTTTTGCTGAATCCAAGCGGGTATTATCTACGATATCATCTGGTTGATAAATCTGATGGGTCGGAGAAACGAATGGTGGTCGACAAGACCATCAGTCCATTTAGCAAGGAGGATGAGAGCACCGAATTTGATCGAGGAAATTTTCAGATAAAGGCTTATTTTATGAAGGACCCCATTGATGATGGTAAGAAACAAGGAAAATAAGGGGCCCTTATTCTTTTCAGACATCACGGATGAAGAATTGGAGCTGCAGAAAGAATTCTCATGCGTCTCTGATTTCTGGGACGCAAACAACTGGCCCTATCATGAAACTAGCCCATTCAATTCCGAATTTCCTTATGGAACTGGCTCTATTTGGAGCTTCATGGCTGTCCAAACCGGCAATGGGAAATGCGAAGTCCGAGTTGGTCTTGAATCGAATGCAAATGACGTCAATATCTTCTTATTGTTGCCGCAGTACATTGTCATTACTGCGGGAGAAGTAATGAACTCTGTAACTGGTCTAGAATTTGCGTATACTCAGGCGCCAAAGTCGATGAAATCCGTCGTTCAGGTTGGACCCCTTTCTTTCCCTCTTTCCTTTCGACTCAATTTTCTAGAGCTTTTGGCTGCTAACCACCTGTCTCGGAAACATCATCGACATTTTCCTCGTCGAACTCAAATTGCACCCGACCCAAAGTGGCGAATATTTCATTCTTTCCGCCATTATGGCCAGTTCTACCACCGTTTTCATCCTCCTCGCCATCTTTTACTACGAATACGTCGATCCGTCGGAGTTCGACGAGGAGCCACCAAATGAGCTTGATGAAAAAGTCGGCGAGAAAAACGAAGCTTTTGACAAAGAAAGTGTCACTGACTTTTAAATTATTTAAATAAATCTCAAATCAACGAGAAAAAAATCAAATTTCTTTCGTGTCAATATTTGCGCTAGAAAAAATGACTGTAAAGAAAATTGCTTCCTATGAGCTTCCTAAAGTCATTTAATCATCAATTACGACTCGAACAAAGTGGTCGGCTTTTGTGATTTTTGGCGTGCTTCCATGACGGTAATTCGCGTTGTTTAGCGAAATCTCGACTTTTAATATTTACTAAGCGTACGCAATCGCGACCGAATTCTTCAAATTTTCGATTCAAGAGACCGAAATTTTTGGAAAAAATATTCTGATGGCAGAAAATGAAGAAGAGCTGATGGAAGAGGCCTTCGACTTGTTCTCCGAGAAAATCGCGATTCTAGCGCAAAATATTTCGCAAAAACTTTCGCCTGTTTCTTTTCTTTCACAAATAAGCTGATTTTCAAAATGAGTTTTCACGATAAAAGGATGAGCCAAAATTATGAGTAATAAATTATATTTTGACTCATAAATAATGACTAATTAGTAATGAGTCTAGAAATAGTCTGATTTACTGGATATATGGCCGGGCGGCGTTGCCTAATGCTACTCTGGTTGTTTAAGCCTAATCATAGTCGAACACGATTTAGTTTACAGTTGATTGTATTTAGGTTGAGTGTATCAAAGGGTGGAGTGTATCAAAAGGAGTCTCTTTTGAGTGTCTCAGTTTCAGAGTGTCAAAAGTCAGAGTGTCAAAAGTCAGAGTGTCGAGTTGTGCCGAGGATTCGCGGAGAGGGTCGTTTACGATATTTGCTCGTGTGCGCCGATGCGCCGGCATAAGTCCGTATTCAGCATTTCCGACAATCTCTATCCTTCCCCCTCATTGATTTTTGTTGAGTGAATGTCGCCGTAATCGTTTTTGTTTTTGTTTTGATGACTTGATAAAATTTTCGCTTGTTGGCTTTTGATGTAATGATTGGTCATATTGTTTTGACTTCTTTTGATTATTTGATTCCCACCCTCAAGAAGATATTTTTTTGTTGAGCAAAGATAGGTTCAGCTAAATAATAAACAGTATAAAAAAACAGAAAGCTTATTTATGATTTTTTCTTAACAGTTAATGATTGCTTCTCGAGATAAACAGAAAAATATGAATTTGATAAAAACAGAAAAAATTGGTCCGTTGAATTGCAGAAAAATTAAAAGAAACAGTAGAATTATTATTATTTTTTTTTTGGTTTTTTTTTCACGAAATTAAGTATTATTTGGGAAAAATAAGCAGAGTAATATAATAACTAAAGATACGAAAATTAAACGTATATATGTTAAAACTATTGATAATAACAATTTTACAGTTAGAATGGATTTTTTTTGTGAAGGAAAGATCTCCTTATCTTTTATTTATTTTTTTTAAGTTATTTTTCATTTTTTTTTTCTTTCAAAATTTAAATTCGACAATTGATTGAAGCAGTTTTTATCGCAAACTAATAAAAATTCATGATAAGATTCAATTCATTTTTTTTTTTAACTTTTAATTAGTTTGGGTTGGTTGTAAATAACAGGAATAGAAAATATACAGATTTAAAGCGATTGGATAGTGATTCAATGTCAGGAATTAATTACTGATAAACAGTCGCAAGTGATGTCGATTTACCAAATTATGACTAAATATGTACGATTTTTTTTTCTACAACACTGTTATACCGACATAAATATAACAGGGTCAAAAATTTATTAATAATCGAATAATTAATACTAAGCGCTAAGTATCAAAATCTGACTAAAGTTTTGACGCTCTTTATTTGTTGAACGTTAGCATCATTTATTATAGATCAATGGTTCTACGACGATCAAGTTTTATTTGTCGTATGAAGTTTGGAAATTTTATGTCCAAAAATTTATCTTTTATATCTATTTAAATTCAATTTTTAGCAAAAATTGCAAGGACTGGCGGATTTTAAAATTTATGTCATCGAATTCTTTTTAAAAAATTATTAATCTTTATCCTCTTTTCTTAACCTTCTTGGCTTTAACAAATAAAATCAGCTTTCATGTTTTCGTAAGTAACTAAAAATAAGAAGCCCTCCTTGGCTAAAACGACTTAGGTCAACTCTCATGTTGACAAAAAATTTTTCTTTTCTATTTTATGGCCCACTTTGGCTCAAACTTCTTCATCAAATTTCATGTTGATAGCATCTTTACACTTTTTCCCAGCCATTCCTTGGCTTCTGATAGTAAACGCCAACTCTTATTTTGTTGCGCGAATATAACTTTGTTTTTCTCATTTTCAACCTTGTCGACATAATTTATTTCCCTTTTTCTTCCTTTTCTACATAATCCTAAGCCGGCTTTGAAAAAGATAAATTTTGGTCGGGGTTAAAATCAGTTATTCAGCTCGTCAGCTATATACAACGTTTTACGGAAATTTTGTCCATATAAAAATTCTTTTTCAAAATAATCACTACTTTGGGCCCCGTATTTTATATTTTCAAAAAGAATATAAATTTCTAAAATTCCCTTATTTGTCATTGAAAATTACAACCAATATTTTCTCATTTTCATTAAAATATTATTATTACACCTTTTTTTTAATAACAATCAATTCCATTATGATTGTTTTTTAACTCTGTTTTTATTCAATTCATTTCTATCAAAATTAAAATATAAAAATTCAATCCACCAGTGCTTCCTTTTTTTTTCAAAATTTTTCGTTTAAATGTAATTTATTTTCGTCATTTTCATTTTCTTCTTCACGATCCGGAAGATCTGGACAAAACCTTATAAGATGGAATCGGCTACCGCAATAGAAGCATCGTTTTATAGTATAACCAGGGGGTTCTTGCTCAAGAGTGTTGTAATAATTATGCAGAGTATTCGGAATTCTTTCTGACTCTGGGAGCGGCTGATAATTAAAGTCCGCTCTTTGATCTTGCCCGTAATTATCGTTATTATCTGGGGCCATCCGATGTTGATTCCGGTGACCTTCCGGAGTAAGATGATTGACTTGACCTTCAAAGCTATCAAAGTTGTTATTATTATAACCTCCGGAATGCCATTGATCTTGGTCGGTGTCATAAAATTCATTGCTCTCACCATCAAATTTCCCGGTCTCGATGTTGTTCAAGTTTGCTAACCTTCTTTGGCTCAAAAAACCTTCGGTGAACTCAATTAGCTCCGTGCACACATAATTCATGGATAAAATTTGAAACAAACCGTCATCTTTCAACACCTTCTTCCGGAAATGAAGCTCACAAAATTTGGTCCCCCCGTCCCCTTTAAAAATTTTTGACGCGCGGATTTTCCGCAGAAGTCGTCGATAGAATCCATCGACCGTTTCTTTATCCGGATCGAACTCTATAAGCTCCACTTCCCTCATTATTTGCTCATCGTTCTTGCTCGTTATTTTTTCTAGAACGTCCATGAACCGTTTTATTGTTAATACTATCCCTCTTTCATTTAATTTTTGCAAGTTCGTGGAAATTTCATCTGCAACAAATTTTGCTTCAATTTTGCTAATTAAATAACCGATAAGCATTTCATCAGGTAAGGTTCTATTTGAGAACTGCAATTTTAAACTAAAAATTTGATTTTCAGCCCACAAAAGCAGCCCATCAGTGTCATCTTTTTCCGTAAATTTTCTGATTTGGCCCATTTTCATATCGTCTGATTTCTCCAAATTATTAACTAACACCACTTTTTCGGGCACAGTTTTACCTCTACGGGATCCAGAACCATGTTTTATACCTAAGATTTCTGATGTCTCAGAATCAGAGTTTTCCTCCGTCTCACTAAGGATATTTATATTATTCGAAATATCGGCTTGCTGCTCTTCTTCGACCCTTGAGCTTTCAGCTAATTTTTCATTCTCGAGATCCCAAACTCTCTGAAATTCCGAAGAGTGAATTTTGTCATTCAATTTAATATTAGCGACAGTGGAATTCCAGTCTCCTGCATAATTTATTTTTATCATTTTCTGAGATGGATCAAAAATCTCGTCGGATTTCGTAAATTGATAATTTGAAATTGATTTTCCATCAATCACGAACCGTTTGTAAAGAAAAACTAACAAATCTTCGACATTTTCCTCATTACATTGTATGCTTTTAGGGTCGAAAACTGGTATTTCACTCATTTGTTCCTGAGCCATTTCAAAAAGCTCATCATATGTTAACAGAGTTTGATCATCAAGATTATTTTTGACTTGATTATTGTTGGGAAAAGCAAGAGCTAAGAACAGATTTTCATAAGGTTTACCCTTATTTTTGTATTTCAAATAAAAGGGACACGCTAACAGGTGAGGTGGGATTTCTTGATTTTCATTATGGATATTATAAAAGTATTCAAAGAGTCCACGTCGAGAATTTCCTTTCGAATCAATTTTATACCGGGCTTTCATTTGAGAAATAAGAGCATTTGGAATACCGTAAATTTTAAGGCGATATATTTTATATTCTATTTCTAAATTTGGGGGTACCATTATTGTTTTTACGAAGTCACCAGATAGAAATAGTCTGATTTACTGGATATATGGCCGGGCGGCGTTGCCTAATGCTACTCTGGTTGTTTAAGCCTAATCATAGTCGAACACGATTTAGTTTACAGTTGATTGTATTTAGGTTGAGTGTATCAAAGGGTGGAGTGTATCAAAAGGAGTCTCTTTTTGAGTGTCTCAGTTTCAGAGTGTCAAAAGTCAGAGTGTCAAAAGTCAGAGTGTCGAGTTGTGCCGAGGATTCGCGGAGAGGGTCGTTTACGATATTTGCTCGTGTGCGCCGATGCGCCGGCATAAGTCCGTATTCAGCATTTCCGACAATCTCTAAGTCATAAATCATATTATGAATCATAAATGAAGAGCCATAATTTCTGACTCATTAATTTAATTATGACTCATAAATTATATTATGACTCATAAATTATATAATGATTCATTAATAATGACTCATAATATTCAATTTTCGACGATCAAAGCTGTAATAAACCAGTAAATGAGATAGTTCGGGACTTTATTTGTTAGAAAGAAGCAAGCATACTATTTAAATGTCATAAGAGTAACGAACTAGGCAGCGCTCTTTTGTGCGGTTGGCTTTAAGATTTTGACTTGGTAGCGACTCTGAACGCTTCGAGCCTGCTATTTATTCTTTTGCAAAAAGCTCGAAAGTCGAAGAACGAAGCCGACCGCTTCCTACGTTGTTTTTGCTTTGTCAGTGTTTTTCCTTCAATTACAGTCAATTACAGTTAGCCGACGGTGGTGATAGGTTGTTGCGAAATCGTCTATTTTTGGTTTTCAATTTTTTTTCAGAAAAAAAATTTTTTTTTTCAAAATTTTAAAATTTTTTGAAAATGAAATTTCAACCATTTTCCTTTCCAGTAGCTCCAATAGTCGTCTCCGAAGCGCGCTGGGAAGCGGTGATGCCATGCGTTGCCGCGTGCATTTGGGACTAAGTAATTGGATCAGCCGAGCTTCTCCCGACTGCGCTACCGTTTTTTCTCTCCTTTTACGCTCCGTTACGAAATGCGATAAGGAGCTAGCTCAAGAAGAAAGGGCAGAGGGAAGAAGGGCTGTTCTAATGGGATGATCCGTTCCTGACACGCACAGTAGAAAATTGCTCCGACGGGCAAAATTACCAAGACGAAGACGACTTTTTTTCGGTTCTGGAAAAAAAAATTTCTGGAAAAAATTCTCCGCAAAAATTCAAGAAGCCGCTCGCAGCTTCGAGTGATAATTTGAGGAGCCGCATTTGCGCGGCTTTTTTCTTATTATTTTCGAAGCCGCAAAGGATTTCTCGAATTTAAAAATTCGGAACTTTTCTCGAAAAATTTTTTCGAAAAACTCATATTTTTTCGAGAAAAAAAGTTTTTCAAGATCTTCAAAATCGTCAATCATTCTAGGGGCGCTTATCAATCAATGTCTGATTGGCAGCTGTCTCATTTTACAAAAACACCCTTCCGGAAGAGTATCTTTCTTTCTTCTTTCCCTGTCTTCCCAGAAATTTCTTTTTCCAGAACCATTCCTATGTAAACCGCCCAGTCCAAAGTCTTTTCATCCGGACCAGAAGCGACAGAATCATCATTGCTTCTTTGCGCAGCAAATGTCGCTCTTCTCAGTCGAGATTCGGAATAACTCGAGAAGTCAGAATTGGAAAGCGGAAGAATGGAAATTTCAATCGAAGAAATTTGGGCGGGAAATTTGAAATTGACTTTTTGGCGATTTAAAATTTTATAAAATTATTTATTATTTATTCATTATTTATTTTATTTTTTTTAATTTATTTAATTCTAATAAAAAATCACTTTAATAATAAAATAATTATTATTTTTAAAATAATTACTTTTTTTAATTATTTTTTTAATTATTCATTTTTTTGAATATTTAACAAATTTCAATAAAATGAGGGGGAGACTCAGAAACCTGTTGATTATATCTAATTCTAGAGCAAAGCCTGCTGAAAACTCAGAAGCAAAACAACAAGCGCGGAATTTCGGGGGTGGCAATTTCCTTTTGCGGGCGAGGTCGGTAATTCTCCTTCCGTTTTTCGGCCCTTTAAAGTTTTAAAACGCCATTCCTTCATTTGCGAATACAAAAATTTTGCATCCGACTTTTTCTATTTTTAAATAATCCGGCGATTCTTCAATCTTTTCGCAAATTTCGGCGTCTTCGAAATTGAGTTGAAAAACGTCGCTTGAAGAAAATCTAAAAAATAATTTTAAAAAAGACTAAAATTAAAGCTCCAGTGGTTCCGCTAAGGAGGTCACCCGCGGTGGCATTTTTGACGGGAAACAAAACGTGCGTGTCAAAATGCCAAAACCGCGCATTTTCAGTGGATCTGATTTTCGGCCACGGCGCTTATCAGTTGATTTGGAACTGATAAGGGAAGTTGACCAAAGAATTTTTCGAAAAAAATTTTGGGATGTCGGCTCGAATTTTCAAAAAAAATTGACAATTATTGTCAAATTTGAGTCGAAAAAAAATTTTAGTCGAATTTTTCATCTCAGTTTTGAGATTTTTGAGACATGGCTTTTTTATGTCAAAAAAATTTTTTTTTTCATGACAACTCATTTTACGTGTCCGACCACTGATTGGCTCTAAATTGCTCCATCTTGATTTAAATTTATTCAAAGCTGCCGCGTCTAGGCGCCGCTCAAGAAAGAAAAATGAACCGCGGATGGTCTTTTTTCAAATTTTGCGAATTCGGAAAATTGTCAAATTCATGTCATGTGACATGAATTCAGATATGCTGTTGCGCATTCCTATGATAAGCGCGCGCTCCCGCTGTGCTTCGATGATAAGAGAATGGAGCGCATTCTCAAGGAAATAGCTCTTTTCGACTCGAAATTTTTTGAAAATAAGGTTCATTTTTAGGGTCAAATTTTGGGTCTAATTTTGTGGTAGAACAAATTTTTGGAATAGATTTTTATGGAAAGGGTTTTGATTGGCCGGTAAGCCAAATACTGCAATCTTATTGGTTATCAAAAACTCACTTCCGAAAATTGGTTTAGTCCAAATTTTGGGTATCAAAACTAAAAATTTCAAATTTTTTTTTGAAAATTCGATTTTTAACTAGTAATTCCACTGAATTTCCTGAATTTTAGAAGTCAGAAATTTCGCAAAATTCTGATTATTTTGATATCATTTCCGAAAGCGCCTCCTTAGCGCGTAAAATAAATTTTCTCCCGATAATCCCCGCTTCGATTGGGTAAATATTATCCTGAACTCCTTTTTCTTCATTACTGTATCTATTTATGAGTACTTTTTCGGGGCACTGGAGAAATACTCGAGATAAGCTCTAAGGCTAACGACTTTCGGATGGAGATTAACTCGCTAAGGACAAATGGTATGTCTTTTGCGTTTGCGCACGAAGTGTCTGCTAGATTTTTCACGAACGCAGAGAAATTCTAGCGGTCAGCAGATTAATTTTTAAACGAGAAAAAAAGAGTGACTCTTGCTCACTGTCTAAAAATACGATTTTTACAGATCATATTTTCTCAAACTTAAAATTAAGAAAATCTTAGCTCATTTAACGAAAATTTCTTAAGGGTATCACCATCATAACAGATCTTTTTTCGAATACTCAAGTTTTTCTGCCGAAAATCCCTTAAGGGGATCCCCATTGGTTTTATTTTAAAGACTTTTGTGAAAATAACAAAGCGACACCCTTAAGAATTTTTTTTAATAATTCACATTTTTGAAATTTCATTATTTTATTATTTATTATTTCATTATTTTTTTTTCTGAAAAATTTTTAAATTTTACTTAGAAAAGGGCGTTTTTTTCTTTTTTCAAAAACGAGCTGCTTTGGTGCTGTTTCTAAATAAGCTTCGAGCGTTTACTTTTGAAGCATCTTATCGATTCCACCCTGGTATAAATTGTTTTGATTGGGTGACAGCGACAGTTTCCACTTTTTAACCGCGCGGTCAGTTTAATCCACTTAAATTCTATTTCCGAAATTTCCGAATTTTTCAGAACTCAAAAGTCGGAATTTTGAAATTTTCAAAAGTTTAAAAATCTCAAGTGCGAATTTCTGAACTTTCAAAAAGTTTCAGAGCGCGGGGCACTTGATGAAGCCGCGGAATTGGTCATTTATTAGCACGTTGGACGGGGCGCAGCGTGTAATTTTTAAAACTAACAAGCTATTTAAGCGATTTTAAGGACCACCGTGCTTTTTTTCTGTACGTATATTTTTTACCTTATTGAACAAAAGTCGTCTTCCGAGATTTTTTGAATTGAGCGTTTTGGCTGTTTAGGGTTGATTTTTGCGTTTTTAAGGGTATCGGTGAGGTTAAGGCAGTCAACTTGGGGGCTTATTGACCGCTTTTAAGCGGCTTAGGGTCGGTAAAAAAACAAATAAAAAGCTAGTCGAAAAGAAAATTAAGGATATGTAGAAAATAAACTAAGAGTTGAATAAGGGTGTCACAATGAAATAAAGAATTTAAGGCAATAAGAAAACCGAAATTGGGGACTTTTTGAACGATTTTAAGGGGGCAAGGGTCGTTAAAAGACAAATAAAGAGCTTGATCAAAAGAAAATTAAGGGTACCAATTATTAAGGGTATGAAGCTGATTAATTGAAAGACAATTAAGGGCGTCACAATGAAAAATAGAATTAACGGCGTGGACACCCTTAGGACCATTTTTTTATTTTCTTATAAAAACGTCATTTTTTCAACCCTTCGCTGAATGAAAATTCTTTCTTCTTTTTGAACTTGAATATTTCCGACTTCTTGGCAAATGTTCGCTGCTGCTATCTCTCTTTGACAAAGAAGAAAATGCAGAAATATCTCTCGGAACATTTCTAATTTTCGTTTATTTTGATTGTTGTGAGGATTGTTGAAAAACCACGAAGTTTTTAATGAGCAGGGATTTTCGCTTATGCAGCGAAACTAAAGAGGATGATTTTGCGCGGACGATAATGTCGGTAGGTGGAGTCGCACGCGCGGGGACTCTCTCTCTCTCTTTTCGCGGTCCTTTTGCGATTAGGGTGCGCCGGGGTTTAAAATGATGAATTTTGACTTGATTTCTGCATCTCCTTAGAGTTTGACAAAAATTGACAAAAATTGACAAAATTGACAAAAATTGACAAAATCGACAAAATTGACAAATTCGACAAAATTGACAAAAATTGACAAATTTGACAAAAATTGACAAAATTGACAAAAATTGACAAAATTGACAAAAACTGACAAAATTGACAAAACTGACAAAAATGACACAAATCGACAAAATCGACAAAATAAGAATCATTAAAATGAAAACCCATAAATAACTTTCCATCTTTTGAATATCCACTTTTCTGAAAGACTAAAAATTGAGAATTCTCAATAAAATTTAATATTTTCTTCGATTTTTTTCGCAAATTTCAAGACTTTTTAGCACGAACCTTTATTTCTTCCCAAAACAGGCCGGGCACCCTAGCGCTGACAAGAATGAAAAGCTCGTCGGGCGCAAAGTAGATTCCGGATTCAGAACTTTGCCGGCGGGCGCGAGCGTCCACTCTCTGTAGAAAGGGTCCCTTTTTATCCAGGACATTTACATTTCAGCGCACCGCAAATGCCAAAGAGCCATTCCACATTCCCATTCCACAAATTAAAAATCAACCCTCCGAGCTCTCTCTCTTTCCCGCAATTTTGAGAAATCAACAATGAGAAATTCCAATTTTTTCAAGAAAAAATTTTCAATCACGTTTTTCTTGAGTGTGGCGTCCTCAGAGCAGATTTGTCAAAAAAATCGGAGGAACAAATTCGCTTGCAATTCACCTGCGGTCGCCGATCCTCTTTCGCCCGCATGTTTTTACTGATAAGAGACCTTTTCGCGAAAAAAATGAGTATTCTTATCAACAACCAAAGTACACAGACAAATTTTGTTTCTCATTGGTCCAAATTATCGCTCAGAAAACTGATGGAAAATCTTGCTTGTGAAAAATTTGATATACATACCAAATCGTTATCAAAAATAGTGATAAGAAGAAGAGCTTTGATTCGGATACTAAGTAAAGTCAATTTGAGATAAGAAAGTTCTTTCTTTTACCTTAAGTATTCATTTTCAGACATCCTTAGCACCATCAGCTAATTATCCGATAAAACTGATCACCCGCCGAGATTATCAATAATCTTATAACCCTGCGTACTCAGATAAACACCGATCATCAGAATTAGTCTAATTTGAACGGGGATTTAACCGGATCCGGAAGATTCAAGAATTCTGGCTTTTAAAATTGTCAGCAAGAATATTTTATTCATTTTATCAGAAAAAAAAAGAATCGAATCTAAAAGCTCTCTAGCTCGAGAGTTTCAAATCCAAAGCCGCCGAATCCCTCATCGGTCAGGGAGACGATGTTGCCATTGGCGTCTTGGAAGATGTATTCCGAAGCGGACTCGCCGGAGGTTCCCGATCCGGCGTTGAAGGAGTCCATTCTGTACCAAACAAGATTTCCGTTCAGATCAAATCTTACGATTGCGCCTCGCCAGGCGGTTCGGGGATCCGTTGTGCAAGCAGTTCCGATCGCCTGAATCATTATTTTTCTTAAAAAAACGGAAAAACCTACCCCAGGGTGGATTCCACAGCCAGGTTCAATACCAGTTCCACAAGCAGCTACGAAGCCGACATGATTGCCACTCGTATCCTTGACTTTGTCCATTCCCCAGCACTCCGTGTAGACCAAACTTTCAAAAGTAGCCTGTGTGCCGGCAAATTGATTGATTCCACCGGGCCAGGTAGAAGTGGGAAGAAGCGTGTCCCAAATCTTCCCGGACAGATCAGGTTTGTACTTGGCGATGAAACCATCGATGACTTTGCATCCATCACCAGAGCATGTGATTCCACCATCGCTGCTGATTTTCTTGTCTCTTAGACCGGTGACGACGTAGCCTTCTACTTCGCCGTCGCCGTCGATGACGACTTCAATGTCGTTTGCAGTGCCATCGCCGACGAAACCGTTGGTCTTTGCGTCCCCGGAATAGGCAATTTCCACGCCAGTTGCAGCACTAACGACGCAGAGAATGCTCCTCGAAGTTGGCAAGGCAACGATATTCTCACCCGCGTTATCGGTGTAAACGCGCATGTTTTTCATCGAACCATCGTTGAGATTGCAAGATTTGTTCGATCCATCGCAGACGTATTTCCAGTCGGGCTCGGGCGAGCTGACTGAGGAGCTGCTGGCGATGGTGTTGGAGAATTTCATCAAAACAGGAGTTCCATCGTCGACTTGACCACCAGACTTGAAGGTTGGGTACTCGGAATTTCCTCGATTGATGAATCCTCCGACAACAAATCCGCCATCCGAGGTCAAATGAAGCGTTTCGAATCCAGAGCGCGCTCCCACATCCGTCGTGTAATCGAATTCCCAGATCATCGATCCAGTCGAAGCATCGAGCTTGACTACGTATCCATTGTAAGTACCTGCGACGCCGGTGGACTGATGAAGACCAGCTGCGAGAACGTATGTTCCGTCAAGCGATTCTTTTACGGTTACAGCGTTGCAAGCGTTTCCGGTTTTTAAGAAGCTCCAGTCAAAGTTCTGAGCGCAGTCTGCTCCCGCGCCAGTAAGAATGGTTCCCAGAGGATTGGTGTATTGGGTCTTGTCGGAGCAGGTCTTGATCTTGGTGACGAAGAATTGTCGGACAGTTGAGGACTCGTTGGCGACCGATAAACCCGCGGCAATGAAACCACCATCACTAAAATTTTTGATTTCCTATGAAAAAAAGGGATTACTTACGCAGAAAGATCAGCATCAATTGCTTTCGCGTTGACACCAATCGTTGTTGGGGAACTATTTTCATCGACAGTGACATATGATTTGATCGCTGGTGGAGTTCCTCCAGTACCATCAGCATTTTGAGTGATAGCACCACCTCCAGCGCCACCACCGCCGCCGCCGCCGCCGCAGGTGAGCGTGAACTTGTTTCTTCGGAGCTCGCCATTTTTGCATTTTACCCGGTTGATTTGGTTTGCTTCTCCTTGATCGAAAACGCCATCACCATCGTCATCGCAGAAGAACTTGTAGAGAGTCTTCTTGCCTCCCCGACGGCATTGAATGGCAGAACCAGACACAGTCGCAGAAAAAGCAGCGAGTTCAGAAGCGCAACGGCAGCCGAGATCTCCACAAGGTTCAGCAAGGTCCTTTTTCTCAGGCGCTTGCATTTTGTTTCCGTTCGCTCAACGAGACCTTGAATTAGTGCTCAAGTCGTTGTTGATTTCAAAGAACAAACCTGTAGCAGCACAAGTCCAATCAATAACCTTTCTTTTGCTACTGTCGTCAACACAAGTCGGAACTGCATCAGGTGCATTTCTCGGATTCAAATCACAACCGCACGCATCTCTTTTCGCTGGCTTCTTGCCCTTGCCTCCCTTTTTCTTTCCTCTTTCTCCCTCGTAGTAATCGTACTCAGCGACAACCGCAGACGCGAGAAGAGCTGTTCCGAAAAGTTTCATTTTTAGGAATGAGCCAAGACAAGTCGATTCTAAGGTCCCAGGAAGATAGATGCATCGAAACCGCAAAGTATATTTTTGGACCGCGCATTAGATTACGGGTAAATAAATTATCTGAGGATCACTCATCAAAAGCATGCTTTTGGTCATTTACCGAGGTTGACAGATTTCACGACGGAGTCAGTGGTCCCGGCCGGCGATTTTGACTATTCAGCGCGCATTTTAGTTTTTTCCCATACCTGATGGAGGACTTTTCTCTGGTGGAAGACAGAACTGATTGAAGATGGAGATAATTTACCTATGACTCATAAATATCAAAATATTTTGAATAAATATTCATCACATGAATCCAGGAGGACCTCTGGAGGACCCCTACTGCTGGAAGACCCCTATTCCTGGAAGACCAGTTTTTAACGATGATAGAGATCTCTTTCGATGCTGATTTATTTTTTGAAATCTTAGTGTCAAGAAACGAATTTAAAGACAGGAAGTAGGACAGGACGAGTCCAAAAGAGCGCCGTTCGCGCCTCGGACACAGATTTTCACGTCGCACTCAATGTGGAGAGTTTCATCGTCAGTGCTGAACGTAAAGCTGGTGAAGGAGAAGTCTGCTGAGTCATCACCAGAGCCGCCCTCAAGATCAGCGTCGTCAAAAGCGACGGCGGTGGAGGGAGAGCAGTGATCGGCGAGGATGTCGTAGCTAAGTCCATCCATGTTGGCGCTGTCGTAGGCGGTGCATTTTGTGATCTGAAGGCGATAAGGGGGGATTATTGAGTTTTCCTGTACCTGGTAATCGTAAGATAGGGAACCAAGATTGAGGTTGGAAGTGACGGAACCAAAAAGTGTCTCGCCTAGAAAAAATATTTCAGGAAACGGGAAAAAAGATGTCGTTCTTTACCGATATTGACGCCAGCAGCTTCAACGGAGAAGAAGTTATCGCTGAAGATGTTCAACTCGAAGTGATCATCAAAGTTGCTCGTGTTCGTTACTGGTGCAGCTGTTGACTCAATCTGATCGACTGAAAAGGGATCGGCCATGAGGCTGATCTCGCTCGAGTAAATGCACTCGGCTTTGAAGCCAAGAATCGACGAGACGTAGACACCGTCTTGCATGATGACTTCGGGAGGACCTCGTCCGTCCCAGGAAACGTTGATTTGGCTGGATTGAGTGACATCGCCGCCGCATGTTCCCAAGCTGAAAGTTTCAGTCATCCATCCGTTCGCGTCGGGAGCATTGTTTCCAGTGCAGTCTCCTATGTTTAGCCGGACATCGCCGTAGAGGGTGGAAGGCAGATTTGCGTAGAGGTGATCGACGTGGGCGGAGATGGTGATTTCAGTTGAATCGCACCTAATTTCGATTGAAGAATTTTCAGATTTTCAAATTTTGATGAAATTTTTTTTTGTTTTCAACTTACTGAACGGTTAAATCGATGGGTGAGCAGGCAGTGTTTGCTGAGTTCGGCTCCCAGGCACTGTTTGGACAGTCGATCGGTGCAACAGTTGTTGTCGACGTTGTTGTTGTTGTGAAAGCGGCTGTTGTTGTTGGTGGCTCAACGATTTGAATCTCGATTTCAAATCCGCTGTAGAAGTCAAGATCGTCAGTCTCAAACAGGATCTGCGCTTGGCCTCCTGAGACGAAGTACGTGGGCATTCCAGCGGTGGAAACTCCGAATCGACTTGCCGCGCCGGTCCGCGGAGCTGGCGACTTTTTCTGCACTCCGGCGATTTCTTCGATTTGGCGTCGTTTTCGAGCAACCGAGTTGTAGCCACAATAGATGCCGCCGTCATCGTTGGCAGAGATCATCAAGTAGTCCCAGCCGCAGGTTCCGAAGCTTTCGACATCAAAATGGTGAGGAATGAGGTTGAAGCCGTAGATGTCCCCAAGGTCGATTTCCCATAAGCAACTTTCAAATGCTCCATAGTCTCCTGGCCAACCCGGGGAGTAGATTCGCTGCTCAGTTGTGATCTGTCCTCCACAATTCGCGGAAACAGAGGCAGCGAGAATGGCAAAAAGCTAGCAAAAAAAAATGAAATGAAAAAAAATGAGATTTTTTGTGTTATTTATTAGGGACCCCCCCCCCCGTCAGCTTTTTCCTCCGAAAATTGAAATTTTAAAAACACCATATTTTTGGTTCTTAATGCGTCCTGAAATTAGACTTGCTTCAAAAACCTGATAAAACGAAGATTTGACCAAGAAAAATGAACATTTTTGCAAAAATTAGGGCAAATTCGTCAATTTTCGGCGAAATTCCCAATTTTCAAAAGCGATTTTAAGGGTGAAGGAGTCGAGATAGACCCCCAAAAAATGAAGCCTCAGAATCGTTTTTGATCCGTAGAATCCGTTTCCGGGGTCAGAAATATTAAATTCCGAAATTTGATTTTTCAAAAAAAGCTGACTGAGGGGGGTCCTTAAGGATATAGCCTGTAAAATTCAACTTTCGTAGCGGCTAAACGCGAGGTCGGATCTTTTTCATTTCAAGTGCAATCCTACCTAAAAATGGACGGAGAATTCAATTTTGGTACTTTTTTAAAATTGTTTACTAGAATTTTTCTCTCTAGAGCGATTTGAAATCTTACGATCGCGATTTCTCAAAATTTTTCCACTAATTTGCTAAAACAAAACCGTGTTCTCTGTTGTCATGATGCAAAGCTAGAAAATTGAGGGAATAAAATTCTCAAACTCGGTCATATTTTCATTCTAGTATTCTCCTCTTTCTTGCTCTTGCTTTTCTTCCCTGCGCGCTTTATCGCGTGCAGCCAATCAAAGCGCTCGCAAAAACTCTCACGCTCTCCCGGAAAAGAGGAGGCGAGAGAGCGAGCACCGAGCGCAGCGCTTTTCATAGCTTCTGCGCGCTGAGTTAGCCTCATGGAAATGGCTGTAAAATCGGTTTCTTTCGGATTTAGAGAAAACTGAACCGTCAATTTTGTAGATAAAGGTCTAAAGAACCTATCTATCGAAAAAACTCGACCGATTTAGTGAAAAATTTTCGAGGAATCGCGATCGTAAGATTTCAAATCGCTCTAGAGAGAAAAATTCGAGTAAACAATTTTAAAAAAGTACCAAAATTGAATTCTCCGTCCATTTTTAGGTAGGATTGCACTTGAAATGAAAAAGATCCGACCTCGCGTTTAGCCGCTACAAAAGTTGAATTTTACAGGCTATATCCTTAACAAAGATTTTGCTCGAAAAAAATTTTGAAAATCTGAAACTCTTACCTTCATTTTATCGAAAAATAAATTATCTCTATTTTTGATGAAGTTCTAATTTTTTCACATGTTTTATAGCGTTTGATTCTTGCGCCGCTGAATTCACCAAGAGGTGGCGCCAATGTTTTGCGTAAACGATAATGCGGCAACTGATAATGTTCTACATGAAAAAACAACTTGTTAATAATTGTCATTTATTTAATGTGAAAACTTCTTTTTTCAAGAAATAAGATCAGGGATGAGTTTTAGTCAGGGCAAAAAGTGATTATTCATCACAAGGTCCTCGGAAGCAGTTATCATTCAAAAATTCCCCGGATGGGGCTTGGACGCAGATTTTTATGTCGCATGTCACGTAGAGGGAGTCATCATATTGGTCGAAGGTGAAACTCTTGAATTCAAAGTCGATAGCGTCGCCGGAACCGCCATCAGTGTCGACTGGATCGAAAGCAACAGCGGTCGAGGGAGCGCAGTGATAGGGATAGATCTCGTGAGAGACGCCAGTGTGTTCTGTGTTGTTCCAGGCGGTGCATTTGACGAGCTTGGTTTTTGTTTACATTTTGCTACTTTGATTGATGTTTACCTGGTATTCGTAGTGATATGGGCTGAGGTCGAGGTCAGACTCGACTCTTCCGTAAAGCATTTCACCTGAATATATTAATAAATAACTGACTAAAAAATAAGAAATAATGATCCCCCGTCAGCTTTTTTCGAAAAATAAAATTTAGGAATTTCAAAATTTCGACCCCGGAAATGAATTCTATGGGTCAAAAAACAACTCTAAAGCTGGATTTTTTGGGGGTCTATCTCGACTCCTTCACCCCCAAAATCGCATTTGAAAATTGGACTTTTCGCCGAAAATTGACGAATTTGCCCTAATTTTGAAAAAATAATGATTTTTCTTGGTCGAAAATTTCTCTAATCAAGTTTTTGAAACAAAAATATCATATTTTAAATATGGTATTTTAAGAAATTTCCTTTTGAAAGCTAAGGGGGGGTCCTTAAAGCTTAGATATTCAACTAACCAATATTGATATCATGAGTTTCATCTCCGCCCGGTTCGCCAGAGATGATCAATCTGAAGTAATCGTCGAAGTTGCTTGTATCAACAACGGTCTCGACTTCGTTCAAAAATTGGTCGACATGAATCGCGTCGGCGTTCAGGTTCACTTCGCTTGCGTAGACGCATTCTGCTTTGAAGCCAAGAGGAGAAGTAATGAAGATTCCTTCCGTCTCGAGGAGGCTAGCGGGGCCGGTAGCGTTCCAGTTGACGGCGATTTCCGCGGCTTGAGTCATGACCCCGCCGCATTCTCCTAAGTCGAATGTTTCCGTCATCCAGCCAGCTGCGGATGGTGCATTCTCTCCTTCGCAGTCTCCGATGTTGAGTCGGGCGTCTTCCCATCGATAGCGGGGGAGATTAGCGTAAAGATGGTTCACGTGAGCGGTGATGGTGACCACGGTGGAATCGCAACTAAATTTTTTAATAAAAGACCTTTTAATAAAAAGCTAATGTCTTACTCGACAGTCGAAGCTCTTGGGATACAGGCGGTAAGCAAGGAATTTGGTACCCAGTCGCTGTTAGGGCAGACGATTGGTGGTCGGGTTTCGATGACGCGGATGTCTAGCTCGAATCCTTCTCGAAAAACCGAGTAATCACTTTGGAAAGCAAGGCGGGCCTGTCCTCCAGGGATGAAAACGGGGTGGGAAGGAAAACCGTCGTGATAGATGTTGAAATTAGGATCAACGCCGAGTCGATAGGTAGGCGATGATTTTTGACTTGCATCTTCTTCGCTCGTCGCATCTCGTCGTTTTCGGTTTTCATTCGTGCCGCAGTAAATGTCGCCGTTGATGAGTGTTCCGTCAGAGTCGAAATCATCTGGAGTCGCGATCAGAAGAGAGTCATACTTGCAATTGTACTGATACTCGAGATCGAAGGATCGTTTAGTGATCATGATGCCGTAGACATCGCCAGCGTCGATTTCCCACTCACAAACTTGGTTGTTGCCATAGTCGAAGGGCCAACCGGGGGTAGTGATCGTCGTGTCGTTCGTGATATGATGGTAGCAGGCTTTGTTGCCCCAAGTGTAGTCTGGAGTATAGAAGCCAGAAGACGAGCTAGAAGAGGAGCTGGAGGAGCTAGAGGAGCTGGAGGAAGAACTGGAGGAGCTAGAGTAGCTTGAATAGCTGTAAGCCGTTGCGGTTGCGGCAAGTGCAAAAAGCTAGAAAATAGGATGAATGTCTCTTAAAATTTCGAAAAGTAAAAAATTACCTTCATCGTTTTTCTCTCGATTAAAAATAAAGTATCTCTATTTTTAACGTTTTGATAAGCAACGACGGTTTTTCCTCGTTTTATGGTGCTGCACGCTTACGCGCGAGATAAACCGGTAGGTGGCGATTCGCGAGCATGTACCGTGCTTGGCTCCATAACACAGCAATTATCTTTTAATCGCTGAACATGATGACGAAATTGTAATTCAATCATTTACCCTCCAGAATTTCTAGCGGAATTTCCATAAACAGCCATTGGATCTAAAAAAACTGAATCTTAAGGACCCCCCCCATCGAGAGGAATTCAGTCAAAATGTTTAGCTTTTTTTACTCTTTTTGGGTATCAATTATAAATTATAATTTATAATTAAGGGTATACCATTTACTCTTGTTTAAGTCCATTTTCTTTTTAAAAACGATCATAAAAACTAGAATTCAAGGCAATTTAGGCAATAAAAATTGATAATAAAAATCTAGAAATTTGCCTAAAATAAAATTTTACACAAGTTTTTTTTTTAAATACATTGAAGTTCATCATAAAAATGAAACATCATCAGTTATGACCTAAATCGAGAGGACCCTCTTAGACTAAGAGTCTTAGTTACAAATGCCGCACTCGATTCGAACACGAGTTGATAATAATGTAATCAACTGCTCGATCAGCATGTTCTTCCTGCTGACATCGTAATATTTTTATCTTGAAACCTCTAAAGACTTTATTCGTACTCTTGTTATAGTAGAAAATGATGCCGGCTAGAGCCACAATTATGCTTGGTTTGTTTTGAATTGTTATTATCCGACCATGTTCTTACATCAAACATAACTCAATTAGAGCTTGCTAAAATGGCATTTACGGCATCAACAAATTCACGTAAATTGTGAGAAAGTCATAACTCGCCGCATTTTTCCCATTCTGGCGCTGCGCAAAATTATTTTGATCGATGGAGGAATCATTTCCTTTTAGTAGTATCCGTTAATGGGTACTTGCCGGGCGCGATTTCAGATTAACGTAAAAACATGAAAAATTATTGTTTTCTTATTTTTCTGATTTTTAAAGTTTTTGCAGAGACATGCGTCCGAGTCGATTTCGTTGGTGAAAATACTGGAGGCTTCCAGGAAATTGCTTTTGATAGTGTTTTGACCAAATTTCCACTGCAAAGCGACTTGAGTGGAGATTTTTGTGGTGGCGTCAGGAACGGACTAAAATTTTCGACAAATTTTGCGTGGGCGGTTACTCGGCTGCTAATTGGCCCGTGAGCCGAATCCGGTCTTCTCATTGGTGGAAAATTTCCACGCAAAATTTGTCGAAATTTTTTTGTTGGTTCCAGACACTTCCAGAGCTGGAAAAAAGTATACTTCCCCCCGCCCTTCAAAAATCTGCAGGGCGCCCTTCATTCTTGAAGGGCGGTGAAGTACGAAATGGCTCTGAAGTATACTTCACGCGCTGAAGTATACTTCAGCTATCGGTTCTTATCGAAAACTTTAGCTGCCCCTTCATCTGCCACAATCAGCGTGATTTAAATTATGGCGCCTGAGAGCCAATGAGCGCGAAATTTGAAAAAATTCTGGCGGATGGATTCTGATGGCCGACAGAACCAAGTTAAAGTAGAGTGAAGGGCGGAAGGGCGGTTGAAGTAGGGGGAAGGGCGGAAGTACACTTCACGCCCTTCAACGCCCTGCAACGCCTTGAAGTATACTTCATGAAGTATACTTCATTCTGAAGGGCGAGTGAAGTATACTTTTTTACCAACTCTGCACTTCCCCAGATTTTCTTCAAAAAAAAAACTGTAATTGAAGCAATAGCAAAGCTCTCCCTCCTTGATGAATCATCAACCACAGTCGAGACTTACACACAATCAGATGTTTCGAGCGTAAAATGCAAAGATGCAGACATTATTTTTCTCGAGCTAGAATCAATACCAATTTCACCTTCTTTCAACTTTTCAATATACATCGAGAAGCGATTCATCGAAAGCGACTCGAGTACCGGCTACATTCGAAAAGTGATGACGGCAAAATGCGAAAACTGCCTCTGCCAGAGCCCGGACTGTTTGGTTGGCGAATCGTCGGTGGTTTCGATTGGAAGTGATGGCGATCCAGCAGATGGGGTTGATTTGGCGTGTCAGAATGGAAAGTGCCTTTTGGTTCTTTCGCACAGTGTTTTCAAGTAAAAACTTTTTGCAAAATTTTCTTCTATAATAATATTTTTTTAAGTTTCAATTCTCAGAAGTATTACATCTGCGAAGCTCAGCAGTCCCTTGAGCAATCAGACACCTTCATCGCTATCGACAGCACTGCGAGCAACGAAACACAATCAACCATTTCACGAATTTTCGACGATTACAAACCTTATATTCCCGCCAATCCCTTTCTCATCTCAAACAGCAATTGGGCGTATTGTCCGTTTCCCGACCTGAGCTGCGAGGAGTTCTCGTTTTCCTGTGAGAACGGCGTTGAAATAATGATGGACGAGATTTGCTTCAAAAGAAAATATCCTGCTCTCGACCTGGTTAATTTCAACAACTCCGCTAGCCCTTTCAATGACTCTTGCATTTGGAGCCAGGATACAGATGACTTCCGGGTGTATAAACTTGATTTGTCGATTGATGATAAAGATTGCAGGGAACAAGCTATTTACAGGAAGCGATTTTTGAAATAAGAAGATATTTGCGTTGAAAAGTTTCATTAAATTATTGATTATTTATTTAATTTTTTTTAATTGTGAAATTAAATTTAAAATTTGAAAATATAATTTATAAATAATTATAATCATTGAAAAATGAAAATAGAAAATTTAATTTTTATAATTAAAAATTATAAGAATTATTATATTTTAAAATCGCTTAAAAGTGGGGACGACATCATCTACACATGGAGTTTTTTCCATACCTCGCCGCTGGTTGCTCTTGGTTTCCAAAAGTACCGTCTTTTCAACCCTTTTCTACAACCGAAATTCCTTTTAGCGCGGATTTGACGTATACCTTCAACTGCACTTTCGACAAAAACGAAATTTTCTTCTTCAACGGGACGGTTGAGCCCCCCGCCACGATTGCCGATGTGACCGATATTCCCGACCCAGTTCCTGATCAGCCAATTATTCTTCTAAATGATGAGCCTTTCGATGCAGAGAACCAGCTTTATCCAGTCGTAGCCTCGAGTGACATCATGACATTTGATTTTTCGGCAGTTTTTACGACCCTTGGCGAGTATCGAATCGACATGTGCGAAGTCAAATCAGAGAACGCTCAGCAATCGTCTAAAATCATCGAAAACGGCTGCGCTACAACCGTTTTTCAATCCTTCGTCACCATCGACCCTTTCGCGCAAATCATCAAAACGCCTCCAGTGACCTATCTTTCCTCCCCGACCTCCTTTCACCTCGAGTGCACCCTGCTCTTCTGCGACGACTGCGTCAACCTGGAAAGCTCTTGCCCAGCTCAAGGCAATTCATCTTCCTTTGTCACAATAAATATGCTTTTTCTAGGAAACGAAGAAATCATAGTGCAGTTCACTCGATCAAAATCAATAGGTCCTCGACAGGAAAAAGAAAAGACATCAATTTCAGCTTCAATATCTGACTCTGATTCCCTTATTCAGGTCGAAGTAAATCAAACTACTGTAAGTTTGAGCTGAGCGACCTGACTAAGATTTTCAAGAACTAAAATGAAAACCTTCAGAAATCAGTTTACAACATTTTTTTTCTAGATTCTCGTCGACCGAAAATTCAAGGATCTTTTTCAAACTTCAAGCAGTCTTCTTTTAGCACCGATTTTGAATTTGTTTTCAACGATTCTGTTTCTGTTTCTCCTTCTCTAAATAAAACACAGAAAATGACCACACCCTAGCTCGTCATCGCACATGAATCAACGAGCGTTCCATTCTGACAAGTTCCGACGCGTTATTCTTATTTTGTTGCCACGCCGGGCAACCAGCCCCACCTTGAGCAACCCTCAGATTCAGTGGTTTCCTCGCTCTTGAATCGTTTCACTTGTTCAAGATCGATTTTTAAAAAATGAGATTTTTCTTGACTTTTATAGGAGCTTGTTTCGTCAACGCTTGCCTGGCTCAAAATGTAAGAATAAAAGCAACCTTACTGTAGATAAATGATTGTAGCCCGCGACGACTCCAAGTACAACGACAATCGCAGCCGCGAGAAATTTGAAATTGGTGGATGATATTTTGAGAACCTATCAAAAACCGTCTCAGGTACGCGGATTTTGATTGGCTCTCTTTTTTTGATGAAATTTTCAGGTTGCGATTATCATTGAACAATCAGTGAAGCAAGGCTATTTATTTTATCTTTCGGCGAAAAACTACGGGTAAAAATTGCCAGCATTAGGACTTGTTCATTAACCCTTGTTCTAGAGAAGAATGGAAGGCCCTTTTCGATGATGGATTCAACGATACAGACATCGAAGTGATCACTCATGATCTCAGGGTGCTCCTGGAAGAAGTGGAATTTTTTGCGCAGTGGATGATCAGAGATGGGGAAGATCTCATCCATCCTTGGGTCAATTACACTTCTCGGTAAAATAATCAGAAGGCAGGAAATTATGCGATGTTTCAGAGACCTTATTGACGCGAAATTGTTCAACTACACTTTTGGCGCTGGAGAATTGATCGAAATTGTCGGTCAAACGAGCTTCAGGACAATCAAAATCGTCGAAGAAGCAACACTGGTGAGGGATATTTGAAGCGAGAATGAGTTAGAAAAATGTCTTTAGGATGTGAATCGATGGATCAGAAACTGGGAGGGAGTTTCTCAAGGAAACACGACTTTTACCTTTTCATTCGTCAGCTCGATGTTCCGCGATTTGAGGACTTGGTCGGAACTGCTACTTGAGTAAGTTTAAGAAAACAGCCAATCAGAGGCTTAAGAATTCAAACAGCGCCACTAACGACGGACAAGCCACCAATCAAGAATTCGATTGATGAAAATAGCGCCTTCTTGAAAGAAATGCGAGAAAAAATACTCAACTTTTTTTTTCTAGAGATTTCCGAATCGCGAGTTTGAAGCTGAACCAAGTTTTCGATGTCTGGGGTCTTGGCTGGAACACTACATTCATCCTCAACGGCTCACTCGAGTGGCTTGTCCTCGTCGTGGATATGATCGATGAACTGGTCGAATTCGTCAACTTGGCTTTTGCTGCTGTTCTAGAGCCGATAATTGGAATAATCCAGAGTGGTGGAAGTATCGACTACCCAACCTATTAGGCTTTGACTCTTTTCATTTTTACTGTTTTTGCTCTGATAACAAATCTGCTAATAAATGACGACCAAAGACAAGGACCTTCTCCTTTAATTCTTCTTCCAAGGATTGCACGTGACTATCCGACTCACGCGCCGCCGCAAATAGAACATCACGTGCGCAGGAGCGGGTGCTACTACGCTCATTCAGCAGCTTGCGCATTTGTAGCAGAAATAGTTTTCCAGCAAGAGATTCCAGATTCCAAGAGATTTTCACCAGAAGCGTTTTTCAAATTGGCTCGGATTGGGTCACACCTTTACCAGTGCACTCAGCTTTATTTGATCTTGACTGAGTGGATTCGTAAAGGTGTAACCCTAACGATTATTTTTTTATTCACAGCCATAATCGACAACAGAAGAATGCTTTTAGATTTCCTTCGCGGTTGATAACAGGTCGCTAGAAGACGTTTAAAGATGAGTTCTAGTGATAAAAAGTACCTGTAAAGCATCGCTCGTATTTTTGCCTTCTGCTCCTCCCTTTTTTTCTGCACCTTGTAAGCCTTCTTGACTCCCAAAAAGATCAGAAAGCAGCTGAAAACTACCCACCATTCACCATGCCTTCTTTTTTTATGGATTCATAAAAGAGTAACTTCCGGCTTTTCAAAACATTCCTCCAAGCTGACTAGTCTCTCTTTTTTAACAGTGAGCAAATACCGGCTTCTCATGGAAAGAATGACTAGAGCAATTTTTTTTTGAGCTTAGGAATGTTCAGAAAATCAATGATTTGGAGGACCCTCGGAGGACTCTTCCTGGAAGAAATTCAACGATGGAAGACGTATTTCATTCGACAATGAAAAATAATTTTTACGATTATGAATCCATTTTCTGAGATCATTCTTCATCGTCCCAAACATTTCGTCAGCATAGTACGGCGAGCCAAGAAAATAAAGCATCCCAATCAATCCACAGCAGAGAAAAAATGTCCCACAGCCACAAGTTGCACAGTAAAAAGTAGCATGGCTTTCTTCCGGGATCATATCGCTCGTGATCGAAAACTCGTCGTCTTTACAAATTCAGAAAGAAAGGAAACAGGAAATCGTACCTGACATGGAGTCGCAATCATCTGCCGCGGGCCACTCATATGTTGGAATTTCTAGAGCAGTTTCTCTCATTAGAAAAAATAGATTTAAAATATGTAATATACAAAAATTTGGTTGTCTCAATTTCAGCGACAAGTTTTATACATTGACTGTTAATCCCTGCATGACAGACTGTTACAAATCACTGGAAGATAAGTTGACTGAAGAAAAATGGTCAGAAAGTCAATTTTATTCTTACGCAGCAGCAGATTTATTCGCCTCAATAGCATTTTGCAAAAAGTAAAGAGCTTTAGATCCTTGCTTCTTTCTCGCCGTCGCGAAATCAAGCGGCGTTTCTCCTTTTAAATTCTTTTTGTTGAAGTCGAAACCGCTTTCGACCAAAAATGGAATTGCTGAAAATTTCCTCTCGGGTGAGAAAATGAAGATTTTTTACTCTTTCGAAGTCTTCTTTCGTCTGTAAAGGACATTGCATAATGCATCGCAGTCCAGCCAACATTGTCTAAAACGGCTCGAAATGGCTACTTTTCTTTCGGGCATTTTTTTACCTTGTTTGTTGATTTCTGCACCGGATTCAACAAGAAGCATGATTCCAGGAAGAGGATCAAGATCTCTTCGGCTGCTTTCATATGGGTTCTTATTTTCAAATATTTTCAATGCCGAAAAAATAGGGACCCGAAACAACAAGTCATCAGCGCAGTGGCTCCATTGCAGTCAGTTTCGTTTACATTTGCTTTTGCTTCGAGAAGAGTTTTAATATTCGCAGCGAGATTTTCGGTGAGCGAGCCAAATGCAGTGTTCAAAAGAGCAGTTCTTCCGGTGTATGGGTCTTTGTACTCAACATCCGCCCCTTGAAAGTCCATAAAAAATTCTAGAGATCTCAGACCTTTAGCAAGGCATTCTTTGATCTCTTCCGATCTGCCGATTCTAGCGTGCGTCAAAAGCTTGCAGTTGATATTATTTTTGATGAGGCTTGTTGCGTCCATTCTCTACTTCTTTGGGAGGAAGAAAATCTTGCTAAGTAGGGAAAAGTGTGAAGTGAAGCTGCTCTCCTTATGATCCTCTTCAGAAGTTCTGAACTTGGTCAAGCGAGATGATATGATAAGCTAAGATTTATGAGTTGACTTGAGATGCTCAAGAATTTGGTCGTTTCGGAAGAAGGGTTTTTCTAGGATTTTGAACGAAAAAAGCCAAAGATCAAAGAAGAATATTTCCAAATTGGAATCTGGCCAAAGACAATCTGACCCGGAGGAATTAAAGTGCAAACTTCATGGAAAACTTTGGTTAAATTAAATATTTGTTCAATAAAAGACAAAATGCGAGTTTGAATTTTTTAAAGAGAGAATCTTTCTATTTGGACAAAATCTCCGGCGTCAATTTCGTAACGCAAACGTAAGTTTCAAAAAAAAACTTTGAACCAAATCTCAGAGAATTAGCACTAAGAGCATCGCAGCATTTGGCAAGGGTCGAGGTCGAGGGGGAATTCTAGCGGTCAGAAGTAGAAAGTTCAAAATCAAAGAAAAAAATGACAGAGAGAGAGACGATTTCGAAGAAAATTTTGGAAAATATAGGTTGCCCCAATTCCTTTTTTTCTTTTAATTTACTAAATTCAAGAGCACAAGAAAATTTTGCGCCAGAAAATTTGGTTCCAATTTAATGGAATTCTTCATGAATCAAATGTCGGTGTAATTTTCCATGGTGGCTTGAGCATTGCGGCAAAAATCATAGAAGAGAACTTGGTCGGGAAAAATGTCACCGTCATCGGAGGATTCACGACTCTTTCGTATCAAATTCAGGTTGCTTGTTTCTTGGCAAAGATACGATTTATTGCTTTGGACTCTGAAGAGCAAGAACGATTTGATTTTATTGACCTCATCGAGGCAAAGGGGTTTAGCTCCCGATTCTTGTTTCTTTTCAAAAACTTCATCAAAAAACCCCTGAAAAAGTCTGAGGCTGTTTTTCTCGACGAAACATCTATCCGCTCCGACTTTTCATTAACCCTAAAAAATATGATTCCAGTTTATCGATTCGGCGAAAAGTACCCTCATCTCCGCATGAACATCACTAATTCCAGCGAGTCGAAAAAGATCACTTTTCATGGAAGCTTTTCGACCTCAGATTTTGAAAAGGTCAAAGAAGTTGTTGACTCAACTTCAAGTTCTGATGTTGCCTGTTTTTCCACGACATCTGGAAGCACTGGGAGGCCGAAGATTATTCAGTACGCGAATAGAATGACTTTCAACCCAGTTTTTGAGAATGACCCAAAAGGAGTTTCAGGTACAATAGATCGCCGGTCCCGTGGCATCAACGAGTTTTGAGGAGCTGTGGGTCTTGTGAAACGATTTGGACGAGACTTTAGATATTTTCTTGGCGAAGTAGCGGGAGCACTTTTCATCAATTTTGTCACTCACATGACACACGGACTCATCTGCCAATTTTTACGAAATGAGGGTCGAAACATCCTTCTTGCAGACAACAACGACATCACTGTAAATGTCTCATACTTTCTTTCAATGAAATAAGGCTGAATTTAGAATTCATTGGCGGCGATGAAAAAACTGAACTGTATAACAGCTGTTATGTATCTTCCAAAATGCTTGGAGATTATGGAATCGGAAGCTTTCCGGAAAATTAAGCCCGATTCACTTCTTATTTTGCTGATAACCGGGACCAAGGTGCACCCTGAACACTGCCAGGATAGGCTCTTCTGTCTTGAATCTTGAGGCCAAAATGTATTTGGAAATTTTCAAGAGCTATAAAAAGAGAATAAAATCAAAATTCGAACAAGTTCTCCATCGATCTCCAGTGATTCTCAAAGGCTACGGATCAACAGAATGTTCTGGCTTCTTCGTCCGACACGGAATTCTTACCAGTGAAGAAGTTCAATTCAAAACTGATGGAAAATTTACAATATCAAAGGAGTACGAGCTCAGGATCGTCGATGAAAACAACAACGATGTTCGACAAGGAAAAATCGGAGAAATCATTGTCAAAACACCCGATCTCATGCTCGGTTATAAGAACCATGTAAGTTTGTTCAACTGGAAAATCAAGGATAATGATGAGTCATCATTCATGTCGTTTCAGCCGAAACAAGAAGGATGGTATCGAATGGGAGATGAAGGCTTTCTGGACGAGTTTGGAAATTTGAACATTGTTGGAAGAGTCAAAGAGCAAATCATTCTTAAAAGCACGAAGAAATCGAATTGCTCTCTTCTTGAGGAAAAGATTCTTCTTTCTGGCTGTCCGATTAAAGAAGCGGTTGTTTTAAATCGAAGAAACTCAGGAAAAAGGATCATAATGTTCTTTTTTCAGGCAAAAAAGCTATTATGAATCTGGTTAAAGATGGTTATGATGATATCATTGCGATTCTTGTCTGCGAAAATTTCCAAGCAGCCGATATCATTTCAAAAATCACGAGTCTTCTAGCAGCAGAAATAAAGGACACTCCAAAGGTTTTCTGCCAAGAAAAGAGCTTCCCCAAACTGGCGAGTGGCAAATACGACAGAAGAGCTTTATTCAATAAGTATTTCTTGTGAATCCTTGTTTACTTGTAATTATGTAAATAAAATGAGCAGGAGAGCCATGGACATGGCCGGTGAGAAACGAAATGTTCTTCCAGCGGCAGTGAGCTCGTCGAAATAATCGGCTCTTGTTGAAATGACTTGCCTCGCATATTCTTCCACCTTTAAATTTACTCAGTCATTTTTTGAATACCGTAGAAAGACCTTTTCCAGATCAAGTGAGCTGTTATTCATGGTGCCAGAAATAAACAAATGAGCGCGGGCTGACGGACGGTCAAGTCCAGATCGGAAACGATTAATCTGAAGTTCGTCAAACTTTATTAGGATTCATTTTCTTTTGTTAACTTTCTGTTGTTAAGGTTTAAATAATTAGACAGCATCAGAGTAATCCTTTCCTTGAAAGCATTTGGCTCGATTGCTTTGACCAGAACTTTGTCGATTTGGATGGGTGATTCTTAATACAGTTATTTCGTCAGCTCTACTTTTTTTCTAACCTCGTCGGCCGCTGATCTCGAAGGCCTTCAAAATCTGAGCTTTTTCTTTTATAAATGCTTCTGATTCTTTGTCAGCAAGATCAGCGTTCCACTCAATTTTCAGATCAACAATTATCGAAGTCGAAAATTCAGTTGTCTCAGGATTTATTTTTTCAACGGAGTCATTCTCTTCAGCAACAGTTAGTTGAGTGAAGGACGATGGCATCTTTGTTGTTGGAGGCATTGATGACTTTTGAGACTTTGAAAGTGTAAGCATTCTAGTTGTGCCTCCAGTTGTTGTTGATTGTAATCTCGTCGCTTAATTATGATAAAATATGAAACATGGTCAAAATACTTGATGATGAAGAAGTTGATGTAGGAGCCGGAGAACTCACCCAGAGTTCATCGATAGTTGGAATCGCGAAAATTGGTTTCTCGCTACTCGCTACCGGGTTGTCTTTTTCAGGAACAACTTTCGTTGGAGTCACTTTATTCGGAACCTTTTTCTCAGGTTTTTCCTTGGCGGGGATGACCTTCTCGGGAATCTTATTCGAGAGTCCAACGGAACCAGCAAGTGATCCTCTCACTCCAGCATCGGAAAATCCCCCGGAATCGGGACTCTCAAAATCGAAGATTGACGCGATCGTAGAATCTTCTAGAATAAAATCTGGAAAAGAAACTCTATCGCTCAGTCCAAGAGCATTTTCGTCGATAATTGCAGATTCCGTAAAGCTCTCGGGACTTCCATCAAAAGATGCAGCGAAACCAAAATCGCCTCTTGCTCGACTCATGGAAAAAATAGCGAAAAAACGATAAAGCTTTGCCATTTTTGAACGTTTCTTAGAATGAGTTTTCTTCCATCAAAAAGGTCCAGATTTTTATTTTTTGTTCAACAAAGCTGTTCAATCGAAAGATAGATAATAATGAAAAAGGTGCGCCTTTCGTTTCAAAAAACCATCGAAGCGATGAAATATCTCTTTTCAAATTTATTTGCATGGAAATGGGAAAAGTAAGGAGTTTGGAAGAAATTCGCTGCTGTTCGCAAATCATCCAGAGCCACCGCCATTTCTGCAGTTGCCCCATTCGCAGGTCATCACCATTTTGAGTCGTACAGAAAAACCGGGTCGTTTTTTTGATCGAACGCATTTCACAATATAACGAGTGTATCCATTGTCCGACCAAAATTGCTTTTCATCGCAGGCGTCACCGACTGTCATGTCAAAACTGAACGGTCCTTTTTTCTGCAAAAAAAAATTCGACTAACCTGCAGGGCTCTCCCCATCCTCCTTGATTTCTGCACATATCCGACTTTTGATTCGACAAAATCGGAATGGTCTTGATTCCCGCTGGTATTGGCCCGCCTTTTTCAAAGATACCCCCGGTCGATTTTGTTTTGATCGGTGATTTTTTGATACCAAGGTTTGGTCTTGGCGCATTCCAGGGTTTTTTCGCGGCGGGTTTTACGGATGAAGCAGTTTTGGCGAATTTTGACAGAATTACTCGACCCGAGCTGTCGACTTTCTTTGGCGCTTTTCTGGAAAATTTGTGAAAAGACGGAAAAAGAGAAGCTTACTTTTTAGGTTTTTCTTTCTTTTCGTAAATTCGCTCTCCAGCGCACCAGAGAATTCCGGCATGATCGCGGCCACAATCCCAGTCAGCATAAGTTTTCTCAGTTGGAGCTGGAGTTGTGGTCGTTGGAGGTCGAGTTGGTCGCTTCATTTGCTGCATTTTCTTTGCTTGCGCCCTATTTTATTTTTTATTGGCTGAAAAAGCTTTGTTCGAGACCTGATTTGCTGAATATTTGTTGGTCCTTTTGACCCCCCGCCGACTCTGGGAGCAATTCCATAAGGATTTGATTGGCTTGTCGGTCTGTTTTGAGCCATTTGATTGGTAGGAGACTGATTTTGTTGAGGAAACTGCATTTGAGGATTGTAATATTGCATGTATTGTTGCATCGCTTGCATGTACTGCATCATTTGATCCTGAAAATCTGATCCGGTCGAAGAATCTGGGTAGTTGGGAGCGTTGAAATCGATGGAGGAAGACTTTGTTGTAGCTGGAGCGGGAGTTGTTGTCGTTGTTGTTGATGATGATGCGGTTGTTGCTATTGCTTTCATCATTGTTCCGAGATTCGAATTGCTAGAAAAAACTGGTTCGATGGTCATTTAAAGTCGATTTACCTGGATAAGCCAGGAAAGACTGGTAATTTGGGGGGACTTTTTGCGGACCCGGCATAATTTGATGCAGCTTTTGGGTAAGAAATTTGACTCATTCCATAGTCCATCTGATTTATCTGACCATATTGTCCTTGATATCCTCTTCCGTATCCTCCTCCATAAGCTTGCTGCTGATTCCCCATTCTTCCAGAAGAAAAGCTTGGGTTGCCATATCTCCCTGACGCCCCTTGAGCTGCTTGCATAAAATTATAGCCTCCACTAGACCCACTATCGTAGATCGAAGGCTGGGCTTTGAAGTTTGTTGCTGAGTTCGACAAAGCTCTGTTTTTGTCGACAAAATTGGGCATTCGAGACACTGGAGCAGCGTTGTTTGAGCATCGACCAAAGCGACAAATTACAGTTGCTTCCACGCTGGAATTTTCAATAAAGAAATTTTTCCGAATCGAGATTCTTTCGTTCATTTTTTTTTATCTCGACTTACCATAATAAATTGAATAGAGCAGCGTCCAATCGCATAATCGTAATCGCTAATTTTTCAAGCTTTCTCTCGATTTTTGTGATTCGACTGATTTTTGGTGGTGCCAACTCGTGAGTCAGAGCAAAAAATCCTAAGGCAAGTTGTCTGATATAATTGGACCAGCGCGCTTCTTGATAAGCACCCGCTGAGCACCTCCGCGGTGCACTGGCTCATCGTCTCTACAAATAATTTTTAGATGCAATGTCGACGCGCTTTAATTAGTGAATCAATCAAATGATCGTTTTTCTAAATAAAGAATCTTTTAATCGTTGGTAAAAATTGCTCAAATTTATACAAATGGGTCTTTAAATAAATTTGCCTTCTATTTAAAACGATAATTTTCGAACAAGACGACATGTTCCTATTAATTATTTAATTGCTTATGTATTTTGATCAATAAAATGATCGGGGTTTTTTTAAGCGTGAAGAATTATTTAAAGAAACAAAATATTTTTTGGGGTACTGAATTGTGCCGCCGTGTGCCGCCCAGGGCCGCCGGGGTCTGGAACCCAGGGAGATGGGGTCGTCCACCAATATCTTCGGACCCGCCGGGACGGGCCGACACAGGGCGGCACAATTCAGTTTTTTCCTACATTTTTGAGCAAAAGTTCTTTTTTTTATTAAAAAAAGAATATATGAACTAAGAACAGGCAAAAATAGACACAAGCGAATAATCAAATTCAAGCGAGCATTCTAGCGCGGTAGAAACTCATTCGGTTATTTCGAGAAGCAGGTTTGTTGGGTCGTCTTGTCATCATTGCAAAGGTATCTTGGTGACTGAGAAGAAATCGAATGTAATCCGCTTCGAGTTGCTGGCTGTTGAATTTGACGGTGTTTCTGGCTTGAAGATTGTTTCCAAGTCGGTTTTGCCCGATCAAGTCCGCAGCAATTTGGCCAAAGACGCAGAAGAAGCTGGAAAGATTCATTTTTGAGATGAGTTTTGTTTTTTAGATCTGAGTTGTTTCAGCTCTGTTTCGGTTGATTTTCGAACACTGGCCGTCTTTATGTGGATTTTGGTGACAAGAACGCCACCAATAATTGTTTTTATGGCTCGTTGCTTTGTCAAATTGTCAGGTGAAACTTAAATTGTTCTTTTAACGAAGGCCTCTCCACTTATAATACTTGAAAGAAATGTTAAATTTATGGTCCACCAATTTGTTTAAAATTAAAGTTTAAGTATTTTATAACATCTTTTATAACAAGCCAATCATTCGATTATCCCTTTCTTGAACCAAAAGACAACTTTCTTCTCATTCTAATTGTTTGCCTTTGATGGTTTTACTGGTATTATCAAATTAAAACTGCAAGTTGAATATTTTCCAAGTTGGTGAACTCGGCTTGATTTCCAAAAGCATCCTCCCTGATTTTAATGGGCTATTTACGAATTGGTATAGATGTCAAAGTTCTTATTAGAGGCAAAATTAGTGGAATCACGAGCCGAATTTACTGATTGATCTTCTTTGTTTATCACTTTATCAAAAGCAATTTAAAACGGTATCTTGGTAAGAAATCGAGAAACTTCGATGTTCGAGGTTATAAAATTTTGAGTAAGCCTCATCTTTTGTATCAAAAAAGAAGTTTAAGCTCGAAAATTTCCTCAGAAATCGGGCAGAATCAAAGATGGAAGTTGATTTTATCGATCAGGGTTTTGATTGGCCGATGGTCAAATACAGCAATCTTATTGGTTATTGAAAATGAGTCAGAACAAAGTGATTTGTGGAAATCGTTTATGAGCAGAAAAAAAGTAAAGAAAATTAAAAAAATAAGAAATCATTTCAGAAAGCAGCTTCTTTCTAGGCGTAGGTGACTGGCATGAGATCTTCGTTGGGCAGGTAGAGAGGCATGAAGGCGCGCTTTCCTGAGTCCGGAGTATGTAACCGACCGGCGCAGTGGCACTCTTGTTTCGCCGCTCTTTCAAAAGCTACGCTGTCTACTTTTGGGTTAAAAACGGAAAAAAGAGCTACTGGGGAGAGGAAAATGACCCAAGCCTCTGGCTGTGACTGGTGCTCGAGTTACATACTCAGCTTTGGGGCTTAGTCCGTAGATGTCGTTCAGCTCGTTGATCAGCTGCTGCATCTTCAGCCAGTTGCCGCCGCCGCCCTGGAGCGCGTCTTTCAACATCGGATTTTCCTGAAAAAAAAACAGTCATTTTCCAGCCATTTAGTAAAAAAAAAAAAACCTGAGTGAGGATCCCAAAAGATCTGATCGAAGAGCCTTCATGAAGACTTTCGAGAATCCTGACTATGGTAAGGAATCCTGACTCAGGTCGGGAAACCTGACTCAGGCTTGGAATCCTGACTCAGGTTAGGAATCCTGACTCAGGTCGGGAAACCTGACTCAGGCTTGGAATCCTGACTCAGGTTAGGAATCCTGACTCAGGCCGGGAAACCTGACTCAGGCCGGGAAATCTGACTCAGGCTAGGAATCCTGACTCAGGCCGGGAATCCTGACTTAGGTCAGGAATCCTGACTCAGGCCAGGAATCCTGACTCAGGTTTTGAAATAAACTTGCCTCAAGAAAATCAAACTGTGCTCGTGTCGATTTTGGCGAAGCAAAAACACCAGCTAAAAGAGCGCAAAGCAAAAATTTCATTTTTTAAATCGAATCTCACAATGAGGGAGAAGCTCTTCTTATTTCTACTTTTATAGCCGAAAAACGGCTCGATTAGCGAGAATAGTAAGCATTTCTGGCTGAGCTGCTTTAGGGTGGAATCAGCCGCCGCGGCTGCCGCTCAACTGTGTTTTAATTATCTTCTCAAGGGATCAAGTGGACTTTAATTGCATTTGCTCATTAGCGATGCTGTTTTACTCCGCTAAAAGCTTTCCAAAGGAGAAGATTTGGATAAGACGATTTGAAGAGTACAGTATCTTTTTAGGTTTGTTCTCCGAAAGTTGAAAAAAGTCATTTTTCTTGCTATTTCTTGCTGTTTCATTGATTTTGAACTCAAAAAACTGGGCGTGAAAATAGTAAAAATGCCTCCTGCCGGCGAAGACGAACCAATTTCGCGACTGTTTTTCAAGTTCAAAGTTTTCGTCAGCTGCTCTTGAGCATTCTAGATTTACACTTGTTGTCTTGGCTTCATTTCAAGTCAGATTTTTAGTTCAAAAAGAAAAGAGAGAAATGCCATTTATGATGATTTTAGGTTATTAACTTCCTTATTTCTCTTGAATCAAAAATATTTCAGATGTAAAAGAGAGGCTCGACATTTTATTGACGAAAAATGAAGAGAGCAAAGTCGAAGAAAATAGTCAAAAGAAGCAGTCATCAGATTCAAAATAGACGTCTAAAAACTCGTTTTTCAATGATTTGTGTTTATTCAATCGCAATCTATTTTCATGTATTGGAATAGTTATTTCATGGGTTGCACGGTTGCATTTGAGATAAGAGTCCATCTGAAGCGTTCATCATCTTCGACAAATGGAACCAATTCAATCGGCTGAATAAGAACTTCTTTTGCTCTCCAAGCTAAAGAAATTGTAAAAAAGCATAAATTTGAGCTTACCCAAATTGAGCCCTTTGTTATCTTTGATTGTCCAAAAGCAGTCGTTCTCCTTTAAAAACCGTTCAAAACTTTTGAACTTCAAAAGAATAAGCATAAATCTACATTGAACCTTTCTTTTGTTCCCATCACAATGCTCAGTGAGAAGCCATGTTTGCAAAAATCCGAATCTGCCCATTTCCTGATGCAATACCCATCCACCTCTGGGTAGTTCATCTTTTCAGAGTTATTTTTACGTTAACGGAATATCAGTTTTTCCTCTGAAAACTCTTTCCTTCTGGGAAGCTAGCTCTGCAATTTCCCGTGTTACCACACCCATGAGTGTTGATAAAGTATTCGTTCTTTTTGAAGGTGGGAACGATTTCGAGATGATGAATTTCTTGTTCCGGCGTCGCGTTCATTGTTGGAGCATGAGAAGCTCCACAAGTCATCGAGTACTTTTTCAAACTTATTCAAAGATTGCGAAAATCATCAAACCTCATAATCATTATTGTTAATAAATCCAAACAGTGAGTTTCCAAAGCATTTTGGTCCATCTGTCATCTCAACACAGACGCCATCGCAGTCAAGTTCAAAACAACCGTTCGTTATTCCAGGTAGCCCTTCACAAAACACCCCAGTAACGTCATCAGGGCAGTGACAAGTAAAGCTGTCTTCCCCAGTGACTTCGCAAGCACCACCGTTTTCACAAGGAAAGTCCATGCAAGGGTAAATCTCACAGCGTTCGCCGGAGTAGAACTGGGGACATTCGCATGTGAAGTCGTCTCCGTCCATTGAGCAAACTCCATCATTGAAGCATGCTGGAGGTTTACTTTGGTCGCTTTCGTTGATTTCGCATGGTGTTATTTGACACAAATGGCCTCCGAACATATCAGTTGGGCATTCACAAGAAAATGCTGGTCCTCTGAGAGAACTCGTCTTGTTCCGGTCATTTACCGTACATTCTCCGTATTCGCAAGGATCAGAGTCGCAAACGCTGTCTTCGCATGTCTCTCCAGAGAAACCGCGCGGGCATTTGCATTTAAATTCGAGATCAGTTCCGATTAAAATGCATTTTCCACCGTTTTGGCATGGATTGTCAGAACACTGATCGATCTCGCAATGAACCCCGGCAAAATTTTCTCTGCAGGAGCAAAAGTATGAGTCATCAGTTTCATTGAAAAAGCAGGTTCCACCATTCTGGCAAATATTCGAAGAACAGGGGTCGATCTCGCAGTGTTTTCCAGAAAAACCCCCTTCGCAGTTGCACAAAAACTCTCCTCCATCAATCTCACAGGACCCATGATCACATGGATCCTCAGAGCAAGGAGTTATCTGGCAAGAATCTCCGGAGAAACCATCTTTACATGAGCATTGATGGTTGTTTCCTGAAAACGAGCAGGTTCCGCCATTCTGACACGGATCGTTTGTGCAGGGAGTTATCTGGCAATCGTCTCCGGAGAAACCATCTATGCATGAACAGGTATAACTGCTTCCGGAAATCGTGCAAGATCCGTCATTTTGACAGGGACTGTTTGAACACGGATTTATTGGTGAGTTTGCTTTCAAGGGTTGAATTATTTAGGCCTTTTATTGTCAATGAAATAATTGAATTTTGAACCCAAGTTGAGAGCTGTGTTGATTGATCTAATGATGGTTGATTTGCTGAAGTATCGCTCTTGTCTGCAAATTTACCATAAAGAATCGGTATTCCAATGGTAAACACGAGACCAATGATAACAATGCTCGCAAAAGCGCTTCGAAGCTACAAAAATATTTTTAGGGAATATTTTTAAACGCTTTTTTACCATAACTCTACTGTTGTCTCTCATTTTCTCGGCAAAACTAAAGTTCCTCTTCCTTTTATGAAGATTTCAGATGACAAGCAAAACAAATTCGACATCACTATCGAAATTTGACTGAAGTTCGTTCAATGAACTTTTGATAATAAAAGCTATCGACCTTTAATGACAGAGTTTTGAAAGAAATCAGTTGATACTTATTCGTCCATCATTTTTTTTTAACAAGTAAGCAGAATTACATTTTGTGACATAACCTGGATATGATATCAATTGAGACTGTTTGGCACGTTTATTCGAGAAATAAAAAGTGCGAGTTATTTCATGGAAAATCGGTTGCGTTTGAGATAAGAGTCCATCTGAAGCGATCATCATCTTCGACAAATGGAACAAATTCAATCGGCTTAATAAAAGTTTCATTTGCTCTCCAAGCTAAAAAATTTGTATAAAAAACGTAAAATACCCAAATCCCACCAAAATCAAGCCCCTTGTTATCTTTGATAGTCCAAAAGCAGTCGCTTTCCTTAGAAAAACTTCAAAAGAATATGAATAAATTTGAATCGAACCTTGTCGTTTTGCCCATCACAGTGCTCAGTGAGAAGCCATGTTTGCAAAAATCCAAATCTTCCTTTCTCCTTATGCAGCACCAATCCACCTTTTGGTAATTGATCTTTTGAGGGTTGTGTATTATTTTACCAAGAATAATTTAATGCTTCTAAAGATAAGAATCTATAACCTTTCCTTCTGGGAAGCTTGCTCTACAATTTCCGGTGTTGCCACAACCGTGAGTATTGATAAAGTATTCGTTCTTCTTGAAAGTGGGAACGATTTCAAGATGATGAATTTCTAGTTCTGGCGTCGTGTTCATTGTTGGAGAGTCAGATGCCCCACAAGTCATCGTATACTTATTTTCATATTTATTCATAGGTATCAGTGACCATCAAACCTCTTGATTATTATTGTTAATAAATCCAACAATCGATTTTCCAAAGCATTTCGGCCCGTCTTCCATTTCAATGCACACGCCATCGCAGTCGAGATCAAAACAGCGATTCGTCGTTTCAGGTAGTTCTTCACAGTGTTCACCTGTAACCCCTTCTGGGCAATTACAGGTGTAAATGTTTTCTCCAGTGATTTCGCATACACCACCGTTTTGGCAAGGAATGTCCATGCACGGATGAAATTCACAGCGATCCCCAGAGTGAAATTCGGGACATTGGCATTTGAAGTCGTCTCCTTCCATTGAACATACTCCGTCGTTGTAGCAAGCCGGAGGTTTACTTTGGTCATTATCATTGATCTCGCATGGTGTAATTTGACACAAATGGCCTCCGAACATATCAGTTGGGCACTCACAGGAAAATGAAGGCCCTCGTAGAGAAATTGTCTTGTTCCGATCAGCTACCGTACATGTTCCGTACTCACAAGGATCAGCGTCGCAAATGCTCTCTTCACATGTCTCTCCAAAAAAACCACGGGGGCATTTGCATAAGAACTCAAAATCTGGTTCTACCAAGATGCATTTTCCACCATTTGCGCATGGATTGTCGGTGCACTGATTAATCTCGCAATGGTCGCCGAGAAAGTTTTCTTTGCAGGAGCAACTGTACCCATCAGTTTCATCGAAGCTGCATGTTCCACCATTTTGACAAATGTTCGATGAGCAAGGGTCAATCTCGCACAACTTCCCGGAGTATCCTCCTTCGCAGTTGCAATCAAAGTCGCCTCCAACAATCTCACAGGTTCCATGATCACACGGGTTTTCTGAGCAAGGAGTTATCTGGCATTGGACTCCAGAGAAACCATCTTTACATGAGCATTGATACATGTTTCCTGAAAACGAGCAGGTTCCGCCATTCTGACATGGATCGTTTGTGCAAGGAGTTATCTCGCATTTGTCTCCTAAAAAACCATCTTTGCATGAACAGATATAACTGCTTCCGGAAATCGTGCATGATCCACCATTCTGACAGGGACTGTTTGAGCAGGGGGAAAGCTCACAAAGTTGACCAAAAAAGCCTTCTTGACAAGAACAAATGATTGATTCACCAATTTCGTCGCAAGAACCGCCGTTCTCGCAAGGATTCGGGTCGCAGGAAATGATCAAACTTGTTGTTGTTGTCGTCGTCCTCGTCGTTGTTGTCGTCGTTGATGATGATGTTTTCTCGTCGGTATTTTTTCTCAGAAGAATGGGAGTTAATATCGTCGACACAACAGCTCCAAAAGCAAGAATTCCAAGACCAACTGTCAACTGAAAAATAAGATTTTTTACATAATGAAGAGTTGTAATCAAAATTGAATCTCACTAACAAGAAGACGATTCGGCATTCTATGAAAAAATGGTAAGGAAAAATTGATTTTAGTTCAATCTGATACTCTCTAAGACTCAGAAAAATATACAGTGAAACCCCAACTTAAGGCCCAGCAACTTAAGGCCACTTTTTTGAAAAAAACCCAAAATCTGTCATCCGAAAAAAATCCAACTTAAGGCCACTTTTTTCCATTTTTATTCACAGTAAGTAAATCGCAGGAAAACAGGCGAGAAATGGGGAAGATAAGATATTTTTCGTAAAAATTTTCTTGGAATTTCTTTCATATATGTTATAAAGAAACTTTTATAGTTGAAACTGTCTGTAGACATGATAATAACGAGAAAAAAATTCTAAATTTTGATTCATCAAGGAAAAATTAAAACCGTGAAATTTGAGTTTACAGGCCTGCAAAGCCTGTGAAACCCGTAAAACAGGACCTGTTCCTGTGTTTTTTATCCTGTCCTGTTTCCAGATGGGCCAAAAAAAATCCCTGTTCCTGTGTACAGGATTCCGAGGCCAGATTCAGTCCCTTGCTCCAGAAATAGAAAAATTTTAGCGTCATCCAACTTAGTTGGAGAATCACCCAACTTAAGGCCACTTTTCAAATTAGCTGTCATCCAAAAAGTGGCCTTAAGTTGGGGTTTCACTGTACATTTTTTTTTCAATTCAGGATTTTTATAGAGGATCGCAAAGCGGTATTTTCCTTGATCGCTCTGACAATCATATCAAATTCGACATTCGCATTTGACAACCCTGACTGTACTTTTGATCTTTCTGAGTTCAAAATCATTATTTTCAATTATGTAATGATTCCATCATTATCTCTAAAACACTCACAATGCGACGATCCGGCATTTTTTCTTTTTTTTTTTTCTAACAGAAACGAACTGGAATTTTGGGTCACTGGTCGTTCGATTATAACTGCTACTTATCACTTTCCGGAACGACATATAGCGGAAGGTGCTATCAGAAAGTGACTGATAGCGCCAATTTGACTCGTCGACCAACAATTCCGCTCGCTGAAATTTTATTATCAGCAGATTTGTCGATTGATCAAAGTCACCGCGTAACACATCGTTGTTGCCGTTTTTATCGATTTACCGAGATTCCAAGGTAAAAAATCAAGGAAAAAATTAAGTTTTTTTTTCGTTTTGTTGATTGGATGATGGGCCCCTCAGGGCTGCAAATAGAATTTTATTAAACATAGTTATTTGACACTTCAGTGTTTTCGAACTAACTAAACAAGCGTTTAACACATGAAATGCCATTTTAAGGGCAATAAGGTCGTTTTATGGTTTTTATGACTGCGAAAATTGCTTTCTAGAGACCTTTTTCTGTCATTTATTCAGTTCTTGTTGGAGATAAGTAAACAGCATTGGCATTGTTGGCCAAAATCGAGCAATTTGTTCCTCTTCTTTCTGATAAATACGTCATATTCGTGCTTTTTACGGGTTCACGAAAATGGTTTGAGATCAACAAGGAATCATGGAGAAAGGCACCCTTCCTGTCAGGATCATGACACTCATCCAAAAATCTCTGGACGTTTCTCCAATTGCAGTTGAAAAGAATCGCACAAGAAGCGACAATTGCGCAGGCGATGCTCACCAGACTGAATTTGAAATTTGAAATATCGGGGGATACTGAATTGTGCCGCCCTGCGCCACCCGATCCGGAAGCCATCGGCTCTCCCAAAAAGTAGCAAACGAACCTCATGATGATGAGCTCAATCCAATCCGTCCAGTTGTCCAAGTTCCAGCCCACGTGCTGTTGAAATTTCTCCATATTCGTGATGTGCGTCAAATTGTCTCTTTGTTCGAAGTTCTTCCATTCTTCCACAACTTTTCCGAAGAGCGTCAATAATCGGGCACATTCTTCGTCGCTTTTTGCTTGCTGAAAATTTATGAAATAATTTTTTTCGAAAAATGAAAAACCCAAATTTCAAAGCACAATTTTGTGTAATCAATTTCTTGATAATCGGAAGAGCCTGAACCGCCGTAGTAGTCGTAATCGGAAGATCTGGAAGATGAAGATGAAGAATCCATCGCTGTTTTTTCTCTGCAATTTCAACCTTCGCGCGATGGAGAGGAGGTGTAAATCTAGCCTTGACAAGCTACTAGAGCCCCCCTTCAGCAATTAAAGCTTGGTCAGGAGACTCCACGAAATGAGCGAATTATGCCAATCAGACTACTCAAGATCGTCTGTCGAATTTGTCTAAAGTGCCCACGGAGACTATTTTTAGAAAAAGATTTTTTTTATAAAAAAATGATGAGTCTTCCTTGATTTTCCAATATATTTTTCGGATAAATCCGATTTTTTATTTATTTATATGAAATAAATAATTATATTTATAATACTTATATTTTTAAAAAAAATTTAAATTGTTTTATTCATTGATAATAACAGTTAGCACCCAAAATTCGGTACACCCAAAATTTGGTAAATTTTTGCGAAAATTCAAAACAAAAAATTTATCGAGAAAATTTTCATTGACCCTAAAATATTCCTTTTTTAAGAAAGATACCATGAGTTTAAGAATTTGAATGCTTTTGTGGCGCTTGATACGCGTTTTATTTATGATTATTATAAAATAATTAATAAAATATTTATTTAAAATAAAATTATTAATAATTAAATTAATTGAATAATGTATAAAACTAGGCCAAAAGAGACAAAGAGAAAATCGTAATGATTTGTTTACAGAAGAAAAACGACCATAAAAGAAGCGTAAAACGTATTATTCACTATCTCACCGGGACTTGTTCATTTTATGACTACCTTTTGCTTGTTTTTCTTTCAAAGAAAATGCCAAAACTGGGCGAATTTCCGCACAAAAACAGCCTCGATCGAAAAACAAAAAGAGTGAAATTCACGCAAAAAGAGGAGGGAAATGAAAACGAGAGAGAAATTATCATCAAAATTCAAACAGAAAATGAAAACAAGACGCCTTGGCTGGACAAATTGAAAGGAGTGCATATTTGTGTAAAGATCATCGCGGCTTTGATTGGTATAGCGACGATTCTTTTTCCTGCGTTTTTCATTTCCAAGGGGTTGAAATCCGTGGCAGCAGGGGAGGAGCACTCGCCGCAAACAGAGATTGTCGACGCTACCGATCCAACAATGCTCGTTTCTCCGATGATTGACCCTGTCTCTGAGAAAATCAAGGAAGTCAAAAAGTCCTTCATCGTTCTGGAAACACACAAAGATTCGAGTCAATTTTACTCTTTGACTGAAGCCGGAGAAAAAGCAGTGAAAACCTACAAATTCCCGGACGATAATGAGCAGTACTTGTATTCTTCTGGAGGGGCGATTTTTCAAGGAATCTTTTACATTTTTGGCGGGCGATTCAAAAACAAGAAAATTGCGTTCTTGGACGGCTGTAGATTTGAAGAGTTGTCGATGCAGTTGAAGTACAGTCATCTTCATTCAAATAATCTTGTTACTTTGCAGGATGATTCAGAAGGTAAAACATAGAATAGACGAATATTTGGGAAATTCTAGTGCTTCTTTGTTTTTCGGATGAAAACGGCTTTCGAAAATGTCAATCTTTCGATGGAGAAAAAGTGATTTCCGACCACCACTCCTCGAACTTTGGCCACGAAAATGGCTGCATTGGGCATTTCGGCGAGCAAATTCTAGCTGTTGGCGGGCTTTCTCTCGGAGCTGAGCACAAAGTCGAGATGAGAGACAAAACTGGGCGATGGAGAAATATGCCGGATCTACCCAAACAATTGTAAGGAATAGAAAATTCGAAAATCATCGAATTTTTAGTGCGGAGTATGATGAAAATCATTGCATCGGGTTTACCGACTCTCTTCTCGCCATCGGTGGATGGGGAGAGCCTCAAACTCAAGTTCTTCTTTTTAAAGAAAATAGATGGAAACTCGTCGGAAACATGTGGAAGGTACCAATTTCAATTTGAAAATCTCTAACTCTTTTAAGCCGAATTTGATGGGAAATTCGTTGAGATTTGGAGATGAAATTTTCACCATTGGAAAAGAAAGCATCGAGAAATTCGTTTTCGACGAAGAAAAATCAATTTCTTCAATACGAGTTTATCCAGAAATCATTTTTGAGGACGTTCAAAATGGCTGGGGAGCACTTTTTTTTGATGCAAAATATGACACTTGCTTTTAATAAACTCTTCCTGACACATTCTTTTCGGCCCATTTTTGCGGAAAAATGGGGTGCTCCGACAAAAAAAAATTCGACAAATTTTACGTAGGCGGCTTTTCTGCTGCTGATTGGCTGCGCCGAATCCAGGTTTCTGATTGGTTGGAAATTTTCACGCAAAATTTGTCGAATTTTTTTGTCGGATCCTTACACTTTTGCGCAAAAATCAAGAAAAAGTATTTGCTTTTCTGTTTGTTCAGTTCATGACATTTTCAAGTGTAAAATTTTCGTGAACAAAAAGAGTGAAAAGTACACGGATCAGCCGTTCTTTTCTTTATTTACCAAAATACAGCTTCAGTACTTCAGAAGGACTCCGGATCAAGGGTCTTCACGGATTGCTGACTCGCCGTTGTTGATGCTTATTTTTAGCTTTGAACCCTTCTTTAGAGGAGAAATAGGATATCAAAAAGGCTCATTCCTGATTTGACCCGCTCCACGACGGGATTGCAACTTCTATTGCAGCAACATGAACGGATCGATTTCTAAAATGCATTTTTCTCAAGAGTCATCGTGTTTCAAATTAATTCTCAATTTCGAATACACTCTTTTTCGTCTCGAAAAACATGATCTCCAAATTCGTGTCAAAAAATTCGAAGGAGCTTTCTTTTCTCGCATATTTTAGAAAGAAAAAAACGACTTTTTTTCATGAAAAAAATTTGATTCAGAGATACTGTTTCTTTTTCTGTTTTTTCCGAGGTCAAGTTGTCTTACCCTGAGAACGAAAAGAAGAATGAGGAAAAACAAGGCGCCCAAGATGCTAAAAATGATCGTTTGCTCCTTTTTTGTCAGTTGCGAGGTCGTTGATCCGGAAATTGGAACATCTGAAATTCATTTTGACCACTTTAGGGATAGCGAATGAACTACCGGCTTGACAGTTATTAGTTAAAGTTGTTGTATTAAATTCATCAACGGGTAGAACGTGTTTGGGAATTTCTCCCGGGATGCAGAATTGAGACTTTGCGCAGTTGTATTCGACCAATAAGGGCGTCAAGGCGACTGTAAGGGGCTGATTTTCGATGATGAAATTGAGACCAAACGATTTTTCTTAGCAATTTTCTCGAAAAAAGGCCTCTTTTCCTGATGAAAACCAATAATCATGAAATTGAACCATTAATTTTTCCAGCTGCCTCAGAGCATCATTACAGTTTCTTACTGTTACATCTCTCAGAAGGTTCTGATTTCTGATTCGTCAAAAAAACTTTCATCAAAATAAAATTGAACCTTTTCTTTCCAAAACGTTGTATCGGCGCTCGTGACCCAGCAATATTCATATCTAAAAAATAAACTTTCATTTCAAAAATTTTCATTTTTCCGAAAATTTTTTTTTCGATTGTCAAATTTTGATTCTGATTTAATTTCGATTTCAACCTGTGTTTATCATCACCGTGCAAATAAAAAGGGGGTCGAAGCTTTCATTTTTTAACGAACCTGTTTGGAACTGCGCCGCCGATGATTTCCCACGGCTCGAGAAGCTGGACGGGTTGGTTTTCGGTGGAACAACAGAACTGCGAAAGGGCGCATGTCAAGTCGAAATAGCTTGAATAGTAGCGCCCGCCGAGAAACAGCTAGGAAAATAAAATAATGATCGTTGAACTAAGCGCTTGATATATCAGGGCTCTTATTGCTAGGGTTAGCCATTGCCCTACAAATTGAAAGCTAATACATTTTTTGTCAAAATAAAAGTGTTTACAATTCGGTTTTTTATCGGCTATAAATTTTCGCTCATCCCACTCCACGCAACGAAAATATATCATTTCCTCAAAAATCCGGTCTTTTTTTGAAGCAACCCCTCTTTTCCCCGACTTTGATGGTCGAACTTACCGAAGCTCTCTGTTCCTCGCTCATGTTTTCCTCTCTTGATAGAACCAAAAAGGAGACGGCTCTTTGCTCTGACATAATTAAGAAGATCAGATTACGCTACTGAGATACTACTTTGATATTTTGTCAACAAAGATTTTTGCTTGGAGAAATTGAAAGAGAACTTTATTTTTTTGTCATGAAGTCAGTAGTTTTTGAAGCTTTGGCGATTTTTCGTGGTGTTTTGAGGATCGTCGGCTTGGAAGTCTGGATGATTACGTAATGATTTCACTAGCTCTCGGAGTCTTAAAAAGAGGGATGAAAGATGAATCTAAGAGAAAAAATTTCAGCTCGGGGACCTGTGTAAAAGCCTGAGTCAGGATTTGAAGAAGGATAAGAGCCGCGGATTTGAGCTCCTTCAAATCCTGACTCAGGTTTTTACACAGGTTGCCGAAGCCAGAGACGAGATGAATCCTACCTTGGCAATCTGGAATGCTTTGGATTCAGGACGGAAAAGATCTCAATAGCTTGATTAAACGACTTGAGCGCCTTATCCGGATGTCCATTGTGCAGATGAATGCTTTTCAAAAAGCTCCAAAGTTTGAAACTTTGAGTTTTTACCCTATTTCCCTGCTTGAGTGGTTGCTTATGTTTTTAAAATCGGCTTACGAAAAACGAGTTTGCGCCGATGTGTCTTTTTGCTAATTCTTTAGACGGGTTGTTTCCGCACTCGAAAAATGAAAGACGGAAAAGGGGACGAAAATCCTATTTCGTCACGAAATAGGATTGATTTTTTTGCTATCTAAGATAGCCTATCTTTCAAAAGACGGTTGTTTCATTTTTTAAAGAAGGACTCCCCTTGTTCACCCCCTGACTTCCTGCAAGCGTCCCCTTGTTCGTATTTAAAAAACTGGAAAAATTGAGGTTTACGCAAGTTTTTCAAGAAAGTTGAGCAATGCTGACTCATGGGTAAGGTGACGTGACCCAAAAATGAACAAGGGCACACCTGCAGAAATTTGAAAGACGAACAAAGGGTCCCCTTTTTATTCGAATAAATGCAACCCATCTTTATTCCCTTATGTTTTTGCTTACAAGTCAAAAAAATACCAAAGCGAATTCTAACAAAAATCTTCGGTCGCCCCTTACGTATCATTCAACCGCATAGTTTAAGATTCTAGCATCTAGCATCTTTCAATTCAGAATCTGCGAGTTGTTGTGTGACGCATTGAACATAAATTTTCAACCGTGGAGCCCAGCCTGCCGACGAGCTCGAAATTCTCCGCCGCTTCGTCGCTTACGATCCCAAATGCAAATTCAATATTCTTCTGGCTTTTCAACAGCATAGACAGGGCGGTCGATTTTTCGTCATTTAGAAGGTGTGCTTTTTTCTTGGTTCTTGACTTTGATCGCAAAATCGGACGTCTAAGAAACCCCAAAAACTTCGAAAAAACCAAGTTTATTTGAAAAGTTACATCGTGAAGAAAAACCATCTTCAGACGGATCTGACTACAGTACTCTGCCCGAGCGGGTATACAACTGTAAACAAACTGCCCGGTTTCAAGATCGAGTTGGCGAAAGTTGGGTTTTTGAAAGTTTGTCATGCGCGAAAATGAAATTTCTTAACGAGTCTATCGCTCATTAGGGCCACTTGAAATGTTTACTCTAGAATCGCTCCACAGCCGTTCAACGTGGAAGAAAATCGGCTTGATTTTATTTCCCAATTTGAGTTTCGAGTCGAAATTTTTTCAAAAAATTCTTGGTTGGTGTCAGGAACCGACAAAAAAAAACTCGATAAATTTTGCGTGGGCGGCTACCCGGCTGCTAATTGGCCGATAAACCAAATCCAGGCTTCTGATTGGTTGAATTTCCTCGCGATTCCTCGCAATTTCTGATATCTCCCCGAAAATCTATTTGTTTTAGAAAAAAAAAATTGTAAAGTCCAAGATAATTTTCTCCGCTAATTACTGTGGCCATGTATTTGCGGTTTTAAATTGCCCTTGACAGATGAAAAGTTGAAAACGACAACTGTCAATTGTCAGTTGGGATTTTTTTTATCAGGGCTTGTTTCGGTTAGCTAAGAATCCTTTTTAAAAACCGCTTTTGAAGTGACGCACAAGTCACTTTTTCGCATTATAGAACCATTCCTTTCGCCAAGGCCACTTTTACTGAAATCGTCTTTTTGCTCCTCTCTCCCAAAACTTCCTCGTAAATTTGACTCGCGTCGTATCCGTATTTGAGCCCCTTTTGGAAGTCCTTCTCAACGGTCACGTGGTGCTTGGCGAATGCGAAAAAACAATCGGCTGTCGGAACTCGCAACGAATACTCCCAAATCGTGTTGGCCACTTTTTCAAAAACGAAAATTCGACACGTCAAAGATTTTTTGACAAATTTGTATGAAACGTAGACGAGGAAAAATAGAAGTTGCCCCGCTGAAATCGGGTTTTTCGATCGAAAAAAGAAAAGAATTGAGAAGCCGCTTGCGGCTTCGAGTAAAAAAAAAGATGCGCTTTGCGCGGCTTTTGCTAAAGGAAATTCTAGAGTTTGTTTGAATCGAAAAGCCGGCTTCGAGTTCTTAAGGCTACGGGTATCGATCAGGCTACGTTTGAGGCCGTATTCCTGAAAACCTGTAAATGATGGAAGGTTTCTAATAATTCCCAAATAAAGAGCTATCCTAGATCTTAATTTTGTCAGAAGGAAATTTTCTTCCTCATAGGTTTTTTTAACAAAATTTCGCCTCAAAGTTTTGATCTCGGTCGAAATTCGCCCTAAAACTGGCCGTATTCCGAGGAATGTAGCCTGTAAACATCCATATTTCATATTTTTATATGAAAGTTCGGACCTTTATCTTAATTTTGTCAGTAGCTTATTCAGAGTGAATAAACTTTTACATCGAAAATAATTTTTTGAAAAATTGATCTCGGCGATTTTTGCATTTTTTGAAAGTGAGATTCACGTTTTTGGCTCTATAATCCAAAATATCCTGTCTAAAGCAAAACCAAGAACACCATGATGTTTCTCGTGCTCTGAGCTTTCAAAAAAGGCCTCATTGATAAAAATTGAAGCCAAGAAATTTTTTTCGACCGGAATTCTAGCGCTTATATCTCGAAAACGACAAGTGATAGCAGCTTGCATTAAATAACGAAAATGCGCAGAATTTTGCGTAGAATTCAATAGACGACATAATAAATGTCGTACAGGCAATATAAACCCCTTTAGAAAATCGATACCCGTACCCTTAAAAGAAAAGCCGCGCGAAGTGCGGCTCAAATTTTCTTTACTCGAAGCCGCAAGCGGCTTTTCGATTCAAGCGAACTCTAGAATTTCGGTCTAGAATGCCTCTAGAATCAAGCTCAACACTTTCCTTTTGGGCATATTCTAGCGCTTCTTGCAAATCGCCAATTTTATCGTCCACGAATTCAGCTCTTTCCAACCAAAGTTTTACTACTTCATCAAAATCGCTCTGTCTTTTTCTTTGTTTATCCAGAATTTTCACCACTTCTGTGTTGTTTCCCTAAAATATTAATTCGGATTTTGCAATAACCGTTTCTAAGTAACGGATTCGAGATCAAGTTTAAAAAGCCACTTTGAAACCTCAATAAACAGCATTTTTTTGGTTTTCAACATTTGTTCGTTTTTTTTTTTCTAAATTCATTGAAGTCGATTAACCGTAGCCGGCCAAAATGTCATTTCTGACCCTACCGGCCAAATGCACCATGAGTGGTCCATGAGTGGTGCATCACCTGCTTATATTCTTGAAAAATTCAACTCAAAGTCTATTACGTACCGTACGTAACGTACGTCTTTGGGTTTGTTTTTGGGTACTTCGTTAGTGTTCGGGTTTGGGTTTTAGTTTGGGTATGGGTTTGGGTGCGGATTAAGGTTTGGGTTTCAGCATCAGGTAAAGTCTTCCTATTCGAAGAGGGAGACTATTCGACGAATTTTTCGGCGAAAAATACTGCCTACCGGCCAAAAGCACCATCAGTGGTGTCGGCGCCATTGAAGCAATGCACCATACATGGTGCATGCAGTTATTCTCAAAACAAGCCTTTTTCCGAACCCTAACCCTAACCAAGGGTAGTCGAAAGGTAGCCTAAGGGTAGCTTATCGATAAATAGCCCTACAGTTTCACCCGTTTTTCGAAACTCAAAATCACTTCGGTGGGAGACGTAATTCTTTGACCCCTGTTCCATAGATGGTGCACCGGCTAAGGTTAACTGTTTTTTGACCAGGTCAGTTTTAAAATCGTGGAAAAAAAGGGTTTTCGTTTTAAAAATACCACGTCAACAATTCTGAAGGCAGCACTTTATAAGTGCATTTGAATAAATGAATTTCGACCTTTTGATAAAAGAAGCTGCGTTCGAAAGATAAAGGTCCACCTGATGCCGAAAATGCTAATTTCTGATTTTCAAAATGCAATTTTCACTCGATTTTTTCGAACGACAAAGAAGGGGGTACCTGAGCCTTGTAAATTTGAAGAAGAATGTCTTCAATCCTTGCTCTCGCCTTGTCAGCTTTATCATGATCGAGGTCTCGCGGAAGTCGCCGTTTCGCGCGTTCCACATGCTTTAGCGCTCTAAAATCGAGCTTTTCGAATCCAGAATTTATGAAGAAATAATCCCGAAACTCGCTTTTTTGGTTCTTATTTTGATCTTTTGTTTCTATACAAAAATTGATTTCTGTAATGAATATTTTGGCTCGCATAATTTCAAAAAAAAAAGCTGAGAGTATGTTCCGCTAAATTAACGCTTTGTCTTGAGAAAACCAGCTTGATTATGTTAAATTTTTTTTTGAAGAAATAGAACAAGTCAGCGGGTAAAATGTTAATTTATAAGCAAAATAAAGCGGGCTCCGTGGTTGATCCTGTTTTTCGTTAAATAAAGTCTCGTCAATTAAGGGCTTAGCGTTTTCTGTTCTGACAAATTAAATCGACCATCCGCTCGGTGCATGAAAAAAAATCACATCCTGTTTTGTACGAACGGAGTTTAAGGTAAGTACGTTTATCTATTCGCATAACGCTGGAAAGAGACACAGTTTCTCCTCTTTCTCCTGAATTCCGAGTTCCAAAAATCGTTACAAATGGTTTTTGTATTTGACTTGTCGAAAAGCTCTTTCATTCCTTATCTTTGAAAATCATTCTTGTGACGGAAATGGCCTGCCGCGACGAGATCGATTTTTGCCTTGACGAGCTCGTTTCCCGATCCACTCTCCATTCTAGCTCCCGGTCGACCCTAATTACAACAAATTTAAACATCCAAAATCACCAAGTTCAAAGTGAACCGGTTTCTAGGCTCTGCAGCCTGTGTAGAAAACCTGAGTCATGGTGTGAAAAATCATTCGGACTTTTGAGTCGAAAATTAAAATTAATCAAGACGCCGCTTGCGGCTAAGTTTTAGCTCCTAAAAGAAAAGCCGCTCGGAGCGCGGCTCCATTTTTCGGGTACCCTCCAAATCCCGGGGTTTTTTTGCGAATCCCCGGGATTCGGAGGGTCAAATCCGAAATGTTCTAGAAACGCTCTAGTGTTATTTTTTATTAATTTAAAAAGTAAAAATATTCTCAAAAAAGGGTTAGGATTAGTCCCCGAATGCAATTTTCGTCTAAGAAAAATCTAATAATTTGTAATAATCTTTTTATTTGATTCCTTAATTGGGTTAGGGTTAGGTGAGGGACCACTGAAAAACAAATCCTATACTCATTGGGGCGTTCTAGAAGCATCAAAAATGACCACCCTCCGAATCCCGGGGTTTATGCCGAAAACCCCGGGATTGGGAGGGTCACCCCCATTTTTCTTCACTCGAAGCCGCAAGCGGCTTCTCGACTCTTTAATTTTCGACTCAAAAGTCCGAATGATTTTTCATACGATGACTCAGCTTTCTACTAAGGAACGAACCTCCGCGGCAGCTTTAAGCAAAAGCAGATGCTTTTGAACTTGTTCGTGAAAACCAGCATCTTGGTAGGCAAAACAGAGTCTCGCCATGGCATCAGCAGTTTCAACTGTTTTTCCTGAAAAGAAGAAAATAATTTTTAGACGGAATTGGCGACATAAGATTAAGGGCACGCTTCGGAAACAGTTGTTATCTCGGTGGCAGTGTTTTCACGCGTGTGCGAAGTTGCAATAATCCTATTACTGTTGCTGATTTTACGCGACTTTCAGCTAAGCAAAAGTGCTATTTTCAAAAGGGAGATTAAAAAAAGCAGATTTATGACGACTCTCTTTTCAGTCGCTTTTTGTGAAATAAAATGTATCAAATTTTTTTTTCGAGTCAAAAGTTCCATTCTTGCTTCGAAAAGCCGCTTGCGGCTCGGAGAAAAAGATTTTAGCCGCGCTTTGCGCGGCTTTTTTCTTCGAGGCGCGAAGCCGCAAGCGGCTTTTCGAAGAAAGAATGGAACTTTCGACTCGAAAGAAAAAAATTTGATATATTTTATTTCACAAAAAGAGACTAGCATGTAATAGAGCATGTTTGACGCTTAAAATTTTTCAATTGAAGCACTTTTTTATAATAAAAAATTGAAAATAAAATTAATTTTTACGCTTACCGTAAATAATGTTACAAATTGTGACACGTTGAATTGCAGCATCGATTCCGTGGTCGTCTTCTATTTCAAAGAGCGTTCTCTCAAGCGGATGCTCGAAAGTGTCTCCAAAATCCGCCAAATTCAGGCTCTCATCATTCGATAACAGCTCTAATTCATTCTCGGAACCGAAGCCAGGAAGCGACATCGATTGCGCCAAACTTTCATCTAGCAATTTTTTCTCATTTTTTCTTTAAAAGTGATTCTCTCACCGTCGATAAAGTCCTGGCTCATACTGTCAATCAAGCTTATTGCGTCAACCATCTCTAGAGGAACTTTTGGAGGAAAAAAAGTTTGAGCAATTATTTGATCAATGAAAAAATCGCTGGTTCATGCTTTTTTTCATTCTTGTTTTATTTTTCGTTTCCATGGAAACAAAATGAATAAAAGAAGGAAAAATTTTGAAAAAAGGCGCATTTTTTTGATTTCATCAAAAATGACCATTTCATTTCAAAAAAAAAAAAAATTCTAAAATTGTTGTTTTTTGGTGAAAAAAATCATGTTCACCTTTGATCATTTTTTTCTGCATTTTTTCTTTAATTCTTGTTCAAACTTGATAATATCAAGCATCTTGATTCAAGCTCAGATCGATGTTCTATTTTTAGAACAACACGATTTTTAGTGACAAAAACAAGTGTTTATTTGGGTTTAGAATATATTCAAACAGTAAGAGCGCTTCTAACAATATTTGGGATAAATTTCAAGAAATAAATTCATTTTTCGGTTTTCGAGTCGAAATCTTGAAGATAAATTTTTGACCGAAAAACCGAAAAAAAAGATTGCATCTTTAGTTCGCATTTTTCCTCGCACACCTTTGTGGCGCCCTTGTCCCGAATTGCGCGCCGCTCGCGCTTTCGATTTCGCTCAGGTGGCGCTCGCGAGCCGCGAGAAAGAAATGCTCCACTCGAGCGCAAGGCGACGATATTATCGGCGACGGAAGTTCAGCTGATTACTGGACGAGTCCTTCACTTAAATTTTTACGGAATACGAAAAAATATAAAAAGAAAAATTATTGTTTTTGATTTTTTTGAATAAAGAGAGAGATACTTCGGAATTTGGAAACGTCTTCTGCGCCACAGAAACAAAATTATTTTATTTTGTAAGTTTTCTTAGTAAGTAAAATAAACTGATAGATAAATTATTATTTTATAATTTTTTTCATTTAAAATATTTTTCAATCAAAAAGTTTTTAAGAGAATCTAATAAATTTATAAATTTTATAAATCTCTATATATCTCTTTTAAAGAGAATATTTTTTATCTTAAAAAAATCGGGAAATTCGGGAAAATCGGGAATTCGGGAGGTAACCGATATTTTCAAAATTTAGCGAAAACCATAGAAATTATTTAAATAGTATCGGAAAATTTTTTTCTATCGAGAATTATATCGAGAGATTGAATCTTTGATTACTAAGCAGAAGTATCCTTCCTTGGAAAGACTCCTTGGAAAAAAAATGAGCGGACATGATTTCCAAAAATGCGGAAAAGGAACACCGAGAGCGTAAAATGTAATTTGCTCCCTTCAATTTGCGCTGTGGCCGCGCCGATAACGTTTCCTCGCTCGGTTGGAGACAAGAAGTGATAACACCCGTTCAAGCCAGATTTGGGGACGAACATGAAAATCCACATTTCAATTTAAAAAGTGAAATCTGGACAGGATTGAATTTGTAAAGGGGACGTGCTTTTTTGAGAAACGGGAAAATCGTTAGATTTTTAAAACGATGAAAAATTTTGACATTATTCAAGTGGACTGTTATTTGCGAGGCTTGAAGATTCAATTAAAGCCGAAGAAGCTGTAAGATGACGAAAACTAGAAATTTTTGATTTTGCGGTAGCTCAAAATTTTTGCTTTTCCAGATGATGCGAAGACTATTTTCTCGATCTTATTCGAAAAAAGATGCGACAGCACTCTAAAATTTCGACTCAAAATAAGATTAATTTTCAAATTGATACCAAAAAAAAAACCCTCCTCCTTTCAACTGGAGTATAACATCTATTCCTTGTGGTTATCTTATCGAAAGCGCTCAATTTTCGAGAACAGATAAATATGAGAACAAAAAACTAAAAAATGACTTTATGATTCGACTTTTTTAAACTCTAGAAAAAAAATAAGTCAAATTCAATTTTCGCTTGATAGCCATATTTAAGTAAAAATATCGAAACAAAACGAAAAATCCCAATTGAAAGATCGGCTTAGCCACTGTTTTGGTAAGGTTGAACGTGACTGTCTTATCCTGAGTTCATTTGAACTGGATGAGCTCACTCAGATTAAAAAAGTAAAAATGACGCTGCTTCAAAAGTGCGCTCTCACTGAAATTTTGTTATTGCGTTACGCTCTCTATCTCGAACCACTTTCACGTTCAAATTTCATCACGGAAAGAAATTCAAAATTTCGAATTTTAAAAATTGAATTTTGAAAGAAAAATCATAAAAATTATTTTTTTTTTATTTTATGAAATGAAAATTTTAAAGATAAGAATCGCCTTGGGCAAAAAATAAGGGCACGTCAGCCCGATTTTTCATGGATCTTGAAGCGTCTTGTTCCCGTCAACTTTTGAGGTGATAAGAGCTCGGCGGGGAGCGATAGACCCTCACCTGACTTTATCGGAAAAGGATTATGATTCACACACTTATACCGGCGTCGAGAGGAATTGGATTAAAAAAAAGTAATTATTGATACAAATAAAAAGCAAGAAAGATTAGCCGAATTGATCAGAATGTGGGTTTTTGACTAAAAATTATTTTTTGAGTCGAAAATTTTTATCTTTGATCTGAAGCAAAAATCGACTTTTGAGTCAATTAATCAAAAATTTAAGGCCTTTTTAGTCAAGTTTTTTTCAATTTCTTTAACTAAAAATCTATTCGACTAGATTCAAACTTCGAAATAGCGGTAAAAAACTGGAAAGCCTTAGTTCCCTCTAATCGTTTTCTCGAAAAAATCTTACAACAGTCCCCCTCTCCAAACAAGAAGATTACAAGACCAAAAATTTAAACTTTCTCAAACGCTCTTTCTCAAAAATGAGCATTTACCCTGATCCAAACAGATCCGCCTGAACTTGCTCTCAAAACCAAAAAATTAATCAAAGGATAAGTCTAACATCCAGATGAACAAATTTGCAAAAATTGCAAAAAAATTAAAGAAAGGCTATTTTAGTAAAATAATTTGTACAGGCGCACGTCATTTTATCCCAAAACTCGACCCCAAAAGCTTGTCTCGAGTCGTTCTTAAGCTCAATTTCTATTGACCACGTGATTAGCCGACCACAGTAATTTTAACCCGGAAAATGCTCCACTCATTTTCATTTTTTCTTCTCTCCTAAAAGCTCAAAATTCAAGATCGCAAAAGAAAAAAATCATCGAAATGATATGTTTATTATATTATCTTAACCTTATTTCACGCAGGGTTAAGGGTGGCTATTATCCTTACGAAAAATAGTTGTTTGGAAGATCCAATATTGGATAAGAGGAGAGTCTCGGACAAACATGTTTTTGACACTTTCTTTCATTTTTTCAGGGGTGACCTAAAATCATTTGATAAAAATCAGATTGGGGGGTATAATTGAGAAAAGTGTAAATAAAATGACCATTTTTGTTACATTCTGGTGGAAATGGCCCTTTTTTGAGGGAATTTTTTACCATTTTTTCTGGCCAAAATTTTTTCAACTTATTGCTGAAAGATTTTATCAACCCTTTTCTATTCCCCAGTTTATTCAAATTTTACCTATCTAATCAGGTTTTCCCGGATTTTTGGTCAAAAAATCGTGATTCTTGTCAACCCCCCCCCTTAATTCTATTTATTTTTGATCAAAAATTTTATAAAAACGACCATGAGTTTTCTTAAGTCTTCAGAAAAGACTTTAAAACAGCTGAAGAATTGAAGTTTTATCTCAATTTTCATTTTCATCTTCAGTTTTTGTGAAAGTCTTTTTGTATAATTTTAATAAAATATCTAATTCTAGGAAGCCGCTTTAATAAGAAGAACACCAGCTCCGCGAAAGAGAGACTTGATAAAAGTACATCGCGCAACTTGTCACTAAAGAAAATGAGCGAGCGACAGAAGACGTCTCGCCTTGGCCAAAATTTATTCGGTAAGTTGAAGTGTTATTTCTTGGTCGAGGGTGGGTCCATCCAATCTGCCGGATCCAATCTTAGCGCAACATTTCGCGTGCGAAGGAGGAGATATCGGATTTGGCGAGAAGAGGAAGCTCGATCTTCCTGGAGAAAAGATTAGACTCTTTTGAATTTCGAGACGGCGAATGTCAAGAATAATGTTTTAGCACCGGGCCATTTTTGAGGCGATAAGGGATGTTATTTTAGAAAGGAAGGAAATCAGAAAAAGAGGGGAGGGGATTTTTCTTACATCATTTTTTCCAAACGACAGAAAACGATGTTGATAAAAAAATGCTGTTTGAACCTAGGGTCGGCACCGACCACCATTTTCGCAGGTCGGGTTGGTCGGTCTCCCAGAAATCGGGCGAAATCCGTGGTCGCTTTGGTGGGTCGAGTCGCCTTACTTTTTGGTCGGTTTTTGGTCGGTCGGTAGTCGGTTTTCGATCGGGTTGGGTTGTGTTTAAGACAATAGAAAAGCATTTTTTTTTCAATATGGGAGCGCTCGAGGCATTTTATTGTGGCAGTTGAACGTAGGTTTCCGACCAAAAACCGACCAACCCGACCAAAACTGACCTAAAACCGACCATCGTCCGACCAAATCCGACCACCGACCAAATTAAGAAAAAAAATCTTAGGCTGGGTTGGTCGGAACTCAAATCAACGACCCTAGGTTTGAACTACTCAAAAATCGCATTTTTTTATATTTGAGCCGAAAAATCGAAAAACCGCTTGCGGCTTTGAGATCGAAAAAAATGAAGCCGCGCTTTGCGCGGAGTTTTTCTTTTAAGAGCTGAAAGCCGCAAGCGGCTTTTCGATTTTGAGGCTGAAATTTATCAAAATTGTGAAAAAAAATAATTATCTTTATTTTAGGTGCCTTTGCCCTCTGCGCCGGACTGGGCATTGGAGCGGCCTATCTCAACTTTGAATCCGAAGATCTCTCGTCCCGTGTCATCAGCCGCCAGGTAAAATACCGTTTTCAACCGCTTTCGACTCTTCTGAATAAATTTTGACAGAGATGGGAAATGGTTGGGTTCGCCTTAATGAAATCGCCCCGCCGAGTTGTAATTTTGGCAGCGGCGATTTTATTTGATTTTCGTTTTTTGATTTTTTTGAGTTGATCAGGGGGTTTTGGAATTCCACGAGCTCATCAAATATCTTTCTAAAAGGCTTTAATTTTATTGCAATCGGTTCGTCGATTTTCCCAAATTTTGGTTCGAAAAATCAATAATTTTTTTAACCAAAAATCTAAAACAAAATCGAGAAGCCGCTTGCGGCTTCGAGCCAAAATAAAATATTAGCCGCGCAGATCGCGGCTCATACTCGAAGCCGCAAGCGGCTTTTTGCTTTTCGTCCACATTTTTGTTTTCTTTGGTTGCTGAGCATTCTTTTCGGCTCAAATAGAAAGCGTGGAGAATTCAGAGGGTTTATGCGTCAAAATATTCATTTCGCTCAAAAACGCGATCGGCCGCATAACCCCCTCTTTTGCACTTTTTCGCCACGTCCCTTTTTTTCTCAAAAGCTTTGCAACACTTTTCGTAACATTTGATTTCGTTGAAGCTCAGAAAATCCGCCCACGTGGTTGTCCGGAAATAAGTTTATTCCGTCGCCGTCAGCGTTTTTATATATTTGACACTTTGGTTTAGAAATGCTCTAAACAACGAACGAAAAGGTCGATTTTTTTCGTTGCTTGGCAGTTTTTATACAGCGGGATTCGAGGCCGGAAAATCGAGCGAAAAGTTCATCTTCCAAAAAATATTTTATGAAGAAAAAAAAACGTTTTTCAGGGCTTCATTAAAACGTGATTTAGGAGATATCGGGTGGGATTTCGGAATGCGGAAATCTTATTGGCCGAAATTCTATTGAAATTTTGGTCAAAATTGTCGACGGAAAGATTTGTCTTTTAAGTTCGATTATTTTGACCATAAGTTCGGTTGACCAATCAGATGGCCGAATTCGGCCGATGGGCCAATCAGATTTCAGAAAAAAATGCAACAAAAATCGATCTCATTTTTTCGCATTTTGTTTTGATTCGAAGCGTTCTTCTTGAAAGATGACCAAAAAATCTAACCCTTTCTTTTTTCTAGTCACGTGAAATCCCCGACATTCCGATCGAAAAACTCCAAGACACTGTCCAATACAACCTCCGCAAACTCAAAATGGTGGAAGAAGACCTCGACGAAGAATACAGAGACGACTCCCTTTTGGAAGAAACGACGACTCAGGAAATTGTCGAAAAAGAAATTCTAAGCGAGAGGCCAAGAGAGATGATCTAACACTTAGTTTAATCAAGTTTCACTCGAGCCGAGTTTTTACTAATCGAGCTCTTAAAAATTTTAGAGGCGAGTGAGTTTTTTGCGTCAGTTTTTGAGGAGCAATAAGTGGCTAGGGAAAAAATCTGATGAGGTAGCAGCTTAGATTTCCATGAACATCATGGCTAAAACTGATCAATGAATTGCATTTATATTCAGACAGTCAGTCGTGTACCGGTAATTTTCGACCGCCAAAAATTCTTTGAGGGATTTCCTTACGTTTTCTTTATAAAGTATAGTTTTCAGATAATTTCAGAAAATAAAGATTTGTAAGAACTTGATATATTCAGCCTGAAATCGGCGACCTGAGTAGAAAACCTGAGTCAGGGTCTGAAAATAAATTCAATGAAAAGCGGCATAGCGGCTTTTTAAAAGACGAAGCCGCAAAGCGGCTTCGCAAGATTTTTGCATAAGAATAAAATTGAAATTTTTACGAAGCCGCTTCGCGGCTTCGATTTTGAGAAAGCCGCTACGCGGCTTTCAATTTTATAAAATCCATTGAAATAGTAAATGTTTCTAAATTTTGAAGCTTATTTTCGGTATTCATTCCCTGATGTTATCCTTGGGTTGCGCTTATGAGACCCTCACTCAGAGGCTTTGGAAAATTTAATGACAGGATTGGTTGAGAGGGTTGAGGAGAGGTTTAGAAATTTCGAATCAGACGTGTTGTTAATTAGAAGCCAGGTAATTGGCGAGCTACAGTTCTTGAGCCGCACTGCTCGTTAAAAGAAATTAAGCGGAAGCTCAAGTTTCGCAAGCGCGCGAATTTTTGGAACTCGGCGCGAAAAAAGAATTTTAGAGCGAAAAAATGGAAAAAATTAGAATCTTTTCTTTTGAGCCGTTTTGAAATGAGCCGTGTTTCATTCTTTCGCGCACAAGAATGCCTTTTTTCGCGAAAACGGAATATCAAAGACATGTCTCTTACGAAACAGCTCTTGCGGGCTCTTCGGGACCAGCGGACGTGGTTTTTTAATCAAATCTGAGTTGAGTAGACGCGGGTTCACGTTCGCCAGATTTTTTGCAGAAAATAATTTTAGAAAGACAAATTTTTTATTTGAATTTTTTTTTCAACAATAAAAAAGGAATCAACAACAGCAACGACGACTCAAGGATCAACGACCGAAACGACGACAGAAAAACTGTCCGAGCGATTGAGCTGCGTTGCTCCAGCGACTCAAGATTGGAGCATAAAGGTAGACCCGATTTACGAAACTAACCCTTCTAGATTCCTTCTCCCTGCTCTGATCTGGGGACCAATGAACCAGGTTGAGGGCTTTCGGGAGACGATTGCCATGGCAATTGCGCTCAACAGGAAAAGTCAGAAAATTATTCCTTTCTTGGATATTTGGCGCTAGAAGTTTTTCCTTAAAATATATGTTATTTTGTCAATAAGCTTTATTTTCCCGGAAGAGCGGTCTTGCCGGACACTTGACTTCAAGATTCGCTCCTTGGCTCCAGAAACGTTGTCTTACGTGGGAGTAAATATTTCGAGGCATTTTTGAAACAACAACTTTTTCATGAAAAAATCAAGCTTCATCAGTGAATCATCACTCTCTGAAATATTTTGCTGAAAAATGCCAGTTTTTTGTTTGTAGAACAGTTCCCTTTTAAATTCTTCTTATGAATTGCTCACTTTTCAGGGACATATTTCAGCATTTTTTCACATTTCAAAGTTGCTTTTAGAGCCGAAAAAACGAATTCTAGAGCATAATTTTAGAATATAAAAATGATGATTTCATCAAAAAAAAAGTAGCTCAAAATGGGCCACGCTTTTGAGTCAAAAAATAAGCCGACTTTTTTCTCGCGGCTTTTCTGCTCTTTTGGCTCGAATTTATCGATCTCTCAAACCATAATGAATACTTTCGTAAAATATTTTCCTTCCCACGATTACAAAACTGTCTCCTTCCCAAAACCCACCATTTCGTCTGCTTTTGGGGAAGTCTGCGAGTAAAGTTAGACAAACAGCTATTTGAAAGAATTATCGTTGAAAACGTGCGGCGGCAGTTGCATAACAAAAATATGCATTATCCACTCGGGGAAATCCGTTCAAGTTACGCCACTGATTTAAAACGTGTCGAAGCGGGCGATCGCAAAATTAAATTATTTGATTTCGGAAGTTGAAAATTAAACGATCAAAAAATTAAACCCAACGAAATCTCAATCAACAATTTCAACAGGAGAATTCTTTATTTTGACGGTTTATTTTTCCATAACTTTTGCTAACGAGCGATTAAAAAAGCTTTTGCTTCATTTTCGTCAAAAATTATAAACAATGGTTATAAACAGACGAAGAAATTCTACTTAAAACTTTAGGTTAAGATTTTCATTTTATTTCATGAAAATTTCACCGAAATTCTAGTTTTATTCCCATAAACAGCTGTTTTCCAAATTCTTTTCCCAGCTGGCCTCAAAAATGGCAATCTGTTTGATGATTTCAAGTGATAAGCTTTATCAGATAAAGTGGATAGATCGAGAAAAGATCGTTTTCATATGTGGAGGTGTCCGGAACCGACAAAAAAAAATTCGACAAATTTTGGGTAGAAATTTTCAACCAATCAGAAGCCTGATTTGGCAACCGGGCAATCAGCAGCCGAGAAGCCGCCCATGCAAAATTTGTCGAAATTCTTTTGTCGGTTCAAGACACCTCCACTTATTTTTTCATAAAAAAACGAGTTTCAGTATCAGTTGTCAGGGAGATGATTAGCAATTGCGCAATTGAAATGGGTTATGCTTCATTTTGTTAAAATTTTTCAAGAAGAAGTAAATTAACGACGAAGATTTCATTGCATTACGAGCTTTAGATTCTCATTTTATTTTATGAAAAATTCACCGAAATTCGTGCTTTATTCCCCAAAACAGCTGTTTTTCTCAGCTGGCCTCAAAGAAGGCCATTTGTCCGATGTATTCAAGTGATAAGCCTTATCAGATATGGTAGATAGATCGAGCCAATATCGTTTTTATAGTTCATGAATTTTCATTGGTCGAAATCTATTTCCAGCTCTAGAAAAAGACTGATGACGTTGTTATTCATCAGAAGCGGCCCGTTTTCTTGCCCTTGTTAATCCATCTGTCTCAAAATGTCGCAACGGGTTAAATCAGCCTTCACTTCATGAATGATCACTCCATCTTGAAAAATTTCTGACTCGAAAAAAGAACATTCGTGATTCCTCCAATGTATCGTCACTTTACGGACGACAACGATCCAAACGGCATTGTTGATGCCGGGGTAAGAATAGACATTGGAAAGGTTAGGCAGCTCGTCAGCACAATCGACTTTCACAACTTGCCGAAAAACGAGGTCGATGATGTTTTGGTCGCCAGAGGACTCGGTGGAGAGGGCGGAAAAGGATCAACTCGTAAGTTTTTCAAGCATCCTACTCAGACGTTTCCAGTTGTCAATACTCAAATTCACTTGAGCTTTCAATAATTGAATAAAATTAATAAAAATCGAGAAGCCGCTTGCGGCTTCGAGCTCGAGAAAGATAAAAGCCGCGCTTCGCGCGGCTCCAATTTTTTTTGGCTCGAAGCCGCAAGCGGCTTCTCGATTTTTATTTTAAATTTTTTATTGTAAAATTTATTCAATATTTTAGCTTCTGCTTCCCGCCTTGGTCGAGTAAAGAAATTCGAATCAACAACTGGTCTTGAGGTAAGCAAATCTTTTTAGTTCATTTTTCTTTCTTTTCTTTCCTGAAAGAATCTCGGTCTTGGAACGTGTTGGGTAATCAAATTCGGCGAAGAAGCCAGTCTGTACTTTTATAAGCGCACAAGATGAGAGACGCGCTCTTGAAAAATTCTAGTGCCGTATTCTCAGCCGCTTTTTCAAGATTGGGCACTTTTAAGCACTAATTGCGCTGTCACGTGACTTATTACAGACTTTTTCTTATGAAAAGAAAAAGGGGCTTGATTTTTTCAGAAAAAGGCACAAATTTGGCCATTTGCTTTTCGTGGGTTAAATTTCTTTTTTTTTTTTTTTGAAATTAACGCTTTTGAGTCGAAACATTCCACATTTTGTTCCCTGAATTTTTCTGGGAAACAACTAAGCCTCCTTCAAAAATCTTTCAAACAGAAAAAATCGGCGGGAGAAAAGGAAAGGGACTTTGACAAGTGAATGTATATTTGTCAGCTCTCGTTTAATTCGATTTTCAGATGGTCAACTGGTCCGCTGTCAAGGGCTCCCACGGCGAAGCTATGCAAAACTACTTTGGTCCAAAGGTTCTTCCAGAAGATGCGACGCTAGAAACTGACTTGCGGAATGAATATTCGACGACGAAATGGGACGAGCTGTATCCATCAGGAGCGGATCCCAGCTTTCCCTTCTTGAAGCTCTAGAAAAAGGAGAAGGAGGTTGTTATCCCATTACTAAGACTCGGAGTTGGCAGTGATGCTCTTTCCTTACCTCACGGCTCACTCTAAAAACGACAAAAATGACATAATTGGTAAGTTCAAAATTCGCAAAATTCGTTTTTTTTTCTTCGAAAAACTTCTTTGAATGGAAAATAATTGAAATTTTCTTGTTTCTCTGATTTCAAAATCGGGGCAGGTGTTGAGCTTACTTAGATGCGTAGATAATTGAGATCGGGGAAAATGAGCTGGGCTCAATTTAAATCGTACGCGCATGCTTACGCTGATCTTTGGTTTTTTAAGGCTTGGCTCGAAAACTTGTCTAAAAACCTGAGTCAGGGTGCTCAAAGATCTTTCAGGTTTTCGACACAGGTTTTCGAGCCGATTTTTTAGACAGTAGCATAACAGTAAGTCCTTCGAACTAGCAGTAAACCTCAGTTTCATGTTCATATCACCCTTGCTTTTAACCCCTTGCGGCTTGTTATTTTTCTAAACTGCTTACTAAGCACTTGCGAAACCCCCTGAAAAACCTGTGCTCATGTAAAATAAAAAAAATGTTACTTAGTGGCGCAGATTTTGCCCATCTGCTTGTTCTCTTAACAATACTTTTGCAGATTCTAAAATGAAGCAGCTTGCTTCTTTGCTCAATTCAGTAAGTAAAGAAGATTTATTTCAGGTCGAAATATCATCCACTACACGCCAAGACCGGAGTTCGTCAGAAACATGGCTGTTGATTTTCTCGGCGAATCTTCTGTTTCAGGTAAGAAAGCGGCTTCAACAGACAGCAGCACCGATTCGGGGAGCTTTTTTTTCTTCATTCTTTCTTCAGGAGAATATGTTGCAATCCACTACCGCTTCGATAAAGAAGACTGGGAACGCAGCTGCTCAAAGGAATCGCGAAATGCCAACCGAAACGCCAACCGCTCGAAAATCTGCTCGATTGTGATGAACATGACGGCTGATAAGTTCGCTCTCTCCCTCGCCAGGTTTGGCTTTTCCAATCCTTATCAGGTCATAATCCCCTTTTCAAGCTTTTTGGAGTCGAGAATTCCAAAAGCAAGCGATGATGTCATCTTTTACGTCGCAACACCTACTCAGGAACGCGTTGAAATCGATTAAAACCGTCGTGAACCACAACTTACCACGGTTAACCGCGAAAAACCACGGTTGACCACGAATAACCACGGTAACCACGCGAAGAACCAGGGTTTACTGCCAATTATCACGGTTAACCGCGACAAACCAGGGTTAACCGCGAAGAACCACGGTCAACCGCGAATAACCACGGTGGACCGCTATTGACCACAGTTAAAACAAAAATTAGCCGAAATGAAATTCTTGTTAATGAATATCCAGTTTCACGATAACTAAGATCATCTCGTTGTTTTCTCAGTCAAATGTATCCCCAGCTGAGTTCCAATGAGAGTTTCGCTTTCTGAGTGAGATCAGCTGCTTGTGAAAATTTTGAGATTCGAAACTTGAGATAATGACCAAAGAAACATAGAATTAGGAAAAGCTGATCTTTTTTTTCTCAACGTGAATTTGAGCAACAACAATTTATTGCTGAAGTTGTTGGCTTGACGCAGACGATTTTGAGGAGCAAATATCCTGGAAGAAAGATTAATGGAAAGGTAGGCTTGTTCATTAAGGACCCCCCTCCCCATTTAAAGCGGGGAGAAGGGGGATTAAGGTGGTAGACAGGTCATTACCCCAATTTTTGAACAGCTTTTTCTTGAAAATTTAACAAAGTGATACCCTTAATTTCACGAAAAAAGGGATGCTTTCTTTATAAAATAAGGGTATCACTGAGTAAAATGTTAAAAGTGTCTTAAGGGGGTAGACAAGACGTTACTCCTATTTTTTAACACCTTTTTTCTGAAAATTTAGCAAAGTGATACCCTTAATTTCCTGAAGAAAAAAAAAGATTTTTCTTGACAAAATAAGGGTATCACTGAGTTAAATATTCAAAAAAAAATTTTTCGAAAAAATTGTGTAAGATTGATAACTTTTTTGAGTCATTTTTTGAGTCGAAAAAACATGAAGAAATGCAAAATTTAATCGTCTTTCGCGATTGAGCTTCATCTAAAAGTTGCGCTCGCTAAACAAGATTTTTGTAGTCGACGGCTGACAGCTTGAAATACGTTGAGGGATCATACGCAAACTGCGATTTCTTGGAGAAAAATATGCACGAAGTATTTTCCCTTTTCGAGCAAGAAATTTGCTTCAAATCGGGACACTTCATTTTCGCCGACTCTTCTTCCTGGTCCGGTTCAATCAGACGCGAACGGTAAGAAAAAAAGTTCTAGAAAAAGAAAGTTACGAAAGCATCAATTTCTCGCGGGACCACCAGTTTCTGTAATAACCAGTTTTTGAAATAGTAAATCTCTGACGCGACTTAGCAAAACCGCTTGGTGAACCACCAAACGAAAATATTTTTTAATGCGGACAAGCTTAGAAACTAATTATTATCAGATTGGGGGAGATTTTAACTGGTTTATAACCAGTTTATGGCGCTTCAGAGAAGAATATTTATTTCCAAAATAATATAATTGCCAGGGGTTCTTGATGATGACATGATTTTTAATGAAGAAAAACGGCATCTTCTAGTGTTACTGCTTTTTCGTTAACCCCTGCGCGCATATTAACCAATTTGTTGGCAGATTCGTTTTTGAAAATAGGAGGGTTATCCTTGGGGAAGTGTCCGGAACCGACAAAAAGATTCGACAAATTTTGCGTGGAAATGTTCAACCAATCAGAAGCCTTTATCCAGCAAACCGGACAATCAGCAGCCGAGTAGCCTACGCAAATTTTGTCGGAATTTTTGTCGGTTCCAGACATCATCCCTTATCCTTCGAGCTTCCTTTTGACTCGAAAGATAGCACCTCTCTCTATGATTTTGAATCTGCCAACAAATTGGTCAATATACGCGCAAGGGTTAACGAAATGCTCATATATGAACCGTCTTCAATTTTGCTTTCTATATTGAAAATCTCTTTATTGACTATCTTTTTAGCCGCGTAATTCCATCATCCTCCAGCGACCTCGGAATCCTCGAAATGCTTGAACACTATCCCACTTCCGCCTCTTCATCTGACGCCCACCAAAAATTATAAACGACGAAAAATTCAATAAGAACAAGACGATCCACCATATTCCATCAATTTCCACGCGAAAATGGAGCGAAAACTAATCTTCTTTGCCAAACAAAAATTATCACGAAAACCGACGATAAGAAAAACTTTTCAAGCTCTTTTGCGCTCGAAAACTGTAACTGTATTCATACTGTAAATATCGAAATAACAAGGAGCAAAACGCTTCATATCAAAAACGCCGCAAGTTCAACTGTACATTATTACGTAATAGACTTCTGAATATCCTACATGTTCAAAAAAAAAAGCCTGCTAAAAACTAAGACGATAGAAGGGAGCGCCTTTTTATTGTCTTTTTTGATGTTTTAACCTTTTAAAAAACTGCACTATTAACAAGTCAATAAACTGTCAGAATTTTTTCTGATAACAATTATTCAAATCAAAATAGTGTTTTTTTTATTCAAATAGAATTATGTTAATGATTCTCAGTTTTTTCAAGAAATGCAGGGAATATCAATTTTTAAAATGTTCTTTCAAAATCTTAAAAAATATAAAAATCGGAATTCAAAAATTTTGATACTTTTTATGGTTTTCAATTTTTCTGAGAAAATCAAATAAAAATCTGACAATTTCGATCAAAAACATTTCTCAAATTTTTGACCTATCAGATTCACGCATTTCCCCAGTAGACCAATAAAATTTCAGGAATTTTTCGGTCGAATAATTTTGTGAAGGAATATTTTCTCAAGCGAATTCGTTCAGAAAAAAATTTGTTTTCGAAGTTTTGTGATTATTATGCTCACATTTTTGTTTGGTTTCGGGTGTAAGTCGTTACGCTTGAACTTGCGAATATTACAAAACTAACGACCTTCTCACCTGGCGATGCTTCTAAGCAGCCCTTTTCTTCAGAATTTTTCGAAAGAACGGGCTTAGCAATTACGGCAAATGGCAAATGATTAAGGGCATCGGCACTTAATCTGCGGGTCATGATCATTGATCAAGAAAGTTAACTGTCGAGAAAAGGCGACAGTAGGGCTTGTAAGGGGCTTATCCTCCCCAGCAGGGATGTGCCTTTTGCTTTTTTTTCGAGTGCGGTGCGGTGCGAAGTGCGATTTTTTTTGCGGGTTTTTCTGCGGTGCGAAGTGCGATTTTTCAAATTTTTCTTCGCAGTGCGACGCAGAGTGCGAAGTGCGAAATGTGGACAAAAATTGCGGAAAATTGTGCGATAGTGCGGAAAGTGCGGAAGTGCGAAAGTGCGAAGTGCGGAAAATAAATGAAAAGTGCGAAAAAATTGCGATTTTTTGAGAGAGAAGGAAAAATGAATAAAAATCGCCGAAAATTTCTCCCACGCCCAGAATAGAAATAATTTTCAAAACTTTCAATCATAACCATAATTGAGCTTCAAACAATGATAATTTGAATTTTTTATGTGACGGGTGTGGGTGGGGTTGGGGACAGAACTAAGCTTGATCAACTCAGAGTTCAAAGCCTTTGTCAAGCCCCTTAAACTTACAAATCATGGATTGGGGCTGAGACGAAATTTTGGCGAAGATTTGCCAGAAGCGAAAATTTTGCGAAAGCGAGGCCTCGGCGAAAGCGAATTTTTGGCGAAAATCGGGGACAAAAAGCGGAAGCGAAGCGAACATCAGGAGTGTCATTTTCGGGGGGCGAAAGCGAAATTTTCGATTCGCCTTCGCTTCGCTTTCGCTTTTGGCGAAAATCGCCAAGCGAATTTATATGCCTGGCCCGAAGGGCCGTCAAGCCCCTTAAACTCAAAAATCATGGAACGGGGCTGAGACGGCCCAAAAAGACAAAAATTAACAGAAATTGTCGGCAAATGGACCGCAGAATCCGCAAAGTGCGAAGTGCGATGAAGGTTAAATAGTGCGGGATACGACTGCGAAAAGAATCGCACTTTTCAAAAATTTTGCGGAAAGTGCGAAGTGCGGTGCGATGAAAAAATATCAGGTCTGAGTGCGGTGCGAAGTGCGAAATTTCCGCAATCGCACTTCGCACTGCGAAGTTTAGTGCGGAATCCGCACTGCGAAGGCACATCCCTGCTCCCCAGAAAAACGGATAACCTCGCAGCTTTTCAGGATTTCGCGAGAAGGCGTCAACAAGACAAATGCTCTTAATTTTTGGTCAATCCGTCACTCGATTATGGTCGAATTCAAGCAAGTTTTTTTTCATTCCTTAGAACCATCAACAAGTCAAAATATACCGAGAAAACGATATCCTGGGCTCAACAATCAGGGTAGAAAATTTGAGTCAGGGTCTGAAAGAACTGATATGAAAAGCCGCGCAGCAGCTTGTTTTGAAACCGAAGCCGCAAAGCGGCTTTGCCAGAATTTTTCGAAGAGTGTTTTGCGACTTCGTTTTCAAAAAAGCCGCTGCGCGGCTTTTCATCTCAATTTTCTTAATTCCTGACTCAGGTTTTCTTTACAGGTTGCTGATCCCAGACAGTGTCTCTTTTCTTCTTTCTCGCCTGTCATCATTTTGATATCGCGACTTTGAGACAAAATCATAAAAATTCGTGTCACAACAAAAACAGCCCGTAAAACTTATACCGCGCTTTTTCTGGAAAAGCTTCTTCTTGGCCACGTGGGGTAAAGAATTTTTTCTGGCAGTTATAATTGATAATTAATATTTTGTCAGAAACATAGCATTACTGACGGTTAGTCAAGTCTCCGCAACGCTTTTTCTTCGAATTTCGGCTCGAAATCCTGCGTTGAAAACCTGAGTCAGGTCTTGAAGATCTTAAATGAAAAGCCGCGTAGCGGCTTTTTCAAATCGAAGCCGCAAGCCGGCCGAATAGCCATTTGAATCTTCGCGGATTTTCATTAGTCATCATAATCATTCAGAACCCTGACTCAGGATTTTTACGCAGCTCCAGAACTTGAAATCAGTCTCAAAAAAGAATCAAGTGTGAGAATGAAAGAAAGCGCATTCTGAATTTATTGCCTGCGTTTTAACGATATCGCGGCTCAACTCTGATTGCGAGTTATCTTTTTTTATGTTTCGCAATTTTAGACAACGTGTAAGTGCTCAAGAAGATGAGTTTTAGAGAAAATGTTCTTTTGGAACTTTTTTTAATTTTGAGCTTGGTCTGCTTGGAAACCGCAAATGCGAGGAAGAGTAGTTCTGGCGGCAGTACTACTTCAAATGCCAATAATAACGCAAATTCAGGTGAGAGAAAATGGCTTGATTTTTAGATGATTCAAAAACCTGATTCAGGATCTGTAACCCTGAGTCAGGATCTGAAACCCTGACTCAGGATCTGTAACCCTGAGTCAGGATCTGAAAACCTGACTCAGGATCTGAAACCTTAGTCAGGATCTGAAACCCTGAGTCAGGATCTGAGAACTTTTGATAAATGATCTTTCAGACCCTGACTCAGGTTTTCAACACATGAACAAAGAGAATCAACCATTAAAAAATATATCCTTAGGCGAAAGAGGGGAAGTGACAGGAACTGATGCGCAAGAAACGAGCTTGATGGCCGTAGCGGCTATTGGGTTTATTTTCTCCTTGGGTAAGAATCCTTCATTTTTGTTTTTTTCTCAAAAAAATCATAAGTTGCTTTGCTGATTTTCTTCAATGTTATTCCTGCGCTGCAACGGGATAACACATCGGAATGGGTTAAGGACCCACCTGCCTGGCGGCTTCTTAATGTCAATAAGTAAGTCATTCTTTTGCTGTTTTATTGATCGTTAATCTGTTGCTTTCAGAAAAAAGAGCTCAAGATTTATGAAAAAGCTCGCCCAAGAATTTATTGACGAAGGCGCAGACGAACGAGAACTTGTTCACCAAATTTGGGGAAAGGATAAACTCAGGCATATAAATTCGCTTGGCGATTTTCGCCAAAAGCGAAAGCGAAGCGAAGGCGAATAGAAAATTTCGCTTTCGCCCCCCGAAAATGACACTCCTGATTTTCGCTTTGCTTTCGCTTTTTGTCCCCGATTTTCGCCAAAAATTCGCTTTCGCCGAGGCCTCGCTTTCGCCAAATTTTCGCTTTCGGCAAATCTTCGCCAAAATTTCGCTTTCGCCAAGGCCTCGCTTTCGCCAGAAGTTTGCTTTCGCCAAAATTTCGCCGAATTCTCGCTTTCGCCAAGAGTTCGCTTTCGCTTTCGCGAGTTCGCATAACGCCATGGGCCGAGCATTGTGAGGTGTTTCCAAGAGGGGAGAGTTTTTTGGCAAGAAGAACAGCGTCTCTAGCTGAGTCAGTACAAACTTCCACGTGGCCTTCTTCGACTGCATTTTTCAAATTATATTGCTGAATATATAATGACTTGTCTTTGAAAATCCTTTAAAAATAATTTACCTCGAGAATTCTACGAACAGGATCTAGATTTTCCAAACTTGCGCTTGTTTCAATGGGCTCAAAGCCGATCATCAAAGGTATCTTCTCATATTTCAGAATATCGAGAATAACAATCATTATCCCCAAATACTTTCCACACTCTTCTTTTGGTCCACGATTTTGAACTTGATGGTCGATTAAGCACGTAAGTTGGCCATTTCTCGCGAGTATCGGGGCTATTTATATTTGTTATTTGGGATTCCCAATATTATTTGGGGTCCCCAATATTTTTGGGGCTCCCAATTAACCTTGGGGCCCCAAGAATTTTTGGGATTCCCAAAATTATTTTTCAAAAAAATAAAAAAGTACCTTTCTTTATAAATAGAGCTTCTAGCTCACTGTTTAACTCGTCGAGCTTGCGTCCGATCCATCTCGCATCAGTAATCAAGGCTTCTGCTGATGCCTCGGTACCTCCAAGAGGGCAAATTACTGCCTTGTACAATGGTAGTAATTCGGATTTTGACCAAAAATCAAGGGTTGCAGAGGTAACAGCCGTCAAAAGCGCCTGCTGAGTCGTTATCACATCCAATTGTTTAGAAGAGTAGCAATTTCTGTTGGCCACCTTGTCTTGGATTGATATTGTCGGAACTTCTCGGCAGTTTTTGACGTGGTTTTCCCAATCACGTCTGTAGTACAAGCATTCTTTTTTTCGGACATTAAAAAACTAAATCTTTTCTTATTGGGGCCCCCAAAAGCGAGAATTAAAAAAAATAAACGTACTGGTTTTGGTTTGTTGTGTCCACATTTAGATCTGCCACATTTTAAAAAACCTGTGGATTTAGAATCGTCGAAAAATTCCAAAAATCAAGGATGATTCATCTGTCGACAGTACTCGACCACTGGAGGATGCGTGCATTTTGCCCAAACGCCATCATTGTTCCTTATTTTCTCTATGACTTTTGCTTCAACGTCAATTTTTGATTTTTTAGGCGCTGACGCCATGTTTAACAAATTCTAGTACTAATTGATGACAATAACAGTGATTCTGCTCATCTAGAACAATTTATTTTCAAAATGCTCTAATAAGTAAACAACTGTTCAAGAACAAAATTTTGACTTGGGGCTCCCAAAATTTTCGGCCAAAAAAAACCCCACCATTTCCCACCATTTTCTAATTTTGAAGAATTGTGATGGTGGGTGGTGGTGGGTGGGAAGCCCACCACCACCCACCCACCACCCACCCACCCACCACTTCCACCATTTTTTGCCGACCCCAGCTTTCGCCAATATTTTGCCGAATCTTACTTTTTCGTCTTAATAATATCGCGGTATAAATAGGGGAAATCACTTATAATTGAGCTCCTTTTCTAACTTAGTAGGGTTAATACAGTTTTAGAACACCGTGAAGCTGGGGATCATTTGGCTTCTGATAGGTGGGGGTGATCTGAGGGCATTTAGGAAGCCAGGGTTCCAAATCTGAGCTGAAAATCAGAAGTCGAGTCGAGTCGAGTCGAAAGGCTATCTGAAAATCCAATGTCGAGTCGAGTCGAATCGAGTCGAGTCGACTTAATCGACTTATTAGTCGAAAAGTCGAAAAACTGGAAAAAATATATAAATTTAGTCGAAAAAGTCGCAAATTAGTCGAAAAGTCGAAATTTAGTCAAAAGTCGAACGAAAAGTCGAAAAGTCGAAAGCAAAATAGTGATTATTTTCGACTTTTTCGGCTAGATTTCGACTTCGACTTTAGTAGAAACTCGACTAGTCGATTTAGAACCGTGTCCGAAGCTGGGGTCGGCAAGCCACCAAGCGATGGTTGGTCACCAGCCGTTGGTGGAGGTGGGTGGGTTGTCAAGAAAATCAAATTTTCACTGGTGGGGGTGGGTGGTGGTGGGTACTTTAAGGTAGCGGTGGTGGGTGAATGGCGGGTGGGTGGTGGATTTTTTTCGTAAGCGTTTTTCTGACCCCAAAATTCATAGAATAGCCTATTCTGAATAGGAGTTGATAACACCGATTCTTCGGTCATCTTTAACCAACAAAAGGAAAACGAAGTAGAGGTAAAGTCATTTTAGATAGAGAAGTGATCTTTTTGAAAGATTTCGCCAAAAAAGTTTGCCCGAAAAATCTTTCCCACCACTTCCCACCATTTCAGATTTTTGAGGGTGGTGGATGGGTTGCCCACCACCACTCACCCACCATCCACCCACCCACCATTTCCACCATTTTTGCCGACCCCATCTCGGAAGTCCCAAAATCTGGCCAACTTCGGAAATGGGAATTTTTGAAAGACTAAGACTTTTAGGGGCTGCTACCTATACTCGATTTTAGCTCAGGCTCTGGCTGTCATTTTGACTTTTCTGAATTTTCAATTATTCTTGACCTAAATGACCTTAGTTGACCCCAAACGACATTATAAACACTTATGAATGAATAAATGTCGATTAAAAGAATTCAAATCGTGTACTTTTTGGGAAAAAGTACTCAATTTTGGTCGAGTTCCCTAACTTGAAGAGCCCCTAGCTTCCCAGATATCCCACCCCCGTCCTACTTTTCTAGAGCTCAAAATGACTGCCAGAGTCTGGGCCTTCAAAAATTCTCGGTTTAGAAAGCCCAGAAACTGAGCTTTCATTTTGATGGGTATCCCTTATCAAGCTCAAACGAAAGCTCAGCTTCTGGGTGTTCCAAAACTGTGTCATAATTATTATACTAAGTTAGAAAAATGGGTCAAAGTTTCATCTTATTAGATCGCGTTTTATTCAAATTTCTTTCGATATCTTTCAATTTCGGCAAAATTTCGCTTTCGGCGAATTTTCGCTTTTGGCGAATTTTCGCTTTTGGCGAATTTTCGCTTTCGGCGAATTTTCTCTTTTGGCGAATTTTCGCTTTTGGCGAATTTTCACTCTTGGCGAATTTTCAGTCTTGGCGAATTTTCGCTTTTGGCGAATTTTTCGCTTTTGGCGAATTTTTCGCTTGGCGAATTCGCTTTCGCTTCGCTTTGCAAGATAGGCGTTCGCTTCGCTTTCGCTTCGCTTTTTGGCTGGAAAAATTTTTCGCTTTCGCTTCGCGTTCGCTTTGGATTTTCGAACGAAATTTATATGCCTGGATAAACTTGAGCTGCTGGACATGCGCAATTTGGACGAGAAATCGGATTATAGAAGAAAATCCTTGGCTTTCACAGGGAAAGAAGATGATGATGAAGTTTGAATCAGAAAAATACTGTATATTAATTGAAAATAAAAAAAATATATTTTAAATCTTTTGGGCCAAAATTTGAGCCAAAAATTTTAGCCAAAAATTTTAGCCGAAATTTTGAGCCTAAAACTTGAGCCAAAAATTTGAGCCGAAAAATTTAAGCATAAAATTTTGGCTCAAGACTCTTATCATTGAAAAACTATTGAAAAAGAGCTAGAAGAATGGTCGAATCGGTATTCCAGTGAAAAGTTTGTTTTCGTCGAGTGCCATAAATTGACAATGCCGATTATCTAGAAAACGGTTCTGTCAGCTCAGAATTCCGCCGCTTCCCTCAAATTTAAGAAGCGGATTTAGGGCAGCTCCTGAATATGCTCGATTCCGTAAATTACAGAAATCACGTGCTCTTACGAACGTGCCTCCATTTGATCGGATCCTCTTGGCCAGAATAATTGAGAATTTCAAAAAAAAAAAACGCCGAAAAGAAGAGACAAATTGGCCAAGACTTATATTTTTTGAACGAAACCAGAAGGACCGGAACTCTTCAGTTATAATAGCTATTAGCGACTTTTTGTCGAGTAAATAAGAGAACGTATCTTTTTCACCAAATATTACTGCCAATATTTAAGGAGCAGTCTGAACCCTGAAATTATGTTGATATTTCCCGCCAAAATCTCTCATTTTTGATCTTCGAGGAAATGCATGACGGCTAAGGTATACAATTTGAACGAAGTTATACGTAAAAAAATGATAAAATTTATTTTTATCGCATTTCAATATCAAATTATATAAGCGCTGGAAAGTTTTCCCTCGGTACTTACCGCAGGTACGCGCAGGTTAAAAGAAGCAAATTGCGAAACTCTCAGGACGGCTCCATTTTCTGTTGATTCAGCGAAAATGAAATCAAGTGACTTTTCGAATCAAAATTTTAGAAACCTTCTCGCCCCTTTTTTTGCATAAAATTTTCTTCCAAGCCCGAAAGACTTTTTGCTCAAGAAATTCTAGCGTCATGTCTGTCAGACAAGTGCTACGTGTTTTTGATCGAAGCGAAGCGCTTATCATTCCTTATCACTGTTGCTTGATGAATGTAACGGTCTTGTAATTCGTCTTGTACGGAAATGAGCGCTAGAATAACCAATCCATGTTTATTCAAAGGAAATTCGCCACCACCGCAAACACCGATTTTTCCGCCGCTGAAATTAATTCGAAATTACTCTTGAATTTTACAAGAAAATTTTCTCAAGAAATTATGTTCTTGAAGCAAATTTCCGTAACTGAGAAGAAAAACGAGCTATCACTGAATCGGATAATTATTAATCGCACAATCATCGAAAATGGCAAAAACGTGAGAAAAAAGGGCTGAAAGTGATTTTTGGAACATTTCTCGCCGGTCAGGTTTTATCAAGACAAATTGTTTTAGCAACGAGCAGTGATGCGATTTCGGAGCGACATTGTCACGCTAGATTTGATTTATTTGAATAAATGCTTTGAAGGAATTCAGAGCTTTTCTAGCGGACAAAGAATATTAGCCGCGCTTTTGGCGGCTTTCTTATTGGCAGATTTGCACAATAAAGACTTTTGATTGGCTCTTATCCTTCAATTTAGATTTTTTGCTTCGAAAATCTAGAAACTGTTTGCGGCTTCTTTCTTAGGCAAAGAAAAAGCCGCCAAATGCGCGGCTTTGATTTTGATTAACTCGAAGCCGCGAGCGGCTTCTCGATTTTCGAAGAAAAAAATCTGAATTGAATGATAAGAGCTAATCAGATGTCTTTTTTGTGCCAATCAGCCAATAAAAAAGGATTTCAAGTTCGTTTTTCCTGTTAACATCCGAAAAAAGAGTTGATTTACTCATGATGCCTTCTGGAAATGAATCGTGGCCGGAACACGATTTTGGTTTTGTTGATTCCATATTTTCCCCCTTCTGGGGTGCGGGACTGGGGTTGAGCCCTCAACCTCAGCTGGCAGATTGACCAGGGTTGAAAAAGAGGGAATTCTAATCTTTTTAATTTCGCGACGAAAAAAGGATGACGCTTTTTTTCAAGTAGGAGTTGAATTAAAAACCGCAAGAAAACTGAGTCGAGCAGGTGGGACTCAAGTAAGTGTCCATCCAAAAAATTCAAGCAGAAAAAATTGCCAAGTTTTTATTTTAAATTTTTTTCTATACAGGAGTTTCAGTAGTGCCAGTTACCAAGTCAATGATTTTGAGAAAAACTTGACTTGGCAAAAGAAATTTGTTTTTATAAATGTCTTGGCGGATTTTGTACTCCAAGATGCACTGAAGCTTTCTTTTCGTTTTGAAAAATTTTCTTCTTGAAGAGTTGAGTTTTTTCTCGCGAATTTTTCTTGCTTCTGAAATGGAGCTCAAAGTCGTCTTGTAAAAATTTTCAATTTCGATCTTTGACATCATTATTTTCGAAAAAATCGAAAACTCTATAAAAAATTTCAAAAAAATTTTTGGGGAAAAACTCACCAGTAGCCGCTTTTAACAAGAAAAAACCTGGCAACCTGCAAATCACCTTGAAGATCACTATCACCTGATAACCTGCTGAAATTCAAAGCTGGGCGTGAAAATTTTATCCCGTTCAAAAGAAGGATGAGAAACCACCTGTCATCAACTTTGAAGATTTTTTATTTCGATTGAAGATTGATTTGGGTACTCGAGTGCGCATATTTTTGTAGCGAGCGGAAAAATAAACAGTACTTTTGTGGCAAGACATTTGAAACGAGTGAGTACGGATTTAACGTGGCTCAGGAAGGGGACGTACTGTAATTTTCAGCTTGCGGTTGGTTTGTTCTTTCGGAAAAATTGAGAACATAGTTTTATCGTTTTAGAATGAAAACGGGAACCGAAATTCGAAAAATTTTGCGTGGTAATTTTCAACCAATCAGAAGCCTGGATTTGTTTGAAAAGCCGATCAGCAGCCGAGTAGCCGCCTACGCTAAGGCTGTCAGAATTTTTCGTCGATTCCTGACGCCACCTCATGCTTGCTTCTGATTGGATTATAGAAAAGAATCTGGCTCCTGATTTGCTAGTTGGCCCTTTTTTTTTCAGATGACGTCTGCGATGCAGAGTCTACAAATTATTTAAGGAGCTTTGGGATGATATCTAAAGATAGGAGTCCCCTAAAGAGGGCTTTGTAGCGATTAAACTATCCAGAGTTAGGAAACCTTTTAGAGAGCATGTTTGCTGATCTAGTACTTCTCTTAGACGCTGAAATTTCCAGTTAAACGTGAGTTAAAATTTTCTCAAAAATCAAGTTCCCAAATCCGTTGACAAATCTTTTGAGAACTCGGCCGGATCATCACGGTCCCCGGCGTGAAGCATAATTGGCGAGTTCCGATAAAGCTCGTGGAGCATAAAGCTCAATTTTAAAACCACGTGGATAGACACTGTCGGAAACAGTAACCTTGTAACGGAAATTTAGCATACCCGGTGGGAAATTCAATAAACCGGGGCGAAATCATAGAAAGGGAGTTTTCAAAAGCGCTTACTTGACATAATCATGATTCATGACACGATTTCGAAGAATCCTAATTTCAGTCATCACTTTTCAGATAAAGAAACCATCTTTTTCTATAATTTTTCCTCAGATATTGAAACAGGCCTTAAATCCAGACCCTTGGTTGAACATTTAAAAGAGATCATGAAATTGCTCAAATCCAAATTCAACCTATGAAAGAGGAATAAGTCTTTCTTGGTTTATTATTAATAATACGTCATCATACATAATTATTTTTTATGTATGTAAATCTTTATGTAATTTGGTGAAGTAAAAAAGTTATATTATCAAATAATCTTGAAAAATCAAAAAAAGAATTACTCCCCGGTGGAGGGGGGTCCCGGGGGGGGGATGCTAGCCCCCTGGGTTAGGTTTAGGATTAGGGGCAGCACGCATGATAATTTCCTACTACTGTAACTAACCTTTTTTTTGTACTTTGCTGCTAACCAATAAATATATCATAACAAAGACTCTCATTTTTATTCGTAATTTTCAGTGAAAACAGTTATTCATTTTCTTATAAGGTATTCGGTCCATCACTTTCTATGAGATATGACCAGCGCTCTAACCCTAGTGCTCCATATCGTATTGTCTTCATTTTACTCTTTCATTTCTAAATTATGAACCATCTGATGGAGAAACTTCCGACGGCTTTCTCGATCGATTTAGAAATCAATAAGATGCCTTGACCAAAGTTTGACGCTGGCCTCTGTCTACAGGATACAGTTTCTATCCGGAGAAAACGCCTGCTCCAAAAATAATCACCCTCTTACGTGTCCGTTGTTTGCCCTGGAAATTCCCTCCCCTAACAAGTTGATAAGTGCTTAGTTGATAATAATAAATTTTCTTTGAACAAAGAAGATCTAAAGGCGACTTTAGAGGGGTTCTTAGCTGGGTTCTTTATCGCTCTACTATCTAACGATCGGAATTTCAAACTCGATCGCTGGAAGAGCCGTCTCCGGAGAGTTGTTCGTTTTGGTGAGCGCGTTTTTCTTTCTTCTCATCTCGAGGAAGCTATTGCGTAACACTGAGTCAGGGCAAAAAAAAAGCGGCTTCGCGAGAATAAGAAATGGATTGAGACCCTTATTTTGGCGAAGCCGCTATGCGGCTTCGTTTTTAAAAAAGCCGCTACGCGGCTTTTCATTGAAGCTATTTTTGGCCCTGACTCAGGGTTCTGACACAGGTCGAGTTGTCAGTTTCGAGTGAATTTCGAGTCGAAGATTGGATTTTTCACACGTCTTATTCCAGAAAAACCTCCGCCTCTTTGCTTGTAAGATATTTACTCCCATGGTCGGTGAGGTCAACGAAATCGGCTTTTGGCGGGTGCGAATCCACCCTCTGCGAAAATTTGCGAAATCGGCTCTGATAAGACGATGAGGTCATTAATGCCGCCCAGCTTGTAGCCACAAGTGTTTCCCGCAGAAGGAACCCAAGGAGGAATTCAACTAACAGTATTATACTATTATTGACGATTGATCAAATTGGATCAGGAGGAATTTTGTCGTCAGTAAATTTGTGCCAAAAAAGCATTCTGATCAAATCAATGCAAATGTACAAATGCAGTACCGTGGTTTTCCATCTTAAGAGCGCCCAACTTAAGAGCGTTTTTGCCAATATTTTCCAAATTTTGTTATCTGAAAAAATCCCAACTTTAGAGCGTTTTTAGGAATTTTTAATTAATAATTAGAATAACGTTTATTTCAACCTGAAAAATCATGCAAAAAAATTTTTTTCTACGCTTTTCTGGTGGTATCACAGCCTCTGATTCAAAGATCGTAATTTTTTTATCATAAATAGGTAAAAATGACCTCAGATGCATTTTTAGAATTTTGGAAAAAGTTCATTTTATGCATTTTCATTCATCATTTTTTTCCCACTGTCATATCGTCGGATAGACCCCGGCGCTGCTGAGTACGGCCCTGCACCTCATCCCTCTCTCGGAGGGGAGATCACTCTTGCCCGGAGCCGCCCATGACTCTTTATCATCCTAGTTTGATCGTAAATTTTCCAACTTAAGAGCGTTTTGGTCTACCCTTGTCATCTGAAAAACGCTCTTAAGATGGAAAACGATGGTATTTGAGAACGAATAAAACTATAAATTTCCATTAAAAAATGTTTGAAGTCAAATTAACTATTGCAGATAAGCTCAGATTCTTTTTCTCTGAAGAGATCTTGAGAGAAATTAAAAGTTAATAATGACACTGAGCGAAATTTGCAATCCTGAGCCAGGTTCGAAAATCGTTCAAAATTTGAACCTTTATTTTGAATAGGACTTGGATATGTTGGCTTTAATATCGCTTGTATTCTTTCTTACATAGCGATTGGTATTTGTTGCGTTGCTGTCTTACTTTTTGGCTACTGAATATTTCGATTCAAATTATATTTTTCGACAGGATAAACAAAATTTCAATCGAATCAAAGTTGGTATTATAGCCTTGATTTATTTGAGAGAAGAATTTAAAGCAGAAGTTTCAGAGGACTCTGGTTTTGACTCTGACCTTGATTGCTCTGACTTTTGCTGGTTTTCTCAGAAAGAAAGTAATCAAGTTGATCCTGAAGAGTCGATTTCCAATCCATACGACGATCCTCCTATTACGATCGAGTCCCAATCTGAACAAAAGAATGCTAAAAAAGATGATTCTTCTCCCCCACCAGCTTACGACCAGCTTTTTACTGAGTCAAAAGATCATTCATAATTTTAAATTATTAAAAAATAAGGTACAAAAAATAATTTTTTTAATTATGATAAAATAAAAATGAATAATAATAAATTTAAAAAAGAGTTTTTTTCTTGCCTTCTTTTATTTCATTTTGACCCGCCAATGCCCAGTTTATTAACCAAAATCGTTGTTGACAAGCAGCATTTTGATCATTTAGACATTCGCCTTACCCTGAAATCATGTTTACAAAATTCTTTCACGTCACGATTTTTTCGCCTTAGCCTCGTTCCTCCCTTATGAGAAAGAATCTTCGCGCCTGTGGGAAGTCTCAAAATAACTTCGGTTTTGACGGTTTCTTTCTTTGCCAGGAAAAATCTTGTAATTTGGTCGATTCGGAACTTGTTTTTTCGAAAAAAAGGACATGTGGTTTCTTGGAGACGTTTTTTCGCAAAGTTGTTTTTTTTCAGATTTTGAAAGTACTTTTTAAAAATAATTTGAAGACGGGAACTCAAATTTGCAGCCGCGAGGCAGGAAGTTTGGGAAACCGGCCATCAGGAAGCGACGCAGATTAGAGAATTTTGGAAAACGGCGAATGGAAGTGATTTTTGGTTAAACTACCTAAATACACGAAGCAGCTTTTTGAATCAATTTATCAATTTGTGCTTGTGCCGCAATTTTTGTTGTCTGAGGAAAAGCAGTTTCTAGACATTCTTTTACCGATAAAAATTAAGGACCCCCCTCTCGCTTAAGGACTCCCCCCATCAAGATGAATTTAGGGGGAATTAAAATTAAGGGTGTACCTAACCTTGTTTTTTAGAAAAAACTTCCTCCTTTTCGCCAATTTCACGACAATCGATAAGGGGCGGTCCTTAATTTTTGAAAAAAAAATTTTTTTTTTGAAATATTTGAAATTATCTTTTTGAAGAACGAGAAAAGTGAAGATGTTGCAATTTGCATATATATTTTACTTTCAAGAGAAAACCTGAAGGTACTCATTTTTCCGCCCGAAAACGCTCAAGCCCCCTCGACAAGCCTTAAATATTATGCCACAAAGTCGAGTGCTGCCAAAATTGAGATCCTTAACAACGTTGCCCAGTTGTTTTAGCCCAGTCCTTTTATCAACGAGTGCCTTTTGTACTATTTTGATTTCTGCCAGGCTGAAACTCTAGAAGACAGCTTCCTCCTTATCAGCGAGCACTTGAGAACGTTTACTTTACTTTCCTGGACATAAAAATGACACCCTTTTCTAGAGCGTCCTCGAGAATGCCTCTGATATCATCTGTTCCACTCACGTTGGCCAACAAAAAGAACATAGAACCTTTTAAAGACTTTTCTTGTAGTTATTTTCGCGGAATTTCGTTAAAACCAACAAATTAAAAATAATCGGAAAGCAGAAAAATGCAATATTTTGGTCGCGCAAAGAAGTTTTTTCGCGGTTTTATAAAGGAAACTAAAAACACCATAAAAATGACATCGATAAGAGCATCTCAACAACGAGAGGGAATCTGAAGGTTATTCGTTGATCGTAAAATAATATCCCCTCTGAAATGTCAGTGAAGAAAGTATCTAATGAAAACACTCCTCGATGTCTTGACAAATCAATAGAGAGAGAGAGAGGATGGTTTATTCGTGGGGGCCTTCGATGACTACCAAAAAACCTTCGAATCCTGGAGAAGCGTACCCGTGGCAATTGGAGTGCGCGCAGAAACAACAGCTGCTTGAATCGATGTATGCTTACCATGATCGAGGGGAGGATACTTCTGCGGAGGGTAAGGGGGGAGAGGATGATCTTCTTTGAATTATTTTTAGTGCACTGCGAGGAACTTGACAAGGACTGGATCGAATATGAAGCGTACAAAACTCATGAAAAATGCAACATCGTAATTTTCCTTTTTCTTTTGATGGATGCCCTTTAAAATTAAGGTGAGCCCATGTGACAAGGAAAAATACCAGAAAATCTGGGACCCTCGATGCAAAAAATTCAACGACGATCTTGACCGTGCTTGGGCTAAAGCAAATGAAGAGGGAAGAAAAGAAGGTATGGAAATCAACTTGAACTTCTGAAGAAGATCTTTTTTCAGATTTTTGTCAAAAAACAAATGTCAAAAACTGGGAAATTGAACATGACGCGGTGACTGTACGAGGTCCCTGTTTATACGTACGTGTCCGAAAACTTGTCATGATTTTAATCGTTATTTTCAGGACTGGCCTTGCGCTGGAGCAAATTTAATGAATATCTCAATGATTCTTGTTCTTTTTGCTACTTTTTTCTTCATGAAAAAATAAATGCTTCCAAAATCTACGGAGAATTCTTGATCGTAAAATGATAAACCCTCTTGAAATGTCATTTTTGTCATTGTACCAAATTAGTTTCACTCATCGCGAAAAAACTGTTATTTTTCTTGTCAAATTGAGAGACGAATTTTCAAGAAAAGAGGTTCGATAGAAAGCATTTTTGAAAAGCATTTTTTGAAACTTTTAGAAAATGGATTATCCGTATTGGAAATCAGAGTGCAATCATGACCAGAAATATCTGGAAAGTTTGTTTGCTTATCATGATAGAGGCGATAATGCTCATGGTAGGAGTCCTTTTTCGAATTTCTCTGAACGATAATAAATTTTAAGTGTACTGCCAAAAAGTCGATCAGGATCAAATCGCGAGTAAAGCTCGAAAAATGCATTCAAAATGCTTCATCGTAATTTTATTTTGAGATAAGAATTTGAGCCGTTTTCAGGCGAGCCCATGCGACGCGGAAGAATACAAAAAAGTCTGGGAACCTCGGTGCACGAAATTCAACGATGATCTTGATCGAGCTTGGGCAAGAGTTAGCGCAGCTGGAGATCGAAAAGTAAAAGGTAGAGAAAAAAGGAAGAAAGGGAAGTGAGAATTTTTTAGATTTTTGTGGAAAGAAGAATTTTCGAAAATGGGAAGTTCTAAACGAGCTGGTGACTGTTCAAGGAACTTGTGAATGGGTAGGTTCTTGATTTTCGGATTGGGTTGCGTTTTTGGCTCGAAAATCTGAGTCAGGGCGTAGAAGAGCTCAAATGAGAATTTGAAGGCCCTGACTCAGGTTCTTGGCTCGGCTACCTGAGTAGAAAACCTGAGTCAGGCTTTGGAAGAGCTAAAATGAAAAGCCGCATCTAAAAATTTTGGCTCTTAACCCTAACTTTTCATTTTTAGGAATGGCCCTGTTCAGGAGCAACTTCAATAAATATCTCATTTCTTCTCTTCATTCTTGCTGCTTTTTTCTTTGTCAAAAAATAAATGAAATTTTCAGCGTAAAAAATTTATTGCTGCGAAACAAATCCTCGAATTACCACGCACGTAAAAGTCGGGTAAATGCAGGTGAAATCTGAGCTTATACTGAAATAATAACCGGGTCGGTCTTGCTTGTTGTGAATTCGCCGTTGTGGAATTTGACGAAAAATGAATCTCAAATTTGAACCAAGCCTGGTCGCATTAGCTGGCCACGCCTTGAAACTGGTTCAACATGAGTGATGACAAAATCAAGTGAAAATTTCATCTGCACGTGATCGCAAATTTAATTCATTTTGCATCGAATATTATGCAGATTTTTGGAAAAATAAAAAATATTTTCCGGAAAACACGAAAAAAACTCAATTTATTAAGGGACCTCTGTTAGCCCTAAATGACAATTTTTTAAGTGAAAATGCAAAAAATAAACGAACATCTGTGTTTAATAATCATCCTTTTTTGTGCCAAAAAGTGAGAAAAACGTAGCTTCACAGAATTTGGCCCAGAATACAAGCCGCTGGAACGTCAAAAGTGATCAATTCTGCAGATTGCTCTAATTATATAAGAACATATGGAAATTTGAGAGGAACGAGACTCCAAAAAATGAAAAAAACGCCACGCAATCTAATCATGCTCGTAGATATTGAAATGGCAGGTGTTCATGCTCTTGCGTCTCAAACATTGTTTGAGCATAAGTGCGTCTGATTTTCGATCGGAATTTTTCTGATTCTTGAAACCGTAAACTTTCATTTACGAAAATTCAAGAGTCAAAAGAGACCCAATAAGAGAAGGACAAAAAATTTTTAAAAAATTTCGCGTCAAAATTTTCAACCGATAAGAAGCCTGGATTCGGCAAATCGGCCAATCAGCAGCCGGAATGGGGATGGTGTCTGGAACCGACAAAAAATTTCGACAAATTTTGCGTGGGCGGCTACTCGGCTGCTGATTGGCCGGTTTGCCGAATCCAGGCTTTTGATTGGTTGAAAATTTCCACGCGAAATTTGTCGATTTTTTTGTCGGTTCCAGACACTCCTCCCCCGAATAAGCGTATCTTCATCATATTACAGGGGATCCCCTCTTTTCTCATAGACACTCCTGTATTCCTTGATAGACAAGGAAAGATTAAAGAAAAGCGATTTCAGATGGAATTAGTCCAAATCCGACCAGCTCGCTGGTCTAAGAAGCCCGAAATGGGTAGAACATTTGCGGTCGTGTTTCCCCGGTGTCGAGGTTCTTCTTCCAGCTCAGTCAGAGATTTCGCCCGAGATTTCTGGCCGATTAGAATCGATTTGCGCCGCATATCTTTTTTTGAAGAACTCTTGTTTTATTTCCGCAAGTTTTTTTCTCAAAAGGATCAAATTCGATTTTTGATTTTTTGATAAAACGTGAAATTTAAACTAGCTCAAAAAAAAGCTTGAGTAAAAAGAAAAAAATGGCTGATTCATCTTTTTCCGGAAAAAACTAAGATGACGGGTGATCCGTTCAAAAAACATCTCGAAGATCGATTATCTTTAATTTACTGAAATTCACGTGCGAAATCGATCATTTGATCTCTTTCCTTGACAAATCAGCAATTTCCGAAAAGTGAATTCAGTTCAATTCAAAAATCAAAATTCAAAATTTCAAAGTTCAAAAAAACAAAAAAAAACAAAAAAATTTGTTCCAATTTTTTATTGAGAAGAAAAATTTTTTGCAGAAATTTTTTCAATGTCTTGAATTTTTCACGTGATCTTTGACCATCTTTGCGAAAATGTCCATTCCTTCAATAAGGCCATCGCCGTTGACAGCATTTGACCCTTGAACATGCCAATTTTCTCGACGCATGTTCAAAAGACCGAATTGCCGGGTAATCTGAAAGATAATTTTAGCCAATGATTTTGTTAAAAAAAACGCTACCTTTTCAGGAGCTGCTGCTCCGGGAAGATCTTGTTTGTTCGCAAAAATCAAGATCGGCAAATCTCCTCGTGGTAAATTCTCGTCGTTGAGTACATTTTGAAACTCCTGAAAGCTCTGGTCGAATCGCTCGTGATCTTGGGAATCGACGATCCAGATGATTCCGTCGAGATTTTGGTAGTAATGTCTCCAGAGAGGTCTGATCACATCCTGACCGCCAATGTCCCAAACTGTCATTTCTAGACCAGGGGCGATGTCGAGCGTTTCGACGTTGAATCCGATTGTTGGGACGGAGGAGACTGTTTCTTGCAGTTTTAGCTGAATAGAAAATGATTTCTAGAGATTTTTCTTAATAAACTTTATCATTAAGGGTCTCACCTTGATATCCCTTTTTTCAATTTTACTTCAAAATCGACTGTACCTTGTATAAAATCGTCGTTTTTCCAGCATTATCGAGTCCAATCATCGCCACTTTTGCCGACCTTCCTGCTCCGAGAATGTTCCACTCCTCCATTGCTTCTTTCAATCGGCTCAAAAAGAGTCCCATCTTGTTTTTTACTTTTCTGTTTTTATGAAAAATGGCAGCTAGGAGCGAGCTTTTATAGAATTTTTCAGAAGGCCACGTGGTCGAAAAACGACGCTGCATCTTCCACGATGGAGCTTTTTCGCGCGCTGATTATTGTTCGAATTTATGACTCACTTGTTCAAGAGCGCATCGGAGGAAATGAGTAAACAGGAGAAAAATGAGTCGTTGGCGCTAGAAAGGAATCATAAAAGAAAACATCCTTCGAAGCAAATATTTTTCACGAAAACCGCGAAGAACCGCGAAGAACCGCGAAAAACCGCGAAAAACCGCGAAGAACCGCGAAGAACCGCGAAAAACCGCGAAAAACCGCGAAGAACCGCGAAAAACCGCGAAAAGCCGCGAAGAACCACGAAAAACCGCGGTCAGTCAAAATAAATTTTCTTCCCTGTCTTCATCCTTGTTCTTTTTTAAGAACCGCGTGGTCGAGCCTTAAAGACATGATTTCCCGTCGAAAGTTACAGCCGAAAAAAATTGATGGCATTTTTCGTTTCTTGTTTTTCCCCGAAAGGCGGTGATTAAGTTGAGTACCTTAAAAGGGGGATAACGTGGACGCTACCGGTAGCGATGTCTAATCCCAAACAAAAAGGCAACACGAGAATTAGCCTGGCGAGCAGTGATCTTTGGATTAGGCGATTTTAAGCGCCCCGTTGGGATTATAATAAAATACGTGTAACTGCAATTTTTTACAAGAAACCTAAAAACTTAACAAAAAGAAGTATTCCATCAATAAGTGTGAAAAAACAAGGCTTCTGGAAAACCTTACATTTCTTGCTCTGCTCAATCAACTACCGTAGCTAATCTTCATTTTGATAATTATTGAAACCGGAATTATGCTTATCAAATACGTATTCCTTCCTCAATTATGAATTGAAATCATCCTTTTTTTATCGAAAAATTGCTCAATTTTAAACCGCATCTAAGATCTCAAAGTCAGGAAATTTCTAAAAAAAATGTCTCTTTTGATCGAAAATTGTTCAATTGAATCCATGATCAGCGATCAAAGTCTCTCAAAAAATTTTATCAAAAGGCGACCGGATGATTAGAGCTCTAGAATTCATTGAATATCTCTTTTGTAACAAGATTTGTTCTTAAAACTTTTTCATTTGAACGCTCGAAATTTTTCTTAAACTGTCTATTGAGAAAAATCTTTTGATAATCTACAAAAATCTTTCTCATAGAAGGTCTCGTTTTTCAGTAATCTGAATTTCCATCGAAATTAATCAAGATTCCAAAATTGCAACTCATCCGATCATCTTTGTTTGGCAAGTTTCTTTCTTGAAATTTTCGTTTACGCCCTTTTATTTACTCAGGTTACTTTTCAACTGAAATTTTCAGAAGTAGGTCTTTTCGGCAGAAATAGCTCTTCGAACGTGTGGGGTTAACTGCACAAATAAGCAAACCCGCGAAACAATATTCTGCGTTTTCATCCCTCTTTCCTCTCACGTTGACTCCTTTTCGACAACAAATAATTATCGTAAGGTCAGGCCGCGCAGACATTCAAAGAACAAGAACATTGACAAAAACAGGTTCAATTAGACCATTTTTTATTTGATGGCGTCAGAATTGAAGGCGCCAAAAAAGGAGAAATGGGAAATTTTGGAATGAGAATTATATAATTTACGTTCCGCCGAAATAATCAGCTTTTAATTCATGTTTTTGTGGGTTTCGAATTTCTTTGAAAAAAAAATTAAGAATTCAGATTTTGGCCATTTTTGTTGTAAAAAATTTTTTTCAAAAAAAAATTGCTGCTAGAATCGCGCAATCGCAAATTTGTGTGAAATGTAGTAAGTCTCAAATTTGATTTCAATTTTTAGAAGTCGCTCGTCGGGCGCAACGCGAAATGCTTCCCGCGATCTTGATCGGGTGATCTCGTCGGAATTCGACCCTTCTAGTGCCAATTTCGGGCTTTGATGACACAACCCAGCTAATTATAAAAAGCCCTTGTTATCGAATCAGATGAAAATAGCAAAAATACCGGGCAACTTACAATTATTGAAAAGCCTTATTGGACTGCGTCACCTTGTCTCACAAGAGCCACCGTCCATAAAAAAAATTTGCCCTTATTTTGGCAAAAATATTGATTTTTTTTTTGGTTAAAACTTCCTCTGGTCAAGTTTTTAAGCAAGATTAACCTAGGAACGAAAGTTCAAAAAGTAAAAGCTCTCCAAATTCAATTTTTAAAAAAGTTCTATAAAGCGCGAGTGGTCCACGGACCCGACTCGTTTCGATGCTGCAGTCGGTTTGCTGTGGTCGTTGGATGCAGAGTTGCAAATTTGCTGAGCTGAGTGAGCTGAGCTGGCTGTGTGGGCTGAGCAGTCGCTCAGCTCAGCTAAGCTCAGTGATTTTGATGATGATCTGAACTGCTCAGCTCAGCTCAGCTGAGACCATTTTCACTCAGCTCAGCTCAGCTCAGCACAATTATCTTCGAACATCATCTGCTCAGCTCAGCTCAATCATATGAATACAATTTGACTACCAAAAACCAGTAAACAACAGCTCAGCTCAGCTCAATCAGCTCAGCTCAGCTCTAATTAGGGTCCGCTCAGCTCAGCTCTAATTAGGGTCCGCTCAGCTCAGCTCAATCAGCTCAGCTCTAATTAGGGTCCGCTCAGCTCAGCTCAGCTCAGCTCAATCAGCTCAGCTCAGCTCTAAATAGGGTCCGCTCAGCTAAGTTCAGCTCAATTCTCTTAAACAAAAGGTTTGCTCAGCTCAGCTCCGCTCAATGACCTCTGAAAAAGGCCAGCTCAGCTCAGCTCAGCTCAGAAACCTCCAAAATAGGCCAGCTCAGCACAGAGAAAATTTTTCTCAGGTCTGCTCAGCTCAGCTCAGAAAAATTGATCAAAATTTGCAACTCTGGTTGGATGGTTGGACTGGTATCTTCCCGCTCATTTCGCCTGGACCGGTTCACGACTCTGACGCCCTGTTGCTGAACACATTCCTTCTGTAACTTTCACTGCTCGTTTATCGTTAATGGTTCTATCACCTGCAAATAAATTATTATGAATTGAATCGTAAAAAAAAATTAAGAGGAAGCGTTACTGCCTTAAAGGAAGCTTTTAAGGGCAAACCGCTTCTTGACTGAAAAAAAAGTGTTTTTAGCTTTATAGTCTATAAATTATAGAGAATTCTTTACAAAAAGAGAAACCATGTTTTATTCCTTAAAAACCCTGTTCAAGAAGAAACCCCCGAAAAACCTACAGAAGAACCAGCTGCTGAGGTAGAAGCTCCCGAAAAAATTCCCGAAGAACCAGCCCAAGAAGCAACAGTTGCGGAAGAAAAAATTAAAGAAAAGGAAGAAGTCAAAAAGGTAAAGCTCGCAAAAAATTTGTGGCTAATTAAACATAAAGAAATTTTTTCTTAAACTTATTCGCCCACATAATTTGAACCTTTTTGAACCCATTTTCGATATCAGAGACCAAATTTTTTATGAAAAATTTTGCCATAAAATCTGAACGGATCAAGATTTTTCAAAGATTCAAAAGATTTGTAATCCTAAAAGAGGTAGTCCCTGCTTTTGCGATCTCGGCACTTTTTGAACAGCGCTCCCACAAATTTGCGCTGGGGTTGAGTGATAAAAACTCTACGAATAGAAAGGTCGAACCCTGATGAAAGATTGAATTCAAGGAAAATAATTTTATTCGCCCGCTTAAGGAGTTAGAGGACGATAATCGAACCTAGTCCGGGCAAAATCGCCATTTTGGCCTATTTTGAAACGCGCCTAAAATCAAGAGGATATTTCAAAAAATTAAACTAATTGAATTTTTTGTAAGATCATACTTTCGTCTAGGTTTGAATTGAGGGAAATTAATATATTCCAAAAAGTCATAATATAATGCCATCAATCAAAGGTTGGGTCTCAAAATCTTGAAAAAATAGTTTTTAAGGAAGATTTTTACTAAATTATCCTAATAATAGAAATTTTATTAATGATTTTTAATAGGTCATTTAAAATCGAAATAAAGCTATATCTATGGATAAAATTAACAAAAAAATTCGAGTTTTTGAAATTTTTCATCAAAATCTCACTTTTCAAGTGCGATTTTGGGGTTTTTCCTCTTACATTTGGAAAAAATGATCAACACAAAATTTTTGCTCTTCTAACGAGCTTTCAGAATCTGCTCAGAAAATTTGAAAATTCCGATTTTTTCAAAAGCGAGGACTACCCCCTTAAACTCACTTCTCGAAACATACAAAAACTGAAAACAATAGTCAAAGAGGATTTATCTGAAAACAGCCAGTTTCCTTCAAATGACATTTTTCACAAAATTTCTCAACCAATTGTCATGAAAATTAATCTTTCTTGTAGATAAACGATATAGATATAGCCTCTTATCCTGATGAGCTCAACAAAGAAAAAATTGAGGCTTGGGTGAATAATTTCCTTCGAAAACTAAAAAGAACAACTACAAGGACTCAGAAATGCCGATTGCTCGAATCTGTCGAGAGACTTTATTTTGAAGATGATGCAAATTCTTTTTGGTGGCAATCGGTCAAATTTGAAAAAGGAGGCAGCGGAGCAATTTTTAACCAACGTGGAAAGAAACTAGAAGATTTCAAGACGACCAAATTTCAAAAACTGATTCTCGAAAATGAAAAAACTCTTCTCGGGTCGAAAATCGGACGCTGGGAAATCAAGCAAGAAACTGGAGAATGGAAGTTGCCTGATGATTTGGAGGCGAAAATGATTTCAAAAGGCGGAGAAGCAATTGTTCTCAAATATGATTTTGACAGATTTGAAGTCGCCGTGCGAGTGCAAGTTTTTGATCCGTTTCTTTTTACGGAGAAATTCGAAGATGAGGGTATTTGTGTCGAAATCCATCTCTCGAAAGGTCAATAATTATTGTTTTTTCGGACTAAACCAATTTTCGGAAGTAAATTTTTGATAACCAATAAGATTGCTGTATTTGGCCTGCCGGCCAATCAAAACCCTTTCCACAAAAATTTGTTCCAAAAATTGGTTTACCCGGTTTTTTCTGGTTTTTAATATTTTTAAAGATTTCAAGCCAGCGGAAGAGAAAGAATCACGATCAAATCACCATCAAATCCCCCTCCATCAAAACGTTATCCGCAACTTTGTAAATATTGAGTTGTTTCACGAAAAAGATGAAGAAAAGCGAGATTGTTTGGGATGGATAACGATAATGGAAAAAGCTGGAGTAAATTTGAGAAAGTTGCTGAAGGAAGAAAAAATAAATCTTGAAGAAAGAAAGAAGATTTCGAATGGAATTTTGGATGGATTTGAATATTTGTGGCCGAAATGTGGAATCTCCCATCAAGATCGGAAATTGGAAAATCTCGTGCTTGTTGATGGAGTCGCGAAGATAATAGACTTCGGGCTCGTAATGGAAGTAACTGGAAGAAGTGGCTACAGAAAAATGGGATACACGAGAAGAGGATCGAAATACAAACACTGGTCTGCACTTGGTAAGCTTTTAAGGGGGTGGTGGTCGAGAATTAGGATTTTTTCAACCTAAAAAACTCAATTTTTTCAGAAAAATTTTTTTTTGTTCTCAATCAGAATAAGTTAAAAAGGGTTGAAATTGTGTGAGCGGCTAGGTTTTAGAAAAAAATTTTAATGAAAAAATGGGGGGTACTGAATTGTGCCGCCCTGCGCCGCCTTGCGCCGCCCTGCGCCGCCCTGCGCCGCCCTGCGCCGCCCAGCGTCGCCCGGTCCGAAACCACCCGGCTCTCAACGGACCCAACCATGACCTAAGAAAGAATTCTGTACAAGAGCGAGAGTTGGGCCCCGCCAACCCAAGGATTTCTCTACCAGAAAATGCGCGCGTAAGGGCCTCTGGCCCGTCGCGTGCTCAATTAATTAGTGATTTTATGCCAAAATCTGAGTTTTGTTGAGAATTACTCTACTTGCACCCTAATTATAGGTTTACCTTTTTTTAATTTTAAGACAATATAAATATGTCAGAATTACTAAGTTGACATGAATATCTGAGTTAACCGCTTTTGAAAGACGAAATATCTTCGGATCCGGCGAGACCGGGCGACGCTCGGCGGCGCAGGGCGGCGCAAGGCGGCGCAGGGCGGCACAATTCAGTGTCTCCCGAAAAAATGGCTAAATCGAGGGTCAAAGTCGACCTGAAATCGTGTTTTTAGCTATTTCTTAGTCGACTTTTTCCGATTTTTGGTCATTTTTCGCTCTTCTTTGAAGCTGATTTGCCTCCAACAAGGTTTTTACGCTAGAAATAGATTGCTCGAGAAATATTATATGTTATTTCATGGACTAACTGTAATCTAACGCCAAAAATTAATAATCATTATATAATTCTCGACCACCACCCCCTTAAAAAAATTTCAATTACATATTATTTGTAATTTCAAATTTTGAAGCTGCTGGCTCACCAGGATTCACTGTTCATGGTCAAATAACAAATGGAGGAGGTTATAGAGATGATAATATCTATTATTTTTTATTTTGCGATTGGAAAACTTCTTGGGCTCTTCTTTACCAGCCAATAGATGATGATGAGCGAGAAGAGATCGATCAAATAATCAAGGTAAGAATTTTTTTCATGATGAAAATTATGCGAAATTTTCTTTTTATAAGAATTGCGGAGCATCGTCGATAAGAGATTTGAATCCTAAAAGATGTTCTTCTTATCAGAAATTCTTCGCCGAAGTCAAAAAAATAATCTCCCTCAAAGACGCTTCAACCATTTATTGCCTGGATGATCAAAATTTGACTCAATCTTGCAAAATGTCCAGTTTGAAGCGAAACGCCACAAAATGCCTCCAAAAACGAATGAAAAATCTCACAAAAAATGTCTTTGACCAAAAAGATAGTCAACTTTGTCAGAGTTGCAAATTTGCTGAGCTGAGTGAGCTGAGCTGGCTAAGTGAGCTGAGCAGTCGCTCAGCTCAGCTAAGCTCACTGATTTTTGAAAATGAATTTATCTGCTTAGCTCAGCTCAGACATTAATCACTCAGCTCAGCTCAGCTCAGCTCAATTATTCTCGAACATGATCTGTTCTGCTCAGCTCAGACAAGTATCATTCAGCTCAGCTTAGCTCAGCTGAGTCAGCTCAATGATTTTAACAGAATTTCACTACTAAAAAAAACATTAAAAAACAGCTCAACCAAGCTCACTCAGCTCAGCTCAGCTCTAATTAGGGTCTGCTCAACTCAGCTCAACTACCTTAAAAAAGGTCTGCTCAGCTCAGCTCAGCTCAATGACCTCTGAAAATGGCCAGCTCAGCTCAGCTCAGCTTAGTGAGCTCCGAAATAGGCCAGCTCAGCTCAGCTCAGCTCAGAGAATTTCTCACTCAGGGCAGCTCAGCTCAGCTCAGCAAAAATAAAGCCAAATTTGCAACTCTGAACTTTGTGTTCCAATTTCCGTCACAACGCTTCTTCGACACGCGATGAAAGAAGACCTTGATTACAGCGATGAAGACAATTTTTACACAATTGAATGTGTTCTCCCAACTTTGACGATGATTATATTTCCTCGAAGTATGGCTGGACTGAACTTGAATCCAAACGAAAAAGAAAAAGAGTTTCAAGAAAATGAAATTGAAATTCTTCTTCAACGAGTTTGCCAAAAAACTTACCTGATGAAAAGTGGCTGGGAAATTTTAAGAACTAGTCGCAGAAAAAAAGAAAAAAGACCCATCAAGTCAATTTGTAAATACGAATCAGGTAAAACATTTTTTTCGTCAGACAATGGTCAAGGTATTTTCTCTTTTTCAGTAACTCTCAACGAAAAATTTACCTTCACTCGCCCTGCAACTGTCACCGGTGCTTATTTATATCCTACTGGCGAATTAATTTTCCACCAAATGACGCTGGACAGAGTCGAAAAAGACCAGTACATCCTTCAAAACACCGATCTCGCCGAACACTCTCCAGGTACCTAACTTTAAGGACCCCCCCCCCAACCCCCGTCAGCTTTTTCCTTCGAAAAATGAAAATTTTTAAAAACGCCATATTTTTGGTTCTTAATGTGTCTACAGGTTAAACTTGCTTTAAAAACCTGATCAAAGGACTTTTTGACCAAGAAAAATCAATATTTTTGCCAAAATTTGGGCAAATTTTAAAATTCCGAAATTTGATTTTTTGAAAAAACCTGACGGGGGGGGGAGTCGTTAAATCTTTTCGAATCAAAAATCAATGTTTTTTTTCAAGTTATCCGAATCTTTCTGAAGCACCCGTACTACGTTTCTTACGAATACATCAGTCCCATCTTCAATCAAACCCAAAGCAACGTTATCGAAGACGCTGACGTGAAACTGAAACTCGTGAATGAAAGATTCGGAAACATGGAAAAAGAGGTTTGGTATCTTCATCCCCAAGCTTACACAATTCAACTCATTCTTGACAAGTGAATTCCCAACGATGGCGACTTAGTGAATCAATTTCAAGCGGTAAAATTTCACTGAGAATAACCCGAAAAATATCTTTTAATAAATCTTTTATCAAAATAACTCCCCAAAAGATTACTGGACTTTCGTGAAAAACTCTTATCAGTTCGCTTTATCCATGTACGCGACGTTTTGGCTTCTCGTTATCTCAAAAATCAACTCCTAGAATCAGCCGTACTGTAACTATTGTGGAACATGCAAAATACTTCCTCCAGCAGAGGAAAATGTATTGATTGATAACACGTCAGATTTTCGTCAGAATCCATTAATTAAAAAAACTCCACGAAAAATTCAAGAGCAAAGACGAAAACTTCCAAACTGACGTGCTTACTGAATTTCTTAAAGTGTCACGAAAAAAATAAGAGTTTAAAAAATCAAGGGCCTTAGCACCTTCGGTGGCCCAATTCAAACGACACCTGCAAAGGAATTCTGAAGCAATGGAAAAATGACGAGAAAGATAGAAAGACAGGTGTTGATTTCTCAGGATTGAGAGAATTTTTGGAATCATGGGCAGTTTAAGGAAGGAAGATTTGAAGAGATAGAATTTGACGATGAAGTTTTCTATGGCGGTCTTGCTCGGAGCTCAAGCTCTTTATCGGGCAAATTTGAAGGAAATCGGTTAAAATATCAATCAGAGCTCCGATTTTTTTGTGCTCAAAACCCTTGAGATCACCGTTTTTGACCAAAGATTCTTGGGTAAAGAGAAACAAGGGGTTCTGTTGTTCGGATTTTGCTCGTTTCTGATTGACTGACGCAAAAAATTCTGGCTTTTGATTGGCTGAAGAGCCCTCTTGGACACCAGAAATTTGATTATTTTGAATGTTTTGCCGATCCTATTCGTTATTTTTCCCGAAATATTGGCATTTCCGACGTGTAAAAAAATGATTACATATTTTGATCGGTTTCTGTATCGCGAACGAATTAAGCTGCACGTATGCTCCGGTTTTTTTCTTTTACAGTGATAGCTGCTTATACAAAATATACCGGCCCGTAGAGGTTACGTGGTCGTAATTACGTGGTGTGCATACTTTTGATCCGAAAATTATTTCTGTCAACTAGAGGTGCTCATCAAACAAATAAAAGCCGCTCCTACATAATCCCGTTTTGATTTAATTGCGGATTTTGTTTGAACCGTTAAAAAAAGGGCGTCGAAAACGGTGAATTTCCCGATGGTCGATCTGAGCTGCTCAACTTCTACGACATTCAATACATCGCTAACATAACACTGGGAAGCCCGGCTCAGGATTTGACCGTGTTATTAGGAACGGTTTCACAACTGTTTTTCAAAGGACGAAAAAGTTGTTTGCTTTTGTGAATTTTTTTAATCGGAAAGAAAAATGCCGAGACCATCTACAAAAAGCCGATTTTCGAGCAACCATTTTAGTTATCGTATTTTACGGTTCAAAAAAAAAAGAGTTTTCTAAGATTTGATTTTTGAAAAAAAAAATTTTGCGAAACGCGTGAAAGATACGAATTTCGCGGATTTTTGGGTTCCATCGTCAAAATGCGAGCATTCAATTGGATCGGGCTTTGCATGCTTGAATCACAATAGATACAACTCAGGTATACTATAATCAAGTATATTTTTTTTTGAAAAAAGGCCCTCCCTACGATTGTCGACTTGGCAAAAACAAAGTATGCTTAAACAACCATCGAAACATGGATTATCTTGGATGAGTAGTTGAGGTTGAAGTTGTCTAGTCGATCCTAATGAGGGCCCTTAATACAGGAGGTACAGGGAGCACAGTAAATTTTTTCCTTCCTACTCTCGTTGATTGTATCCGCATAGTACAGCGAAGTTGTTGTCTTTGTAGGATCAGTAGGAAGGTCCTTTTCTTCGAAGGAATTTCGCTGATTTCCAGCATGGTTTTCTTCAATTTTCTCCTTCTCAGCCGACGCTTGAGAGATTTTTACTTGTTCAGTAGCAATAGCTTCGTCGAATCCTTCATTTTTCTCCCCCTCTTTTGGAGCTTCATTCAAAGGCTTTGACTCAAAGCAGCAAAAAATCTTTCTAAGACACATGGAAATTTTTTCTTGAATATAAAACTTCGAAAAGGACCTTCGGTTTTCGGGAGATTTTGAAATTTGCCCTTAAAGGGCTTGTTTGACAACTTGGTTCTATCGGTAGAGTTACAGTTTTTTTTTCAGATTTATCGATAACCTCACGCGAAGATGGGCGGAATATGACGCTTCAAACATCTCAAGGAACAATAAGCGGCTTCCAGACTTTGGACAACTTGAGTTTGGATTATGGAAATTTGAAGCAAAACCAGATCACCTTTGCGGAGATAACGCAGCAATCCGGAGTTCCGTCATGGGTTCTTATCCAATTTCGGTCAATGTCTCATCGCCAGGGGCTCATTCGATAAGTCAACACTAACAATCGAGTTAATAAAAGTTGTTCCATAATCTCGGCTCGAAAACCTGTGTCGAAAACCTGAGTCAGGGTCTGAAAAACCTCAAATCAAAAGCTCCAAGGCTTTTTCTGACCCTGACTAAGGTTTCTACACAGGTTTCTGACCCCAGTCCATTTTTTATCCTTCTAGAATCAGCACTAGAAAAATCGTATTTTGGGATTTTTCCTGGAACCAGAATTACATCAGCCCCAATTACAAGAAACTTGGTAGCGATTTTTCAGCGTCACCAATGTGCTAGAAAAAATGTTTCGTGACGCTCAAAACAGAAATTACATAAATCTGTTCAGCAATTTTGGCAAGTGTTGAGCATCGCCCAAAAATGCTGATAGCTATCTCCTCCGCGAAAGACATGTAGCTGGCCCAGATAATCGGGGCCAAGAACCCAAGCTGTAGTTTTTAGCGACTCCTTATGACGGGGTTCTTGGACTTGGTAGGATTGGGCTTTCTGCGAATGGAGTTGTACCAGGTGAATCAACAGTGGGTTTCCGGGTCAAACCAATTTATGGAAGTGTTTTTCGGATCAGGGTTTTGATTGGCCTGTTGATCAAATGCAGAAATCTTATTGGTTATCCAGAAATGCACTTCCATCAATTGGTTGAGTCCGGATTTCCCCTTGTTAAGGACCTTAACTTAAGGTGCGGGAACGGCTTATTTTATTTGTGTGTTCAAAAAAACGCTCAATCATTAAGTTAGCGGATACCCTTAACCGCTTCCAACCGCAGATAAGAACTGCGCATCAAAGTTAATCGCTAACCACGTTTCCATTTTTACTTAATCAAAAATTGACACTTGTTTTGGAAAACCGTAACACATCAAGTTACTGTCTTATCAATCACAATATACAGTCACACTCTTTTAAATATGCCGGCCACAAATCCGTCATCCCCAGAAAAATCATTTTTTTTTATAATTTTTCTAAGCGCAAGGCTCGGGGACCTGTGTGAAAACTTGAGTCAGGTTCTGAAAAGACTAGAAGAAAAGCCGCGCAGCGGCTTTTTTGAAACCGAAGCCGCAAAACGGCTCCGCCAGTAAAAAAAAAAATTTAAATGGCAAAGCGGCTTCGGCTTTAAAATAGCCGCTGCGCGGCTTTTGATTTAGTCTCTTCAGAACCTGACTCAGTTTTTTTTCACGTGTTTCCGAGCCGAGTCCCTGTGTCTTTTTAGAGCGTTTCTACGTTTCGAAATCTAAAATGGCTTATTTTTGGAGAGTGTAACATAATTTTAAGTTTTCGAGCGGCTGCTATCAAGTGCAGCTGTCAGTGAGCCGCTGATCGGGTTATCGTTCGATCGCAATCCGCTGGACGTTTCTTCCTCCGGAGAACTCACTTGGGGAGGAGTCAACTCAGGAAGCGCTTTACATAACCATCCAAAGAAGCAAGTTACTTGACTTTTATCTTTTTTCGCGAGTAATATTTTGAATTTCTGAATTTTGGTGAACGCGAGGAAGAAAAATTTGAGGGAGATTTTCCGGCGGACTTTCAAAATTTCCAAAGCATCAGGAAAAGGGATGAAAAAAATATTGATAAAGGTATTCGAAAATCGAGAAGCCGCTTGCGGCTTCGAGTTTTAAAAGAAAAGTAAGCCGCGGCTAAAATATGAACAAGCAAAGTCCTGTCAAAAAAACCTGAGTCACGATCAGAAATATCTGAAAAAAGCCGCGTAGCGGTTTCGTCAAAATTTGAAGAATTTAAAGAATTAAAGAGATAAATTTGCGAAGCCGCTTTGCGGCTTCGTTTTAAAAAAAGCCGCTATGCGGCTTTTCATTTAGGAAATTTCAGACCCTGACTCAGGTTTTCTTTACAGGTAGCTAAACAAAGTTGAGAAAAAAATTTTGATTAAACAATTAAAGCCGCGCTTCGCGCGCCTTTTTTTCTTTTCTCGAAGCCGCAAGCGGCTTCTCGATTCAAGAAACCATTTTCTTTGACCTTTTAAAAAGTGACGATTACTGGACCTTGAATTTGAACAAAGTCACCTCTTCAGACTTCGCCTTTGAGTTTTGCTCTTCTGGTTGCTTAGGTTCGTGTCCAGATAATTATTCAGGCGACGACGCTTTCGGATTACGTGAAAATTCTAGCAAAAGTCATTTTTACTTTCTTTTTCTAGCGCTTGCGAGGTCGCTGAATTTATTCTTTTAGGTCGCGTCAGCACCGGATCAGCGTTCATAACTGGACCGAGAGATCAAGTTCGGCAGATCAATGAACATCTTGGGTAAGACACGAAGCCTGGTATTGTTGACCTAAGAAGTAAATTCTAGAGCTGTCGAGTCGATCGACGGCTACTGGTTTTTCTTCTGCGAGTTGGTTCATCGGATGCCTTCGCTGAAGTTCTTTTTGGATGGATTGCCGTTTACGATGGATCCAGATTTGAGTTCATAAATCTTTAAAATACGTAGAAAAATACGATCCTATTTTTCATTTTTCTTCATTATCTTCAGCTGAGACGTAGGCATATTTTCATAATAACAGATTCATTTTGTAAAGAATTGATGGACAAATAATTTATTTTCGACGACACTTAGGCCAATTATAAGGTGTACCTTGTATCTTAGGAAGATCTCCTGCTTCATTTTTTGATAAATAAGATACTTTTTTCATTACTAGAATCCTTTATAAGCGTTTTTTTGTGCGTTTACCCTAGTCATATTGAGGGCGTTGTTATTGAAAAACCCAGCTGCGAGCCAGCTTTAGGTCGATAAGAAGAGCTGATAACTGATAAACAATCTCTGAGCGAAAAAATTTCAAGGGAGAAGGCCGATTCCATCAATAGAAAACCCTTTTTTTGCGCTTTTTCATGGAAAAATTTTCAATATAAATCCTGCGCTCATCTTAACATTCAAAAAGAACGTCGCTCTAAAGAGTCTAAACAAGCATCTGGTGAATAAATCCATGCTCATTCCCCTCGCAATTCATTTGAACTCAAACTTTAGAAGATTACACCATCCGCGCGAATTATTCAAGTACATCTTTACTTCTTTCTTTTTCGTAAAAACGTGTTTTCTAGACCGTGATTACTGCATTTCTGCCTTCCGCGAAGAGCGAAACTCAAATCCGGAGTTCGATAGGCCAATCTTCGAAGCTAATCAGTGGAATCTTGGCACAGCTTTCTTGAGCAAATATTATACTGTTTTGGATTATGATACGAACTCCGTCTTTTTCGGACAGAGGAGAAATTGAGGATGAAATAAATCTTAATTTTTGCCATTTTCGTCACTTCGATATTTTTCGACATTTTCGACATTTTCGATATTTTCCGAATTTTTGACATTTCAATATTTTTCGACATTTTTGACATTTTCGATTTCTTTTTTTACATTCTCGTTATTTTCGACATTTTTCGAAATTTTCGACATTTTCGATATTTTTCGACATTTTTCGACATTTTCGACATTTTTGAGATTCTCGACATTTTCAACATTTTTCGACATTTTCAACATTTTTCGACATTTTCGAAAAATTTGGACATTAACGACATTTTGTTTTGAGAATTTTATTAAAGCATTGTTATTTGTTGACGCAGATCGTATTTGAGCTAGAAAACATTTGAAAAATTAGAAAAATTGGAGAAAAACTCACAATTCTACTTCATCAACCAGCTCGTTCTCTTCTTCCTCTGAAAATTTAACACGTTTGAGGGCCCAAAAATCTACAAAGACGATTATTTTTTGGATGACCAGTTAGATGTCCATTACCTGGGGTGCCATCTTCCTTGCATTTTGGTTCAGACTCGTCGTAGTTAGTGTATCGACGGTTCCAGCCGGCAACTGCCTCCAACCAAAAATCGTCGTTGAAGAGAATTGTCGTTTGATTTTCAATTCTTTTGTCAAAAAATCGAAGGTTGAAATCTTTGACGTTTCGATTGAAACGATAATGTCTTGGTGAATCAATCTTTCATTGGTTTTTTATGCCATTTTTAAAGCGCAGAATGGGGGTTAGGAAGGGGGTTAGAGAGGGGGTAAGGGAGGGGGCTAGGGAAAGGGGGTTTGAGGGTGTATTTGAAACGCTTTGGGTTTGCTAGTCTTTCATTGGCCGCCGAATTAAATACTTACTTCTTATTGGCTTACAACCCTCTAGCTCGCCTTGCAAGAAAACCACTGCCCAGATAGGATGGTTCAATACAAACATCAATTGTTGCTTCACTTGTTGCTCCGTGAAATCTTTCACTGTTCGTGCCGGTATTATTGTATGATTGGTCCTTACAAAGCCTTATTATCCACTCTCCATCAGAAGACAAGCAAAAGTTCTCTTGAAATTTTCTAAAGAGAAAGCTTCTGCGGGAAAAGACTTACCGCTTGATTTGTCTAGAATGCTAAAGAAGGCTGATTTGAGTTTTCTTCTTTTGAAAAATTGTTCTGCTTCGTTTTTTAAATTTATGGCTCCAAAGAAAGATCCGTTTCTAAAAATCCCTGCATCAAGCCAATACGCAAAATAGTTCGATTGCTGGAATCCTGCTGGTATCGCCTCGTCACCGACCGCTTCTGCTGGTAAAACCATCTTCTTCGATTCGCAAAAACGAACAGCATCGCGGTATTGAAGATTTTTACCGAAAAAGGTCCGAAACTGCGGGATTTCAATTGGAGTCCTTTTAACCCCCTTATCCCCTGAGTGTTGATGAGCACCGAAGAACCAGCCGGACAATGCAACTAAAGATAGATAACTACCGGTATTTTCCGGCGAGATTTTGAGACGAGTACCTTCCACCTCGGGCAACAAATTTTGCGTGAAAATTTTCAACCAATCAGAAGCCTGGATTCGGCTAACTGGCAAATCAGCAGCCGAGTAGCCGCCCACGCAAAATTTGTCGAAATTTTTTTCGGTTCCCTTGCCCCCCCCCCCCGGTGCCCGAGGGTTACGAAGGGTAAGGAGGGGGGGTAGACATCTTTCTTGATTCTTATAACTGAAAAACAACTTACTTAGCGCTAGAAGAAGCAGAATTCCGCTTCCAAGACAAAGCTTCTTTGATCGACTCAAAGCTGAAAATGAAAATATCATTTTCTCCTCTTGTTTGATTGAGAACAAACCCTCAAGAAATAATTTAAGTATCCATGTTGTATCCACTCGCCCATAAAATCCGCATAATGAATATAATATGAATATTACACAATCTTTTTTGAGCCTTCTTCGTGGGAACCAATTTTAATTTCATTTTTTCTTTCTGGAATACTGTAAAAAAAGCGCCCTGACAGTTTGTTTACGGTGCGCTCCTTGGCCAGATGAACCAAAACTGTCGACGATTATTCAATAACTGGACAACACCTAGACACCTTCTGAGGCTTTTCCGACGTCATTGCGTAATTTCGTTAAAGTTTTAAGGGTGCACCGCACTTCCAAGCGAATGAAAATGCTTAATTTAGGCCAATAAAGACGATCTCAGACATCAAAGATGCTCTTCAATGAGCTCGAGCAAAATATATTAGGAGAATTATCTGAATCGTTTATTTGAATGCTTACGTAAGATAGAAGACTGATGATTTTCACGAAAAGCTGGTAGAACAATTCGCTTTAGATGACATCAATACAGAGAATAATATTAAGATACAGCAAACGCGGCCATAGCGACAACAGATTCATTTTATGTAAGTAATTGACGAATAGCTGGCTGGTGATTCTTCTGAAGTCGAGGACATTCACAGCATTATATTCTCGACGTTAAAAAAATACCAAAAATAAAATCATAGAAATTTTTTAGAAATGATAAAAAATAATTTGGTTTTTCATTTTACAATTCGATATTTTCATAATATAACTGTAATAAACCGAACATCTTTCGTTTCATTTTCTCAATGTGAGTTTTTTCAGCACTAGGATCGTTTTTAAACCGTCGTTTTTGAAATAGGGGGGGCTAACAACCTCAAGATCCAGCTGCGATTCAATGAGCTTGAGGTTGATAAGAAAAGATGATAAGAAGAACCTTGTGAAAAGAATCGATTCTAATCTTTGACTCCAAGAAGAAAAATGCATTTTTTATGAAAAAGACAAGTGAAAAAAGTATTTATTTTTTTTTCAAGGGAATTGATGAAATCAGGAAGAAAAAACTTCCGCTTTCTTAAAATATTTTTTTTTTTGATTTTAAGAATCTTTTGAAGCTAATATCAGGATTCCCATCTTCAAAATAAGCTAGCTTTATGCGAAGAAAACTCGTAATTTACATTTCATTTTGGTCAAATAGTCACGCCCCTTTCCGGTAAAATTATTTCTTTGCCAAAAACAATGTTATGTTTTTGAGTGACACTGTTCAAAGTTCGCCAGTCAGCATTTTGCTGAGAAATTTACAGCCGTCTGTCCCTCTAAAAATTTCATCGAAATAAAAAAACATCCAAAAACTAAATCTAAAAATCCAAAAATCGAAAAAATGAAGCTGGTTGAAATTGACATCGATGATATTTTAAAGGGCGGAGAAGAGCGTCTTCAGTTTTGGTCGAAAATCGTCATCCAGCAATTCAAAGAAGTTGGATTTTTAAGGTAAAGTACAGTCGTTGAAAAAACGTTTGGTCAAATTTTACGGTGGAGATCTTAGAGACCCGTAAGAGGATGAAAAAGGTGTTTTGGCGTACTAGTGCGCACTTGGTTCAACTCAAAGAAAATACGGTTCTTAGACAGCAATTTTACTTTTTGAATATTAAGGACATACCCCCGTCAGCTTTTTCGGAATCAAATTTGAGAAATCAAATTTCGGAATTATAAAATTTTGACCCAGTAAATGGATTCTACGAGTCAAAAAACGTTTTTAGGCTTCATTTTTTGGGGGTCTATCTCGACTCCTTCACCCCCAAAATTGCATTTGAAAATTGGACTCTTCGCCGAAAATTGACGAATTTGCCCTAATTTCTTGGTCGAAAAATCCTCTCATCAATTTTTGAGGCAATTTTAACCTGGGGACCATTATGAAACAAAAATATGGCGTTTTTAAAAATTTCAATTTTTCGAAGGAAAAAACTGACGGCGGGGGGGTCCTTAATATAAACAATAATTAGATGCGTGAATATTCCTGGACACGATCAGAAAAACCTCCTCGAAAAGGCGAATTGGTTCCATCTCGGGCATTCCGAAGAGCAAAAAATGACACTAACGACTGTAAGATCATCCTTTTTCTTCATAAAAAAATTTGCTAGAACCGATTTAATCCCGCGACCAATCGACTCTACCGAGGATTCTTTCCAGTCATCAAAAACCAGGGCTCGCACAAGGCCTGCTTCGAAATCGGCAACTTCGAAGGTTCTTTTGAAGATCATCAAGCAAAACACGACCCTTCCTCCGTCGCTTCTTTGATGCTCGAGCCGGCGCAATGGCCGGAATTTGAGAAGGAAGAGGCAGAAAGTTTGGAGTTTAGAAAAACTGTAAGAGCGGAGTTTGAGGTCTATCATTTGGTGGCGAAGGTCTTGATGGAGTGCATTGCTAAAGGCATTGGTTTTTATTTTATTATCCATTTAAGCCGATTATCAGCGAAGAAAAACCAAAATAAGGGTTGAATATTGATATGGAAAAGTTCAGATCTCGAACAGACAAAACCTGCGCTACTTTCAGGCTAATTCATTACCCGCCGCGAACCGACACCATCCCTGAGAGCTGCAAACTCCCAACTGGTGAGATCATTTCCACGCCGGAGCATCATGATACTTCGATTTTAACCGTCCTGGAGAATTTCAACTACGCTGGGCTGCAAGTTCAAGATCCAAAGACTGAAAAATGGTGCTCGATCGAAACTCAGCCTGGCTCTTTTGTTGTCAACTGTGGCAAGATCCTCGGTAGATTTGGTTTTCTAGGTACAAAGGGTTGAGCTTTGCTTCTAGAGAGGATGACAGGAGGGCAACTCAGATCAACAATTCATCGCGTTTTGGATTTAGGAGAGGAACGAATCTCAGGAATTGTCGAAAAAAAAGACATTTTTCCTAGAAAATCTCATGTTTTTCTTACATTTGAGACGCTAAAAAGCGCCATTCTTCTACGAACCAAATGTTGATGCTGACCTAATCGACTTCACGACTGGCGAAAAATGGTCAGACGTCCCGTACGGCCTCTGGATGGTGCAATATGTCAAGAAATTCGTCGAATATAAAAGTCTTCCGAATTACTCAAAAATTTGAAGCACTTCTTTTTTTTCTTTCTTGAAGCAAAATCCTTACGAAATGAAATAAAATTACTGAAAAAGATAAGAGATTCTTCACGAAAAAAGCCTTTCATTTATTTATCATGATGATAAGACATCCTTTTTTTGGTCCAGAGCGTTATCGGTTCATTAAGAGCTGGCGCGTTTAGAATTTCTCAGTACTCTTCCTTCAAAATGGCACAAAAACAGCAATCTACTGATGCGTCGAGAGAAGATAGAAAAACGACGAGTGTAGCTTCTGAAATTGTTGAAGTCCCGGGAGACAGTGAAGTGGAGCCTGAAAGCGGCGAAGATGACGTGAAAGATAAAATTTATAATGTTCTCTTTCTTTTTCTGATTTTGGGATTTCTAGTGGTTTGTGGATTGACTGTGTTGTTCTTTATCTTCCCTGAATGCAGTATTCCAATGAGAAGCTGCAGAACTAAAAGTGGAATCGAATGGTTCATGGGTGAGCCATTTTTCAACTTCCTTATAAATTATAAGTTATAATCAACGTTTCCTCAGGAACAAAGAAGAGGACGAGAAGAGACAGCTACGAATTCTGCTCTTCGTCTGATTCAATAATTGCGAATATTTCAACTGCTGAAAAAATTTTTTCTGAAAACAAAGAGATGCTTGAAAAATTTGGAAACTTTTGGCTCTACGGTAATTTCTTTCAAATGATCAGGTTGATTATTGTGATTCTTAAGACAGGGACTATGAGGGAGAACTTCTTATCCGGTCAAATGGGTTGAGAGAATCAACGAAGAGTATGGCTTATTATCGCCCGGACAAATGCATAACTTTTCAAACAGATGATCAGGTTCGACAGGTTTTGGTTTGCTTTTTTATTTTATCATGATAGAAAGCCCTTTACGAATGCAAGCCGTCGGATAACTACGAGTATTTCATGATGCTGACAATCAAAGAGGCGTGTTTTCCAATGAAACCAATTTGGGTATCAACGATGGAATCTATCGACATCCGTGTCGATGCAGATATTCTCAAGGCTGTCAATGGGTCAAGAATCGACTACATAAACCTCCAAAATGTAAGTTTTTCCGACAAATTTCTTCGTTCATCGTCCATTTTTAGCATGAAATTTACAACCCAAGATTCTGCCTGACAGATCGATGCTGTTCCATGTCTGCAGACAAAGAAGTCAAGCAATTCCGAGAACATGAGAAATTCTATCCCTTGTGTGTCAAACTCTGAAATAACCAATCAATAAAACGAAACTGCTAATTATCCTTTTTCCCACAAGAGCAGATGCTCGCTCCTCCTCGAGCTCTCAGCTCTTGAATTCAAAAATTGATCGACTCATGAATATTGCACTGAAAACAGTTTGGAACTCGCTGCACAGCCCCGTCTTTTGGCCACTTTTTGAAACAGAGAAAAGATGGGGAATCTCTTCACTAAGGAAAAATCAAAAGATAGTTCTTGTCGACCATCGCGGGGTTCTGACGGCTATCCGAGGCAGAATGAGCAACGACCTGAACCAGGTATTGGAGACCGAGTTTCTTTCCTTGCTGATTTTTAGTTAAACCGCTTCCGGAAGTGGTAAATCCTGTCCCTTCAGCGCCAGAAATTCCAGAGGAAGGGAATGTTTGGACTGGAACATCAGACTCGGCCAGCGGCATCAAGACTCCAGAAGCTGAAAAGCATTCTGTCAATCAAGAAGAGACTCCTAAGGTAGCCCCTCGAATACAATATATTCGACAACTCAAAAATTCAGGAAATGCCAAAAACTCCGTCGAAAAGCCAAAATTCTCTGAAAAGCCTAACAAAATCATCGTCCCGCCATTCCGGTATGCTAAAAGCTCGTATAACAATTTATTCCCTCTTTTAGTGAAAATAAGCCAGTCAACATCAAAACATTCAAAAATCGAGCTCGAGGAGCTTTCCGTCAAGGATTTACCCCAACCCCAACCAATTCTCACGGACGATCCTTCTTTCAGCATTCACGGGCAGCATCAAAAGACCCCCTCAGAGAAATCAGCTCCTACTTCCGTCCCTCAGACTCCCTCAAGTAGTGACAAGCCCCAAGTGCCATCAGTCCTCGGAAATCTCTCCAAATCCAGCTCTCGCAAGAGTCTTCGAACCTCGAAACCAACCACGCCGCTTGACGCTCCCAACTCGCCTTTCCGAAGCCCAACTGGTAAAAAATCGCCCTTGGTGAAAAGCCCCAGCGCTCAAAGTCCCCTTGCTCAAATGGCTTCCTCCCCCACTGGTAGTCAGAAATCAGGACTAGTGAAGAGCCCGAGTGCGACAAGCCCGCTGGTTGAAACACGCTCAGAATCGAGTGGAGCATTGAAGACTCTCATAAGATCGAGCAGCAACACTGGATCGTTAGGAAAAACAAACAGCATCGAGAATTTCAACGCTCAGGCAGAATCACCGTCTCAGAACGCTAATCCACTTGCAGAGGCAGATCGATTCAATACCAACCCGGCGCAAGAGGAATCGATCGAGGCAGCGCTAGAACCGGTTTTTGATGGAAAAATCGATGGAGACGCCGCGGAAAAAGTCCCTCGGGGACAAATTTCTGAAATAAATGAAAAAACAGCTTTTGAAGAAGAAACGTACGAAGATCTCCCAAAATCATCTTCAAAAACCAGCATCAAATCGCCGTCGCCGAAAGTTTCCAATTCCGGCTCGCAGAAAAGCCTCAGATCTTCTAAATCACAGAACTTTGATAACTTATCGAAAAGCTCTTCCAGAAAGAGCGTCAGATCTTCTTCCTCGAATCAAGATTTTACGGAGTTTTCAAAGTCGGATTCAAGCAAAATGCTTTCTGTTCTTTCTGAAGGTCAAGTTGTTGAAGAAAATCTCGCTCAAGATAAAGAATCAGAAGGAAACAACGCGCAGGTGTCAAAATCTTTCTCAAAAAGAAGCCTCCATTCGCAGAAATCAACAACGAGTACCGGCAACAACAACCGAGTCATTTCCCCAACAATGTCTGAGGAACCGATTTCGATCATTCAAGGACCCTCTTCTGGTGTCTCCGAATCCTCTTCAAAGAAGAGTCTTTTCACAAGATCCATCAGCTCCGAAAAACAAGAGAAGATCGGTTCACCAGCCGGAGAAGTCAAGTCGCCAAGTGGTGGAAATCCTTTTGGGGAGGTGACAAATATGAATTCTTCGATTCCAGATGCTTCGGGAGTTTACGATGGATCTCAAATCAAGGTCAGCGAAAGCCTTTTTTCTTTTGTTAATTGCCTTTTCTAGCCCTCTCAAAGCATTGATACAGAAGGAGGAATGACCTGTGATGAGATCTCTTTTGGCGAGAGCATCAAATCCGATCAAGAAATCAGCCAAGATCCCCAACTCGAAGCTGTCAAGACCGAGGAATATTCCGAGCCCTGGGGTGCATCAGAATGCTCTCTCCAGAAAACACCAACTGGAGAAGAAAATTTCGGCACAGAAGAGAATCAAAGCTTAGAGAAAATTTCAAAGTCGTCATCGAAAAAGAGCTTCAAGCAACTAAATGATGATCTTACGAATCCAGAAGAGAATAAAGAAGATATCAATGATTTTCTTTGATGCCCTTTAATGAAGGTATTTTATTCCTTCGTTTTTTTTTCTCTTCTCATGAAATTTCTAGCGCTGCGATTTTCCTGACAAATGTTTATCAAAAAAATATCAATATTCCTTGCTGTTTGTCTTCATGTTCGAATAAAATGTACAACTTATGAGCATTTCTTTCGGGGACACATGAATTGTGGCTGTTTAGCGAAATGCGTGAGTTGTGGCTCTGCATGAATTGTGGCTCTTGCGTGAACTGTGGCTGTCCAAATTAGTAAGAATTTTATGATGTCATTGAGATAACATTTTGAGGTGAATAACATTAAATAGGGGCTGCCAATTCTAAATAAAGTTTGAACATGAAAATTTCAACAATTGTAAGATTATCTAAAATTAAATAACGTTACTAAACTTTTTCGATACATAAATCTGATCTCTCTTCTGTGAGCTCAAAAGATCTTGCTTCAATTGAGAAAAACCACTCTCTTTCTAATAATATAAATTGTAATCTGAATTTATTGTTTTAGTTAATTAGACTTGATTTATTTTTATCAAAAAATAGAACATAAAAATTCAATTTTAATTATTTGGCTCAAAAGATACTTTCACCCAGTTCATCAAATTGGCACACCCCACAGAACCGTCATTCTGCTGAAAACGATGATTGAATCTTATCAAAATACTCTGACTAAATTTGGACAGCCACAGTTCACGCAAGAGCCACAATTCATGCAGAGCCACAACTCACGCATTTCGCAAAATAGCCACAATTCATGTGTCCCCATTTCTTTCATTTCATTTTATTGATGTGCTAGAATTTCATTTTCCACAGCATGCGCATTTTCCCAGTCTCTCAAAATACTGTGAGCAGCTTGTTCGACGTAGCCAATGTGAGTGATGAAGCGAAATCAATTTAAGAAAAGAAGAACGATTTGAAAACGGTTTTTTCAAATCACGATGAGGGTAAAAATTGGTGTTTTCTGATTTGATGAATCAGAAAACAGAACTCATCTTAAATTGATTTCCTAAAATATACACCACCAGTCCAATGTAGAGCGACAAAACGAAAACTAGAATGAATTTTTCCCTCAATCTTATTTTTTCTTACATTTTGAAGAAGAAATATTAACGCCAGGCCAGTCACCAGAGAATATTTTATCATCGTACCAGTACAATTCCTTGACGATCTGTATCATTTCCTTTTTTACTTTCAACGAAACAACCATCATTGAAACAAAACAGCAGCTTTGGAGGATGAAATAAACAAGAATTGGCCACGTGATCCAAAGTTTTTTCTGCGTCTCAAAGTGAAGGAAGATTTTCAGTTGATAAACGAGTCCAAAAGTCATTGAAAGAAAACCTTAAAATTGTTGTTTTGGCAGGTAGAATCTGGGCTCGGCATCCTGTGTAGAAAGCCTGAGTCATGTTCTGAAGAGCTAAAATGGAAAGCCGCGTAGCGGCTTTTTTAAATACGATCGCCAGTATTTGTAAATAAGTTATAGTGATTGAATTGCAAAGCCGCTCCGCGGCTTCGCTTTTAAAAAAGCCGCTACGCGGCTTTCCATTTTAGCTCTTCAGAACATGACTCAGGCTTTCTACACAGGATGCCGAGCGAAGGCTAGAATTCCTTTTACCGAGTGATGTTAAAATGAAAAACTGCAGAATGTACTGTTTTCTTCCTGTTTTCATCGCCGAAACAGAGCTCATCGAGCCGAAAACAGTGCAAACAGGGGCCCACATTGTCACGGAGAAAAACGGAAGCCAGGGCGCATGTACTCCGACAATCGTTACTGCGAACAAGAGAGATGTGAGAACGGCCAAGGAGATGATGGTGTAGTAGTACTTCTGTATATTGCCCTGGTGGCTCTTTGGAAAACCTTCGCGGGGTAAAAACTCGTCTTGACAAAGGTTTTGACAAACCATAAATTTGATAAAAATTGTAAAAATGAGTATTTTTTTAACCTCGGTGCCGTGATTCTCATAATAAAACATAAACAGAACGCCATTTACTAGGTTCAGATTAAAAGTGAACAAAGAGATAATTTTGTCTTCCAAAAAATCCCTCAAATAGACGCCAAATAAACCTTTTTCCTGTTGAAGAAGATCTCTCAAAATAGTCCATTTTTCTCAAAACACTTGATTTTCTCTTTTTCAATTACTCGTTTCTTTTTTTTTAATCTTGATAATTTCTTATTCAACAAGTCCTGCTTTTGCGCATCACGAAATCGCGACAAAACAGGAACGCAAAGTGATTGATCAAAAATTCAGCAAAAGAAAAGGGCTTTAGAAAAAGAGATGCCTGAGTGATAGAGCTCTGCAGTGCTCGTTCAGAGTCTCGTTATCGTCGACTTTGAAGCAGATCAAGCACATCGTCTCTTTTTCGCTCTCTAATTAGTACTCTTAGGTAGCTAATTATCCTCTGAAAAGGAGAAGAGGTTGATTGGAAAACGGGAAATGCTCAGAAAAGGGAGGAGATGAAAATTGAATGAGACTCAGGCAATCATGTATTAAAAAACTTGTATCTGAGTACGAAAAACACGACTTTGACTGTTCTCGGCAAAGCGCCTTCGCAAATGACATTCAAAATTGATATAAAAATTTTGAACCCTGACTCAGATCCTGACTCAGGGTCCTTGGAGATCTTTGAAAGATTCAAAAGCTTCAATATCCGTTTTATTATGAAAAAGGATTTTTATTGCGACGAACAAACCGGGCTTGATGATTTGGTCGAATTAGGAAAGTCCGCATAAGGCGATGTCAAATTAATTATCGATTATTACGTATTCACGAAAAGGGGGCAACGTTCTTAGGGGCCGTTCCTAGGGCCGCTCTGACGGGCGTATCAAGCAGTACTTAATTCGCGTCATTGTCATCAACAAATTATTTTCTAGAACAAATAGAAAAAACACCTGACAAAAACACTGAGAAATATCGCAGATTTCATTTTTCCAAGAAACTCAAATTTAAAATGACGGCCAATTTTGCTGACAAACGAAAAGATGTCGAGTCAATCGACAATAAAGACTCCGATCAATTTCAAGGTAAGCTTCTTGACTCAAAAATAGTCGCCCCAAAAACTTTCAGATTTTCTTGATAACTCGCAATACAAACTCAATGGAATTCTACGATACGAAAAGATCTTCGGCAGAGGCTTCATCTCTACAGGAGGAAAGACGACTACAGAAAAGATCGTCGGAAATGTGAGTCATCATACCTCTTCCCGTGAAAAACCGGTAAATTTTAGATGAACCTGAAAAAGGGTGAAAAAGTCCTGTCCGTTGGCTGCGGAATCGGCGGCGGAGAAATTCTCATGGTCCAAAATTACGGCGTCAAAGTTCATGCAATCGATCTCTCACACAATATGCTCTCCGTCGGACGGTAAGAGGGCACCCCTCTTCTTTTCGCAATATTTTTTTGATTAGGCAACGGGCGGCGGAAAACAATATTTCCGACGAAATAACTTTCGAACATGCAAATGCGCTCATCCGAGATTTTGAAGAAGGAGAGTTTGATGTCATCTACTCGAGGGATTGCATCATTCATATTCGAGAGAAGGCCGATCTCTTTGCCAGATTCTACAAATGGCTCAAACCAGGAGGAAGACTAGTCATCTCAGGTTAGTCGTTCTCCTCTTTCACGTGATAAAAGAAAGCCTCTAGATTATATTTGCTGCCCAGACGAAGAGAAAACCGAAGAGTTCTGGACCTACCTCGCCGATCGTAAATACGACCTCCGCCCAATGAACGAATACGCTGATTTTCTCAAGGGCGCTGGTTTTGACGTAAAAGCTACGAATATGTCAGAATGGTTCATTGAAATTTTGGAGATGGAACTCGCCCGTCTCGAGGTACAATAAAAATCTAAGCGACATATTTTTCATCGTTTTCCCAGGAAATCAAGGAGGACTACCTGAAAGCCCACAGCCAAAAAGACTACACTGACATTCGCGAAGGCTGGGAAATCAAGCTCGTTCGATGCAAAGATGGCACCCAACAATGGGCTCTTTTCGAATGCACCAAGTAGAATCGTCTCTTTTTATCTCTGTAAATTTTTTCATTAATTCTTAGTACCTCTGGATGCTTAGCATGCAGCTGATTGAGGGACAATCTTGGCGGTATCCAGGGGCTAGGAATTTTTTTTCTGACAGTCTTTTTTGCTCTAGAATAAACTTGTATCCTTAATTCTCGTATTCTTTGGTGTTGATGATTTCTCTTCACCAAAGCGAAAAACATCGGAAAAATAAACCCTACACAGATGGAAGCTAGCCATTTCGTTCAACATTTCGATAATTCCAAAAACAGCCAAGCTGCATCCATTATCGATAGCTTTACGGCTTTCAACCACCGATTTATCGACTCAAAAACGCTTCACGTTGAAGAAATCTTGCAGAAAACGTGAAAACATAATTGACAATCTCTGGACAGCGATAAGAACTTGTATCGCATTTGGTCCAGCTGTTTTTGGCCCTGTTAAGACGCATAAAAAGGGACTTCCAAAAGCTGAGAACCATCGGTCGACAGAAAAAAGAAACCTAAATTATTGGAAAATGAAGCTTTTTTGTATTTTTGCAGGCAGCGTTTTGGCCAAAAACGCGGAAAAAGTGGCTGCTGAAGAGGAAGCGCTCCAAATGATGGTCGACAACCTCCTCAATCTCGCCGAAAACGGCACAATTTCGAATTCGTACGCTGACAATGCGATACTTGCGATGACGGCGGAATCCACCGATGGATTTAGGATTCAATCGGGGAGAATTTCTTTCTCGAGTCTTTCCTTTGCAATTGCAGAGGTGAAGAGGGTCAATTTGGAGGCGATGATTTCCGTCATGGTCGGAAAGGAAAATATGCCCGCGACAGATTTTTGGACTCCGGAAGATCGTGATACTGCTCAGGTGGAATGAAATTTGAATAAAAAAAGAGAACAAAATTTTTTTCGGACGCCCTGAGAAAGTCGCCGAATGTCGCGGAATGTCATTAAATGTCGCCGAATGTCGCTGAATAACGCTGAATGTCGCAAAATTACGCTGAATGTCGCTAAATGTCCCGAAATGTCGCCTAATGTCGACATTTTTTTACTTAATATGATGTGACATTGGACGACATTCAGCGCTATTCTGCGACATTCGGCGACATTTTGAGACATTCAAGGAAATTTGGCGACATTCGGCGACTTTCACTGTGTCGCCAATTTTTTCGAAAAATTTTCCCATTGACAAAATCTTAAAATTGTATATCAGGTCACAAACAGCTTCCAAAAATACGGCTGCTACTGTACTCCACACAAAGACGCAGTCCAAAATTACCTCTGGGTCTGAAAAGGCGATCCTGTTGATGAAATCGATGCTCTTTGCAAAAATCTGTGGGATGCATACAAATGCCTTCCGATCGACGATGAAGAATGTGCGTCAACAGCTTCGTACAAGTGGAAAGTCGGGGCAAAAGGTGGGGAGCTAAAATGTTTAGATAGAGAAGGAACTTGCGCGAGAGCGGTTTGCGAGACCGACAGGGATTTTGCCACGGAATTGGCGGAAGTTGCACATATCTGGGATGCGAAATATCACATGGACAGCGGATTCGACAGGGAAGCTCAATGCACGGGCGAATCTGAAAGCTTCCAGAAAATGAAACCTACATCTTCACCAAAGCAAATCGGGGAAGAAAGCTCCTCAGATACCAGCGTTGGTGATTCGGTGAAATGCTGTGGCACCGGGACTTTCCGCCACTCTTTCAAAAGTAATAAAAGTCTTGATTTTTTGAGTTTATTTTCATGAAGCAAATCGACTTCAATGCTGCTCGGATGGAACAACGAAGGCTTTTGGTGCTTGTGGAATCTAAATTTTCGTATTTTCTGTAAAATAATGTAAATAAATTTGAAATTTATAGCCTACGCGGTTTTTCTTCTAAGATTTTTTGAAATTTAAGCTTGAGAAATACAGTATTAAAAATTTATTTATGCAGCACTAGAAGGTATTTAATTTTTGAACGGGTGCCGTGTTCAGAATGCCAAATCTATTTACAGAGGCATAAAAATCACTTCATCCAAGGAGAATATTTCCAAAAGAGATATTTTCTCGACTCAGGGCGCAATCAAATCAAGATTATCCTCAATTTGCTTTCGGGGATCTCTGGTTGAAACCTTAAATTAGATCATCTCAGAGTTCAGCCCCAGCAACACCGCTAAAAGGCAAATTCGCGAAAAACACGAAAAAATGACGAAAACGAAAAAAGAAAAGCGATTCATTAAGATTTTTGACATTTGCGAAAATCGAGAAATCAAGATAAATGAGAGGAATTTTATGCTCGTCAATGAAAAGTTGGTGAAGCTGTTTGCAAGTGTCCTGATTGGGTTTTTGATCCTAGTGGGGATTTATCTTCATTTGAGGAAGGTTTTCTATGCGATTGAGGAGTTTTTAAATGTAAGTATGAGAAACCATAAAACCATTTTCTCGAATATTTTTAAGACATTTTCTTTTCACGGAAAAATTCGGTAGATTATTTTTATGAACTTCTGCAATGTGCCTTTTCACTTTAGTAATAAAAGACTTCTGAATTCTTTAATGTTCAAATTTAGATATTTACGAGTTTGACAAAGCCTTTCTTCCCTGAAATCGACGTCCTTTCAATCGGACTCCTCGTGTATACCTTCTTCAAAATCGCGGCTACCTCATCAACATGGTCCCCAAAACCTCGGTGGGAAAAAGGAAGACTTCCTTCTGTCGACTGTTCTCGATACATGCCATCGACAAAATAAACAAACGTCAACTCTTTCAAAAAGGGATCAAAAAGCTTTTTATTCAAGCAACGTTGGTTCAGTGGTAGAATTCTCGCCTGCCACGCGGGAGGCCCGGGTTCGATTCCCGGACGTTGCAAGTTTTTCCCATCGCTCATATCAGCTATCAAAGTTTTTATTTGAGAAAGATCAATGAGAATCATAAAAGAGATGATCGTCTTCATCGTCGTCATCTTTTTGAGATCGATCGTCTTCTGAAGAGGAAGATGACGAGTCTTGAAACGCCAAGAGGTCAAGATCTTAAAAATAATTGGTTGTAAGTCATCATATGCTTTTACCAAAGTCGAATTCAAGACTTGCATCATCGTCGAGATCATTTTGGCCAATAAAATTGACTCCAAGGTTTGCCGCGTCGTCTTCTTTTCGCTCTTCAGCCTTGTCATACAGTTCGTCGGCATAGATGGAGCCGTTGATGGAGATGCCGTCGATAAGAGCTGAAAACGCGAAATTAACCCGCCTCATTATTCAGACTCTACCCATGGCCATCATCTCCTCTGCTTCGACTTGATCATCGTCGTCGGTTCCAGCTCCATCATCGCCTTCTTCGGCGTCATCGAGCTGATCCCTGTACTGAAGAACTAGAAAGATTTTTTTACAAAAAATTAATTAGGGAAACCATAAGTCTTTTTATTCGGGAGAGACACTTATATTTTTATGAAGTCAGATGAATGACCTTGTTATTTAAAAGAAAAATAAATTACACTGTCAAAGGTTCGATGATTTCGATAAATCTCTTCTGAAACTTACAGTCTTCTTCTTCCTCAATCGACCCTCCATCATCCTCTTCTTCCGAAGACGACCCATCATCATCCAATTCATCCTCGACTCCCCTCCTGAGCAAATGGAGATTCCCTGTGCAAAGGGTTGTCAATCCTAATTTCACAATTCTCACTGAGTTTTTCAGTGACAGTTTTCGCCCCATCGTCTCTTTTTTTCTCTAAGCGGTGTCTTTTAAAAAGTGATTTTGACGCTCAGTAATTGGAATAACTGAAAAACAGGCATTCCATCTGTTCGAGTCGGAAAATGAACATTAAACACATCGAGGCGGTTAATACAGTATTACATCATTAGTAATGATTCATTACTTAGCGAAATCGTTTTATCCCGCTTATTCCTGACATGATTCTCGCCTTTTTGCTTTGACCTACCTATCTCTTGGCTCACCCCGTCCTAAGTTAGCCACCTGGCAGGCCGGCCCGAGAATCAGTGTAGACATAGCAACGCCAAAGAAGTTTTTATGGTACTTTTTCGGCCTCGCAGCGGGAAAACAACACCACCAAACAGTGCAGATTTTCGAGCCGTAGAGTTTCTTTTTCAATGATTTTTTCTTCTCATAGTCTTGAACGAAGGGTTTTCTGCAGAACTGGGCTCGAAAACCTGAGTAAAAAACCTGTGTCAGGGCTCAAAAGGGCATCTTTCAAATCCTGACTCAGTTTTTTTCACAGGTTTCCAAGCCGAGCTGTAGAAAAAGTCAGGTTTTGTTGGAAGATGCCACTAGAAAAGGTCAATTAAAAGTACATGACGTAGATTCTAGATATTTTACACCAAGAACTTACCTTTCTTGAAAATTCTTCTCTTACAATTTGCTCCGATAAACTTGAATTCGGCATTGAAATATGTCAGAATAAACAAAAATATACAAAAGTAGAGCAATTTAAATCGAACAAGATTTGGGATGTAAAGCGGGCTAATCCCTCTTCAAATAATTCTTCCCGTAGTTTTTCTGATTAAAATCTTTCTCTACCTGTATAATAACAAGTAAAACTCTTCAGCGAAAACTTTCTTATTTTTCCGCTGAAATTTGTCTTTCACAAATTCAAAAAGCATTAAAAATTAGATCTTCTCTAAACTTGACTGTCTATCAAAATGAACTTACAGGTGGCCTAAACTGTACAAATCAATATGGAAATAAGCAAATTTTGCTTTTTAATTACCTCATTAGTAATGTACGACAATTTTTAAGAAGATTTTTATAAGACTGTTTTGACAAGTATCTTTTTAAGAATAAGATTATTTGATAATTTATTTATTAATTAATTAATTTTAATAGATTTTTTAATTGAATTCCGAAGAGCTCGATCAATCAGCAATAATCTGAAATTAAATTATTGAGAATCGAGAAAGAGAATCATAACCGTAGTTTTGATCAGAAACTCTAATGCACCATCAGATCAAAAATTAACGAAAACCACGATAGACGACAGGTAGCGTTCAAAAAGGAAACATCTTGAAAAAGGCAAAGAGACCCAAAATGAATGTAGCAATGCTTGTTTTTCTTTTTGCTTCAGCTTTTTCGAGGAAAATTTGTTCGATTTCCAAAGAAGAAAGAATTTTCTGCGATACCTTGTCGGCTGAAGTTCTAGCGGAAAACTGTGATTGGTAGGAAAAAAAGTTGTTTGGAATATTTTTTAAAATTATATTTTTCTAGTGCACTGATTGCTGGTTTTGCGCAAAATGAAGATGCATTGTACGATTCTTATATTTTCAATCAGTAACTGAAAAAATAAACGATCGCCGCATAAATGTCTCTTTTATACAAAAAACGCTTTAGGCAGAATTTGAATTTTGAATGTTTTGGATGTAATGTTTATGTTCCTAACATCGTCGCTGAGTAATTTTATTGTAGTTGGAAATATTCTGACCGGTGCATTGCTTGCCCCCGTTCCAAAAAATAGTTTTTCAATAATTTCCGTTGAACAATTTTTTTTCATGAGAAAATTTTCGTAAAAAGAAAAGAAAAATGTCGCCTGAATTTCTTAAGAAAAATTTGGGAAAGGCAGCTTTTGCGATTATTTTTTTCTGGTTTTTCGTCAATGTTAGAAACGGCGGCTTTCTTATCGAAGAAAATGAAAAGCAAAAAGAGAAAATGTCAGAAAAGCGCCCTGCTTCTCCCGAATTCGTAGAAGAAGACCCTCCAGAATATGACGTTGACGTAGGGTTAATGCATTCCGCTCAGAAAAGACACCATAACGGCCGAATACGCGAGCGGGAAAATGAAATTCCTGATTATCTCATTCCTCCGCCTCCTCCACCACCCCACATTCCGATTGTTTTTGCTCCCCTGAAACTTGCGCCTATTGGTGCCCCGATTTCAAATGCAAAGATTCAAGCGGCTCCAATAAATGTTAAAAAGGAGGAGAAAACGAAGTCAGAAGCATATGAGGAGGAAGAGGAGGATCTTATTGAGGTAGAAGATGAGGAGAACGATGAAGATAAAAAAGAAAAGGTCGAAGAAAAGAGAGATCCTTTCACTCACTGCAAACCTGGCCAAAAATACTCAGACATCGAACCCTTTATTAACAAACACTGGATGCTCAACCTCTCACGTGACAAATACACAGCCAGGGAGATGCATGAACTTTTGATTCACAGACTAACTGATGAAGAAAAAGAAGACTGGATCTGCAAAATCTTCGGGACTCGCCTGGAAGAACAGGAAAACAAGGAAGAGGAAGTGAAGATTTCGTTTTATTACAAGGGGCGGTATTTTGATAAATATTTGGAAGACCCGACATTTGAGCCGGATTTTCACAGAAATGGCGTGACGGGTTTTGGGTACAAAATGTGCGGCAACTGCAAATTCACGACGAACGATGACGAAGCTGATGCTCTTATCATCGACAACGGACCTTTGCTCCAGTACCAGAGAAAAGTCAATGAGTCATTGGAAGACGGAGATACAGAATTTAAACACTTGGATCGAACATATGAGCCGCCAAGCTTGGAAAACCGAAATTTGTCACAGTACTGGATTTTTGTCAATTATGAGAGTGGAGCGAAAAATGTCGAGACTCAATCTTGGTTGATGCCGAAAGAGTTGGATTCAGCGTTTAATATCACTTATTCTTATAGAAGAGACAGTGATATTGTAAGGAACGGTTTTTCAAATGAGGAAGATTTTTGGATTTTCATGAAAACTCATGATTTTTGGATTTTCATGAAAACTCATGATTTTTGGATTTTCATGAAAACTCATGATTTTCGAATTTTCATGAAAACTCATGATTTTCGAATTTTATCAATAAAACCGTCAAAAGAGGCTATAATTCAGCGCAAAATATCCTCCGAGATTTTTACTTTGATTGGAATACCGGAGAATCAATGAATATTTCCGATATCGAGCTCCTTTCAAAATTACTCCTGAACAAGAGCGAGCTGAAAAAGAAGCAAGACACTTCCAAACTTCATACTGCCTGGATGGTTTCGAATTGCAATAACACTCTTGGCGCCATAAGAAGATGGCGATACGGGGAAAAGATGATGGCGGCCGGATTGAAGGAGCATATTCGTGGAGAAGGGGCCTGTTTTGACAAGGAAGGGTTTCATTTGAGCGAGCTGTGGATCTTTGATGGTCTCTAGAAATCCATGAAATAGATAACTGAAAGGGAGTTTCGAGATTTGAGAAGCTTTCATGATGTTGCTCATGAAGCGAATATGATGACAAAGATGCGATTCTACTTGGCATTCGAAAACGCGTTTCATTGCACCGACTACATTTCTGAAAAATTTTGGCGAAATGCTCTCAGAGCAACTCTTGTACCAGGAACGAGGCTTTCAAAAGAATAGAACAACACTCCATTTCATTTGAAAAGCTCGATTGAGTCGTTTACGGGCCACATTATCTTGATGTCGCAAAAGTCGCTCCGCCGAATTCTTTTATTCATGCGGAGCAATTCGCGTCGGCAGAAGATTTGGTTTACTACATGGACTATCTTTGGAAGAATGATACCGCGTATCTCGATTATCATAGATGGAGACTTCTCAAGCCGGAGAACACTACTCCAAGAGGAGACTCGTATCGGTCAATAGGTAAATACCTACACAATTGTTAAGAATTCTTATTTGCAGTTAATGATGCCTCAGGATTCAAATGAAAGCCGTATTTTTTCAATTATTTTTTTTCAATCGAAATCATATCAATTTAAAAAAGGACCATATTCTTCAGTTGAAAAAACGACTTATGGTTTTTCCAATTTTTAGGCCGAGATATGTACGATTTTTGCCGAATCTGCCGACTGGTCCGCGAGAAGCGCTCTCAAAAAGTCGCCCGTTGGTATCGAAGCGTGATGAAATTTTGGCGATACGATGTTCACGATCAATGCAAAGTCCGCGCATCTTTTCCTCGAAGAATTCAAAACATAGAACACAATCTTGTAGAAGTACCTCTCAAATAGTAGCTCCTGATGTAAAAAACGATTTTGCACCCATTTATCTTCAAATAAATTTAACAAAACAACATTCAATTTTGCATGTACGGATATTTTTGTATTGCAGAAAATCATTTATGCATTTGGATCATTAGGAGTCTTCCAAAAAGTCTTCGCCTCGGCGAGGCAGAGAATGTGGTGATCTGGGTAATTCGCATTTTCCAGGGGCAGGAGAGCATTCGCGGCTGTAAGAAGACACCAGTCCCGGCCCTTTGCGTCGATCCACTGCACATCCTGAATGCCTAAAGAACGAGTCATTTATCCTGACAAAAATGAATGCCTTTACCGGTCAAAGTGATCTGGACATCATCAGATCCCATATTTTTCGTCGCCACTCCATTTTTGAACTTCCAGGGCGTGTCCTTATCCACCAGCTGCGTCGTTTCGAATTCGAACCCGACGCTGGTGTATTTTCCTGAATCGCGAATGTAGACGTCGCCCATTCGGTAGACATCTGTTGTATCAGACAAGTGAACTCCAATTTGGCCGTTTCTGAGCTTCCGGATGAAGTCTATTCCGCAGACATCTTTTGTCCAGAAAGCGAAGCCCTTGTAAAGCTCAGTTCGAGGATTGACGAACTGGTTCTTAGCTCGGAACTTGACGACGAGAGTGACGGAGTTTTCAGATTTGAACAGGTATTTTGTATTCGAGCGCTTGAAAGATGATCATATGAGGATTTAAACCTGACTTACTCCTTTCCACTCGGCTCTTTTCAGGTTATCAGGGCATTCAACATCCAACGGAAAGCATTTCCAGCCATTTTCATTTTTCAGATTCGTGCAGCCTTCATAGGAATGGCAGTTGTGCTCGCCAGATGCACATTCATCCTTGTCAACGCAAACACCATCCTCGCATATGAAACCTAAAGAACGCGATTTTCAATCCTGACTGTTTTCATCAGATCGTTTGCACATTTCCCTTTGCTAAGAAATTGGCAGAATCAGCCTGTTTTCAAAAGGGTCTACCTGGTCCGCATTCAGGCTCGCAGACTGTTGGGCATGGTTCGGTTGTTATTGTTGTAGTTGATGTTGTGGTTGTCGTGGAAGTAGTCGTGGTAGTAGTCGTTGTTGTGCTTGTTGTCGTGGTTGTCGTTGTGGTTGTTGTTGTAGTTGTTGTTGTTGTGGCTGTTGTGGTTGAAGTTGTTGTAGTAGATGTTGTAGTTGTTCCAACAGTCTCTAATCTACAAGAAAAGTCCATTGCTGCGGGTGTTTCGAGAACACGATCACATTCGATATCATAAAACTCTCGACGGTAGGACCAACCAGTAAGCACACATTTTTGATTAACGTCATTTGGCTGTTCTGGTGCCCACCAATTCAGAAATGTTGCATCGGTGCCATCAGCATTCAACCAGAATTCATTGCTGTCATCATCTCGCTGCTCATAGCCGAGCCATTCTCGTCGATGCGGAATGGTTTTATCGTAAAGATCCCATTCGGCCTCGTTTCGGAAGAATGAAGGATAGCCGACTGTTCCTGGGTAGTTCTTGGCGAGATCAGCGCATCTTTCTTTTGCTGTCGTGTAGTTGAGATGTGGCTCGTTCATTTCTTCGAACCAGACTGTTCCAGTGGAGGTGATCGTTGTCGTCGTTGTCGTCGTTGTGGTTGTTGTAGATGTTGTCGTGGTCAGTGTTGATGATTCGAAGCGGCAAGAATGGCGAGTTCCGCCGTAATTGCAAGCAATATCCACCCAAGTTCGATATCCCGCGTAACCCACCATGACACACGGTTGATCATTGGCATTTGGCTGCCCGGATAGCCAAATGGTAAAGGTGACTTCTGATCCGTCTGCATTAAGCCACATTGTATAGTTTTCTTGTTGTTCGTATCCGAGCCAGTCTTTTTGAGCAGGAATCTGACGGTTGTACAAGTCCCATTCTTTTTGATTTCTGAAAAAGGATGGATATCCAACAGTATTTTCGTAGTCAAGAGCTTTTTCAGCGCAATTTATCTTTGCCTGCTCGTAGGTGACAGAACCGTCTCCTTGATCCTCGAACCAAACAGTGCCCTCGGAAGTTGGATCAGTGGTAGTTGTGGTCGTTGTTGTTGTTGTGGTTGTTGTGGTCGTTGTTGTTGATGTGGTGCTGGTAAATGTAAACGGAGTCGTTGTCAGTGATGTTGATTCGAATCTGCATGAGAAGCCCTCTGTCCAGGAGCATGGAACATCATGCCATTTATGATCTCCACCGTAGCCAGAAATAACACATGGTTGATCATCATTATTTGGCTGTGCCGTCGAGTGCCAAAGGTCCCAAAGCTCAAATGTTACTTCTGAACCATCAGCAGCTAGCCATTGAGTAGTGTCCCCATTTTGCTGCTCATAACCGAGCCATTCTCGATACTCGTTTTGGCGGAAATTCGTGCTGTGGCGGTAAACTTTCCATTCTTTTTCATTTCTGAAGAAAGCGGGGAAGCCAACGGTATCTTGATAATCAAGAGCGAGTCTGGAGCAATTTTCTTTCGCCTGAGCGTAGGTGATTTGGTCGTCGAATGGACCGTCGTATGGGACGAACCAAACAGTCCCTTCTGAGCTTACTGTAGTTGTTGTTGTCACTGATACTGTTGGGCGAGGAATGCAAGAGAAAGTCGTTTCGTCGTCGTTGATGCAAAGCTCTTCGTCAGAGCAGTTATGAGAGATGCAAGGCTGGAGCCGCTGAATCGTGCCGCTGTGTGGACAAGTTAGGTCCAACTGATATCCTCCCCAGATGAAATCTTCGTCCAGTTCCCCATTGTCTCCGACGCATGGATGTTCACTTGTGCCTGTATTACTCCAAGAGTATTTTCCGTCCCCTGTTTCGCTCGAAAATGCCGTCCATCCGCGAGAAGTGAACTCAAGTCGCTTTGCATCTGTATCTTCGCACCAGTACACATCCCGTCCATTCGCAATCGTTCCATTGGAAGTGCAGATTCCGTCGCCCCAGCCCATCCTAAGTTGTTTGCAACAGCCAAGCTCGGTTCTTCCTTCTGGGTAATCACAGACGGCTAAACTTCCATCTTCATCGGACCCGTCGTAGCAATCGACGACGTTGTTGCAAAGACGATGGTGGAAAATCGGACGGATGAAGCCAATTTCATCGGGAGAAAGACATTGGCTCGTAGGCGGCATTGGGAAATGAGCCACATGTGGGTCTTTGCAGTAGTGCTCGTTCAGCTGCAAAGCATCGGTAGTACTGAGCATGACAGATGATTTGTATTTATTGCCGTTTCTCAGATCGTAGCCGGTCGGCATGACTCCAGAATATGGCTCAAATGGAAAACCGACGTCGATCCACTTGTCTTTCGTCATTGGATAGTACCAGTCGGTATTGTTCACGACGTACTTCCATACATCTGGTCGCTCTTGTTCATGGAGGAAACCAAGAGCGTGGAGGGTTTCGTGGTGGACTCCGCCAAGACCGGTGCACCAATTCGGAAGACGCATCGGTTGCCAACCGTCTTTCAACCCTTGCTGGTGGTATTTCGTCCACCCACAGTTCGGGCATTGTCCGACGTACGACCAGCATCCCTCATGAGTTCCTTCATCATCTGATCCGAAAATATGGATACCGTGAAACCAGTGAAAATCTGGATCGTGACGAAACTCCATGCAGCCAATAGCGTAGGTGAACTCTTCTAGAGATTTATGAATCCCAGCGTGGTAAATTTCCGGAACTGTATGATCGATCGCGTATGGAATGAGAATTTGCCCGTCTTCACCGATTTGGTCCCATTTTTTCGAATACATGTAGCTTGGAATCGCTCTTCCTTCGAAACCAGGCGCTTTTTTCGGCGCATCGTGGTCGATTCGCATGTATTCCTCTTTCATGCCGAAATTTTCGACGAGAGCGGGAACTTGCCATGGAGCGAAGATGAGATCTTCATAGGGGTTTTGATTCCCACGAGCGTCGGCGATTCTCTTTCGCTCTTCGCCATCATCTTCGGCGAGAAAAACTTGATCCGGGTGGGTACTCTGCCATTTGGTTAGCTTGGACGCGGCCTGATACATGAATCATGAGTTATCATGATTAATAAAAGATGATTTATAATTGATATGTTTGCAGATAAAGAAATAAATAATACCCGATTTGATATCTCTATAAAATATATTTTTCTCTTACAATTCCAAGGAATGCCGCCGAGAACTTCATTTCGAAGACTGAAGCGTCAAGAAATTCTAGAGCTTTCCTGGGCGCTTATGTCCTGTGGCGCCCCTGGTGCAGTCTGAAAATTATCTTCGCGTATCATTTGCGTGGAGTATTTTCTCGGCTAATACGCTATCTTATGCTCAGAAAAACCGAGATGCGGGTTTGAAAAATAATGACGCGATAAAAGGTTTGATCGGAACGGGATTTTCTCTAGCAAAGAATACGTTTCTGAAGGTTTTTTTTCAGAGAAAATCTGATGCTGATCGCCTTAAAAGATTGAAATCCTAATCAAATTTCCGAGTCTGTAATTCAAGACGAAGTTACAGCTCGTAGAAAATCAAATTGTAAAAATCCTGGGTTATTTTCTTTCGCCTGAATCAACCCTTTTTTAACTCGCATTTTCAACCATAATAACTTACCACGAAGCGCGTAAACTAAGCGATAAGTGACGGTAATCCAAGTTTATATATTGAAAGAACCCTCTAAAATTCCAAAATTCTAAAACAATCAGACTACCAGTAGCTCTAAAATGAAATCAGAAATTTGCGATTTCTTTTTCTGAGAAAAATATGCCACTTGAGATAAGCATGGTCGTCCCTTATTTTTACAAGCAAATTATCCTCTGAGTGCGATCATAAACAATTTTTTAATGAAAATTTGGAGCGCTTTTTCCATTTTTCTCGCGGCCGAGGCCGGAAAAAAGAAAAAGAACAAAGATAGACCAACCGATTTTGAGCTGGATGAAGGACTCACTTGCAAAGAAGACCATTTGAAATTTCTGACCGCGATGAGCCCGAAGGTGCAAATTGTCAGGACAGAGAATGACAAGGACGCGAAGATTTTTCATTTAAAATGCGACGATAGAGGTAAATTAAGGGGGCAAATGAAGGGTTAGCTCATAATTACTTTTTTGGCAAAGAGCTCGAGCCGACGCATAATATGCTTAGATGCACGCCCTACAAGCCGGGAGATGAGTTAACTGGAGAAGGAAATGTTCAGAAAAACCATAATTGTTTTAAGATTTATAATTTTAAATATTTTCACGAAAGTAGATATTTGAAAAAGTACCTTAAAACCTGCTAACTGAACGTAGTACAAATCGAGAATGATAGACGTTTTAACCAACAAAAAAAAAAACATTGAAAAGGGATGAGAGGATTGAAAAAGCTCACAGCAGAACTTTGGATTCCAAAAAAGCGTCAGCTTCTGAAAGAGCGAATAAACGTCATCGACTTTCCTATCACCTGCATTCCAGGTAAGAGCCTCTGCCATCTGGCCCTCTGGTCTTTAATAAAAATATTAAATAATATGAAATTAAAAAGCGGGGACAGGGGCGAGAGCGTCAAGATGCAACAGTAAAGTTTTGAAGAAGGAGCTTGAGAAGCAAATAACTGGCGCCAAGTCTTCTGTAAGTCACTTTTTCTAGAAAAATATTTAGAAACCAGAATAATGTTTTTTAAAATTTCTGTTTGATTTTCTAACAATAATCAAAAAGTGAACTACTTGTTATTGTTATAGTATGTGTTGATGATAAACCCAGACGTAAATTGTATTTCTTAGCATTATGACATCACAGTCGAAAATGACCGAGCCCTGGTCATCTGTAAGACCGAAGAATCTCGCCACAAGAAAGACAAGAAGGAGAAGAAAAAGAAGAAAAATAAAAACAAGACAACTAAAAACCCCAACGCCGGGCTCCCTTTGCTCGTAACATGCGATGGAATTCCAACCTGGAAGGACGGGGACGTCTTTTGGTGGCGACCGACTTATGATTCTGCGCAAAAAGAAATCTCCAATTTTGCTTGCTAATAAAATTTGCAAATCAGCAAAAATGAAGTACCGCATCGTTTTATTTTCATTTTCTGAGAGCAGGAAGTCTTGATTAGCGTCAATAAGTAACTCATAATTTTTCGAAAGAAAGAGATGTTCGGAATCATGAAAAAGATCAAGAAACTCTTCACAAGAAAAAACGACGAAACAGATGCCGTTCAATTCGACGATAGTACGCAAATAAAATACATTGAAAACTGCCTTGAAAACAAAGGCAACCATCATAAGTCATGACTACCGGAATGGTAGCAAAAGCTGTTTCTTCTGTTGCTGCCAAAATTGAGCTCTTTATCTTTCAAAAATAAAAAGAAGGCGAATAAAAGGGTTGATCCTTTCTTTCCCTATTTTTCTCTGAAAGAACTTTTATTTACCAGGAACTCGTGCTGTTTACGCCAAATATTTGGCGTCTTTTTTCATCACGAAAGAAAAATTTCATCATTTTTTCACCAAAAATGGACGAATTTTCGCAATACAGAGAAAATATCATCGCCGAATCTCGTCGAAAAAGAGGCTCGATAAAGAAAGCGTCAAAGACTGAACTGGAAAAGCTTTCGAAGGAAAATTTGCTGATGGCGTTCAATAAGCTTTTTGACAGTCTTATGGACAAAAGTGAAGAATTGAATGAGCTGCTGATTTTCAAGGATGAGCTGAAAAGGGTCAAAAAGTGCTTGGAAGACCGAAAAGAAGAACTCGAAAATGAAAAGAAAAAGAAGGAAACGGAAAAACTTCCATGGGGCCAGTGCTCTCTTGATAACCTGTGAAAAAAAATAAAGAATAAAAAAATTTTTTTTTTGATGAAAGAAAATGGTTTTTGAACTTGTCAATCCAAAATCCCTGGAAAATAAAAACCTGCTGAATAAGTGGCAAAAGCCCATCTAAAAGCGTAGAACTCCGCTCACCTTCTGAGTAACCGTCAAAGTACCTGTCAGTTCCAAATGAATTTTTGCATTTCGACAAACATAAAGGTTGTCCGCTAGCGGATATTTTGCGCAATCGAAGATAATTCGACTTTTCGCCAGAGTTTTTTTTGATACCGTGATATGAAGATTTCAGCGGGTCTTTTGGCTTCGGCCATGGCCGGATGGAGCGACAATTTTAATCGACTTCCTGAAGCCACTCAATTTCAACAGGTGAGAAAAATGACAAATTCTTTGTTTTTCGTCGAATTTCAAAGTGATACCCTTATTTTTTCCACAAAAAAAGCTTTCAGCCTTTGATTCTCTCAAAATCGGGCGAAATTTGAAATTATTGAGAAAAATTTCATTAAAAAATCGTTTATTTTTGTCAAAAATTTTCAATCTTCTTGTCTAGACTAAGAATCATCCATTTTCTTTAGTTTGAAGCCTGCAAAGAAGCCGTCCACGAAGTCCTCTCCAGCCACGACATCCCCAACGGTGGCTTCAACTGCGACCACCTCTCGTCTCCAGGCGTGCACCACACTATCTCCTGCTTCGCCAGCTGCGATGCCGGCAATTACGAAGCACAATGGCGAACATCGAGATTTTTCGTCCAATGCCGAAGCTCTCCAGTTGTCAAGAAAAAGTTCCGAGGCAGCCAAGAATGCACAGTAGCTCCAGAAGACGAATGCGAGGATTTCTACAACGAAGCTCTTTTCCCAATGGTACTTTTTCTATTCGAAAAACTCGGTTTGATCATAAAATTCTAGGGCAATTTCGTCCTGAAAGGTCACGCTAAACGAGGACGCCACAAACTCGCTCGATTCGAGCTCCGATGCCAGGACTCTGACGACTTTGCCAAGGCCACTTGCATGTCCAATCAGGGCACGCTCAAATCAAAAGAAGATCTCGACACTTTCTGCGTCCCCGAACAACCATACTGCGAACCTCCAGAAGTCATTGAAGGAGACTGGGTTCCGATCAAAATTCGAAAAAATGGAGACAAAGTTTTTGAGGTGAGAAAACCTTCTAAAAAACCCCTTCCTATCTCTATCTCTAGCTCCACTGCCCAAATACCAACTTTGACATGAGAGGCAAAGTCGTCTGCAGCAAATCTACTGGCAACTTCTGGAACAGGCATCATTCTCTAGACGAGTTCCTTACCTTCTGCGTTCCGAATGGCGGCTCCGGCGAAGGTTCAGGCGAAAGCTCTGGCGAAGGCTCTGGATAACATTTTTTACAACCCAACTAACATTCATTTTCTCTTGTAATAAAATAACATTGACTTTTTTCAATTTTATTTGTGTCTTTTACGCAGTAAAGCGGTAGCTAAAGAGCATGACGAAAAGGAAAGCAAAAGAACCGAAAAATAAAACGAAGAAAATCCCTTAAAAAGTAGTGTTAAGCACTTTCTAGACCTCAAATTTACCTCCATATAAGAATTTCTTCGCTAAGGGTATCTCTCCATCTTTCCACCTTCCTCTAGGAATCCTCATTTTTCACGATTTCGGAAGAGTTCTTTTTATTTCGAAAGCTCTATCAATTGAAAAGAATACAAAAATGACACAATCTTTCACTTAGAAACGGATGTACCCTGGCGCGGATTTCTTTCTATCTTTGTATCTTTTCAAATACACGCGAATAAAATCAAGTTTTATCAGCTTTCGCGCAAGCTCTTTGTCAACATTTGGAGTTGATGGGAGCTGATTTACAACGCTGTCGAACATGACAAGGAAAATGCAATATGGACGCCTCGTTTTTTTTTTATTTGGCATTCCATCTTTTCAGAATTTCTTATTCAAAAATGGGTTGTATCTTTATTTGGGTCTTGCAGTATAAATAGAATAAATGAATAATAACTCGTCGATATATACAATAGGCAATCTTGAAAAGAACCCCAAGATTGGGTCCGAAAATGAATCATTATTTTCTGAAGGAAAAGTCCATTTCACCAAGAACATCAGCATCAGCATCATTTTCTCTCATTTGTTTATAACCGAGGAGATCCATGTTCCGGACGCATTTTGATTGGATTTCAGAAATTGAAGAGTAGTCTAAAATTGATCTCCATGCAAGGGCAGTTTTCTTAGAATCGCGACTCGTGTCATATGTGCCTTTTTATTGGTCAAAAATCCCCCAAAGGAAAAATTGAAATCAAGGAAGAGAATCATTTTAACCAATTGCCTGAGTCACTCGTTTTGCTGCTGGTATTTTCTTCGATCCAACTAATAATTTTTGGCGTAATTTCCAACCCGGAAAACTTCAAAATCTCCGCCCCCTTTTTCTTCGGTTCCATCGCTAAATCCTCATATCTGACAACCAGGCTTCTTTCTCTCAACCATTCAGAGCCCTTGATCGTTTCAAGAATCCCATGCGTTCTCAAGCAAACATCATTGACAGCTTTCAGGTTCTTTTCGTCAGCGACAAAAGGGGCGGTATCGAGTTTCTGATAGATTTTCACGCGGCTCTCTAGAATGCCTCGAGGGTCGCGGGCGAGGAAAATGATTTTCAAGTCGAGGTTTGATTCTTCTGCCATTTTTTGTAGAAGCTCAACTTCGACAAAACGAATGGTTTTGACAGCTGAAACGAGTGGTCGACAAACTCTTCATCAAGGATTGAATCAACTCATAAGAATTAAGGGGGTTGCGTCTGGAACCGACAAAAATTAAGACAAATTTTGAGTGGGCGGCTACTCGGCTGCTGATTGGCCGGTTTCCCGAATCAAAGCCTCTGATTGGTTGAAAATTTCCACCCAAAATTTGTCGAAATTATTATGTCGGTTCGAGACGCCTCCCCGAATTAAGCGCTAGAATCTGTTAGAAAAGAGTCTCATCCTTTCCTTGAAGCAAGACTCAAATCAACAAGACCGCATTCTTCATTACACTGATGAAGACTCTTCGAAAAATCCCTTCCACAAAACGGTGGTGCACAAAGTCTTCGATGCTTCGATCGAAATACAAAATCCCCCTTTTTGTCGAGTGACTCTTCCAGCGGCATTTCTTCGCCTTTGAACGACCTCTACGAAAATTTAATTGACGAAAAGGCAAAACTCTTACCCAAGGAATGGTGATATCGTATTGCTCGCGGAAATTGCAGTTCAAGTTGTCGGTCAAAATTTCAAATCTATCTTCTAAGCTGCTTTTTGATAATCCGAATTTAGAGAGAGGATGAAGAGGTTCGAAGACATAGAAGGCATCATCGTGGTTGTTGAACATTTCGCCGAGGAATGTGGACCCGGATCTCATAAATGTAACCATCTAAGTTTCAATTAGAAACTGGTTTTTCGGTTCGAAACTTACTAAAACAGCTTTTCTTCTTTCAGGTTTTTCTTCATTTTCTTCGATTTTGATGCCCTCTTTTTCGACTTCAATAAATTTTTCTTGCTCCAATTCTTCCATTTTCTCTCTTTCTTCTTTGACCTTCTTCTCAATCATTTGATCGACTTCATCAATTGTAAAGAAGCTCAAAACCGTGTCTTCCTCTCTTCTGTAAAAACCACTGTAGAGCATGATCATGCACGTGATCAGAATATTGATCAAAATAATTTGGTAGAAATTGACGCTTGAGCCTTCCATTTTTTCTTTTTCCAAGTCGTTTTCTCTTAAAAATATTTGAGTTTTTTATAATAATAGAAAATTCAAAAAGCGTAGAAAAATGCACTGCCTTGAAAGGTGGCCTTTTACTTTGACAGGGCTGCTTCTTTCGACTCTATAGTTCTTTCGCGTTGTTAAAATTAAATTTCTTTTTTGCTACACTTTCTGCACCGTCTTCTCCTATTTATTCTCGCAGCGACTAACAGGTTTTTTTAAACTCATTTCTATCAAAATAACGGCGCTTTATCGAAAATGGAAAGAATTGATTTGGCAGATTCTAAGTTTTTCTAGCTGCCTGGGCGATTTCTAGCTCATAAATCGCCGATTTTAATCCAACTCTACCTTTTTTTGAATCTTCGTTGAATTTTTCACTCTTTCATTTTTCCGCTAATTGAATTCTTGAGCTCTAACGACGAATTCTTTTTGCTCGGGGCAAGATTTCACCGCGTCAATCAGTCAACCTCCGGAATTGTAACGGAAAGCAACGTAGGATTCAAAATCTCATTAAAAAAATGAAATGAAAGGTTTTGAACTCAATGAAGAACGGTTTGAAGAGGTTTTGTTTACTCATTTTCGTTGTATTAGGAGCGCGGGCGAGGAAACTTGAAAAGCGCCTTGTGAAAATAAATCTCGACGGGAGTGCTAATCTGCAGTCTTGACAACTTTTAATTATTAAGGACCCCCGTCAGCTTTTTGAAAATTGGACATTTCGTCGAAAAAATTTGCCCTAATTTTGGCAAAATATTGATTTTTCTAGGTCGAAAATTGCTCTTATCAAGTTTTTGAGACAAGTTTAACCTAAGGACGAAAAAAGAACCAAAAATATGGCGTTTTAAAAATTTCCGTTTTTCGAAGGGCTCCTTAAAAGAGGGATGACTAGATGATATTTTGAACGTCGGAAAAATGAAATCAACGAACTTTAAGAAATTTTATTTCAAAAATTTTTTTCTTCTTTTATTTTTTTTACAGAATTGATTTGACTTCCCCTTCATTAAAAGATTTCAACTCGCAATAATGAGTTATCTTCAAAAAGCTCTCTCCAAAGCAGCAGCCGTACAAGATATCGCTGAAAACTTCGCCCCCGCAGCATAAATTAAAGCGGTTATCGTAAGCTTTTGAGCCGCAGCAAAATTCATGCGGGCTGTTTCGTTCGCAACCAGAGAAATTTTCGGTTTGAATTTTTTGGCGATTCCCGTCGGTGCAAAAACGATCCTTGTTGAATTCGCCTTGTTTTGAAAAATACTGAAAAAAGGTTATTATTAATATAAAGGAACCCCCCTTCAGCTTTTTTCGTGCAATGAAATTTCGGAATTAAAAAATTTTGGCCCCGGAAATGGATTCTACGACTCAAAAAATAATTTCGAGGCTGCATTTTTTTGAGGTCAATCTCGACTCTAACACCCTTAAAATTGCGTTTGAAAATTGGACTTTTCGCCAAAATTTGACGAATTTGCCCTTATTTCGGCAAAAATATCGATTTTTCTTGGTTAAAAATTCCTCTTGTATCAAGTTTTTGAAGCAAGTTAAACCTCAGGACGCATTCACAACCAAAAATATGGAGTTTTTAAGAATTTCAATTTTTCGGAGGGAAAAGCTGCCGGGGGGGGGGGTCCTTAAAAAAATTTTTTTTTTGAATTTTTTGAGTAATTTTGAATTCTAAAAAGAATTTCTAATTATTTAAAACGTTACCTTGTTGTATGAATTTCTATTTCTCTGAAAACAACTCGCCGCCGCCTTATCGCATTCGCACAGCTTTCTAGAGTAGGACTCCACATCATCTCTGCAGATAACCCCATGTTCTTCGTGGCACATGTAGTCATAAGTCTTGAAATAAGACTGGGGCAGGCTCTCGAGAAAAATTCCCGAGGAAAATTTTTTGTCTGCTTCGTCGTAGCAATTGTCGTGCTCGAAGCAGCACTGGTCGGTCTCGTCGACGGGGATTCCGTTGTTGTGCCGGCCGCACCAGCAGCCGTAGCCGACGTATTGAGAGCTCATGTAGCCGCCGAGATAGCAGGCTGGAATATTTGATTTTCATCTTTTTTGAGAAAAAAAATCTTACTTATTTGTCCATTAAAATCCGTCAGGCCAGCAGAAACAGCGGTCAAGAAAAAAATCGTGATTTTTTTCATCTCTTCTCTTTTTATTTTCTCTTCTGAATTTCCTACGTCTGACTTCTGACGCTGTTCAAATTACGCTGTCTGGGGCAAATGCGCGTGAATGCATCGTTTTATTTGCGTAAGGATTGAAGAAACTCGGGAATCTGAACTCAGTCTGCAAGGGTCAAAGGTAACACGAGCTACGCGCGAGTTAGTTCAACTACTGTAGTTAAAATATTTTATTTTTTGATCGAGACAGTTATCGAGCACTTCTCCCACTGTCCACCGCCAACATGTTCGCACCAAAACGCGCTCATTGACCTTGCCGTTGGAATTGACGATGTCGAGTCGCAGTAAATCCAACAATGATCGCCCTTTGGATCGGGCCCGATGCACCATTTTTCAGATGTTTCTTTGTAGAAGAGGTAGACGTTTCGATTTTCTTGCGTTTTCTGCTCTCGCTAGAAATTTAGAGGGTAAAAATGATATTTCTACAATGTTGCTTGGAGATTTCAGAGAACACAAAACGGTGTTGAAAATAAGGGTATCCCCTTATTAGCAGAAATTTCTCCATAACATCGCGATTTTAATGGGAACAGACAAAAATCCCGATAAATTTTGCCTGGAAATTTCTAACCAATCAGAAGCGTGGATTCGGCTAACTGGCCGAACAGTAGCCGAACAGTAGCCGCAAAAATTTTTCGAGATATTTATGTCGATTCTTGACACCTCCCCTTAAAATCGCGAGGTTTCGTAACAATTTTTGCTAGTTGGGAGATACCCTTATTTTGAACAAGGTTTTTCACCGTTTTTAACGGACTAAGAGCCCCCATTTTTTCTTACCAAATAAAGCGGCCTCGTCGTATATTTTCCATTGAATTCTACAAAAGTGTAAACCCCAAAAACATCAGCATTCTTCCATTTCGACTGAGTTTTTCCGGTCAAAACAATCGTCCTCGTGGGATCCGGTCTTTTTCTCTTCCGCCCAAGAGTCTCTAAAAGCATTTTCTTTTCAAAAGCATCCTCATCAATTATGAGTCGTACCGATTTTACGCTCTTTGACAGTGTCGTCTGATGATGAGCTTGAAATGCTGGACGGGCTGATTCGCAGAGTTGAGGCTTTATACCTTTCTTTTTTCTGCTTTTTCTTGCGGTCTTTTTTGTTGAAGATCGGTGTTCCTTGACGACTGAGTTCTTCCTCGAGGAAACCTGTCATGATTGAAGCATCGTTGCTGAAAAAAAATCATTTTGAAAAACCATAAAATTAAATTTAATTTTTAAATTTTGGATTTTTATTTTCGGTAATCTTCGGAAAAAATGAGAAGCATTTTTAATTTGGAAATTATTGACAAATCTTTACTTACATATCAGAAAAATCATCCTTCACTTTGACGCTCGAAAACTCCGAGACTGTACTCGAATAGTTTTTATTAACAATATTATTTTCTTTTTGAAGTTCAGAGCTTCCAATACTCTTCCCGTTCGGTGGCGATCGAAGATAATTCTTTTCTAACGTGTCAATGTAGACACTGGATCGCGATTTGGTCGGTGATTTTATTGTCGCTGTCAGTGGTGGTTCCTAGAAATTGACCGGTAAAACATCAGTTTTTATGGGGACGTGTCTTGAACCGACAAAAAAATTTCGACAAATTTTGCGTGGAAATTTTAAACCAATGAGAAGCCTGGATTTGGCATATCGGCTAATCAGCAGCAGAATAGCCGCCCACGCAAAAATTATCGAAATTTTTGTGTCGGCTTCAGACACCAACCCGTTTTTATTGCTAGAAAATGAGGAAAAAAGCTGGAGAAAAAAGCAGTTGAGCACCTGAAAAGCTGGATTGTCGTCGCCCTCATCAATCACTCTTTCATGAAAAATCGTCGGCTCAATAACGTCCTTTGATCTGCAGCAGCATCGAAACTTCTTCCAAAACTTTCCCATTTTCGTCTTCTTTTCTCTCACTTTAAATTTGATTCGCGCTTATCTCTTTATAATTCGCAGGAGTTAAAAGAAAACACCAAGTTTTATTAGTCGATGAGGTAATTGCTTTTTGTAGCCAAAAGGAACTGGCTACATTTTCCCGCTTGAGACATCGTAAAAACCGAGGCGGCGCGAGTCTGAAAAATCATAAAAATTTAAGTGGGACGCAAACAAAGGACTTTTTTCATCGCGGCAAAGGAGATCAACGCGCATCACTCACAAAAAGATGGTAAATTGACGGAAATCGGTCATTAAAAACTTCTCACGAATCTTTTCATCAGAATGTTGTCATACGGTGTTTATTTGAAATAAGAGGGGATTAAGCCCAAAGCTATTTTTAGTTATTCATTTATTTGTGGACAGGCTCATCTTGTAGATACTCTCTGAACGAAGTGCAAAAATAAACAGTAACGATTGCACAGAAGTAGAAATAGGCCAAAAATCGGTCAAAAACTTGAGCAACAAATTTCTAGTTTTCAATTTTTGCTTCGTCACGGTCTTCTTTTTCAAATGCTCCTCGGATTTCTTGAAGCTCTAGAACAAAATACGTCAAAAAGCATCATTGATAAAGATACCTTTCAGAATGTCAGTAAGTAGCTGGTCAGTTTTGCAGCTGATGAACCTTTCAAAATCAAAGGTTTTCGACGTCAAATGACTCATCAACTCCTTGATGCACTCTTGCTCTTTATCAACGAATTGTTGTTTTCGTGGCGCCATGCAAAGAATCCTGGGCAAGAACCCTAAGAAGATGCATCGAATCCAGTTCGGTACGTTAATTTGACACACTCGTCTGGTACTTGATTCGAGTCCCAGGGGTTCTTGTCAAAGATAGGAATGGCTTCTTCAAGGGGCATCTTACAGCCAGTTTGATTGGTGTCCAAAACGTATTTGTAGCCATTCAAGAGGCGCTGGTAAAGCCGGGCGTTGAACGTTGCGTTGATGTTGCAGTACACTTTTATATAAACTGATAAATTTCTCTCTCTCTTTCTCACCTGCTATTAAATTGAAAAAGAATGATTTCTCATTCAATTTCCAATAAAAATTTTCTGAAAAAAATGAAGTGAAGAAGCAAAAACTTTCCTGCATGGTGAGCTTAATTTTATTGCGTCGATATTACGTTTGATGCACAAATGGTGAGAAGTTGTAATTAGCGTCTTCTATGCAAAACCTGGTTTTCGAGAAGAAATAGATGAGCAAACTCTCGAATAATCATTTTTTTTGCGAGCAAACTATACAAAAATGACCGATCTCTGTCAAAAATCATAATTATTAAGGGTCACAGATGTTTAGAAGAACAATAAAGTTTTGTTGTCAACTTTTTAGTAAGGAATTTCAAATGGCTCAAATGTTGCATTTTCAGAATCGACAAATTTCTTCGCCACGCAGATCGCCCGAGCACTAATTTTTTTTCTTGAATCTGATTTTTTTGGTAAAAAATGTACTTACGTGCTTTTTCGAACGAGCGTGATTCCAAAAGATGGGTGAAGGACAAAGGCGTACGACTCTAAAAAACATCGATGATAAGAAAATATACGATTTACTTGTGTACCATCTTCTTGCCACGAACACCATGGGATCCCAGTTTCTTTTCGATGGAAATTTTCGAGAATGAAACCACTATCCATTTGAGAGGATTGACAGGATCTCGGACCTACGTAGACAAAGGTCTTATTTTCCCCCTTTTCCTCATGCCAAATTTCCTCGCTCCGGACAAACAGTCCGTGTTTGTTTATAAAGGTGGCGTTGAGTTGAAGAGATTTGCAGTTCATTGTGCAGTTGCGGAAGACTTTCACTCGCCCGTTTTCATCAAAAGGATCATTTTCACAGATAAGCTTCAAAAAAATTAAGATTGTCTTCAGGAAAAAAAATATATTTCACCGTATTGCCAGTTCTTGTTTCATGAAGATTCTCATCTATAAATACACAAACTGGTATACCCACTAAAGTGAACTCCCTCTGGGCAAATATTTTTCGAGAGTTGAAATTCTCGATCTTCTCTAAAGCTCTTGCTTTGTAAATGTTGGCGATCTGGAGCTTTCCCGATGAAAAGTTGACTTTTGAGTTGATCCAGCCAAAGGTTCCATAGAGCAGACTGTTTGTTTTTATTTCTAGTTCGTCTGATGCAAGTTTAAGCCCACGAGTTGCACAGAATTTCTCAGCTTCGTCGTAATTTAAATTCACTTTATTTTTTTCATTAAAAAAACGATCGTTTGAGAGGTGAATTACCTAAAGAAATCGTCAAATTTGCGATGTAATGCTTCTTCAGTCCATTTTTGTCTATTTTGTTAAATATCGCGGGAAAATTCTCATAGCTGGTTAGGTTCCAGAATTGCAGGGGATGTTTTGAAGAGTAAGTATTCCCGGTTGGCAGTGGTCGAGCTTCGGTTTCTGTCGATGTCTCATTCCTGGTGGTTGAAAAAGACTTCGAAAGAGGAAGAATCGTTAGTAAAAGTGAAGTAAGAAAAATAAAGATAAAGATAATCAAATTGTGATAAATTTCCTTGTTCATTTTTGAAGAACGCAAAAGAACAATTCCAATTTATAACGGGGCGATAATTATACGGTTGAATTGACAGCCAGCCTTCAATTTTAATTCAGTCAAGATATTATGTATAATTGTCATAGAAGCAGTTTATTTCTTATAAAAAATGTTTCTTTTTCGCGAAAAATACGAGTGAAAGATAAAATTACAGTCTAACAGGTTTCTTCGTCTTTCGAATGTTGTTTGGAGTTTTTCCTTTGTTTGGCTTCTTCGCCGACTTTTTCTGCTTCTTCGTCTTCTTGTTCGTTGGCGCAGCGAAGAGATCTTCGAGTTCTTTGTCACCCAAGGCTTCGCCACTTTTCTTTTCTTCCTCGAATGATTTTCGGAGATTTTCTGGCAGCAGACTTTTGTTGATGTCGTCAGGAATTTGAGCTGGAGTCGTAAACGCTTTTGTGAGCTTCTCTCTACCAAGAGCAGTGGATGCAAGATGAACCAAGCGATGTGGGAAAAGTCGGGGATTTCGAACGAGGATATTCAGGTGCCATTGTAGAGTGCGGAGAAACTCCGGCTCTTTTGGGCAGTAAACATGGCTCGTAGGTGGCGAATCATCTTCTCCCCAAAACGAAGATTTCTTGCTGATCTTCTCAACATCAAAGGACCAAGCTGTCGGGCCACGAAGAAACGTATCTGAGCAGTCGCTTGGCAATTTGATGCAACATCCGCAGGAATATTCCCAAAACACACCGGGAATCGACTTGAATTCTTGAGTTTTTATGTAAAAGAACCAGTCTTTTGAAGGGTCATCCATTTCTTGCTCGACGACGAGTTTGTAAAAGTTTGTTTTTGGCATTTTTCTGATTTATGTGAAATTTCACTCGTTTATACGGTATCTTCACAGGCAGTTTATAGATGGTGCTAGAGAAGAGCACTGTTTTAAATAGATAAGATAAGCAGCTGAAGAAGGCAGAACGTTGGCAGACAAAGCTGAAACAGCTGTAGAAAATTTCAATTTGTCGGCAAATTAAAAGAGCTTTGAAGTATCAAATTGATGATTTCTCCGGAAATCTTTCAAAAAAACAATTTCAATTCATAAATGTCTTGTTTTATTGAAACCTGGACAGTTTGTATAATTTGCCCAATTTACAAAATCTTCATCGTCGAAATCAAAATACACAGCGCCATAACTTGCAGTAACCAGATTTACCATAAGTATTCCCATAATATTCGCCGTCGCGCCCGATTTGATCATGTTCGTCACTTTCAATCTCCCAGAAGTAAAAGCAATAGCATTTGTCGGCGTCGAAGCTAAATAATTTCAATGCTTGAAAAGGCCGAACCTGGGAGTATAAACGACAAGGAACAAGCCATGGTCGCGGGCATCAAGAAACTCTATGGATGCAAACATAGTTCCTTCGCCAACGCTCCCAAATGAGCGTCTTCTACGCAAAACCTGGTTTATTTGGAACGATATGAGCAGACTGTCGCGTAATCACTTATTTTGCGATCTAGACAAAAATGACCGATTTCTGTTAAAAATAATAGTTTTTAAGGGTCACTTAATAAATGTAACAGATGTTTTATTTCAGTAAGAAATTTGAAAAGGCTCAAATGTAGCATTTTCTACATCGACGAAATTCTTCGCCACGCAAATTGCTCGTGCACTAAATTTTGATTTAAGAATTTTATTTTTTTGGTTGATGAGAAGGTACATACGTGCTCTTTCGAATAAGCGTGATACCAACGGTTCGATGGAGGATAAATGCGTAGGACTCTGAAGATTATTGAAGAGGAAAGAAAATAAGATGAACAAGTGTACTATTTAGTTGCCAGGAACACCACGGGATCCCAGTTTCTTCTTCATTGAAGTTTTCAAGAATGAAACCACTATCCATTTGAGACGATTCACAGAATCTCTGACCCACATAAACAAAGGTCTTTGCTTCTCCCTTATTTTCGTTCCAAGAATCAGAGAACAGTCTGTATTTATCAATGAAGGTGGCGTTGACTTGAAGAGGTTTGCAGTTCATGGTGCAGTTGCGGAATACTTTTACTTGCCCAGTTTCATCAAAAGGATCATTTTCACAGATAAACTTAAAAATACATCTCCTCTTGAAAAATGAGATTTCACCTTATTTCTTCTTATTTTGGCTTCAAGATTGTCAGCAATAAACGCGCAAATTGACACAAAAGGGTCCGGTGAAGAGAAATCTCTTTGGAAAAGTATTTTTCGCGAGGTGAAAATTTTAAGCTCTTTCAATGCTCTTTCTTTATAAATGTTGGCGATTTGAAGCTCTCCCGATGAAAAGTTGACTTTTGAGTTGATCAAGCCAGTTGATCCTTTGAGGAAATTGTTTGATTCTAGCTCCAGTTCGTCTGATGCAAGCTCAAGGCCATTATTCGCACAGAATTTTCGAGCTTCCTCGTAAATCAAATTTACTTAATATTTTTATTAACGATAAGCGAGAGTTGATTATTTTAATAGGGGTTATTCTTATAGGGGTCTATAAGAAATATTTACTGAGCTGATTGAGCTCAGTGATCGTGTCTGCTCCGCTCAGCTTAGCTCAATAGTTTTTGAACAAGGCTAACTTAACCCAGCTCAGATATTACTATTCTTAAAGTAAAATCATTGAGCTGAGCTGAGCTGAGTGATACTTGTCTGAGCTGAGCAAAACTGATCATGTTCGAAAATTATTGAGCTGAGCCGAGCTGAGCTGAATGATAATTGTCTGAGCTGAGCCGAGCAGATCAGATCATTTTCGAAAATCACTGAGCTCAGCCAGCTCAGCTCACTCAGCTCAACAAATTTGCAAGTCTGATCTAGTTGAAAACGGCTCAGCTCAATCAGCTCAGCTCAGCTCTAAAAAGGGTCTGCCCAGCTCAGCTCAATGACCTTTGAAAAAGACCAGCACAGCTTGGCTCCGCTCAATGATTTCTGAAAAAGGCCCGCTCAGCTCGGCTCAGTTCAAAAAATTTTCACTTTGGTCAGCTCAGGTCAGCAGAGATAACGCGAAATTTTCACTCTGGTTCCATGAATTACCTGGAGACATCGTCAAATTCGCGATATAATGCTTCTTTGATCCGTTTTGGTCTATTTTGTAAAATACCGCCGGAAAGTTCTCATATTTTGCTGGATTCCACAATTGCAGAACATGTTCATTTACTGAAGGATTTCTGGATGAGTTTGTATTCCCGGTTGATATTGGTCGAGCTTCGATTTCTGTCGATGTTTCATTCCTGTTGGTTGAAAAAGACTTCGAAAGAGGAAGAATCGTCAGCAACAAAGAAGTAAGAAATAAAAAGGTAAAGATAATAAAATTGTGATAAATTTCCTTGTTCATTTTGGAAAAATACTTTGAACAATTCCACTTTATAACGGGACGGTAATTTTACGGTTGAATTCACAGCGAGTCCTCAATTTATTCCAATTCGAACCTTTCTTTATGAAAAAAATCGAATGTTTTATACCAGAAGGCAGTTTATTTTATTTCTGATAAAAAATTCCAATACTCGAAATGTCGAATTCTCCAAAACGGTCTTGAATCGTCATAACATCCAAGCCATCGACATTTTTTCGGCAAAAGCTTGAAGAAAGTGCAAATAGCTGATTTCTTTTCAAAATCGGATTCTATAAATTTTCTTTTTATCGAAAGGAAATAACTAAAAATACCTTTAGGATCGGCAGTCTTTTCCAAAGAGGCCATTCGAGCGACTTTTTGAATCGGACGTCTAGTTGTCTCGTGTCTGTCGTAAAGGCTCTAGAATAAGCGGCAAAATTGAAAGAAATAAGGTTTCGAATTTCGAGTCGAAAATAAAGCGCGAAGAGCCCATGCCTGGATGAAAATGAGTAAATTCCATCAATCTGTAATTTTCCATGTCTAAAGTCAGCAGCGTCGTAAACGGCTTCGTTCCGTCGAATTCTAGCGTCGCCGAAAAATGAACCATGTGAGAACTGTTCTTTGCCGGCTTGAGCGTGTCGTAGATCACTTGGATTTTCGCGCTTCGGTTCGAGGTTTCAGCGTCCTGTATCACTTTTATTTGCTCAATGTTGGTGATTTTGAATTGCTTTTTGTAGCGAAGAGGGGATGGAAAAGTGTTGAGCCTCTTTGTGACAGTGGAGACGACATGGACGAGGTCGAAGAAATCGCCGCGAAAAACGAGAAGATACGATTGATTTTTGAATGAAAAGGAGGCGGTTGGGTTTTGGGGGAGGTGGTGCTCGGCGCTTAGCCATGAGTTTTCATGAAAATCGAAGAGGCAAACGCTTGGGCCGGGAATTCCAGCGCAAATGATGTCCCTTAGAAAATAAGAATGGAAAGCGATTTGCTCGTACCTGTCGGTGACTGAGCTCGAGCAAGCTACATGCTGACAGCTCGTTTTCTGGAACGGCCAGGCTCTGCCTGTGTACGGGTCGAAGATCAGACCCTTTTTGTGCGGTCGGAAGAGCAGGAGAAAATTACCCCAAACCCGGGAGGAGATTGGATAATGTTTCGAGGTCATTCGTTTTGAACTGATTTTTGAGATTTGAGTCCAGCCGATCTTTTCGGTCGACGAAGTCAGGAGGAAAATTCCATCTTGATCCTGCCCTGGAATTAATTATTGACTGTTCTGAGATGATGTGCTTACGATGGGCGACGGCATAAATTCGGGGGTTCCTGAAATTTCTGAGGTTCATCAATCTTGCACGCTGGGCCAGATTTTGCTTGAAGAAAACTCTTCTGAATATTTGAAAAGGAAGGCGGCGTAAAAACTCTTCTGCTTTTTCTCGCACTTCCTTTGATTTTCTATGTTGATGCAACCAAAAGCATCGATGGCTCACCTTATATTCGATCGTTGCAGAAATTTCTATGATTTTCAGCATTCGCTTTTATTGGTTTTTTAAAAATTTTATCAAAATTTGATTCAAAAATGACCATAATTTATTTTTTCTTGAAAACTATCCTTGATAGAAAGCGGATGTAAAATCTTCTTGACAATTTCGTCCATCTTAAGTTTCTAAGAGCCTTTATTCAAACAATTTCACCCGACTTCATGTCAATTTGACAATGAAGTCCATTAATAGTAAAATATAAAAAAATATTTTTTTCCTGCACCTGGGAGCTCGTGGTGTAGGTCGAGTGTCGCTGCGTATTCACAAAGCTACTCTCTTCAGTATTAGCGTACTTAAATTGAGATTACTCAAATTTAAGCCATGCAATTTATAGTCAATCATTAGCGCGTCAAAGAATGGGTTTCGAATCGGAACGCGGGGTACCTCGAACCCTAAGAATTCCGCGTCGACGCCGTTGGCCATCATGTGGTACTCCGCTTCGATCTCATCATCCGTATCGTCATCCCTTATATTTCCGGTTTTCTTTCAAATTATTCAAAAGAAGCCCTACCCGCTTGGTCCTGAGGACTCTTCAGCATCATCAGCAGCCTCTGCTTCTATCTCATCATCTTCCATTTGGAGCATAACTGCGTCCTCAGCATAATCAACAGCTTTGCCGCCACCATCTCCTCCCTTATCGCCTTTTCCGCCGACCCAGTTGTCCACATCCTCGCCACTGAATATTTATTTTTCGACCTTTTCATAAAAAAAATTTCAAACAAGGCAAAAATGGAGGTACAACTGGTCGCTCTGGAATTGAAATATCGAAAAATATTCTCGTCAGATTGTTTGACGAATTTAAAAGTATCCAATCCACTCCCCGAAATTGTCAAAGGGCCTCTGTTTCCGAGCTTCTTTCCCCGCTACAAAACGGCTATGGAAAAATATCGAATAAAAAATGGCTGAGCGGCTAAAAATCGCTAGAAACTCGACCATCATCAAGCGAAAGGTCAACATTAATTCCCCCTAGATCTTCATTATTCTCCTCCAGCTCATTGAGCTCATCGAATCCTTCCGACTCTGCCAAATGAGTTTTTACCCGATTTCCAAAAGAGGATTTTCGTAAAAGTAAAAAATCATTTTCCTTGTTTTTCGATGTCAAAACTTAGCTCTGACATGTCTGAGATGTCGAAGCAACTTGTCAAACTCTCTTCAATAACAAATTAAAACTTACCTGGAGCCTCCGTCGTCGTCGTCTTCTTCCTCATTAGCTGGGGCATCTGAAGGTCGAGTGGATTACGGGTATGAAACAATTAGGAGTTGGAGTGAACTACCTTTCGTCGACAAATCTTCTTCAAAATCGGCCGTCGCTTCTTCGGTTTCTTCTTCTTCTTCGTCTTCTAGCGCCTCGATTATGTCCATCTATTCAATTTTTTTTTATTCAAATTTCTCAAGAAAAGAATTAACCTCTGACATCTTCTGAGTTTCTTTTTCCCTCTCTCCTTCTTCTCAGAAATACGGAATGAAAAGAAAGTAATGTGCAGATTTCACAAGGACAGCTTTCCGATGTCCCTTGTCTCGAGTTGACAAAAAGGTTTTTCTTAATAATTACTCCGCCCGTCAAAGTGCTTGGTCTTAGATGAGAATAATTGATGAATTTTCTCGCCATATATTTTAATTACTAGCTTCAATATGGCAATGTTCTGTGAACAGTTTTACGAGGAAAAATGACTTGCTCATGATATATTTGTACATTTATATTATTAGTTATTAGGTTTAAGAACGGGCATTTACAATATTTCTGGAATCAAATATGAATGTCAAAATTTAACTTATTTATATAATTTTATTTTATTATAAGATTTGAAAAACAATTTTTTCAAAAATGATTTCTTTATTCAAAAATCTCTTCCTCGATTCCACCGTTCTCGGTCTTGTTCTCAGCTTCAAAAAGTGTGACTTTTCTGCTTAGAATAATAACGAGAGGCGAGAGTGATGGTAGTGACAGTGGGCATCTGAAATATTAATACGATCGCTCTGTGCCGATCTTTCCAATTCAATTGAGAGCGCTGACCACTGCCCGCAACATGCCAGACACAACAGCACCTTTATCAAAACATCAACCTCGCGCATTTTGATCGATGGCTCTTGCCTCGATTTCATTAACTTAATCGCTGTCTTTCTTTAGCAAAAAAATACGAAAAAAGGTCATCCTGAGTAAAAAACATTCCCGCTATTAAAAAATAAAACAACATCCTAAACAACTAAAAGAGGAAAGAAAAAAAGCTCTCGTGTCGTGCAGCTGCGCTTATGAGCGCGATCATAATGTCTTAACTGGCGCTATTTAATTTTGTGCTGTCTCGGCTAATCTTTGGGAAAGAAACGCGAAGAGTTATGACTCTGTGATAATGATTTTCGGTACTTTGATTTTTCTTCTTTTTATTTTACCAAGTTTATCTGAGAGATTTACGTCCAAGTTTGAAGAAATCAACGTAGAGTTTTGTGGCTTTAATCATAATGTCAGGGATTAAGGAGATCTTTCTAGAATCTAGATCGTTCTAGAAATTTTAATCTGAAAAAAGGGAATGACCTTGTTCAGCATTGTGTTTTTGCAGATGTTGCCTAGTTCAGTCTGAAGGACACGTAGCCTAAAATTTTTTTCAAAAAGAAATCTTCATCCTTGAAAAAGACTGTTTTATTGAAAGCCCGCATTTCTCGAAATGCTCTAGATTCGGCGATCATTTTTCAAAAACCTTTTCATCTTTGAAATCAACAAAAATCTGCTACTGCATCGACGATGATCGAAATCAAGTTGTTCTTCCAGAAAAAATGCTCTTTCGAAGCTTCAATTTGCAAGAATGCGCCTGTTTCGGGACCAAAGAATTTTGCGATTGTAGCGAGGACTTTCAGTTTTTCGATGGAAGTTGTTTGCCGATTCAGAGAGAAACGCGAAGCTCGAGAAAATGTGCTGAGAAGGAGATTCCTTTTGATGACGGATGCGGGGTATTAACGATCGGAAAAATGGCTATATTCTTTTTTCTAGGTCATTAGACAGTGTACCAGCGAAGAATTACGAGATTGCGGTCTACAAAGATGTGTTGGTATGACGATTCACAGCGAAGAATGTCATGGAAAGTCACATGACTGCGGAAGGGAAGACGATCTTCATAAGAAGTAAGGGCGACAAAAACACTAGGTTTTCTTTTGAGAAATATCTAGAAAGAGCATAAGATCTCAAATAAAGCGGCCTATAAACGCGTAAATGTCGATGAATCAGATCACTCCATAAAATTGCTCCAGACTTTCCTACCAACTAGACCACCCATACTTTCGTCAAAATGTCATTTTCAGAGTCCACCGCTGCTATCCGAATTCCGAGCCAGGAAAAGACAACGTCTTGATTTTCACGCCGAGACAAAATGGAAAAGCGCTCGTAAAGAATCAACCATGGAAGTCAGAATTCTCCAACAACTACTCACCAGAAACGTAAGTCGCTTTTTACCACCGGTCAAGCGGAAACCCACACTGACCTTAGCACTTAAAAAGCCATAAAAAACATGACGATCTTACTAATTAACTTATTAAGTTTACGTCTGACAAACAAGATCGTTCGCGAATTCGAGGTCTTGAAAGGAGAAATGAAGTCTGCTTTTCCGGATTTATTGGTCAATAATGTGAACATTCAAAAGTTTGGTCGGACGGAGGAAAATGAGATATTTCTCGAGCTGAAGTATATTGTCGATTTTACGGGGGAAATTCTCCCTGAGGCTTTTCAAGTGGAACTGAAGAATATTATCCACGAGAAATTTACAAGATCATTCAGGAAAGGGCTCATTTTTGCGAAATTCTAGAGCTAGAACTCACTGAGAGCCTTTTTCGAAGATCAAATTCAATCGAAATCGTGTTTAACTTCGACGATTTCGACTTCAAAATCCTCGATTATTCCGACTTCTTCCGCTCAAAACTTTCCTCCATCGACCCTTCAACCCTCCCAGAAGCGCTCTCTTACCTTTTATCCTGCGAAAAATGCTCGGTTTTTCAATCGAAGCCGGAGCAAGAAATGAGGATCGCGGATCAAAAACCGATGATGAATTCGATTGTTGGATCTGCTTCATTATGTGATCTGTGTGATGCTAAAAATGAGTCGCTTTTTGTTCAAGTCAAGAAATGAGATCAACTTTTCAAACGACCATAAATTGGCCTTTTCTTTTATTTTTTGGGCTTTTTTGAACCTTATTGATTTTGACAAACCATCATTATCAAAATTTTAATGACGAAGATATTCTGAATAGATTCAATTCATCTCAACCAAAGGCATCAGGAATCCCTCCTTTTTCCGGTCAGCTTATGGGTCTGTCTGAGAATCTGAAGAAAAATACAGTCGTTATTCTGGACCAATCTTTCCCATTTGACCTCTCCGTTGGAATTTTCAACACTCCTCTTTGGCTCGAAGACGGGATCGATTATTTCTTCCTCAAGCTTGAAGATTCCATCGGCTCCACCGGCATCGTTGAAATCAAGGTCTCAAGGGCTGGTTGCGAAAGAGCTCTAGAAACTGACAAGGATGTTTCTCAGCGACAAAGTCTCAAGGTCGTCCAATCGAATTTCATCATCAAGGATTTGAGAGAAGAAGAATTCGAATCGGCAGTTGTTCAGTCGACAAAATCGATTTATGTAAAAGGATCTTCAACAATGTTGATAAATTGAAATCAAGGAAGAGAATTTTTGAAGATCCTTTGTTTTCAGTCCGCTTTTAACGCTGTTGGAAACATCAAAAAGGTTGAATTCGTCGGTTTCATCAATACGACTTCTGATGAATTTTGTGAGGACTGCATCATTCTCGATTATGTTCTTTCTTTTTACGAGACGAAAATTGCCGAAGCAGATGGAGATTTTGATAAATTACTGCAAACCGGCATGGTTTCTGCTGCAGAGATTTTGAGAGCACTTTCTGGAAAGAAAATTTTTATCAGCCAAACGATCAAGCCCGAGGATCATCCAGAAGTCTCGAGATTTATTCAAGCTCTCTTTGCCATCGCGATTTTGCAAGTTCTTTACCTTGTGAAGGTTCTTTTTCTCGCCACTCCTTCGAAAACTGTCGTCTGGAAAGCAACTGTAGCAGTGATAACAGCGCTGACAACTGTCCAGATTTATTTTGAAGGAGAGACGTTTTTGAACTACTTGAGCGGGGAAGGATTGATGTTTAGCCCGGATCCGATGGTGGTTGGATTTATGGCTTATTTACCAGTTGTGCTGACGATTATTTTGGCTCTCAGGGTTTATTTCGTCGTCAAATTTAAAAGAGAGGCAAGTTTATCATGAAAAAACGGAATAAAAAGCAAAATTCTAGTGGAACATCGACGAAATCGACAAGTTATACCCTGCACAAACAGTCATTCTCCTCCTCAACCTTCTTTTTCATGATGTCCCGGAACTTGTTGTCCTGTATTTTTTCTACACTCGCTACAAACCTCAATCATTCGACTTGCGAATCAGCGCCCTCATTCCTCAAGCAATCGCTCCCTTCGCCGCCTTTCTCGTCACTGCCCTTCAAATCAAAGACCTTATTCAATATCAAAAAAGCTTCAAGCTGAGTAAGACCAAACTCCTCGTGAATCTCACGCTCTTGCCGATTATTCTCGTGACTCCATGCCTCAAATCTGCTGTGCTTATTTCCACCCTATTCACTCAACTAATGACTTTTACGACTGGAGCTACTTTCGACCCGAAACAGCAGATTTTGCACGGAATTGATTTCAACTCGATGAATGTTTCAAAAATTCAAAATGAATATGATGAACAGGTGCAAAACTCGCCAGCTAGGGTTAGGGCTTTTTGACGATGATTTTAGGTCATTCAAGGCTTGGAGAAATCCGTTATCAAAGAAATGTTTAAGCCCAGGCAAACCAACTGCGTCGAAATCTCCCTCAATTTCCTCGGAAAAACTGATTTTGTTGAAATCATAAGTCGCCCAGATCCATTCAAAGAAAACTGCATCAACGATCTAGAATGGGCGTTTCTCCTTGTTGTCCCCATGTTCATTTTCGGAATCATTTCGCTGCTGACTTTGGTGATAATTATATCCGCTCAATTTGATTTGAAAATTATGAAGAAGTTCAATTATGCTCAAAAACTCAAGGATTCGTTGGGACTTCATTCTTGTAAGACTCGTTTTGTGAATAATATTATTCAATTTTTCAGTAATTGCCGAAAGAATTACAAACATGGACGATCTCCTTAACAATTTATCATCAGAAATAAATGACGATTGGGCGGAAGATCCTTTAATCAAAGACCTGGTAAAAGAAGACCTAATTTCTGATGAGACTTTGGTAAGAAAAGAAGAAATTTGGATAAGAAAAAAGAAGGAAGAAGTTGAACCAAAAAAGAAGATACTCATCATTGAAGAACCGAAAAAGTCTGTACCGCTGTCTCAATTTGAAGCTGAAATAATTGGGAATATTTTCGAGAACGACAAAAGAAAATAAAAGTACAAATATCGAAATTTATTGATAATTAATAATTTATTATCATTTAAAGTACTGAAAGCTTTTTAAAGCGAGTAATAACCATAGTTAACTGGATAAAATACGAAGTAATTGCATCTCTTGCTTCATTTTCTGTTCAAATGTGAATTATCCGCCGAGCAGCCTTTTTATATCCAAATATAGGTTAACAATGTTGATCGCTTTAGGCTCATCGTAGCAAAAATCTATTTGACCAACCCAAAAAGATTTTATCACATTGTTTAACCGCGAGGTCTCATGACATGTTTTTGAAATTTGCTGTAAAAATGAAATTTTATTTGAAAAAAATGAAAAAGTTCTCCTGATTTGATGACAGAAATTAATATTCTTCTTCTTCGCCATCTTCTGCCTCGATCGAGTCGATTCCAACCTCTTCGTAGTCCTTTTCCAAAGCGGCCAAATCTTCTCGGGCTTCAGAGAATTCTCCTTCTTCCATACCCTCTCCGACATACCTAAGCGGCTTTTAATTGAAATCAAGGATGAAAATGATCGACTTACCAGTGGACAAAGGCTCGCTTGGCGTACATCAAATCAAATTTGTGATCGAGTCGAGCCCAGGCTTCAGCAATTGCGGTGGTGTTGGACAACATGCAAACTGCTCGCTGGACCTTGGCCAAATCACCTCCTGGAACGACAGTGGGCGGCTGGTAGTTGATTCCGACCTTGAATCCAGTTGGGCACCAGTCGACGAATTGAATAGTTCGCTTTGTCTTGATGTTGGCGATGGAGGCGTTGACATCCTTGGGAACGACGTCTCCTCGGAAAAGGAGGCAGCAGGCCATGTACTTGCCGTGTCGAGGATCGCACTTGACCATTTGATTTGATGGCTCAAAGCAAGCGTTGGTGATTTCGGAGACGGAGAGTTGCTCGTGGTAGGCCTTTTCAGCAGAGATGACGGGAGCGTAGGTAGCGAGAGGGAAGTGAATTCGAGGGTAAGGGACCAAGTTGGTCTGGAACTCGGTCAAATCGACGTTGAGAGCACCGTCGAATCGGAGAGAAGCAGTGATGGAGGAGACGATCTGGCCGATGAGTCTGTTGAGATTGGTGTAAGTGGGTCGTTCGATGTCCAAGTTTCGTCGGCAGATGTCGTAGATGGCCTCGTTGTCGACCATGAAGGCGCAGTCGGAGTGCTCGAGCGTGGTATGAGTGGTGAGAATGGAGTTGTAGGGCTCAACAACAGCAGTGGAGATTTGAGGTGCAGGGTAGACAGAGAACTCGAGCTTGGACTTCTTGCCATAGTCGACGGACAGTCGCTCCATGAGCAACGACGTGAAGCCGGAACCAGTGCCGCCACCAAACGAGTGGAAGATCAAAAAGCCCTGAAGACCCGTGCACTGGTCCGCGAGCTTTCGGATTCGATCAAGGACAAGGTCGATAATTTCTTTACCGATGGTGTAGTGGCCACGGGCGTAGTTGTTCGCAGCGTCTTCTTTGCCGGTGATGAGCTGTTCGGGGTGGAAGAGCTGGCGGTAGGTTCCAGTTCGGACCTCATCGACGACGGTGGGCTCAAGATCGACGAAGACGGCGCGAGGGACGTGCTTGCCAGCGCCGGTTTCCGAGAAGAAGGTGTTGAAGGAATCGTCTCCGCCGCCGATGGTCTTGTCGGAGGGCATCTGTCCATCGGGTTGGATTCCGTGCTCGAGGCAGTAGAGCTCCCAGCAGGCATTACCTGAATAAAATGATAAAAGAATGTCCTATTCGCAAAATATCTTACCCATCTGGACACCAGCCTGGCCAACATGAACAGAAATGACCTCTCTCATCTTTGCAAAACGAGCTTCAAACTTTTAGTCTGCTAGCAAAAGCGTCAAAAAATCGAATGAAGCCTTCTTCCCCCAAAACCGAGCCAAAGAAAAAAGCGCCCCTGTCCAAATAAAATTCAATTGTTGAGTCCAACTCTTCCATTGTCTGTGTTTTCGTTGCTATCATGGCTATTTACGCTAAGCTTCGGCAAATAAAATCGATTGATTTGAATGGAACATGTCCGAGCGGACGGAAGCGATTGTTAGGACAGGTTAAATTTGCCAACAAAAAGACGGGTTCGCTTCAAAAACAAGAATCTTTGCCAAAAATTTTTGCCCGGAAACTTGAGTTCTCGAAAATTCTTCAATGATTCTAGGGCAATCGGGCGATTCTTATCTATATTTGAATGACAAATGAATTTCCAGCTTTCAAAGCCCCTCGGACCCGACAGCGGAAGCTCTCTTTTGATGATTTTGCAGCTCAGAGTGACAGTTCTTAAGTGCTCCTTGACAAAGTTTACCCTAGGCCAACAAATCTTTCTCAGATTTCTTTCTATAAAAATGTCACGGTTTACCAAAATCGATTTATAAAGCCGTTTTTATGTCTCAATAAATATAAAAAACAGAGAAAACTCTAAAAAATGGGCGTAAAAAGTTGCTTCCGAAGATTTTTTAATGCAGAGATTTGGAAATTTAAGGACTCGCTTATCACTGTCCTAGGTACAGTTAACCCTCAGTAAGCCTTATCATATTTAGTCCCTCTTCTTTTCCTCCCCCTGATCGTCATCGACGGAGAAGATGACATCCCCACGACCGATGGATCCGGCGTCGTTTATAGTTCGAAAAAAGTCGCGCGCTTTGGCTACACCTTAATTGTCATGGGAATTTACTGGATCACGGAATGTCTTCCTCTTCCCGTGACAGCGGTTCTGCCTTATGTTCTCTATCCTCTTCTCGGCCTCCGATCAGCTGGAAGCGTTTCGATCAACTACATGAAAAACACGAATTTTCTCCTTTTCGGCGGCCTTATGGTCGCGATTTCAATCGAAACTTCTGAACTTCATCGGTAAAATGTTTCTAGAGAAAGTTTCATCAAAAAATTTTTCAGGCGTTTGGCGCTTTTGACGCTGAAAATTGTCGGCTCAAGTCCAAGACGGCTTCTTTTGGGCTTCATGCTGATCGGTTGGTTTCTTTCAATGTGGATTTCAAATACAGCCGCAGCGGCGATGACGATTCCCATCGCAATCGCAGTCATTGATGAGCTGAAAAAAACTGAAGAAGACGCCCAAAAAGGAATTGAAAACGCATCGTTCGAAGAAGCAGATAAAAATGAAATTGAAGTAGTCGAAGAAACAGATTTTGACAGAATCGAAGTAAAGCCAAAACGATCGAAAAAATCGTCAAAAGCGGAAAATATCGGAAAAGCAATTCTTCTCGCCATTCCTTATGCCTGCTCTGTCGGGGGTACTTCTACTCTCACCGGGACGGCCCCGAATCTGGTGTTGAACGAGTACTGGGCTGAGCAATACCCCGATTCGCCAATTTCATTGAGCTATACTGAGTGGATGGGCTTTGGCATTGTCAATTCCATCTGCATCCTCATCGTCATGATTGTCTATCTCAACGTTTTCTTCATCGGAATCAGATGCGACAGCAACAAGGAAGAGGAAATAGCCGTCAGGTAAACATTTTTTCCAGATTTTTTCTTTTTCCTTTTCTAGTAAAATGATCGAGAGAAAATACAAAGAACTGGGAAAAATTTCAATGGAAGAGCTCATCGTCTTGATAACGTTCATTACTTTGGTGATCATGTGGTTCTTTCGATCGCCAGGATTCATGAATGGCTGGACGGTTTTGTTCCCCGAACCCAGCTTCATTTCCGATGGTGTTCCTGCCGTCTTTTTCGGGGTCCTACTGTTTCTGTTTCCAGCGGAAAAGAGCGGCTTTTGGAAATGTCCTCAAGAAGGCCCACCTGCTAGGTGAGCTTCATTGGGCTTCATTGTTCCTTTTTATTGATTTCTAGAGCGATTCATTCGTGGAAAAGCCTCAATGAAAAAATGCACTGGGGAATTCTCCTCCTCATCGGCGCCGGCTTTGCCATGGCCGACGGATCTGACGCTTCTGGCTTCTCAACTTGGGTCGCGAAGATCCTGGCCGATCTCGTTGGCGACCTGGAGAAGTGGGCGATTGTCCTGGTTGTCACAATTGTCGCGGCACTCTTCACTGAAATTTGCTCAAACACGGCCGCGGCTTCGTTGTTTATTCCAATCTTAGGAGCTCTTGCGAAGGAGTTATGCTTGCATCCGCTAAGCTTGCTGATGCCTGCTGTTTTGGCCTGTTCCTTGTCCTTTATGCTTCCAGGTTTGGTTGTATTAAGGGTCTCCCAAGCTTATTTTTTCAGCCGCGACGCCGCCAAATGCAATCGCTTTCGGATCCGGTCGGTTGAAGGTCACGGACATGATCAAATCGGGCGCAATGGCGAATATCATCGGAATCCTCATTGTTAATTTGATCACTGCCAGTTATGGCGCTGCATATTTCGACTTCAACGATGAAGATTTTGTCAACTGGGCTAATTTCACTTCCTGTCCTGGCTATAATAAAACTAGAATTTAATAAATATAACTAAAACGAAGAAAAAAATCCGATTTTCAGCCATTTTGAAAGAATAATCTCGAACAGTTCGACTCGAACTCACTTCAAAAGTGGTCATTGAGGAAGTTTACCTTTAGTCAACAAATAGTTATGAGATTATCGTTACCGAGATTTACCAAAAAGAAGTATATTTACAGATTAACAGACGACTGCCAGAGTAAAATGGGAGCAAAAGATTGCTTTCGAAGATTTTTTAATGCAGAGATTTGGAAATTTAAGGACTCGCTTATTACTTTTCTAGGTACTGATCATTCTAGGAAGGCTTCTTTATTTCTAGTTCCTCTTCTTTTCCTTCCCCTAATCGTCATCGACGGAGAAGATGACATCCCCACGACCGACGGATCCGGGGCCGTTTACAGTTCAAAAAATGTCGCGAGATTTGGCTACTCGCTTATTGTGATGGCAATTTTTTGGATAACTGAATGTCTTCCCCTTCCTGTAACAGCGGTCTTGCCCTATGTTTTCTACCCTCTTTTGGGAATAAGATCAGCAGGCAGTGTCTCGATCAATTATATGAAAAACACAAATTTTCTGCTTTTTGGAAGCCTGATGGTCGCAATTTCTATCGAAACTTCTGAACTCCATCGGTATCACGATTTTTGTAGTCATTTTTCTATCATTTTTAGGCGGATGGCGCTTTTGACACTGAAAACAGTTGGGTCAAGCCCTCGACGACTTCTGTTAGGTTTCATCCTTATCGGTTGGTTCTTGTCAATATTCATTGCGAATGCGGCAGCGAGTGCTATGACGATTCCGATCGGAATTGCAGTCATTGAAGAGTTAAAGAAAGTCCAAGATGACAAGCAGAAAACTGGGATCGACAACGAATCATATGACGATTTCGATGAAGCCGACAAAGAAACTGATTTCGATACAATAGATTTCGAAGAAAAACAAACAAAGTCAAGCTTGAATCTGAAAAATTTCGGAAAAGCAATTTTACTGACGATTCCGTACTCTTGCACTGTTGGTGGGTCTGCTTCACTTACTGGGACGAATTCAAATTTGGTTCTGAGCGACTACTGGGCAGATCAATTTCCTGATTCGCCGATTTCTCTTAGCTACACGGAATGGATGGGCTTCGGGATCGTCAATTCGATTTGCTTTCTTTTCGTGATGATAATTTATTTGAATGTTTTCTTTTTTGGCTTCAGATGTGAGTCGAATAAAGAAGAGGAACAAGCAGTAAGGTACAGTTATTTTAATTGGGCTCGGGAACCTGTATAAAAAATCTTTTAATAAGTGAAATGATCGCGAGAAAATACGAACAACTCGGAAAAATCTCTCCGGAAGAAATCCTCGTCTTGATAACTTTTGTAATTGTGATAATCATGTGGTTCTTCCGCGAGCCTGGTTTCATGAATGGCTGGACAGTTTTGTTCCCCGAGCCTGGTTTCATATCAGATGGAGTTCCTGCTGTCTTTTTTGGCGTTTTGCTTTTTCTGATTCCGGCGGAAAAAAGTGGCTTTTGGAAATGTCCGCAAGAAGGACCCCCTGCTAGGTAAGAACTGGGAGATTCGGGAGAATGACGGGTTTCTAGAGCGATTCATTCATGGAAACGCTTCAATGAAAAAATGCCCTGGGATATTCTCCTTCTCATCGGGGCGGGATTCGCGATGGCCGACGGAGCTGATGCTTCTGGTTTTTCGACTTGGGTGGCAAAAATTCTTGCTAATCTTGTTGGCGGCTTGGAAAAGTGGGCGATTGTCTTTGTGGCTACGATAGTTGCAGCTCTCTTCACGGAAATTTGCTCAAACACGGCGGCGGCGTCATTATTTGTTCCGATTTTGGGAGCGTTGGCGAAGGAGTTGTGCTTGCATCCGTTGAGTTTGTTGATGCCCGCGACATTGGCTTGTTCCTTGTCTTTTATGCTCCCAGGTTTGGCCTTTTCAAACGCTTTGAGATTGAAATTCTTTAGCTTCGACGCCGACAAATGCGATTGCTTTTAGTTCAGGGCGTTTGAAAGTGACGGACATGATCAAATCGGGCGCGATGGCGAATATTATGGGAATCCTAATGGTAAATCTGATAACTGCAACTTATGGCGCTGTGTATTTTGATTTTGACGATGAAGATTTTGTAAATTGGGCAAATTATACAAACTGTCCTGGTTTCAATAAAACAAGACATTTATGAATTGAAATTGTTTTTTTTTGAAAGATTTCCGGAGAAATTATCAATTTTATACTTCAAAGCTCTTTAAATTTGCCGACAAATTGAAATTTTCTACAGCTGTTTCAGCCTTGTCTGCCAGCGTTCTGCCTTTTTCAGCTGCTTATCTTATCTTATCTTTTTGAATCAGTGCTCTTCTCTAGCGCCATCTATAAACTTCCTGTGAAGATACCGTATAAACGAGTGAAAATTTCAAATTTCACATAAGTCAGAAAAATGCCAAAAACAAATTTTTACAAACTAGTCGTCGAGCCAGAAGTGGATGATCCTTCAAAAGAGTGGTTCTTCTACATCAAAACTCAAGACTTCAAGTCGATACCCGGCGTCTTTTGGGAATACTCCTGCGGATGTTGCATCAAATTGCCAAGCGACTGCTCAGATACGTTTCTTCGTGGTCCGACGGCTTGGTCCTTTGATGTTGAGAAGATCAACAAGAAAACTTCATTTTGGGAAAAAGATGATTCGCCACCTACGAGCCATGTTTACTGCCCAAAAGAACCCGAGTTTCTCCGCACTCTTCAATGGCACCTGAATATCCTCGTTCGAAATCCCCGACTTTTCCCACATCGCTTGGTTCATCTTGCATCCACTGCTCTTGGCAGAGAGAAGCTCACAAAAGCGTTTACGACTCCAGCTCAAATTCCTGACAACAACAAGAATTCCTGCAGTCTGCTGCCAGAAAGTCTCCGAAAATCACTCGTCGAAGAAAATATTAAGAAAACAAGTGGCGAAGCCTTGGGCGACGAAGAACTCGAAGATCTCTTTGCTGCGCAAACGACCAAGAAGACGAAAAAGCAGAAAAAGCCGTCGAAGAAGCCAAACAAAGGAAAAACTCCAAACAACATTCGAAAGACGAAGAAACCTGTTAGACTGTAATTTTATTTTTCATTTCATTTTCGTATTCCATTATTCGCATTTTTCATAAGAGATAAACTGCTTTTATGACAATTATAATATCTTGACTGAATTAAAATTGAAGGCTGGCTGTCAATTCAACCGTATAATTATCACCCCGTTATAAATTGGAACTGTTCGTTGTTTTCTTCCAAAATGAACAAGGAGATTTATCACAATTTGATTATCTTTATCTTTTTATTTCTTACTTCACTTTTGCTAACGGTCCTTCCTCTTTCGAGGTCTTTTTCGACCACCAGGAATGAGACATCGACAGAAACCGAAGCTCCACCACTGCCAACCGAGAATACCTACTCTTCAATACATCCATCAGTGAATAATTATCCCCTGCAATTCTTGAACCTAACTAGCTATGAGAATTTTCCGGCGATATTTTTCAAAATAGACCAAAATGGATCAAAGAAGCTTTACATCGCAAATTTGTCGATTTCTTTAAGTAATTCATTGGATCATTTTATTAAATAAAAAAATAAATTTATTTAGTGGATTTAAAATACGACGACGCTGAGAAATTCTGTGCGACTCGTGGGCTTGAACTTGCATCAGATGAACTTGAAGTAAAAACAAATAGTCTCCTCTCTGGAACATTTGGCTGGATCAATTCAAAAGTCAATTTTTCATCAGGAGAGCTCCAAATTGCAAACATTTACAATGCAAGAGCTTTGGAGAAGATCGTGAATTTCAACTCTCGAAAAATATTTGCCCAGAGGGAGTTTACTTCAGTGGGTATACCAGTTTGTTTATTTATAGATGAGAATCTTCATGAATCAAGGATTGGCAATAGGGTAAAAAATATTTTTTTCCTGAAGACAATCATAATATTTTTTAAGCATATCTGTGAAAATGATCCTTTTGACGAAAACGGGCTTGTGAAAGTCCTCCGCAACTGCGCAATAAACTGCAAACCTCTTCAACTCAACGCCACCAGGGTTCGGTAATTTGAGCTCAAGCTAAAACTCATTTTGGCTAGACGCTCAAATTTCCTCAAATTGAGAACTCAAAGTGACTTGAGAAATCATTTTGAGAAGATTTGAGAGTTTTGAGAGTTTTGAGTTTTTGGGAGATTTGAGAGATTTGAGTTTTCAAAACTCAAATTAAGCGAGCGCTTCCTTGATTGGCTCATGGATCGCCAGAATTGATTTTTAACACGAGCTCTCATCTCTGAGTTCTCAAAACTCAAATTAAAAAACGTGAGTCTCAAGCTTTGTTTCCTTGAGTTTTAGCGCGAGCTCAAATTACCGAACCCTGAACGCCACCTTTATTGACAAATACGGACTGTTTGTCAGGAGTGAGGAAATTTGGCATGAGGAAAAGGGAGAAAATAAGACCTTTGTCTACGTAGGTCCAAGATCCTGTGAATCGTCCCAAATGGATAGTGGTTTCATTCTCGAAAATTTCAATCAAAAAGAAACTGGGATCCCATGGTGTTTTTGGCAAGAAAATGGTATACTTGTTCATCATATTTTCTTCTCTTATCAATCATTTTCAGATCCGTACACATTTGCCCTTCATCCCTCTTTTGGAATCACGCTCGTTCGAAAAAGCTAGTAAGTTCATTTTTTCAACAAAAAAAAAAGATTCGAAAAAATTTTAGTGCACGAGCAATTTGCGTGGCGAGGAAATTTGTCGATGTTGAAAGTGCTTCATTTGAGCCATTTCAAATTCCGTACTGACAAGTTGAGAATCAAAGTTTATTTTTCTTCTATAAAATAGATTAAACAGTCAATCTCAATCTTCTTACAAAACATGTCTTCCAAATGCATGTGCCTTTTAAAACGCTCTAGAATAATTTTAAAACGGCATCTCTTCATCAATTTCCTTATCAAAATTATAAACTCGAAATGATGTTAGAATATTGACTTAGATTCTAGAGCCGTTGCCCGCATACTTCCAGTGTAGCTCATTTTTCTTCCGTACATTTTTACATCCAAAGAATCCGTGTCCGAATCTAAAAAATCAGGGCCTTGTAATTCGTCAGCGCTTACGTTGTGAAACATAGGAGCATCTCCTTTTCGCCGAAATAAATCGCTCGTAGTTAAGCGCTGGATTTAGTGGCATGGCTCCTATCGAGTCCCTCCTGATTGAATCCCTCCTGCTCGTGTCCAAAGAGCACTTGCTCTCGACAGACTGTTTTCTCGAAACCATCATTCGAGAAAGCCCGTAAACAGAGCCTCTCGGGCTCTTGGCCAAATTGTAGATTGATCCCTGACAAGAAGGAAAAAGAGAATTGACTGGAGAAGGCGCGCGGGAGTTGACGGTTGAATTCAAGAGACACTGGTTCTTGAGATCAGCGATGTACTGAATTATTAATCCACAGAGCTTTCCACTTGAATAAGGTACCTGCTGGATGGTTTCTAGCATCAAGGAGTAGTTGCTCGAAATTGGGCCTTTTTGGTATTCGCCCTAAGTGTTTAAACTCTCTTTTGGTCCGTTTTTCGAGTCGAAAGTTGGTTCATTCTTACCGGTAAGCTTTCGAATATTTCTTCAATCTTCGATTTTAACAAATAATCATTCAATTTCTTCACCGTCGATTCTCTAACACTCGATTTTTTCCTCATTTCGCCGTCTTCATTGACTCATTATCGATGAAAGAATCGGTTAAGATGAATTTCTAGCTCTCTTTAATCAATTTTCCTTCAAGCGAATTTTTCCAACAAAGACACTCAATTCCCTCGCAGCAAAATATTTCTCTACTTTTTTGGCAACAAAAGCTGTTTCCCATTTAAATTTTGAACTACAGTCTTCTTTATTACACGTCAGCGACTTGCTTCGACTTGATCACTCATTCTTGGCTAATTTAAAAGTCCACTGCAGCGAACCAACGATGAATAAAAAATCTAAACCACTCGACCGGTAGACTTATGAATCTTAGCAAATATTTTATTGATCAAATAAGAAAAGAATGTATAAAACCACTAAGTCAGATAGTCAAAACTCGTCAGTAAAGGAGGATAAGCATTTTTTTATCTCAGCAATATCCCTGGGCAATCATAGCTTCGGCTACCTTCTTGAATCCAGCACAATTCGCTCCGACCTACAAAATTGTTTTTTTCTAGTAAACTTATTTTCTTACCATATAATCGCCAGGATGACCAAGATCTGAGGCGGTATCAGAAACAGTTCTCCAGATGTGAGTCATCGTTGATTTCAGTTTTTCATCAAATTCTTCCTTTCAAAAATCTCTCAAGATCGACACTCAAATCTGACTCTACCTCTGACCAGTTAAGTCGCTGAGAACTCTGAGTCATTTCAAAGCCAGAACCGACAACTCCTCCGGCATTCGCCACTTTTCCCGGGAAAAAAATGCAATCTTTCGATTTGATGAATTCTATGGCTAGGGTTTTTCACGGGAGCGCGCGGGGCTCGGAACGCTTTCTGACCGCGATTGCCGTTATCACTTTTTCTTATAGGTTTTATATAAAAATTTAGGACAATACTAAATCGAGGATGAGGATTAATAATATGCTATCAAATTTTAAGTTTTCTCCGAAAAAAGGCGAAAAAATGGAAATTTTAGTGAAAAATCTTCACTTTAACACTGAACACACTCAGACACAGTCTCGATTTTTGAATATGATCAATCTCAAGCATAAAGAATTCACCTCTTAAATTTTTGGATAGCCGAAAATAGCCGGTCTCCAAGAAATCCGCATTTAACTAGAACTTTTTGAGTTACAAAAAAGTCAAGTCATTTATAATTTCTCACTGTGATTCTGTTTGCGACTCTGTCCTTCATTTCAAGATTGAGTTTTCTAGTTTCGTTGAAATCAAGTTGAAATGAAGAAATGTGGAATAATGACTCATTGAAAGATTTGAAAGGAAAATTAGGAATAATCGCCAATGGATATGGTTTAGATAAACTACTGGCTTTCAGAAGGCTCTACCATGCACTGGCTATTGAGCTCTCAATCAGTTTTTAGAGCCATTGCTGATTGGGGAAATGGACGAGTTCCGCTTACAGCGTTTTTAGCAAATTTGGGAAAGACATCATCATGGAAAGCAAAATACGGGTTGCTGGTCACATGCATTCTATTACTCGTGTTTTGTTGCTGATAATCAAGCTCGATCTTATCTTTTGTCGGAATCGAAAAAAAAATTTATGATGGAAAAGTCTGAAGTTCAAAATCCCTTCCGAAATCAAAATATATTTCAAAAGTAGTGTCAAAGACAATGTTTTGTACGTAAATCCGGTCGTTGTTCAAAAAAGCATTGATGAAATATTCGCATTCATCATTGTTAGTTCCGAAAGGATTCGAGTAACCGAAGTCGTGAGGAGCGTATAAGCCAGAGAAACAACGCGATTCTCGATCGTACTTGACCAGAGATCCGATCCACTCATTTCCAAGAGTCAAAAATTTGCCTTCTTTCTCGAGTAAAAGGGAATACTGCATGTTCGACAAATCTATGCTCCTCGAAACGAGAATGAGCATCAGTTGTCCGAGATCTATCTCGAGTGGATTTCAGAAAAAACGAAAAAATACCGACAAAATTCTTTCGAATCCATTCCAAAGGAATAACATGCACGGGGTCAAAATCACGGAACATTGACGGCACAGCGATTTCATCCTTTCGCCACCCTTTTTCGAGCTCCTCATTTTGTCTGATTGAGTTGAGAGCGACCACTTTTGACAATGTGATCCAGTTCCTACCCAACCTGATGCTCATCAGAAAGAATTTTCCGCCAAAACTGACCGAAGAAGTTTTCGCATTGAAATGATTGCTCGCGATATAGCCTTGCGATGACATACATAGAGAAAATTCAATTTGAACTAACCTTGTGCGGTTTCGAATCTGTTTAGATTATAATCAGGTGCGTAATAAAAACATTTATCTTGCCGATTTTCAGGAGAGCTTATATTGATCAAGATAAGTAAAGAATTATTTAATTTGAGTCTTTGCTATTGACCTTTTCCAGATAACAATCGTCGAAAAAACAGTCGTGTTCTTTTCCTTATTTCTGATCGTTATTTTATGAGTTCCAATAGACGATCCGAAATGAAAGTGGTAATTGCCAGTACTATAATGCTCTGATTAGCAAAATCCGGGCTATTTTTTAAACTTCGAAACCTCTGATAAACACGATTTTCAATTAACAGAGTATTCCTTCCACTTTCAATGACTCGCATCAAATTTCCTTTTCGGTCGGCCAAGTAGTGTTCTCCATTGAGAAAGGTAGCGCCTAATGCGTAGTTGGCAAACATATCATCGTCTGGAAAAACGATGCTCTTATTTTTCCCCTGATCCGGTGAAAAATCGACTAAGACGACATCGCCTTCATGAAGCTCTGCTTTTGTTTCTCCTCCTTTCTTCCGACTATAATAGCCTTTGTCTTTTCGCATTCATAAAATGGACAAGGACATCCGCTTTTGCAATATTTCTCAGTCGGGCAAACATCTCCAGCAGAATCAAAAGATCTGGTCAATTGAAAGCAGACTGATTCACATGGCGTGATTGGATGAGTCCTCGTTGATTTCAGGATCAATGTTTTTGAGCAGAGATGGCAGCAAACTTTTTGGTCGTAAAACTTTTTCTTCTTGCAGCGTCGCAGATTTACTTTGTTTTCTTCTTCAGAGAAAACGATCAGTTCGCTTTCTTCTGGCTTGATGACGGCAATCGGCTTCGGAAGGATGAATTCTTGTGTAGCGAAGCATTGCTTCATCAGATGACCACAGATATCCATTGATTCGAGTTGAACGCACTTTTTGTAGCTTTGATGGCAAGTTGATGTCAGAAAAGTAGTTTGTTGTTTGGAGTTCTCCAATGAAGCAAAATTCGCTGAAAAAATTTTTAAGATTCTCGCAAAATTGAGATCATAGTCTATGATTCATAGAGTAAAACTACCTAGAAGCATGATTGTTATCCAGAAGAGCGAGCCAAGTCCTAAGTAAGTATACTTTTGCTTGTCGGTGGAGTATCCATGCTCCGCCAGGCTCACTTTTTTCTTCCATGATTTTTCTTCCTCGAAATCGACCATTTGTGTATTGATCTTTCTTGTGGATAGGATTTCTTCGGTGAAGAGATAGACTTTGTCACCAACTTTGCGCACTGTTCCGAAGCAATGACAATCCAAACACTGTATTTTCATTTTGCTTAAACGATTGTAATTGTCATCGTCTTGTTCTTCACAGAGCGAATTTTTCATAGCATCAACTTTCTCTTCTTTACTTCTGCTCAAGTTTGTTGCTCACCGTTAAAGCACCCAGGAAAGGTATCATTCAAAGCCGAATTGGCATTCAGGCCTGCTTGAAAACGTAAATCTAAATCTGACGGCTTATCTTTGCTCTTTCCAAGAGAGGAATTTGAAAACAACAAAGAGTATTTCTGGAACTCGATTTTATTTGGAAGCAAAAAAGTAATTTAATTTCAGAGACAATTTTCAGACAAATGCTTGGTCCCCATCCACGTGACGCAATGCCACCACTACAATTCAAAATCAGGAAAAGAAAAAGGTTGAATTTGAGAACCTATTGGTTGTTTGGACGTATTTGCTTCGTTTTGTAAAAGAGTTTTCGCAGAAGGGACGCAATTTTTGCAGAAATGGTCTTTTTTGTCGATGAAATCTGCGTAAATCTCGCAGTCAGAGCATGTCTAGAGAAAATTTGCTCACATCGCCAACGGGTAAAATTTAATTTACCTCATGAAAGGCTAAATGTCCACATTTGGGTCCCAAATTGAATTGCTGCAGATAATTTTGAAAGTATTCGACGTCGACTGAATTCCAGCAAATACTCTTTTGCTGAAAAAAACTCAACATTTGTTCCATCAGCTTTTTTTGGTGTACCTTTTTGTATTTGTCTTCTTGTTGCGAAGAGCTTGGATTTTTTCCAGAGCCGGGGCGGATAGATTCGTTTTTGACGTCGTTTAGGTTTACTGTTTCGTAGATGAGGGTGGCTTCGGTCGGATCTTCGTCATAATCGGATAGGTCAGATGGTGCGCTTGACACTGCTCCCATCTTGTTTAAGTTCGGCTGAATTGAGGGATAATTTCTCAAAAAACAGTATCAAAGATACAGTCTTTCAAGAATAATGAACTAAAAGGGATTTCACAAAATCTGCAATGAAACTTTTTTGAACATTTTATTCAAAATTTTTCCCAAAGAAACAGTAGATTACGTCAATTCATCAATTAATCTGGTCACGCCCTTATTTAATTCAATAGTAATATCCCAGTTTGAAGTATTTTAGCCAAAAAACTTCGGATTGTATTGCACCAAATAACGCTCTGATACCCTTAATTCCGATTCTACCTGTTATGTTCGCAACATAGTTTCTCGGAGCAATCAAAAATTCTTTTTCAATCTCTTTTTTTTTCGCCCGAAAAAGTATCTTTTCTCAAATAGCGCAGAAGGTTAACAAACCGTCCCAGCAAATGCGAAACTAAATAATTCAACAGAAGAGGAGCAATCTGCCAAGCTGCTTGTCAGTTGAGATCCATTCGACGCGAATTTACGACGCGCAATTTAATTCACTCGAAATATACTTTGCCGAAAATATATAGATCTCTGCCAGTATCAAATATTAAAAGAACGCTCTTCTCTTTTTCAATATCGGATAAGAAGATACAGAACAAAATCGACAAGATACAGATAAACGTCGGAATAATAAAATGTCTTTATCTCAAATTTTGCTGATCTTTTTCGGTCATCTTCAGTTGGGCTCAATAACCTGTTAGAAAAAACCTGAGTCCGATTTTTAGTCCTGTCAGGTGTCTAGAACCGACAAAAAATTTCGACAAATTTTACGTGGAAATTTTCAACCAACCAGAAGCCTTGATTTGGCAAAAAGGCTAATTCGCAGCCGAGTAGCCGCCCACGCAAAAATTGTCGAAATTTTTTTTGTCGGTTCCAGACACCTCCCCCTAGAAAGACCTTATACTTCAGATTTGGCTTGGCGACTTGAAAAAAACCTTAGTCAGGGTCTAAAAATGAAAAATGAAATCCGCTACGCGACTTGGCATAAGAGTTCTTGAAAACTCTAACTCAGGTTTTTTACACAGGCTACTAACACAGGCCTAGTCGACACTTCAAAAATACTTACAGTTTTGAGCTTGTTTTTCTTGAATCTCAATCTCTTCTTATTTATGCGAAAGTAAGTCTTGCAGGAATTTTTGTTAATGAAAATCAGAAAAATAAAAGAGAAGTTTGAAAAACGATGAAAATGAAAAACGAAAGTGGTCTGTCAGAAGGAATTCCATCGCAGAAAGCTGCTGCAATCGATACTCTACAAATCTTTAATCGCTAAAAGGGATGATCACGGCCTTCCTCCTTTCTTTCCTGAGAGCCTCGGCGCATTATTTACCAGCGCAGATCCAGCATTAAACTTTTACAGTCTAATTCGATTGCAAATCGCCAAATACAGTCGTGAAACTGAGGGGCATTCAAAATTATTCCGATGTCAAAATATTTTTATGCATTTTTTATGCGGCCGGCTTTTTCACTTATCTTTCTTCGCGTTATTTTATCAGATCCTCTTTCTTTTTTTTTCATCCCAACCCTTGTTTTTTCATTAAAAATGGCGAAAACGAAGCGAGAAAGAGCAAAAAAGATCGAAAAGGACCCGATTGGAGAGCTGAAAATCATCGCGAAAGGTAGAAGTCTCCAATTGTGGCAGGGTGAAAAAAAAATTTTTTTTTCTGAATGGCTCATCTGAAAGAGCTTCTCAAACTGTATAAAAAACGTTTTTACAGTCTGCCCAAATCTTTGAAATTTTCGAGATTTGGACTTGTCAGAGGTGGAAATTCCGAAATTTTAACTGCTCGTAGAGCAAAATTTTTCCATAACAAATTTTTTTTTCTATTTTTTTTCGGAAACTCTATAGTCGAATCTATGTGCTCGCGAAAATTGAAGCAGATCGGGCAACATTTGGGCTGCAAAAATTTTTTTTTGAGGATTAGTTTTGCATTAATTTTGCAAATATAAAGCATATACTTTTATTTAATTACAAACTACAAAAAATTAATCAAATAATGCTCTAAAGTCACTTGAGGTCATTTGAGGTCATCTGAGGTCATTTGAGGTCAACTTTTTTTTGCCGGTAAATTACATATTTTTATTTATTTGAAACATGAAAACGATTATTTTATCAATTTTAAAAACAAAAAATAATTTTTATACCGTGCATATGTGTAAGATGCAAATAAAAAAGCACTTTAAACTAAAAAGAATGAGGCATGTTGTGTTTGTTCCTTCTCGTTTTGTTCTTCTTTTAAAAATCTTCTCAGTCAGAAAATCCAGGCATTCTGCGATGAAAATTTCCTTAATATTTTTAAAATTTAAAAAATAAAGATACAAGCAATTACTTTTTTTTCTCGACGGCATAAGAGAGAGTTTAGAGCAGTCAAAGAAGATTGTTTGACGATCTGAAACTTTAACACTGAGGATTTCGACCATATTTTTCATGTTTATAAATACCTTTCTTTCGTTTAGGAAGACTCCGTGGTTCTGGATAACTGTCATTCGCTGTTAAAATTTGTTTTTCGACGCTCTATTAAAAATAATTTAAAAGGCAAAGATTTCAGATAGTAAGATATTTGAAGTTACTGTAAAATATTCTTTATTTAAGGACTTGTTTGCTTAATATCCATTTTTCGAAAAGAATGATGCCGGGGGCAGGGTCCTTAAATCTAAGCTTCTATGAGTATCCTCAATTTTACCTGAATAATTGAGACGATTAATTGACGAGCATAATTGTCTTTCAGATGAACTTTATCTGGCGAAAAAAAATGCTGTTTGAGGCTTCTGAAGAATCGGTACTCAAAAACATTCAATTTTTTAGTTCTATTTCCAATTAAATGAAAACCTCTTCCTGTTTTACTCGATAATAGTTAGCTAAGCTAGGTACTTTTGCACTTAATATCTTCTTGAGCCATTTTTGTGTTGATTCTTCAATTGTTCTAAGCGGCTTAGCAAGTGGAAAAGGTTGAACAAAGAGGATTTTTCTTGCATTCGTAAACAGCGATGTAAGGGTTCTATGTAAAACCTTTGAAAAGTTCTTTTATTTTTATTTTGTTAATTATCTTTATAATCGGACATAGATAAAAAAAATGTTCTTGCGACGATTTAGATAGAGAAAGAACTATCCTGAATTGCTTTATCTAGGTCAACATCTTGGAATGCCAGTGTTGATGCCTTCAGAATATTGTTGTGTCCAGCATAGACTAGAACTGTTCCGGAGACGCGCGAATGACAATTTGTATGGCAATTTTCGCATAAAAATCTCTCCGGTAGATTTTCACCATAGTTCCAGGCATTCCGGCTCTTGATTTGAAGAATTGGTCTTCTTTCCTCATCGCAGATTTGTCCTACTTTCATCAGGACTGCTAATTCAGTTAAACAGGCACCAGAATATGACGTAATAATCCAGTTTTTTCTTTAATTTGTGTTTTCCGAAATATTTTATCTAAAGTGGTGTTTGAATAATTTCTTACTTTAGCTAATGAAACACATATATAAGGGGACTCCGCGGAAAACCAAAAGCAGGTCGCACCCTCATATTTTGAAAATTTTTACGCGTCTACTTAAAGATCTCAAGATGCTCATTCAGAATCGCGATTAAAAATTGTATCGGGGGCATCGGGATATAGATATGATGGCCGCCGAAAAGAGGCCCACAAACCATAAAATCGAATTTTTCTCGAATTCCCAATACCCCCGATATGATGTTTATTCGCGATTCTGAACAGGCATATCAAGAGCTTTAAGAAAATGTGTTCAAAATTATCTCTCCATAAGGACGCCCCCATTAAAGTATTTTTTCCGCGTAGACCTAACTGTTCTATCATCTTTTTATATTCAAACAGTCCTGTGAATCTCCGAGAAGGAAATTTGTTTTTTCGTATCCGAAGAAACATGGTCGGCGCCAGCACTCTCGTTCATGCCCTTTGAACCATAAAGACTCCATAACTAATGTATGATATTAAGGATAGAACATGGATATTATGGATAGAACATCGGCTGAGCGCGGCTGCCCGTTTAGCGCCCCGCCATGACCGTTTTTTCAGAGACCCGTCAAATCTGAACGGTAAATGATTTTATCTTTATTATTTTTGCTTTATGATCATCAAAGCCTATTCTTTTATACAAACAATTTGAAAATATCAAAATGGGATAACTTGGTCAAAGTCTCGGAATGAGAGCGACTCTTTCAAAGCCCTCTATAAAAATCTAAAGATTTATTTTGAAACTCAGACTAGAAATAAAAGGAAAGTAGAAGTGAAATAGAAGACTAAAAGTGAAGAAGTCGGAGCTCTACAAAATCGAAGAATATAATTCATCGTTCAGATTAGACGGGTCTCTGAAAAATAGATAACGACGGGGCGCTAAACGGGCAGCCGATCTTATATTTTACGCTTAAGATGGAGAAAACAATTTTTCAATTAACTAGTTTTCCATTTTTCTAACATAGATATTGCGCTCATTTTTCTGACCTGTGTCGAGGCATCACCCATGTTCCGTTATGAGAACATACAGACAGTTTGAATCGATGATAAATATTAAATATCTTCTGTGTTTCAGGATTTGATTGAAGAATGGCTGTTTTATTTTATAGTCACACGGGCAATAAAAAAAATTATAAGCATTCTGAATTCAATGATTTGATTTCTTCTTTCTTTTGCCTTTCTTTTACTCACAGAAAAGAGAATTTCAAAAACAAGAATTAACAATTAGGAATATTTGTATTTAACAACGAGGAAAAAAAATGTAATCGTGATATTTCCAGATCAGGAAAAACGGACTCTTTTCGATTCAGCATTGACTTCACTTGAATGCTGTGCGACTCTTTTTGATGGAGTTGTTTTATTGCACACCCAATGACTTAAATTTATGAACTGTATTTATTAATATTGCCATACTTAATTTTTTTGAGTTGATTTTCCTTGATCTCAAGAATATTCGACGATGTTATTTCTGGTGTTCCAGCTTTGAATTCTTGCTCAATTCTTTAATAATTTTTATAAATAATTTTAAGCAACAAATAATTTTAAAGATTTTTTTTAACCTGTTGAGCACATAGACCGCGCAATCACGATTCGTTTGCGGAACATTTTCGCGTTTTTTCTTCCAAGGGCCCTGATCATTCAGAATTTTTCCAATAGTATCAAGAAGTTTTTTTTTCGAACTATCAATGGCGTTTTGATAATTTCCAATAGCCCCATTTGTATCATAGACAGTAACTGAGCGAGATTTGACATTAACGATCAAGAGTGCCGCGTGGTTTTCATCTTTTGATGACAGCAATAATGGTGCACAAATTTTTTTTCGTTTCTTAAGGCTTGGGTCATTATAAGTGCCTTGAGTCATGTTTCCGACGGAAGATGTAGGATATGAGCAAAAATCTGTTTCTCGAATTTTAAATTCGGACAAGATAACGATTTTGACCCCGGACTTTGGAAATTTCCGCTTTCAGAGAAGATTTTGATATTTCGCTTAAGAAAAACAGAAAATTAGGTTTTAAAGCTCTAGAGTCACACCTTTGGCGGGCCACAGGGTAGAGGATACTGACTGTTTTATTTGTATTTTCTAATCTTAAGAGCGCAATCTTAATCAGGGTTCTCTAGAGCATATAGCCCTGTTTTAGTTAATGACGTTCGGTCGTTAAAACCCTTAACTGAGCTTGAATATCTGTTGCAGAGTAGACGTAATCGCTGATTGTTTGTTTGTTTGATAATTCTCGAAGATTGACGGGTCTTCTTTGAGGCTGATTTTTATTATCAATAATTATTGTTCCGTCTTTCTGTCCGATTTTTCTGGAAAATGTGTTTCCAGAATTTCGAACACAGAGACTAATTTTTCCACTGGAACAGAGATCGCAGCTGCAGACTATGTCTTTTGCATAAAGAGCTCCTCTTGCTGCGTCGAAGTTTATCATACGAATCGATTTAATTGACGGTATGTTGAGATTTACGGAAGATTTCGTGGTCTCTTCATTTTTATTCTTGAGAATGGCATATTCTCGCCCAGCAAAATTTTGTTTTGCGCGTTTTTCTTTTTCTTCTGTCCGCAGCTTCTGCTCATTTTCCTTCAAGAATCCGAGGCATTCATCAAGAGTACCACAGCGATTTACAAGTTTCGCATTTTTTATCGTGGTAGCGCAGTGACTATGGGCGCCATCGACGAGGCCTCAGAATTCTAGAATTAGTTTCGCGGAAAAAATACCTTTTCCATGGCGGCTGGTTTTGAAAATATAAGTTCTCCGCAGGCCATCGTTATTTGAAATGGCATGGTGAAAATGTTCCCTCGATTTGAATTCAGAGCTCGCATTATGTAAAACAGGGTTCGGGAAATTCAAAGATCTTATAAATCCGCAAGATCGAAATAGACCATTACCTACCGACGAGCCATAATGGAATTATCGTCAACATTAAAATGCAAATTTTAACCCTTTCGAACCCTTTCAGAAATCCTGTTAATGACTGTGAAATTTATGTTTCGATTTTTAAAATTTTCAACAATCATTTTTTCCGCCTCAATCGGCGCTCCGGCAAATTTCTTCTCCATAAGAAAATGAAAGTATTGCATTTTTTGTATTTCGTTTTCATTCCATCGAGCGACCGCCGTTAAAACGTTACAATTCAATCCAAGGCGCCCGGCTTGAAGATATTCATGCTATTTTTAGGGTTCATGTAAACAAGCCAAGCGAAATTAATGAATTTTCTGATCCCGAACTGTGACGCAGTATTATTTTGAAGAACAAACGTCGAGGCGTAGTCAAGCTTTCCACGGGTCTCAGAAAGTTCTTGCTTATAGACACACTTGACGTATTCATTCGATACAATTTAAGACCCTCGGCTCAAGATGAAGACTCCCTGGCTTAACATCTCCATGTTCATATACTTTAAGATCTTCTTTATTTCTGCTCTTGTCGATGCTATGGGCAAGTGTTTCTCTCGTCATACTTTTAAGCTGATCGAAGAATTGCCGTATTGGCATTTTACCGCGAGTTTCGCTACCAGAAACAAAAGCTGTCTCAGCTTTAACTCCAGCTTTGAGGAGTTCGAATCTGTCAAAGGCAACGGTCTCGTCAGGATGCATTTGTACGACTTTTTCGAATATTTCTCGATCAAAGTCTTCCATAAATTCATCCGGACCAACGCAACTCTTGTGAGTGCAGTCGCTGCAGGATGTTGAATTTTTTGGGTGAACAAAGCAACTTGTCTTCTTTTTACGATCAGTGACACAATATTGTTTGTCCGTTGTTGCACAGGTGCTCCTTTCCAAGATTTCTTTGAAATTGAAGCCTGCCAATGCGGGAACGTCTTATGGAGGGGGGCTTTTTTATCCTCAAGATCTTGTTAGGACCTGTTAACGGATTCTGCGATGAACTGTGATATCTAAGAAAAGAGTCTCCTGTCCTAATTTCTTTCCAAGGCTCTGCGCAGCCTTCTCATAAGTTCCCTTGTTAAGGCAGGACTAATAAATGGTCTTAATCATATCATGGTGTGATTTCCATTACAGTGACAATAAATTTATAATAATTCACGATTTAAGACCCTATCTCGCAGGCGCATACAACTTGCGTTGTACGTGAGGGCGGAATGTAGTAAAATGGAGTCATACTTTTGAACTCCTTCAAAGTTAGGTGTGTAAGCTGTGGATATTCACTAATAAATTCAGCGTGAAGTTCTTCAAGAGTTTTTTTCAGTATTCTTCTCGAAGTGGTCAGAGACTGAGTCGTTGGTCGTAGCAAGTCAATTTTATGGGTTCGCGTATCACATTTTTCACGAAGATATTTCAAGACAGTGCGGTCAAGAATTAAGGATTCCCTTAGAGTTGCTTTCTTTTGACTCGGATCAATGAAAGCTCTCTCGTCAAGAAATGCGTCTATTGCCGAAACAAATATAGGATTATAGACATGATGGAGATCGTAAAATTCATTAATTTTATAATCCAATCTAATGAAATATTCGCGGATTTGATCTGATTGAAATTGGCATAATTTTCCCCAGATTCTTTTTCATCTGCAAGCTTCTTCAGTTTCTTTTTCTAAAGCGAGGTCGCTCAACTTTCCGATATTTATAATAGGGTGTTTTTCCATTTACTCTATCAATATTGTTTTGGACTTTTTGACCGGTCCTTAATTCCAAATGTCGAGGAAAGAACATGAATTCTTTCTTGCGAATTATTTTCTTTTAATACCGCTTTTAAAATCACGTTCTCATTTTTCCAAGTTGATTTGTCAAGCATATTTTTCATTATTTCACTAGAATTATAATCTTTTATAAATTGTTCTATTCTTTTATAAAATTTTCTCTTCACAAACCTTGGTAAAAGCTGCATTTTGATGAGAGTATTTTGATTCTGCTCACTCAGGTTTTGCATTTCACTTTTAATTTCCTCGGTTGTTTTCAAAGTTGACAGAGCTTCCAAAATACTTGGAACGGAAGATGTACTGGCAATTTCTTCAAGTGCACCTATCAAGTTTTCTTTTTCAAGTTCAAGCCGCTCAGCGGGATTTTCATCTATCCAATCAGGATCAGAGTCATCTTCCTCAGAATTCGTCGTTTTATTCTTTTTAAGAATAGAGCGAGGCTGAATGTTTAGTTCCTGCTCTTGGTTCTGTTCAACACTTCCTTCCTCTTCTCTAGAGGCGCGTGATATTTTTTCGAGACGAACGTCAGCATCCAAATGCTCTATCGTTGATTTTGATAGAATCCCGACTTCTTGAGGCATAAAAAGCATCTGCTCACTTGCCTCGACATTTTTCGTTAACACTGTAGGCAAATTTTTTGATGAATGCGGTGCCTCTTGATTTTCAAGAAGATAAGGCTCTTCAGATGATTTTTGCACCCTGACAGGTTCTTCTCTAACAGCTTGAACTAGACCGGAGCCGAAGTCATCTTTGTGATTACTCACGTGGTCTTCAATATGCTCTAATGGGATCCTCTGGCAGCATATAAAGCAGGTTGGCAAAACGCATTGTCTGATCTCATGCTGTCGTTTTACCCGGCCATTCTGTTTTGTTGGACGACTTCCACAGCATTTGTAGGCATCTTTTCTCTTCAATAGCTTCACATCATAGTCTTTGCTTGTGACGGAAGCCGTACAGTTACCAAGGTGATTATTGTATAAATCCAAAGAAGAAAAGTGCTTTTTGCAATCTTATTTTTGATAAGAACACAGCATACTTAGACAATCCTGATAATTATTATCTTTCCTGTGCAGACTCGACCAGAGCATATTTTAACATGATCATGAAATGCTGAGGCAGTAGAAGATGTTGGAAAATTATTTCCACATTTACGACAACAAGAGTATCCTTTGATGGATTTTAACAGCGCTCAAGCTAAAAAGCTAGACAAGTCCTGGGATTGAACAACGGTTTCCCGCGTCCGGCCGGGGTGTGCTACCACTGGATCAACTCGCCGAGATCTCTATCGAGATTTTGAAATGATACTCTGAACGGTCGGGCCTGAGCGCTGCTAGGACCCATCACCTTTATAATTGGACAATTTAATCGATGGACGAGACGTCGGTCCATTGTATCTATTGGGTTGTAAGCGGTCGTTTGGGCAGACAAGTAAAGATAGAAAAATTTTTAGGTAAAATATTTTTCATTCTTTGAAGGTCTGTTCAAAAGGCCGCCTACCACCCTTTTTGTATTAAGCTCTTTAACTAAAAACTTTGCAAAAAGTTTTTCTGCTTCTTTCGCCGTAAAAGCGGGAGAAGATTTCAGCTTAAGAATGTTAGAAAATTCTTAAAAAAAAACGATTATACCTTTGAGAGAATATCACCTAATTTTGACTTTTTCTTTGACGATATTATCTTTGTCACATCATTGATTATTTTCGTGGCAAGTTTATCAGTCATTGATAGAAAACTAAGCTCTCTTAGAGAGTCTGCAGACCGTTGATCGGTGATTTCGACCGATGCGGCGATCTCGCGGAGCCTACTTCTTGCCAGAGCTTGCCTTAAGCCTGTTGTTTTTGCTTTTGATTCTTTCTTGAACGCGTTTCTTAGGGAACGAGTTGAAGAATTTGTTCTGGTTAATGGAAAATTCTTCGTCCGACTGCACTCAAGAAGACTTGGTCTATGAGTGCTTGGTTTGCGTGCGATTTTTGGAAGCGTGATCGTGTGACATTTTCAGTTTTCGTAAGCGCCTCAAGGTGACCATTTTGCGATTGTTTTATCATTTCCATCGTTTCTTCGTGATCTTGCAGATATTGATTCTCCGGTGTGTCCATCGAATTTTGAATTTCTGTCCCGTTGACATGATTGTAAGTGTAGTCGGAATCTTGTATATCCTCACTCACATTTTCATGACCATAACTTTGCAGGTGCGAAGAGCAATCTGCTTCCGCTCCTAATTCATTCACTGAAGACGTCGATAATTGAATTTCTGAATCCTCATCAATCGTAAGAGAACTTATATCTGGCACAGAAGGCGCTCGTTCGTTCATTATGTCGAAATCTGATGAAGATGGTACACTTGGAACGCATCCGTTCATTATGTCGAAATCTGATGAAGACGGTACACTTGGAACGCATTCGTTCATTGTGTTTATATGGTCAAGATCAGGGTCTCGAAAAATACGAGGCCAGGCGGCAGCCACAACCCACTCATACTCTTTTGGTTTCCACCTCTTAGAGACCCACCTCCGCTGGCCGCCAGGGTTCAGCGGCCACTTGGTGATTCATCTTGCGTTAACGCGACCCAGTCCGAATTTTACATTATCCGAGGCTGAAATTCGGTCTCCAGTGGAATCCAGCGGCCAGCGGCTGGCTTTGCCGCCAGAGCGTGGATTCGAAAAATGAATGGAGGCCGTAAGCGAAGGGCGCGCGGAGTATGAATAAATCCTCGCCGCCGCATGGCTGCCAATTTTTCGAAACCCTGGTCAAGATTCATCACACTTGGAACTCGACCATAAAAACCTCCGTTAAATCAGTCAGTTCAGAGTTATTCGCCTGAACCTCATCGTGGGAATAAACAGAAATGGTGTCAATATTAAGAATTGACGGAGCTGTGCCAAGCGGTTCATTTAGATTATCAAGTCTCTCGAGATCAAGAACACTGAAATGCAAAATTAACTTTAATTCAATCAATCTTGAACGAATAAAAACCTTGGTACTTGAAGAAGATTAACAGGAGCTTCATTGGGGTCAAAGTCATAGTTAGACACAGCATCAATAGAATCGATATTCATGACGCTTGGCGCTGGACCAAGTGCGCATAAATCATCTGGTGGTGGTTCAACAGGCATCATAGAGACGCCAAACTCGGACATCGTCTAAATACTTTAACAATTAATCCTTATCCAAGATTTTATCGAACAAATTGCTTAAGGGTAACAATCACGTAAAAAATAAGGAAAGAGTGAAAGAAAAGGATAAACATCGTAGAACATTGACATCATAACAGAACTTCTCATCCACGACGACGACTTAAAAAAGAAAAATGAACTCCACATCATATAATTCGATTTTACCACAAGTTTTTTGGAAACAACGATGTGAGAGAGACAAATTTTCCACACAGTAATTCGTAATAACCCTGATGTCGTCCACCTTGATTGTAAGATCGTCTTATTCTTTGTTGGAGACGTAGCTCATCATATGCACGATGAAGTTGATATATTCTGTAGTCTAAACACCTCGTCATTTCCAAAACATCTATTGTTTCTTTAGATATTTGATTCCAATTTGAAGGCTTGTCAAGTTTTTGGAAGAAAAAACTTTTAACCAATCGTTCAGCTTTTAATCTGAGCCATTCTTTCGAAGAGATCGTCTTAAATATAACAGCAAGCTCAAGAGGCCTCTTAACCATAAATTTTGCAATTTCTCGATCGTCTAGATCAGAGCTGGTTATTTGATAACTGTCGTCACTCGAAAAGAAAAAGAATTAATTTTTAGAGAAATTTTGGAGACTTTTAAAGCGCTTACTTCTATTATCTTTTTTCTAAAGCTTTCTGAAGATGATTGAACGAGACGAACGCGAAAGATAGAAAAACGACGCGTAAATATTAATTCGCACACTAAAATTTTTTTTGACAGATCATAGGACGCGAATTCGACAGCCATGATCCCGATTATAATCGAAAATTCATATGATAAGCGGTACCGCACATTCAAAAGAGCAATTTATGACAGGCCCGCCCTGAAAATGGAAAACGAAAAACGACTCGACAGTCATAGTGGCTTCGGTTCTTTCCAATATATCTTCTAATGCCCTGTACATTTGCTTTGGAGCAAACTCAGGGAGTTGGCTTTGCACGACACGAGACATCATAAAGGTAAGATTCGCCATGGTCCCCGAGCCATCATTTGACACTTCGAAGGAATTAAGGAATCGTGGGATTTTTCCAAGGTATTGTTTTCGAGCATCCATGGTTTTAACTAAGCAGATCAATTTTTATACTTTTGAAGCAATAATCAACGATCAGAAAGCAGAAAAAGCGGGTGTGCGCTCCGCGCCTGTCTTAAAGGAAACCCGCAACTTTCTAGAATTGATGGCCTTGAGGGCGTTGTTGAATTCAGGTTATAGGGACTTTTGCTGATTTCTAAAATGGTCTTTATAGCCTCGATGGCCATGATGTCCTTGATGGCCTTGTCGACAATCTCTTTTTCTTTTATCGCCAGAGAGAAATGAAAAAAATCGGTCAAAACGAAAAACACAAAGAAACCGACTTAAGCCGACCACCCACCGACCAAACCCCACCACCGATCAAATCAAAAAAATCCATGGTAGGATCGTTCGGTGCCAATATAAACCCCACCATTTCCGACTAGGTCGAGTTTTTGGTCGGGTCGATGGCCTTGATGGCCATGCTGGCCGTGATGGCCTTGATTGCCTTGTTGACAATTTCAGGTTCATCCCTATTAAAGGTGTAACGAACGTAAGTGATCTTAATTCTCGGTCCGAGCCAGAGTTGCAGATTTTTGAAAATTTTTGTGAGCTGAGCTAGCTGAGCTGTGGTCGAAATTGAGCTGAGCTGGCCCCTTGAAAAGCAACTGAGCTGAGCTGGATTTTTCGAAAAAATGAACTGAGCTGAGCTGAGCTTGGGCTAATTTGAAAATTTTTGAGCTAAGCTGAGCTGACAATTTTTTTAAGCTGAACTGAGCTGAGCTGGCCCCTTGAAAAGCAACTGAGCTGAGCTGAATTTTTTCGAAAAAAATGAGCTGAGCTGAGCTGAGCTTGGGCTAATTTGAAAATTTTTGAGCTGAGCTGAGCTGACAATTTTTTTAAGCTGAGCTGAGCTGAGCTGGCCCCTTGAAAAGCAACTGAGCTGAGCTGGATTTTTCGAAAAAATGAGCTGAGCTGAGCTGAGCTTGGGCTAATTTGAAAATTTTTGAGCTGAGCTGAGCTGACAATTTTTAAGCTGAACTGAGCTGAGCTGACCCCTTTGAAAACAACTGAGCTGAGCTGAGCTGAGCTGGATTATTTCGAAAAATTTGAGCTGAGCTGAGCTGAGGTTTATCTGTTAGTTTTTGAGCTGAGCTGATGATTTTTCAAACTGAGCTAGCTGAGCTGAGCTTACAATTTTTTCAAGCTGAGCTGAGCTGAGCTAGCTGAGTTGAGGTTAAAATTGAGCTAGCTGAGCTGATCTGACTTTTCTCGAAGAACCATTGAGCTGAGCTGAGCTGAGCTGGCCCCCTTGTAAAGCATCTGAGCTGAGCTGAGCTTGGGCTTATCTGAAAATTTTTGAGCTGAGCTGAGCTGACAATTTTTTTAAGCTGAACTGAGCTGAGCTGACCCCTTTGAAAACAACTGAGCTGAGCTGAGCTGAGCTGGATTTTGCCGAAAAAATTGAGCTGAGCTAAGCTGGGGTTTATCTGTTAGTTCTTGAGCTGAGCTGAGCTGATGATTTTTCAATCTGAGCTTGCTGAGCTGAGCTGACAATTTTTTCAAGCTGAGCTGAGCTGGGCTAGCTAAGTCGAGGTTAAAATTGAGCTAGCTGAGCTGAGCTGACTTTTCTCGAAGAACCATTGAGCTGAGTTGAGCTTGCTTTCTTCAGAAAAATTAAGCTGAGCTGAGCTGAGCTGACCCTCACCTCGAAATCGCTGAGCTGAGCTGAGCTGAGCTGTAGCTCATCTAGCTCATATAGCTCACCTCAGCTAGCTCACAAAATTTGTAACTCTGGTCCGCGCTATTCCGATTTACGGAAAAATGTAAAATGAGGGAATTATAATGGCCTAAATTCCCTTTTATAATTTTAGACTTGTAATAGATATATCTGTTTAAAAAATAAGTCAAACGATAATTATAATAAATAAGTATAAGAAGGACCACCGAACATACTGTTTTTTCAGAATTTTTTTCTGCGCGAGGCCCATCTAGGCCAAAACCGTGGGGGAAGTCTTTAAAGCATACCTTCTGTCTTCGTTTGAATTCTACTTTCTTTGGAGTCAGTCGTTGGCAGGATTTCTTCTGTTTTTGATTTTTTCTGCAATTAACAAGCGTCTTATATAATTTTAAGAATAAATATATATATTTAGTATACCTGTCACTGGTATCGAAAATTATTAACAATCTTTCTCTTAGCTTTCTCTTCTTCTCTTTCAATTTTGTGTGTTTCACAGAATTAACTTTCTCGAAGTGAACTGCCAGCCAGAAATTAGTTTGGAAATTTTTTTTTCATACTGTGATTTTGATTGATGCATCCATTAAATAATCATTAATGAGCGAGGTAGTTCCGGAATCGCGAGCGCATGTGTACACTTCACCGTCGATCGATATTGAAACAAAAAATTTTCAAAATCAAATGAGCAATATTTTTGCTCAAAATTATTATTTTCAAAATTAAAAAAAATAAAAAAATGTAATTTAACGGCAAAAAAAATTGTTCTCAAATGACCTCAGATGACCTCAGATGACCTCAAATGACCTCAAGTGACCTCAGAGCACTATTTGATTACTTTTTTGTAGTTTGTAATTTAATAAAAGTATATGCTTTGTATTTGCGAAATTAGTGCAAAACTAATCCTCAAAAAAAAATTTTTACAGCCCAAATGTTGCCCGATTTGCTTCAATTTTCGCAAGCACATAGATTCGACTATAGAGATTCCAAAAAAAAATAAAAAAAAAATTTTGTTATGGAAAAATTTTGCTCTATGAGCAGTTAAAATTTCGGAATTTCAACCTTTATCAAGTCCAAATGTCGAAAATTTCGAAGATTTGAGCAGACTCTAAAAACGTTTTTTATACAGTTTGAGAAGCTCTTTCAGATGAGCCAATCAGAAAAAAAAAAATTTTTTTCGACCTGCCACAATTGGAGACTTCTACCAAAGCGGTTTTTGTTGGAATTTTCGGCGTCTTTTTGGTTTTTCTGAGAGCAGTTTTCCCTTTTGACGTGTCTGGTTTTGTTGCAGAGAAATGGCAAGATTTTAGATCGAACGTTGTTGTACTAGGAACGGTTTTTCAAAGCGCTAGAAAAGGTTTCAGAGCTAGAAAATCACGAAAAAGATCATTCGACTTTCGATGCTTTTGTCGCTGGAAAAGAATCGTTGGTTGAATTTTACGCTCCTTGGTGCGGCCATTGCAAGAAACTCAGACCTGAATATGACCTCGCCGCGGATCAGTTGAAAGACGAAGGAATTCAAATTGCGAAAATCGACTGCGACGCTGAAATCAACAAGGAAATTTGCGGAAAATACGAAATCGAAGGTTTTCCGACATTGAAAATTTTCGAAAATGGCGAAGTCAAGAGCGACTACTCGGGTCCACTTGAGAGCTTGGCCATCGTTCAGAAAATGCTCCATGTAAGTTTACTATCAATAAGGGGGTTTATGGGGATAAATTTTAAGATTCCACGATCCGAAGAAATTCCATCAGAGCAAGGAAAAATGCTCAAAATCGTTGGCAAAACCTTCAACGAGCTCGTTTTCGAGTCTGAAAAGCATGTTCTCGTGAAGTTTTACGCTCCTTGGTGCCCCCACTGTAAAAATATGGCTCCAACTTGGGTCGAGTTCGCGGAGCAAAACGAAAACGACGCACTTGTGATTGGCGATATCGATGTTACTGCGAATGAAATCGGTAAAAACACGAAAAGAAAGCTCTAGACTTATTTCTTTTTCAGAGTTTGAATCGTACAAAGATCTGGTCCAGGGATTCCCGACAGTTTTGCTCTTCAAAAACGGGGAAAAAACTGCTCCGATCAAATACCAAGGAGATCGATCTCTAGAAGACTTCAAAAAATTCATCGCCTCTTCTTTAGAATAAATTGTTCTTTTCATTTTTCTTGCATTTATTCGATGGTTAATTTACAGTTTTCGGTCAGGAACAACGTTGAAATTATTGATGTAATCGAAGTCCCAAACATTAAGCTTTCTGCTTCTTGATTTTCTTCTAGTAGGTTTCGCGGTTGCCAGGGAAAAGAGCGCGAAAATGGCGATTTGGAATCGGAAACTGAATATTTCTCTTCAACGGATTTTCCATCTTTTTGCTTTTACCTGATTTTCATATCTTTTCCGCCCCACTTTCTCTCTTCCGAAAAAAATGACCTGAATGCCTTCTAAAATGCAAGTGCGCGGAGTAAAGTAGGGCTTCAATGATTCGCCGTGAAGCTCAAAATGGCAGCGACGCGATGTGACCTTATTTTGCGACTAATTCTGCGAGCTTTGCGGCGGCTTCCTGTGCTTTCTTACACACAAATCAGACTCAAAGACAGCTTTTTGAACTTTATTTTTCATTACTTAGATTGATTTTTTAAGAAAAATCATTCATTTAGGCATTCAAAAAAGATTGAATAATCCTCGTCTTTGTTTTTTCAATTCATCGTAGTCGGCTTTCAACTGACTGTGTTTTTGACAAAGCTGGGCATAGCTCTTGTCTGACCTTTCTAGCGCAATCTTTGTTTCTTGAAGTTGTCTTTTGTAGTCTTCGTTTTCTTCAGTCAGATTCCAATTTTCGACCGTGAGTTCATTATTCAAATAGTCCGAGGTGTCAATTTTTTGGGCATTTCTTTTTTCAAGATTTTTAATTTCTTGCTTCAAATTGTTGATTTCATTCTTTCGCTCTCCGCTTTCTTTGTTGAATGACTTCTTTTGGTCAGCAAGTCTTTTGGTTGTCTCATTTTGATGCTTCTTGATTTTCTCATGAAACATCGCGATTTCTTTCTTCTGTCGCTCGATTTTTAGCTCCGCCTCTTTTGAAACCGTGGCTGATTGCTCCAGAGTTTTGATTTTGTTTTGAAGCTCCTTATTTTTCGCTGTGAAGGACTTTTTTTTTGTTTCAAAATTTTTGATCTTGAACAAATTTGCTGCTTCTTTTTTCTTCATATTTTCGTTCGCTGAAGCAATTTTCGAAAAGCATTCAAAATGCTCTTGAAAGTCATTTTTCCAGTAGAGCTTCTTGCATTCCGGACAGGGCTTTTTGTTCAAAGCCGGGCAGGTTTTCTTGTGATTCGCGAAGCTGGAATAAGCCACGGATTCTTTACACTCTTTCGCAGGACAGAGAAGTTTCAGCTGGCTCAGAACAGTCACCATGAGCCGTGAGTGTTTCGCGGTGAAATTCGTTTTTCGGCAAAGAGGGCAGTTTTGAAATTTTTTCTTGACATCGTTGAAGCAAATTTTGCAAAGATGACCATCGCAGCAGTCTAATTTCATCGGATCCTTCAAAAGAAAAATTTGATTTAGCAATGAAAACCTGAATCAGGGCTCAAATAAAGCTAAAACTCAAAAAGCCAAGGAGTAAAAGGATCCTGACTCAGGTTTTCTACACAGGTTAAAGGATGAGCAAATAGTTTTACCTCAAAGATAGAGCAACAAATCGAGCAGTTAATTTCATCCTTTAGATTTTCTACCACCGAACTTCTCTCAGAATTGTCTATCAGGGCGTCAAATCCCATTTTGCAGCTTTTCCTTTCAGAATTATAAATTCAGCTCCTACTGTGTATTTGTATGAACAGAACGCCCACTGCTTCTTACATTACTCAGAGTTACGCTCCGCTTAAAAAAAAAAGCCTTATGTCGTTAATTTTCCTAAAAAGCTACCGTGGTTTTCCATCTTAAGGGATCCCCCCCCCGATTTCTCAAGTCTTTATGATAGATGTCTAAGCGGCATTTTTAGAATCCCCGTGTTCTGAGGATCATTTTGATATATTATATGTCCCCCTTACGAGCATCTTTACCCAAAATTTTGACCCTCGAAAATCATAAAAATGCATGTAATTTGTACTTAGCGTGAAAATCGCAATTTTTTCGACTTTTCGATGTCATCGAAAATAGACGTTTAAGGGATCTATCGAACGCTTACAGTGCACTGAGTAAGAATCTGATAACCGCATTCGAATTTTCGGCCATATATCGGCGCTAGAGAGCAATTTAGAGCGAGAAAAGGGCCAAAATGGCATCAAAAAGTTTTTCTTAAGAAAAAATTTTTCTCACTTGACCAAACGATTTCTCTGTACTAGAGATTGTAGATAAGGGATCAAGAAAGAAAATAAAAATTGATTTAGGGCTCTATATAAGAGCAAAAAAAACTAGTTCGACTTTGAAAAAGGCCCAAAACGGGGGTTTTCGCGAGTATCTATGTATTCAGCCCGCTTTTTCGAGGTGTTTCCCCTTATGAAAATTTTTTTCTGTACTAGAGTTTGTTCATTGAGAAGCGGGCTTCAAAATGAGCCATTAACTATTTAAAAAGGTAAGCCCAGAAAAAAGTAGTTCGACGTCAAAGTTGGCGAAATCGGGGGGGGATCCCTTAAGAGCGCCCAACTTAAGAGCGTTTTTGCCAATATTTTCCATATTTTGTCATCTGAAAAAATACCAACTTTAGAGCGTTTTTAGGAATTTTTGAAAAAATTCATTTTATGCATTTTCATTCATCATTTTTTCCCACTGTCATCCTAGTTTAATCGTAAATTTTCCAACTTAAGAGCGTTTTGGTCTACCCTTGTCATCTGAAAAACGCTCTAAAGATGGAAAACGACGGTATTTATTTAGGCTCGTTTTGCTACTTTTACTTTTCATTTTCGACAAATGGAAAAATTGACGTCATCTACCAAAGTGTTCATGAAATTTTAAAGAAAAATGAGCGAAAAAAGATCCCCAAGTCTCCATTCTATTCAACCCTTTTGGGCGACCAAATAAGAGTCTACGGCAAAGCTGCGCTGCTGCAATTTGCAAAGCTAGAATTAATAATTCAATCAAGTTCCAAGCCAAAAGGAGGCTCCCACTTTCCATGTTTACTTTTTTCAGAAAAAAAAATGATCATCGGCTTACTGGTAGTTTTTTTCTTGATGAGAAAATGCAACTGTGATTTTATCGAGGACAGAATGATGCGAAGAAACTCGTTTCAGTCGAAACTTGTTGGGTATACTGTCAATTTGACATGTGATTATGTGAAAGAGAAAGTCGGGGAGATTGAGAAGGGCTTTGAAATTCAGTGGATTCGGCCAGGTAAAGAGATATTTTACGATTTTAAGGAGAAAAACCCATCTTTTTTGTTGACTTTATCAATAAATTTTTTCACTGTGACACCCTTATTTTTTAAACTAAGGCGAAATTCGATCGATTGACGATGCAGATTCCGTTTTCTTCACTGTCAATGCTTTTTCATCCTCCCAACTTGACGACTTTTTCGACAAACACAACATTTCGACCGAAAAAAATTCAAACATCAAGGGCTTGATTTACAACACCTGTTTTTCCTGCTTCTCCGGAGCAACGGGAAAGTCCTTTGGGTCAACAAGAGAGCACTTTGATTTCGGAGTCTATCACACGCTCAAAGAAATTCAAGACTGGTTAAAGACGCTGCCAGAACGAGTGGTAAAGACCTACGGCCAGAGCTATGAAAAACGCCCGCTGCAGGTGATCGACATTGGCGAGGAAGAAGACCCAGCGATTTTGATCGAATGCGGAATTCACGCGAGAGAGTGGGTTTCCGTCGCCTTTTGCCCGTTTTTAATCGATCAGATTTTGTCGAAAAATTGGGAAAGGGATGGAATCAGGTGGGTCATTTTTCCGATGATGAATCCGGACGGATACAGGAAGGATAGAAATTAGGGGGAAAAGGAACCAAGTCCCGCGTTTTTCTATCTTTTGTGAGATTTTCTTGGAGATTCAACCGATTTTGGCGAAAAAATCGTCGGATTATTCGCGACAGTCCTTGCCATGGAGTCGATCTCAATCGAAACTTTGATATTGAATGGGGAAAGCATTCGACTTCTGAAAGTCCTTGTGGAGAAACCTTTGGTGGAAGCGCTCCTTTTTCCGAGCCAGAAAGTAAGATCCCCCTTTTATCGCGAGAACTCATGTTTTAGGCGCTGCTTTTCGCGATTATGCGATGAAGATCGAGACCAAAATCGCCTTTGTCAGTTACCACGCCTATTCCGAGTTCATCATCTACCCTTATTCGGCGTCGATTAAACGGAACTCTCCTTACAAAGATGCCTTGAAATCACTCGCTTTGAGAATGAGCAAAGCTATTTATCAAGAACATGGGAGGGAATATTCTTATGGCGAAGGGGCAGTGGCGTTTTATGCAGCTTCTGGGGGATCTGATGACTGGATTCATAATCAAGGTATGATTTAAATTGTGGTTAACTTCCTCCGGCTAATTGGACAAAAGCTCGGGTGTTGTGGGGGCTTCTTGTCTTTGATTGGCTGAAAAAATAATACTGGCCTCTTATTGGCTTCGAGAACCCTTCTCCCCATGTCTCCTAAAAATTGATTCAGGAGTGCCAATTTCTTACACAATCGAGCTCCGAGACAAAGGTCTCAATGGATTTCTCCTTCCTGAAAACGAGCTGATCGAAACCTTCACCGAAAACATGAAGGGTCTTCAAGAAATCGTCAATGATGTCCGAAACATTACTCGATTTTCTCAATTCTTCAAGGCAACAAAGACGCCTTTCACGATTCCTGAAACGACACCTTTCTTTTTTGAAACGACGGAAAAGACCATGTCGACTTTCGAAGCTGATCATCATAGTACGGTCAGTCAAGAAAATAAAGAAAACACGCCGGCAAGCTTGATTCAAACAACCACTTCGAAATCTTCGGTTATTCTTATGAATTTAAATCTGTTGATTTTTCTGCTGTTTCTGAAATTATAAATTTCTTTTTGATTTCATAACTTTTCATCTGATGATAAATTTAAAGATCTTGCACTTAAAGTTGCATCAAAAGTTTTGATGTCAAGCTCTTGAGAAGCTGAAATTATCACGAAAAATAAAGAAACATTCAACAGAAATTGCTCTAATTTCCCCAGTTTTTCATATTATTCCCCAAAATAAACAAGGCCATAATCCAAAAGATAAATTGTAATCTGCATCCCTTAGGCGATATGCTATGAACGTAACAATCTGACACGACAAGAATATTCTCAAAAAAAAAGATCACTAGAAAAGGACGAAAAAAAGAAAATGATGTTCTATTTTTTCGTATTTTTGTTGATACCGGAAAGAAACTGTTTTGGCCTAAAAGAGGCGCAGAGATTAATTTCCAGAGATTTTTTCAGAAAAAAACTTGGCAGAGAAGATTTAAAATTTATCGAGAGAATAATCGAAGAAAATCCCCGGCCGGATGACTTTTTTGTCCGCGTTAGAAAAAACAAAAAAGCTTTTCAGCTCAACAACAGCAAAAACCTCCGCCTCGCGCATGAAATTCTCGAGCAATACTCGCTCATTTCCCCCGAAAATTCTGGCTTTGCCACCCTTTCTGAAGAAGTTATCGACAATTTTGAAAAGTGGAGTCTCAAATCAACCGATTTTACGAAAGAAAAGCTCCGTAATATCGGGAAAAATGTGCCCTTTGGCGAGTTTTTGGAAGAAAATTATTTTTTCATCGTGAAAAATGCGTACAAGCCAAGTTATCTCCAATCAATGCTCCTCGATTTCGTAGAAAATCTTCACTCTGGGCTTGATAACATTTTCATCCCGATCATCACCACCGATTGGGTCGAAATTCTTTACCAAGAAAAAACCGCCAAAAACTTCAAATTTCAACTCACCAAATTTTTATCTCCTGCTGAAAAGGAACGCTTTCAACTTGCCTTGCAAAAATCGTCGGAAGAATTCGCAAGCGTCGTGTTTCTCCTTGAAGTTTCAGTCTTTCTCGATTCAAGAGGTCATCAACTGGAAGAAAAATTTGTTGAAAATCTTCGACCAGCGGCTAGAGCTGATTTTGATATCGAAAAATTGACGATCGAGACATTTTCTGCTGCAGTGAAGCAAATCTACGGAAAAGAAACAGCCGCAAAAGCAAGAAAGCAATACAACAAATTTCTTAAAACTGCGGAAAAAGAGATCGTCCACTGCTTCTTTTTCAAACCCATCAACAAAATAATCCGATCAGAGAATGGCGAAATCGAGTCTTCCCGCATCGCCCTCGATCTTGAACTCTCCTTCGCGAACCAGCAAAAAATCATCTCGAAAAATGACGATTCCGAAAAATCCGTTATTTCAGCATGCTCTTTCAAAAAGCTTGACGGTTTTTCAATCCAAACTTGGGGCAACGAGAAAAGCACAAACTCCCAGCTCTTTGAAATCTCCCACACTTCTGGAAGCGATCTTCTTTTCTGCGAAAACGGCTGCGACACCGAATCCAGTACAATTCTTTCTACTGGGCAGGCGATCAAAATCGTCAAAAACGACCCTGTTTCGACTACCGACCTCTTAATTCCACCAATGATCTGCGACCAAGCCTGTTTGTTTTCCCTCGTCAGAAGAGAATACACGCGAGAGCATCTTTTCCAGCGAATCATTTATCGTTTCCTCCTCGATTCCGGCTTCCCGAACCCCAAATCCATCGACCTCTCTGTTTTCGAAATCCGATACTTTTTCAAAATCCGAGCAATTTTCCTCAAGGACCCAAGAATCGCCCCAATGACCGAGCATCCGGAGTTTTCAACTATGCTCATTTTCACTTCCATTTACTCGCGAATGAATGCCGATCTCGATTTTGACCAACTGATGCGTTTTCTATCCACAATTCTGGGCAGCTTTTCTGGTCAAACGGCGGATGACATTACTTTTTCGAGATACTTTGCTTCGATGATTGCATTACAAAGAGAAGTGTCTTCAGATATCGTCGCTTTTAAAGCTGGGCTCGGCAACCTGTGTTGACAACCTGAGTCAGGGTCCGGAAAAACTGTTATCAAAACCTGAGTCAGAAATCCTGACTCAGATTTCTGACTCAGGACCTAAAAGAGCTTGATTGAAAAGCTATTAGGCTTTTTATTTTAGCTTTGTCAGAACCCTGAGTCAGGTTTTCTACACAGAAGTCAGATTTGTCAGAATCCTGAGTCAGGGTCCTGACTCATGACCTGATAAAGCTTGATTGAAAAACCTCGCCACTTTAATTAAAGCTTTTTCAGAACCCTGACTCAGGGTCCCTGACTCAGGTTTTCTACATAGCTTTGCCTAGCCCAGTTTTACAGAGGCTGATAATTATTGCTACGACCAATTATTAATCTCCGACGCTGAAATCTTCAAAGTAATGGTGATCATCTTCCTCGAAAAAGAAAACCAAGCGAAGACCAACCTTCTCTGCCAAAGCATCATTCAATTTCCTTTCGTAACTAAAATAACAAGCATGCGGTCAGTTCATCGATTGCTCTATAAAACCTTCGGAGCGCTGTACGATCTGCAATTTGGGGATTTTGAGAAACTTGCGTTTTCGATTTATGCTTTTTCGACGATGATGGAGGCGAAAAAGAGAGCAGCTCAAATGGCAAGCGAAGAAGAAGTCGCTGAAAACCTTCTCTTTGACTCTACTGACTCTACAAATCCCTATCTTCTTCACGATACCTTCCCAGAAAAATCCGAGGCTTCTGAAATTTTCCTCTATGATTTCCAGCCCTCTGAAATCCTCGAATACTCCGAAGAACGAGAATACGACTTGGAGTACGAAGAATCCGAAGAGTCTGAAATTCCCGAGAAAAACACTCGAGCGACGCTTTTTGTGAGATCTTTTGACATGCCAGAGGATCAGTTCTCGATGATCAGCGAGAGCAACGAGTTCATGAATCTTGTTGATGACACTTTTGTGGCTGAAGAAAACCCGGCTTCTTTCTTGAATGAAATTTTGAGCGAAGATGAGGAGCTGGCTCAATCGAATTTTAGAGTGGAGGAAGAAGAGTACGAGGAGTACGATTATGAGTATGATGCGAAGGAGGTTGATTTTGCAACGTTTCTGGCTGAAAAAACGGCGCCTCCGCCGACGAAAGCACCAGCACTCGTGATCAACGATTTCAACTGGGATGCGAGAGCCGATGACAATGGCGACTCTGAATTCCAAAGCGACGATGAAGACGAAAGTAATAGGACGCTTATTTTCGACTTACCTGAACACCAGCCAGTTCCATCAGAGACACCACTAGAGCCCTCCGGACTGACACTTACTAGCGAATGGGAATTGTCTTTTCAAATGAATAAGGGAGGTGGGCTACCTACTTCTTGGGTCAATTTCGTGGAAATAACAGGACAAGACGGAGCATTTTTACTTTCAGTCTGGAAAAGCTGGGATACCGAAACTCTAGAAGAAAGCTTCGTCACTTGTTATATCAATGAATGCCGTCAAGCAGCAATCCCAGCTGAGAATTCAGTCAATTATCGCTACAGACAGACCATAAACTCGCAGGGAGAATCGATTGGTATAATTTTCGTAAATCACATTGAAGTTGATAGAACAAGTGAGACGATCGTAACGACCTTGGAAGGGGCAAAAATTTATTCGACTCGAAGTGGCTACAGACCTTTTGACGGGCTGATAAGGCATTTGAAGCTTTATACCATCGATGGTCCTCCGCCTCCCGAAACACCAGGAATCTTGGTTGCCCAAAATCAGCAGCTTCAGCGAGTAGATAGCGTCCAGCAAACATGGGAAATGAGTTTTGACCTGAGACAAGACTCAGCTCCTCTCAGCGAAACCGCCAACATTATCGACATCGTTTCCATCCCAAGTTACGTAAGCACCATGTTCTCAGTCTGGCAGACAGGCAGTGATGGATCGATTCAAATTTGCACTGCTTCTCAATGCCTTGGGACAAAATACACGATAAGCTCGGATTACTCGACGAGATTTACTCTGAAAACAAAGTTTGTCGGTCAACAGCTTTTCCTGATCGTTGAAGTTGAGGGAGAAGAAAGGGATCGAGTGCAGTTCGACGCAAATGTCGGGACAATCGCGATCATGGCAACATCCCATTTCGCCCCAGCCCCTGTCCGAATTCTCAATGATTTCTTCGTACCCAGTGTTCCGTTGACTCCGAATCCTTGTTTGGAACAACCATGTTTATACGGAGCGCCTTGTATTGAACTCGAAGATGATTATAGATGCGGGTGCCCGAGAGATTTTGATGGAAAGAACTGCGAAGTAACCCCTTGCGATTCCATCGGAGATGATATGTGTAATTCCAAAGGCAAATGCAACTTCGTTCTTACTGAAGAAAGCTATTATACCGAGTGCTTGTGCGATCCTGGCTACTTTGGACCGTTTTGCCAGACTTCTCCTTGCGAGCGCTTTCCCTGTTTTAATGGAGGAACATGCTCAAACAATGATACATTTGGAACCGCAGATTGTGACTGCCCCGGGTTCTACTCAGGAAAGCGTTGCGAGCAAGATGCCTGCTTTGACGAGCCTTGCGAAGTTGGAGCGGTTATGTGCGTCCATAATGAGGAGAGAGAAAATGGATTCGAGTGCCGTTGCGCGGAGAATTATAACGGTGAACTTTGCGAAATAACACCTTGCTCAGATTATCCATGTCAGAATGGCGGAAGCTGTTCTTTAGGAAAGGCCCTTTTTCAATAATATCGGTCTTTCTCACCATAATTCATAGGCCTTTGAAAAGACATGGACGAAAACAACATTCCCACCGGCGGATTTAACTGCTCCTGCATCAACAACTATTCCGGCGTCGTATGTGAGCGCTCTCCCTGCGACAGCGCCTTGAATCCTTGCAATGGGCAAACATGCATCATGGACGGCGGCGCCCCTCGATGCAGCTGTGACCCTCCCTATATAGGGGATTTTTGTGAGGAGACAGTTTGCCACTTGAATCCTTGCGGGACATCTGGGAAATGTTATATTATGGAAGATAATTCGTATAAATGCCAGTGTGATGATGGATTTTCGGGAATTCATTGCGAGATCGATGCTTGCTCTAGCTCGCCTTGTGAGAATGGTGGCAGTTGTACTGTCATTCAGGGAGGATACATCTGCTCCTGCAAGCCTGGTTTTTCCGGGCCAAACTGCGAGAACTCCCCTTGCGACACGGGACTGTTGACCTGCGCCAACTTGGGTGTCTGTGGAATCAACGAAGATAACCTGCCGCAGTGCTACTGTCGACCTGGAACTGTGGGAATTTACTGCCAGAATACTCTTTGCGATCTTGACCCATGTCTGAATGAAGGAGAGTGCGAAGATCTGGAAGGAGGAGAGTACAAGTGTCATTGCCCAGGAAAGGGATGAAAACGAAGAATTTATTAAAAATCAGAGAAATTTAAAGAATTTTCCATTCATTTGGATTTCCTTTCATTCGCTGGCAATCCTCTGGATAGGCTTGTCGGTAATCTTAATTTTCCGATTATTTATTCTCTTGAAATATTTTTAATACCTTCTTTATTGCAAATAGCATAGTAAAAGCCCCCAAAGGCGAATTTTCCCGAAATCGCTGAAAAGAAAAAAGGAAGTAAGATTTTCATTTGAACTTTAGGACGTTTTTTTACTGACTCTGTTAAATGTTGATGGTTTCTTTTTATGCTCCGATGATAATTATTTATACGATAATGAGTCGTTAGGGCTGTCTTTTGAGATTTATTGCGAAGAAGTTTGCATGAATTTTTGATTCTAATGGAAGAAATCTAGTTTATTTGCGGCGAATACGAATTTAATTCAAGAAAAATATAAAAACTATAGAAAGAAGAGTCTCAGAAAAGTCAATTCAGAATAAGCCCCATTTCATTAGTCATTTGTAGTGAATTTGCCAGGAGAATTTGTTTGCTCCGGACTGGCAATCTTCCGGATAAGCAATTCTGTAATCTGAAGAAAGAAAATAAATTAAGTCGGAAAATAATTTTTTCAGACCTTGTCGCGCGCAAATTGCATCGTAAAAACGCTCAAATATGAATTTTCCTTGAATTCCAAACAGTAAAAAAACGTAGAAAAATCTCATCGTTCTCGCTAAGAAGAAGGCTCTTAGTCGAAAACATGCGGCCTTTCAAATAAGAAGTTCTGAAAATAATTCATGAAGAGTGGCTTTGTCAAGTTTATTTGTCAATTTTGTCAAGTTTATTGAATCCGCCAGCCAAAGCCATTTTTTCTTCGCTGGCAATCTTCTGGATACGCTCTTCTGTAATCTAAAAATAATCGAAAAAATCATTTTTTTTTATTCTCTTTCTTACCACTTCTGGCGCAAATGGCGTCGTAAAAACCTCCAAAGATGAATTTTCCCTGAATTCCAAACAAAAGAAAAATCAAATAAGAAAGTCGCATATTTCTCGAAACAGGTTTCTGGTCAAAAAACTTTCCAAAGAAAATATATCGCTTTGAATAATTCATGAATAACAGCCTGTCTTAGACAGTAGTTGATGAAGGCCTTAATTAACAAAAGTGCATGAATTGTAAATGATATTTTATGGCTTAAAAATCGATCTTTTTCATCCCAAAAAAAGATGGCTACACCGGAGAAAATTGCGAGATTACTCCTTGTTCAAAGAATAATTGCCGGAATGGTTCTCAATGTCTTATCTCCGGAAGCTCTTACACCTGCGATTGCTTGCCAAACTATAGCGGTGATTACTGCGATATCGATCCCTGCCACGACTCGCCCTGCAAGTACGGAACTTGCAAAGTTGATGGAACAGACACCTATTGCGACTGCCCAGAAGATCTAAAAGGGTTGTTTTGTGAAATTGACCCTTGCTTGGGGAAGAGCTGCGAAAATGGGGGAATTTGCGTTTTTGACTCGGAGAATTTAGCAGCAAAATGCCATTGTGCCAGTGGATTTGAAGGGGATAACTGCCACATACGCACGGATACATCAACTTTATATTATATTATATTATATTATATTATATTATATTATATTATATTATATTATATTATATTATATTATATTATATTATATTATATTATATTATATTATTTCTTGAAATATCCGAAAAAGACCAGGCCTGTTCAACCCAGCCCTGCGAAAATGACGGCGAATGTGTCCCAAAAGGCGTTCATTTTGTCTGCTCCTGTCAAAACCCATTCGTCACTGGAGATTTGTGCGAAAACAGCCCTTGTAACGACTCTCCTTGTTTGAATGATGGAGAGTGTCTGTTGGAGGCGAAAAGTGTAACTGGGTTCATTTGCGACTGCGAAGAGGGTTTTTACGGGGCGCGATGCGAAAATGATCCCTGCACTAGAAATCCGTGTCATTTGGATCAGACTTGTGTTGTTCAGCAGAAAACAGGAATGGTTTCTTGTATTTTTAACATTTGCTTCTAAAAACCATAATGGTGTATAAAATTGGGAGAACAGGAATTTTTGATCATGATAAATGAACGATAGATTTAAAAAATCGCACAAAAAAATTTGTTCCTTTTTGCCAGAATATATATTTTATATATATTTTATATTGAGTTCGTTTTTATTGCAGGCTTAACGTTTTCGGAACAGAAATTCCATCATCAGAGCCGGTTGCTTGAAAACTTGACGATCTTTTTTACAAGGGAGAAACTGACCTTTTCTTGTTGAAGAGTGAACTGATCAAAATTGCGAATAATAATTTGATCCCTAACCATATTCTAGAGAAAATTCTTTAACCCAAACTGTTTTTATAATCTCAGAGGCTCCAATTGCCTTCAAAACTTGCCTCTGAGTGGTATCACAAAATGAAGATTTTTCGATGGTTGATCTGTTTGTTTAACTGCGGATCTTTAAGCACGATTTCAAGACCCTCAACTTGTTTTCTCTTGTCATAAGGAAGATTTTTATGTAATATCGATAAATGTGAGCTAAGATAGTCAAATCGAGATTGAGGATTATTTTGCTGATATTTCTCAATGAACCCTGTCTTAAAATCATCACACTCTTTTGTATGAGAAAATATAGCTGTATCTTTTGATGGTTGTCCATGATCTCGGATTCTCATGCTCAGGGATTCCGACTCTCCAATATACTCTTCGCCGCACCGACATTTAAACGAATACACCACATTAATGGCCTTTTCGAATTCCGTCTTCGGCAGTAGACTGGAGATAATCGTGTTACGCATCGTTACAGTAGACAATGCCGTGTGCAAATTAAATTCTGGTAAAAATACGGATATCAACCTGCGCAACTCGCTGGTTATTCGGGACACCCTCTGACTCGTGAAAGGAATACAGATTGTAAAATTTCTCTCTGGATTTTCAGACTTTTCCAGTTTCCAGTCTTTTTTATCCGTTTTACCCTCTTTAACTACTCTTACTGCATCACGTATAATTTCTAGGGGAAATTCTTGAGAGAGATATTTCTGTTCTATCTCTTTTAACTCCTCGTCAAGAGTTTTCTGACAAGAATGCTTGTAGAATGACCTTTTGATTTCTGATATAAGAATTCCCTTTTTCAGAGAGACCGGAGCAGTATCTTTTACGAAATTCATCGGAACTGTGTGTTTACGATTGTTGCGTATTTGAAGGATATTTGATTCTGAAGGATAAATTATAAAATCAAGGAATTTTATACCACTTGGACAAGATCTTTCGACTGTAATTTTCAGACTTTCATGAAGACTTTGAAAAATATTATTGACTTCGTCGAAACAACCACGTTTGAAGAATACGATGGTATCATCGAGATAGCGCCGATAACCGAAAATGATTTTTTCATTAATCAATTTTTTGATTTTGTCTTTTTCGAGTACATGTAGATAAAAATTTGCCAATTTAGGGCTAATACTGTCACCCATACTTAGACCCGAAATTTGCTTATAATACTTGTCAAAACAACGGAAAGAGGTCAAACGAGTGAGCACAGAAACTAAGATAGGCCAAAGAACAGTTTTTGGAATTGGTTTCAATAATTTTTTTTCCTCATTTCTAAATCTTGGCAAAATTTTTGACGGTGAATTTTCCTCATAAATAAATTTGATTAATAACTCAATTAAATGCGAAGTATTTACTGAAGGGTACATTTTTTCAATATCAAAACTTGCATAATCAATTTGTGAGTAATCAAAATTTTTGTCTTTAAACCAGTCGCTAAATTGTTTTGATCCTTGAAGAGTAAAATCGCACTTCAAGTTATCAAGTAATTTTCCAAGAAAATTTTTCTGAAAATTTTCGCTTACTGTATTTTTTGCCGAAATAATAGGCCTCATATATAATTCTTGCTCAAACGATGGTTTGTGATATTTGGCTAAACCATAAGCTACTTTTATATTAGAAATAGGTTTATTCAAATTATAAAATTTCTTGTCGACATATTTTTCGAGTGATCTTAAGTTTTTCCGCATTTCTATAGTATCTTCCTCAACCGGATCTAGTGGCACCTCAATAAATTTATTTGTATCCTTAAATTCTGCTAAAAGAGCATTTTCGTATCTGTCTCTTTCTAGAATAACGATTACAGAATCTTTGTCACCAAGAACAAAAACAATATCTGAATTATCCCTTAAAAATTGTCGTATTACTTTATTACTGTCATCTCCCCCAAAACAACAAGTGAGTTTTTCATGCATAACAGTAAGTTTTCCCTTAAGATGAAATTTAGATATCGGTGAAAGAGACTGAAATTTGTCATACCGTTGAAGATGTCCAAGTAAACTGTCAAATTGTTGTAATAAATTTAATTCATGAGGCCTTCCCCCTACAGGGGCCTTGTAACCTCTTTCTAGAATTTTCTGAATATTATTTGGAATTTGTTTACTGGATAAATTTTTACTAAAAATTTTTTGGTTTATTAAATTGTTGTTTGGCTTTGAGTTTCCCAAATTTAATTTGTCTCTTGTTATCTCGATCTTCATCTTTTATTCTAGCTTTATTTTCTAAATCTATAATAAATTTCATTCTTTCTTTTTCCGATTTAATTTTTTCTTCATCGAAAAACTTTAACAGATGTTCATTAAATAATACCCTAATTTCTTCTAATTTTTTATTACAATTTTCAAGTTCCCTTACTAAAATTTTTTCCCGTTCCCTACGAATTTTATTCCTACCCCATTTACAAAATTTTAAAACTGAGGCTGGTACCTTAGTAAAATTAGGCAATAATTGATCAGAAACACAGTTCGATAAGAAATTCTGTGCTCCCTGGACCTGTGCATTTTTGATGCCAAGTTTTCCAAGCGCTTGATTCGATGTCGGTAGCCATTATTTGAATCGTTAATTGACATCAGAAGATAAATGAGTTCGTTTTTATTGCAGGCTTAACGTTTTCGGAACAGAAATTCCATCATCAGAGCCGGTTGCTTGAAAACTTGACGATCTTTTTTACAAGGGAGAAACTGACCTTTTCTTGTTGAAGAGTGAACTGATCAAAATTGCGAATAATAATTTGATCCCTAACCATATTCTAGAGAAAATTCTTTAACCCAAACTGTTTTTATAAGTTTTGAAGGCAATTGGAGCCTCTGAGATTATAAAAACAGTTTGGGTTAAAGAATTTTCTCTAGAATATGGTTAGGGATCAAATTATTATTCGCAATTTTGATCAGTTCACTCTTCAACAAGAAAAGGTCAGTTTCTCCCTTGTAAAAAAGATCGTCAAGTTTTCAAGCAACCGGCTCTGATGATGGAATTTCTGTTCCGAAAACGTTAAGCCTGCAATAAAAACGAACTCATTTATCTTCTGATGTCAATTAACGATTCAAATATTTTATATTATACAAAAGAAATCATTTAAAGAAGAAAACCAAAGCCAAACTTCGTGCATCTGCGATCCTGGTTTCTCCGGCTCTTTCTGCCAAAACTCCGTCTGCGACTCTCAGATCTGCCTAAACGGAGGCCATTGTTCAATCGAAGAAGGAGAAGCCAGCTGCACCTGCCAAGCTGGTTTTTTCGGAAACAACTGCGAACTAACCACTTGCTCTGACAACCCCTGTTTCTACGTTTCCAGTGACAAATGCGTCCCCGGGGTCGATTCGTACGTCTGTCTCTGCCCAGAAGGCTTTGGAGGGGAAAAATGCGAAGTCTCTCCTTGTGAAGAAAATCCATGCGTCAATGGCGGAACTTGTTCGCTGACAAATGATTTGCGTGTTTCTTGCTCTTGCAAAGACGGTTTCAATGGGGAGTTCTGCCAATTAGACATTTGCCACCCGAATCCGTGCATCAACAATGGTCTTTGCGATCCAACCAGTGCTGATGAATTCGAGTGCCGATGCCCAACTGGTTATTCTGGTAAGTTTTGCCAAATCGATTCCTGCCAAGGAAACGAATGCGAAAATGGATCAACTTGCTTTCCTCATCAAACAGGCTACACCTGCCAATGCGAAATCGGCTTCTACGGTGAAAAGTGCCAGTTCGATTCTTGCTCGACTTATCCATGTCTGTATAAAGCTACTTGTACTGCAGACAGTACAGGTTTTACTTGCAGCTGTCCGGATGGCTTTTCTGGTGATATTTGCCAAACAACTCCGTGTGAAAATTCTCCTTGTCAGAATAACGGCACTTGTTCCATCATCGATCAGGACTTTTACTGCGACTGTCCCGAGGGCTTCAGCGGCAGGTACTGCCTCGAAGGGGTGTGCAGCGAAGACCCATGCTTGTACGAAGGAAAGTGTATTGGAAACGGAGACGATTTTAAGTGCGAATGTAAAGATGGATATTCCGGGGAAAGATGCGAAGTTACTCCTTGTGACGAACATGCATGTTTGAACGATGGATTCTGCTCCCTATCGAGTGATTTTGAGAAGGGATACGAATGCTCCTGCATTGGCTGGCTCGGAGAATTCTGCGAGATCAACCCTTGCGACGAAAATCCATGTCTAAATGGAGCAGAATGCGTTCAAATTCCTCAAGCGCCTGGTTATCAATGCGATTGTTCTGGGCTTTTTGAAGTTTCAGGCGAGCACTGTGAAGTAACTCCTTGCAATACTGAAGAGACAATACAATACAGCTGCTTCAACGATGGAGTTTGCTCGATTCAGGGCGGATTTCCAACTTGCATTTGTCAAGAGGGCTTTTACGGACAGTTCTGCGAGTTTACTCCTTGTTCCGATAACAAATGCCAAAATGGCGGGACCTGCCATGTCGTGGCGAGAAATGAAACCAACCCGGCTCTCTTGGAAGACGACCAGCTTTTTGAACCACCGCAATTTTACGAGTGCGAATGTGCACCGGGTTTCCATGGACCCGACTGTGTTTACGACGCTTGTACTGATATCCAATGCGAAAACGGCGGATTTTGCTTGGTTTTTGGCTTGATTGGATATTGCGAGTGCCCAGATGGCTATTTCGGCTCACGCTGCGAGGAAAATCATTGCTCGGACGATCCATGCGGTGATGATGGAACCTGCGTGCCGCTTGTTAACGGATTCGAGTGTGACTGCAACGAGGGCTTTTCCGGAGCACTGTGTCATATTACCCCTTGTGATTCGCTGCTTGAAGGGTGCAATCAACGAGGAAAATGCAAAAAAGAAGGTGAAGGGTCTGGCGATGGAATCGAAAGCGAGTATTTTTGCGACTGCGCAGATGGGTATTCCGGAGAAGTCTGCGAAGTAACCCCTTGCGACTCGGACGAGGGCAATAATTGCGTCAATGGAAAATGCGAACTCATTGGCGACTTGAAAAGGGAATCGATCGACATTGAAATGGGCAAGGAGATTTTGACAATTTCCGAACTGACACTTGATTGGAAAATGAGCTTCGTTTATAAAAGCTTTGAACTTCCTCAGGATCAAAAATTCATTTTGGAAGTCGTTTTTGATGGAAGAAGAATCGAAGTTCTGGATAAAGAAGATTTTGTAAGTGAAGCATCTGGATCGCTGCTGACGATTTCAGAAGACCCGGACTCGGTTGACTTTTGGCTCTGTACGATTTTGAAGTGTGAGCGCGGTTCTGGCTCAATTTTGCAATCCAAAATAAGTTTTGAAAAGACCGGAGGGACGAAATTCGACATCATCGCCAGATCAGATCAGATTCTAGTGACGATCGATGGAAAGGAATACCTCAGACACACAGTAAAACTTCCCGGAAACAAGATTTTCTACCAAAACTTTTCCGTCAAAACCGTCTCTGAGTCGAAATCGCCGGCTTCTGGAAACATCAAAAACTTTCATTTCAAAGCGACTGAGACTCTTAGCGATACATCTTGCTTCTGTCCTCCCGGCTTTACTGGCAGCTACTGTGAGATAACTGTATGCGAGTCTTTTGACTGTAATGGCGAAAATGGCGAGTGCTTTGTTGATGAAAATGGAGAGCCTGGTTGCAAATGCATTGGGAATTTCCACGGTAGTCGCTGTGAAATTGATCTTTGTGCAAACGACCCTTGCGAGAATGGAGGAATCTGTTCGAAAAACAACTTGAATGAGCAGATTTGCACTTGCAGCGAAGGCTTTCTCGGAGATTTCTGTGAAAAGACCGTCTGTGACCTTTTTGAAAATTACTGCCAAAATGATGGAACTTGTTTTATCGATGCTGATCGCGTTGCTCAGTGCCTTTGTCCTCCAGGAATCACTCATGGAGAGGAAAACAGGTGCGAAATTTCGCCATGCAACGCAGGCCCCTGTGGCCAAAACGGTCTCTGTACTCCGATCTCCGAAAACTCCGTCAGTTGTGAATGCATAAACGAGTATTCCGGAGAGTTCTGCGACCAGAGCCCTTGCGACTTGAACCCCTGTTTCAACGACGGAACATGCGAAGTCCTCGCTGGAAAACGCGTCTGCACCTGCGCGATGGGTTTTCTTGGCGATTACTGCGAAAAATCCATTTGCGAAAACATCGAGTGCGAAAACAACGCGTCCTGCTCGATTGAAGATGGAAATTTCAAGTGCAATTGCTTGCCCGGCTTTTCTGGCGTCAAATGCTCAATTCGACTTTGCGATGATTCAATGTGCCTCAACGGCGGAAAGTGCAACATCGACGATGACGAAAATCCTTTCTGCGAATGCCCAACTGGTTTTACTGGGAATTTTTGCGAGGGAACTCCTTGCGAAGGGGATGACAAAATCGAATGCGCAAATGGCGGACAGTGCCATTTTTCCGATAGCGAGGTGAAATGCTCTTGCCAAGCGGGAATAAGTGGTCTTTTTTGCGAAATAACACCCTGTTCAACCAACCCTTGCGGCGCTGGAAAATGTCATCTGACAACAAACCAGCTCAACGAAGCTGTAACTGAGTACGGTTTCGTCTGCGAATGTCCAAGCGGATTTTCCGGGCCGCACTGCGAAATCACCCCCTGCTCGAGCAACCCTTGCCATCACGGTTCATGTGAAATCATAGACGACTCCTTCGCCTGCCTCTGTCCAAGTTCTTTTATCGGAAAATTGTGTGAAATTTCTTTGTGCGAGTTGAACAGCTACTGCAAAAACGGCGGCACTTGCCAGGCTGATTCCACTGCTGAGGAGGGTTTTGTCTGTTTATGCAATGAAGGAACTTCTGGAAAATACTGCGAAGAGAATGCGGCGGAAAAAATCTGCGCCGAAGACCCGCTTTTCTGCGAGCGCGGCTGGTGCTCGGTCGAAAACGGGGAAAAGAAATGCGCTTGTCACGCGGGCTGGCACGGAGAAAACTGCGAAAGAAGCCCATGCCAACAGGCTGACTCTGAGGTCAATATTTGCAATGGTGGAAAATGCTTTTTCGAGATGATGGGAGGGGGCTCTTATTTCAATCAATTTTGCAGATGCCGAGGAAAAGGACGAGGGGAATTCTGCGAGTTCGATATTTGCGCGATTAATGATTGCCCGAGGAACTCAGTTTGTGTGCCCAAAGCAAGTCGGGTGACAGAGTCGAATGAAATTATTGAAATCACGGTGGAAAACAAAATGTTCATTGTGGAGGCTAACGACTCTTACGATGACTCATACAGTTACTCAGACTATGATTCATACAATGAGTCATTGTATTATGACTCGTATTATGACTCATACGATGACTCATACACATACGAGGACTTTATCATCTCCCGCGAGCTTGGAATCAATTCTAAACTCTTCGAAAACAACTCGAAAAAGCGCTATACCTGCGAATGCCTCCCTGGTTTTTACGGCCACACTTGTCAAAAATCTGTCTGCAATCCGAATCCCTGCGAAAACAGAGGCAATTGTATACCGAAAAAGGCAATGAAGGATCGAGGGTCAACAACGGCTTCGGACATGACTTTTGAATGCGATTGTTTCACTGGCTTTACCGGGCAAAAGTGCCAGAACAATGTTTGTTCCGATGTTGCTTGTCTGAACGGAGGCGAGTGTAGAATCAGTGGCATCGACTGGGCCGCGATCTTCGGAGGAGAGGAAGAATCGAGCGGGGATGGAAACGACCCGAACGATCCGGGAATCACCGGTCGTCCCTTTTGTACCTGCCCGGATCACTTCCACGGCGTTCTCTGCGAACAAAGCATCTGCACCGACGAGTCTCCCTGCCTCAACAATGGCAAATGCGTCCCCACCTCCACGGGCGGCTTCACCTGCCACTGCGCAGCTGGATTCAGCGGAGTCAACTGTGGAATCGACCCCTGCGCTGGGTTTGAAAATTGCGGAGCGAATGGAAAATGCGTTGTTCGATTTACGAAAAATGGAGCTTTGCCGAAATGCGAATGCGATCATGGATGGAAAGGCGAATTTTGTGAGGAGGAAAACTGCTTTGAGAAGTGCAAATTTGGATTTTGTAGAGATCCGACTCTTCCACAAGGTATTTTTTCTACCAAAAGGGGTAAAACTTCATGATTTTCTAAGGAACCGTGGCGAACACTTGTCTCTGCGAAATCGACTGGGTCGGAGAGTGGTGCGATATTCCCAAAAATGGCTGCAATTACGGAGAATGCGGCCCAGGAACATGCATTGACAACCTTTGCGAATGTCCTCAGGGCTTTTTTGGCGAAAAATGCGAGCTTTCAATCTGCGATGATGCCTGCGAAAATGGCGGAAGCTGTGAAATCATCACAAATTCAATCGGCCCGGCAAGTTATCAATGCTTTTGTCCCGACTTTGCAACTGGTGCCAATTGCGTACTAACTCCCTGCGATTCTAGCGACCCTTGCAAAAACGGCGGAAAATGCCAGCTCGATGAAAGCGGGTCTATTACTTGCGAGTGTCCGGATGCTTGGGAAGGTGATTTTTGCGAAAAGAAAAAAGTGCAAAGTTTGTGCTTCGAAAGCGCGCTGAAAGGGCTGAAAAAACCGGGCGTTTGTAATTTCCAGCCAATTTGTCAAGACGATCCGATGATGGAAGATTTCGTCCAGATAAATGTCGTTAACAGTGGCTTCAGGTAAACATTGCCAGTCTCTTCTTAAAATAAAAAATTCTAGTATCGGACTTGATCCGGCAAAAATACACAACTGGTCACTGAATATTCGAATCGAAACCTTCCAAAAATCGACTCTGAATGTCTCCATTCTTGGGCCTGGAAGAATTGCTCATTTCATCAAGAAAACACCAAGACAGTATATCTACGATTTCAACATTGAGCCGGAGAAAAGTGTCGATAATGATTTGATGATTTATGTCGCTGGCATTGGCGCCGAGGCACTCAAAGAGGGTAAGAAAAGAAGAGATTGAAACGAGATTTCAGCATTTTTAGCTCGTTTCTTTTTGTTCCCGGATAAGGAAGAGTACAGAAGCTGTTTCCCGGACGTCGATTGGGCAGAAAACTTCAATCGAGTTGAAGTACATAAAAGATCTTTACAGACTGCTTATCGATACAGAGACTTTGGATTCTAGCCTCCTTTTCTGCTCAGTTTTTTTCCAAAATACAAACTGTAATACTCATTGTGATTATTTCTGAATGAGAAAATAAGAAAAAAGAAAAGGCGTCACGGACGCGGTACCCATTTAGTGCGAGTTGCGGTGAATAATTTAGACTCACTTCTTGTTTTCTAAAGGATGGTCGGTAGTCAAATTGTATGCGTCTGTCACTTTTTCTCAGAATATCGCACTTTAAAGCAAGCAAGAGTCGAATTAAATCAGAGATCGGAAAATGTCGTCGAAGCCGAAAAAATCGAGCAAACCAAAGAAAAAGACAATGATTTTTTAAATAATAAAATGATCCAATTTACATTTGGTTGGAATCAAAAATTGATGAAAAAAAATAAACAACAGAACAGAGCTTGAAAAATCAAAGCATTGAAAATCGTTGAATCAGAAAGTCCTGACGAGGATGAGCACTTTTGATCGAAAAGAGAGCTCGAGCAAAGAAAGAGCGAAAAGTGAGGAACGATCTTGGAGAAGTCAGTCTGCTAGGAAACAGGCTTTACAGTTATTTTACAGTTGTTCGCAAAGCTAAGACAGATAAAAACTTGGTGAGGGGGGAGGGGGGTCGAGGAGGGAAAAGGGGGTTGCTCGACTGTGATTGGCTGAAAAAACAAATTGCGGTCTCTGATTGGCTGAGACGGCCCCTTACCTCAACTTCCCCGAGATTTTGGGGACTTCGCCCTGGGGGTGGCACCCTAATCCCCAATTTCGGGACCCCTAATAAAAATTGAATATAAAAGATGAAAAAGCCATTTGAAAGAACCTTTGGCATCAAATCGAGCCTTGAAAAGCGCCTTGCAAATCTTCGGTTAGTGAGAAATTGTTTTCAAGTTTATTAGAAAAAAAGCAAGGCGGGAAGGATTGATTGTTAAATTTGCCAAGTGTACCTGTCAAGCGCCGGTAATGCGCAATTTCCCGTGGGAGCACTTTTAGTTTTGCTATTTTTATTTCTGATATTGCAGTTAGCCACACTTCCTTTGTAAATAATAAAACGATCGCCTTAGATATTCAAATCCAACACGATTTTTTATTGCGAGAAAAAAAACGATGTTTTCAGAGAAAAATTTCGATTTCAATTGTGATTTGTGTCCCCACTCAAATCCCGAAATTCATCGGTAAATCGGCTTTCTTCTTGAAAATTTATAAAGTACAGAGTTGAAGCTGTACTAACTCGCCTGGGAAAATAATGATCCATATTTCACGGTCTAAAAAGGTCTCCTGCAAATAAGTTATTTAATAACTCTACTATTTTCGTCTCTTTTCACTCATTTTCAATCTGCTCATTCGAATTACCAGAGAATAAGGTGAACGGGAAAAATGAGCCAAAAGAACTTATCAACCAGCATGTCTCTTTTGAAACAGTTTTTCAATAAGAAAAAAATTATGAAATTTCAAAATTAAAATAATTTTTCTCAAAAAATCAATTGAAAAACTAACTCAAGCTTCATACAGGCCTCGGGTTTCTTCCTTATGACATGTTAATCATCTTGCACAAGGCCCTCTCTTATCTCCAATTCTAGGATTCCTGTGAAAAACAACGAAGAACTGGACATCCGAAAACGCAGTCGAAACAGCGTCAAAGCTACCGAGTAACTCCTCCTTATCTCTTCCCCTCATCGTCAATTCTAGAGACAACATCGCCTCGCTCGACTTGGCCCAGCGACTGCAGCTAAAAGAAAAGATTCTCCAGCGACTTCAGCTCCAAAAGTGCTCCTTCGATCATTCTCTTCAGAAGAGCTGTCACAAATTCTCGACAGCTGCTGACACCAGCATTCAATACTGCAGCACCAGGGCCCCGTGTGATCCTTTTTTACCCGAGTGCGAGGTAAACTTTGCTTAATTTTCTAAGCAATTGATAAATTGCTCTTTTCTAAGATTTCCGGCAGCGAGTTTTGGCCAAAAAAGATTCAAGATGGTCTTCAGCCTCGACCGACCAAAATTAATCATCAAAGGTAAATAAGAAAATACAACAGGGGGTCCCCTTGTTCATCCATAAAAGAAAGTTAAAAGAAGGATGAATAAGGGGACACACAGGGGTACATGAAATCAAGGATAAATAAGGGGATACCTTTTTTAAAATCGACCAAAACCAATCAAAATTCTAGATGGAAGTTTGGCTTTACCGACATGCTAAGATGTCCTGATGGCCTTGCCCGATTCCAGATTTTTCTAGAGTCAGAATATGCTGCGGAAAATCTTGCGTTTTATCTTCAAACGCGTCGTTTTAAATTTGGTCCGACAGGGAGAATGCTCAATGTTGGTAAGCCGAGTTTTTGTCTGTTGATTTTTCGAGTATGAAAATTTAGCGAAGGCGATTTTCGAGCGATTCCTGGCGGAAGACTGCGTAGAACCAGTAAATCTGCCGCACACGATCCAGCGCAAAATCGAGGAGTCGGTGAATAATGGAGAAGTGAACAGATTTATCTTCGACGACGCGTCAAAGGACTGGGTTCACAGGCCTCGACCATGCATTTTTAAAAACATGCGAGAAAAAGAACCACGTGACTGAAAATTAACCTTTCTGAAAGCATATCTTGGCGCTGATAAGAAGGGACTCGTACAAGCGGTTTCTTGCGTCGAAAATTTACAACGAAACTATTTAAGAGCAGAAAACATAAGCAGTCTGCCGTACAACATTACTGTCGCCTATCTATCTCCCTGTACACGCCTTTTGAGTCAAATTTACTAATCAAATACAATTTTATGTTTCTTCAAATTCGCCAATTCAAGTCTCCCCAGTCGAAAAATGACAGAGATAACAGCAGGAATCTTCGATAACTACAATGGAATCGACATTCAAATTTTCACAATTCAATCGAAAAATATCGTCGCTAATGTCTTAACTTACGGCGCTTTGCTTCAATCTCTGTTCGTTCCCGACAAAAACGGAGCATTTGATGATGTCACGACTGGATTTGACAACATAGAGGACTACAACAACAAAGGGAGGAAGGATGGGTCGATTATGGGGAGATATGCGGGGAGAATTTCCAATGCCAGTTTTTCGCTGAATGATCAAGTAGAGTGGTCGTCATTTGCCCAAGTCGTCATTTGCCCAAGTCGTCATCTGCCCAAGATCGTCATCTGCCCAACTTGGGCAAATGACGACCTGGGTGAATGACGATGTAATTGAATTCAAAATTTAAGAAAAATGAAGCAAGATGAAACTCTAACTGAAAACTTGCAAAAAAAGTACTCGCAGGAAGTTGGCGTTTTATCAGTAAAAATTCGACAGTTTTTGTTGAGAAAACAATCTTATCTGCTATAATCTGGGACTTTAGCACCGTATCAAAAAGCAAGGTGTAATGAGTTTTCGCCAACGCGTATCCCCCTTTGCTGACTCTTAGCGCCGGAAAATGGTGCTAAAGTCGATTTTGTGTTTAGTTCGAACTTTGGATGAAATTTTATTTGAATTGATCGAATTTAAATGTTGAAGTGGAACCGAGGGTACTCGTGCCGAGTAACTCAGCTGCCTAGTCTCGGCTCACATTTGAACTTGAGTAATAACTCTTGAAAAAGTAGAGAAAAGTTATGAATCTCCTCCGGAAGCTAGCTCCAAGTTTGGACCATACTGTATGGTACAGTATTCAGGAGATTTTTTAAGAAGGACTTTCTCTCAGTCTTTTTCTGATCGAGGCCTTATCGAGTAAGTCTTTGCTATTAAAATATATCGACCGGACTTCCGGACTTTGACAGTGATGAGTCCGTTCCTGTGAAACATAAAAAAGCTTTTTTCGAATTCAATTACAGATCGTCTTTCACCCAAGATCGTCATTTTCCCAAGTTGGGCAGATGACGACCTGGGCAGAAGACGACTTGGGCAGATGACGACTTGGGCAAATGACGACCACTCGATCAAGTAACCATAATTTATTTTTAAAAAAGTTGAAGTGGTATTTATTTTTTCAATGGTGCCGTTGAAGATAATCATAGATTTTTCGCAATAAAAATTTTCCACATCTAATGATTCAGTAATTTCTTTACTTTAAATTTCAAAGGAATACGAGTTATTCAAAATCAACGGCGATCCACCAAAACACTCCATTCACGGGGGCCAGTTCGGATTCCACACTAAAATCTGGACGCCGAAAATCATCACCAATGGAGTTGAACTGACCTACATCTCTGAAGACATGGAAGAAGGCTATCCTGGAACGCTGACTGTTACAATCACTTACGAAGTCGTCGAAAACGAGTTAAAAATAACCTACAAAGCTGTAACGGACAAAGATACAGTGATAAACCTAACGAATCATGCGTATTTCAACCTCGATGGTCATTCAAACTGGGGAAAGCTCAATCGTCATGAAATAAGAATTCCTTCCGATTTTGTGCTGGAAACAGATGACGAGTCGATTCCGACAGGGGAGTTTATTGATGTTTCAAGAACTGCTTTTGATTTGAGAAATGGGGTGTTGCTGACTGATCAAATTCTTGGCTTCGTCCCTGGTAGATATTTTATGGTGGATTTTAGTTGTCATTTTTAGGGAGCAACGGATACGACCATACATATGTGCTGAAAACCGAAGCGTCAAGCGTTGAAAAACTCGCTGCTCGGGTGGAATCATTCTCATCCGGCCGCGTGATGGAAGTTTACACGACCCAACCATCGGTTCAATTTTATACGGCGAATATTTTCACCGGTCAAGTTGGCAAAGAAGGAGTTGTTTATGAAAAACAGTCTTGTCTGGCGCTTGAAACTCAGTTCTTTCCAGGAAAGATTTTGATTTATCGAATATTTTTTTTCGAATTTTTTAATTTTGAATCATAAAAAAGACTCGCCAAATCGACCAGAATTTCCCTCAACTGTTCTGACTCCTGATTCAGAATTCTTTGAAACTGCAAGATTTGTGTTCTTCTGAAGAAATTTATATTCAAAATATAAACCTTTTAGTTGAAGTCTTTTTATTCTCCAGAAGTTTGAACTTGTTAATTTCGAAAGAAAATCTCAAAGAATATTCCAAAAAGGCACTCGATAAACGCCGTTTTTCACAAATATTTATTTTGCATATGCAAATCTACCTAACGTAACCTCAAGAAATCCCAAACAAATCCTTCTCATAGCAAGATATCAGAGAAAATCGATCTCCTCTTCCATCCCCAATTAAGTTGGAAAGGTCAAAAAGTTAAATCCAGTTCGGTTAGCGAGAAAAAGAAGGTCGCCTGACTCAGAACCGCCCGAAATTAGACTGTTTTTGAGTTAGGATCTGATCTCGTTGTTTGAAATCAAACTCTCCGATCGTCGAGGGTGGTTGCTCGGAGATCTTCTTTCCTCCCTGGATGATTCGAACGTGCCAGTCGTAGACCCTTAATTGACTCGCCGATCTTTATTTTCGCCGACTCAAGGTGTTTTTACAAGAAACAGTATTTCACTCATCGGACCATCAGCAAGGCGCCGAAAGTCAGTAGGTAGAGCTGCCTAGTTCGCGCTCATGTGATTTTTCAGTATTACCACCCCTACCCACTGGAATCGGATACGCCTAATTGCCCGAATAACCATTTATAAACCGTCGTGTACAAGGCCTTATCATCAATAAACCCGAATAAAAAATAATGGCTCGAGAAACTTGGCAGTCTCGAAAAGACTTTCTCTTAGGAATGGGTTCTAAATTTGGACTTGGAAACCTGTGTTAAAACTTGAGTCAGGCCCGCAAAACAGGCTCGACCTGACTCAGGTTTCAACACAGGTTTTCAACCAAAAAAATAACCCGAACAAAGCATGCATCGGAAACTGCGTCGGCCTTGGAAACATCTGGCGCTTTCCTTACCTCCTCTACGAGTCCGGAGGAGCCGTCTTCCTCATCCCTTACTTCCTGATGCTCTTTCTCGTTGGAATTCCCCTGCTTTACATGGAAATTGCTGTCGGAATCATTTCAGAGCGCGGGCCGATTGCCTCGATGAAGGCTCTTTGCCCGAGCATGAAGGGGGTTGGATATGGAAGCGTGATTCTCTCGTTTTTCTACGCTGGTTATTTTACGACGATTATTTCGTATATTTTGTACTATCTCGGTGCTTCGCTTACAATCAAGCTTCCTTGGGCAGAGGAAAATGAACAATTTTTGAACTTGGATGTCAATGATACCAGGTCGGTTTGAAAACTGAAATCATAGAGGAAAATTTAAATTTTTTCATTTTAGGCCCTCGAGTAAAATCTACTTCGACGACATCGTCCTTCAAAAATCATCATCAATTTCCGACTTTGGCTCGATTCGCCCTGAACTGGTCCTTGCTCTCATTGCCACTTGGATCACCATCTACTTCTGCATCTTTCGCGGAACAGCTTGGATCGGCAAAGTTATTCATTTCACCGCAATCATGCCCTACGTCATTCTCGCTGCGTTAGCAATCAGAGGCTTTACTCTTCCTGGAGCTAGTCTCGGAGTTCAATACCTTCTCGGCCTCGGTGGCAAGTGCGATTGGTCATTGCTACTGACAGTTAAGCCCTGGGTGACTGCGACGGCTCAGACTTTTGGATCGATTGGGATTGCTTATGGCTCGATGATTCATTACTCGGCGCTAAATGACAAGAAATCGAGCAAAGATATCTTCCGGGACACCTTCATCATCGCCATTGTCAACAGTTTGACATCAGTCGCAGCTGCCTTTATCATTTTCTCCGTCGTTGGCAACATTTCTTACACAACTCAAACCCCCATCGCCGACCTTGGTCTTGAAGGAATGGAACTCGTTTTCGTTTCATATCCGAGAGCATTGGCCAAGATTCCTTTTGGACCGTTTTGGTCCGCTTTGTTCTTTCTCAGCTTGTTTTTGCTCGGACTGGACTCGGTTTTCGCCAGCGTGGAGGTTCTTATTGGAGGAATAACTGAGAAATTTGGGGTAAGAAAAAAAGCTTTGAAATAAGTTTTAACCCATTTTTAGCATAAAAAATGGTGCGCTCGGGAAAAAATCACTCTCTACATCTGCTTCTTTCTTTGCCTCCTGACGCTGCCGAATATGTTCCAGGGTGGAATATATTTCTTCAAGCTTGTCGACTGGTACACTTGCACCCAGTCCACCTTCTTCATTGGTTTCTTCGAAGTAGTGACGATTCTGTACTTCTACGGCGTTGAAAATCTTACGTAAGGGAGGATCGTTTTCTTGCTTGATTTCAACAGTTATTTTTAGGAAGGATTTGGAGAGGGCAACCGGACATAGAACAGAAGAATACTTGAAGATTGTGCTAAAGTATATTTCGCCGGTTTTGGTTGGAATCATTACGATCGTCAAATTTTACGACGCGCAGCCGATCAAATACGGGGATGTCGAGGTAATCGGTTGAAAAAATAATGCTGAAATAATGCTTGAATTGTATTTTAGTATCCTTCTTGGTGTCTGACTTTCGGTCAGCTTTTGAGCTTGATTTCGATTTCCTCCGTCCCCATCGGCTTCATTCATCAAATCTGGTCCTCTAAAACCGCGAGGGAGGAGCTTTTCGGCGCGAAGAAAACGCAACTTTATGGACTAATGAGCTTCGAAATCAAAAACGAGGAGAAAAAAATGAGCTTTGAAAAGAGGTCCGAAATGATTTATGACATACAACTCATCGAATGAATCTTTCTTTCTGTAAATAAACTTGGAAAATCAACAAGTTTTAAGATTTGATGTAGTTCGTTCGTAGAAATGAACCTTTTTACGGGTCGATTCGTCCGATAAGATTTTTATCTTTTTGAAGGGCCTTTATAAGAAGATGTCTTTTAGAGAAAAATTATAAAATGTGAGCTGAATACCCTCTAGCTCTTCGTACCCAAGTATAGATAATAAAATAACTTACACTCTTGTTTCGCCAAGCTGAATACGTAAACAGCTGAAACGCTGATTTTCCATGTTTTCGTACGTAAGCTGTATATTTTAACAACCCCTCAAAACTGCTTACGCTCAGCTTATTATTGAGCTCACTAATTAGCAGCCCCTCAATTGCAACTTGCAGCTATCTTCATTTTTTGCAGGTCATAGTTATGAAAAATCAGTTTGCCCTGATTTGTCTTCGAGAATCTCAAAATCCATGCAAAACGAACTTTTTTCCTGATTTCGCGAAGATTGAGAACAGACTTCATTATTGGTCGCGAGGTAATGAGTTGTAAATTGAGACTTACGTGTTGAAAGAGAATAATGTTGAAGAGATAAAGAAGAATCGGTTTCCGGAGCTTGGCGGAATTGCCGCGTCGCTGGACATTTTAGACAAGAAAGTGATGGAAATTATAACCGATGATCTGGATCTTTCGTCAGTCAATGACGAACTCGCGTTTCCGCACTTCGAAATCATGGAAATTGAAGAAATAAAAACGCTGAAAATTCCGACTTTCCATTTTCCCCCCGCCCAAGTGAAACAAAAAACTCGACGAAATAATCAACGAAGACTCCGGAAAATTAAAAGAAACTTTAAATCACTTCAGATGAAAAATGCCGCATTCAAAGTCTCGGTTGATCAACAGCTGATCATCCCTTCCTTCGAAGCAAATTTTCATAAATTCTCTCTTTTTGAACACCAGCGAGGAAGAATTCTAGAGGCCCAACAACAAGTCAAGACTTTCAATGGTTCATTGGAGGAGTCTATCCTGATAAAAGAGTCTCTTTTCTTTTCAATTATGATGATCTATGGAAGAATTGAGAAAATGAAATTTGATGATGAGCAAATCTTTTTCCAAGGAACTGATAAATATGATTGCTTGATAAAAAATTTTCCAGTGTTGATGGAATTCCCATAAATGGAATGACTGGAATTTTACCTCTGCGAAAATGAAATAATGTTTTGAAATCAAAATATTCACCTTTGGTTGACAGTAATAATATAGGAGCATCATTTGTCATTTGATTGTCAGTGATTGCGTCAAATAAAAAAATACTTATGTCATATTTTTATTTTGAATTTTATGGTTACTTATTATCAGATCTGGAGCCTGTCATCAATTTATCATCCTTTCGTTTTTGGAATTGTTGACCTGGAGTTCAGTGGTTCGACATGATACGAGCATCTTTTTGCGCGAAGAAAGAGACATTTTTGATAAAAAAGATCGTGCAAAAATTAACGAGGCCATCTTGCTGAAAACGTTTCATGTGGGGTCGGATTCAGTAGAGCCGCTTTTCTCAAAATTAGCCGGCTTGAACCACACACTCAGCACGAGCACTCTAACAGAACGCAGCCAACTGCCATCGATCAATACCGAAGTACGTTCCCATCACAAACTCATAATTAACCATTCTCTCATTCAAGGGTTTCCACTCCTCTATCCTCGAACTGGAAAAATCGCTCAAAAACACTGAACAATCAGCTGTTGAAGTGTCCAATTCCTTATATCTCAGAGGACTAGTGGATGATTATTTGATGGAGCTTCAAATGATGAACATCGCTAACGAAAAATCAAAAGCTTCTCTTGGTACTATCAGCGAAAAATTCACAAGAGAGTACAAAGACAATCTTTATCATCTCAAGTTAGGGCTTCTCGAAAAAATCTAGTAAGTAAAAAAAATCGAAAAACCCGGCCTCTAGAAGCGAACATACCGTCAAGAATTCTCAACTTCCAACCTTCTTACCATCCGTACCGAGTTTTTCGACATTTCCACGTCCATCCAGAGCCTCAATTCGACCCAAACCGACACCATCCGAAGAATTGAACAGTCTCAAAAGCCAAAGATATCGGAAACAATCGCAGAAACAAGAAATAAGTTGGAAGAACAAATTGAGGAAACAGAAGAAACAAGGCAGAAAATTGAGCAATTTGAAGAAATACTTCGAAATTTTCATTTTTTGTTTGCTTTTACAAATCCGCTGGATTCAGTTAAACATGAAATGGAAGTACTGTTACAAAATGTTGAATAAACAGCTTCAAGTTTTGAATCGATTGCGAAGAAATAATTTAAGAAAATGAATTTTTTGGAACCCAAGGCGCTCGAAAACGAGTTTCCGGGTTGTCGCATTTGCGCATTACGTCAGTAACTACGCGGCCAGGCGCGGAGAAAGAGAACTTTGCGAAAGTGTTTGCACCTGCTTGATGAATAAATTTCATTCTTCGCGTCTTCTCTCGCTTGATTTTGAGGTTCACGAGTACTTAGACGCTCCTTGAGCGCTGAATCAGCTTAGAATTGCATTATTTTTTTTCGAGCGCAGCATTTATTCAGATAAATTGGCTCAAGAATATGTCAAGACTTGTTTAAAAAAATTCTAGAGCCGAAAATAGAGCGGGTTAAAAAAGCTCTTGAATAAGTTCATCCGGGGAGCGCTTTCAAAATTTCACTTCCGAGGGGATGTTCATCGAAATTGCGGGGCGCCGCATTTTAGAGCTCTAGAGATAAGTAGCCTCTCAGTTTATGCAACAACGAGGGTACATTTCCTGACTTACACAATACTTATGAACCATTTGCTACCGCAATAACGCGTGAATAATACGACGTCAAGAGGTTGTTTGAACTTTCACAAGGGCAAGAACCAATTGAAAAATAGAAGGTGGCCTTGTTCATCCTTGACTTTGTGCATGTATGACCTTGTTCATCCCCCAATAAAGCCCTTACTTTCCAAATGCTTAGCTTGGCAACCTATGTTTAAAAACGACTTCACGGTGTAAAATAAGATAAAATGAAAAGCCGCGTAGCGGCTTTTTTAAAAACGAAGCCGCACAGCGGCTTCGCAAAAATCATCCATACAATTCATTAATAATTCTTTCGTTGCCGTTTTTTTATCGAACTGACTCAGGTTCGATAAACAGTCTGCTTAGCCTAGACTACAGGTAGAAAAATAGAGTCGGATGATGAACAAGCTCACACATGAAACAAGTAAAAGATGAATAAGGCCACTTATATTTTATTATGATATCGAGAAACGGTTACAGAAATTGCAAACTCCAAAAGTTCAAACACTCGAGCTGGTATATTTTCTTTGAAAAATAATGAAATCATTTTCCGCGTTTTCATTTGGCACCTGTAGCGCTTGAATCATCTTCGCCCGCAGAATATCATCTTGAAAACGCATAAACCCATTTTTCCCGCGGTGGAGAAATTGCGCCTTCTGAGGCGCGAGTGGAAAAACAAGCACGCTAATGCATAATGTCGAAATCGCTGAGAAATGTTGGGCGACTCCGTGAAAATGAAAATGACGCCGAGTTCGCGGCACGGGCTGGGCAAAAAATCATCAACAAAAACAAAAGATGACTTTGCGGTAACGGGATTAGCACTCGACAGAATTGGTTTTTGAAGAAACCGGCAATTACTAACTCAGTTTTGTAAGAAAAATATGAGCAATTTTAACAAACAACGTCAGCTAATATTGCCATTATATATATTTTGGCAACCTGTCTAAAAATCCTGAGTCAGATTCAAAATCTGGGTCAAGCTCGGTTGCCGGTAAGTATCCTTATCCCCTTTTTCAAGAACCAAAGTGCAGGTGTTTGCGACTTTCTTCGCGATGTTTGTGCATGTTTCCTGTATTAACTTGGAATGAACTTCAAATAAATGCTTGGAGAAAAACTGTCGAATCATTAGTTTTTATCATTTTTTGGCTTTTCTGACTCTTTTAGACTCTGACTCAGGTTCTTTACTCAGGAAGCCCAGCCAAAAGCTAGAATTTGTGCCTCTTTGTTAACAATTTCGGAGCATGAGAATCTGGCGGTCAGACATTCTTTTTCGAAAGTCCAAGATTACGAAGCTCTTCTAGTGCTCTTTTGAGTCCTTTGAACTTGATCCTATGATCATTGATTCGCGCTCTTGACCATTACGCGCTCACTTGACCGATCATTTGCTCGGTCTTGTAATTCCAGCGACTCCAAAATCAAAGTAGCAAATGTCTCTTTTTTCGATGACGAAAGATGTGTCTTTCAAGGAAAGAAAAAAAAGTGGATCGTCATAAAAATTTGCGGAAATTCCGAATATCCGTCACACTGATTTGTAGCTCATTAAAAGTGCTTAATCCCGCTGCAATTGCGCCCAAGTAGGGCTAGATTACGTCTTTCATCACTCGGCGCAGAATTCCAGGCGAATAAAAAAACCCAAAAACCCAAACTTCCAGAAAAAAGTGAAAGGAAAAGCCGGCTAATGAAATTAAAAATTCAATTTGTTCGCCTTGAAATATTACCTTTTTTCCCGTAGCAATGCTTTTGGTAACAATAAGCGAAACAAGGTCCCCCCGCTGTCCTTTTCGCCGAAGGTCGCCAACTTGAACAACTCATTTCAACGTCCGATGTGGCGATGTCGTAGGAAGGAAGGAGCAAAATAACTGACCAGGAGGAGAATTATCCAGCCACCGCAGAGGGTGTTGTGTAATTCCTTCCCCCGGTTGCTAGAATGTATTGCTGATTGCAATCACTTTGGCAAAACTTGTTTTTCCAAAATAATAACGTCTCGACAAAGGTTCAAGTAAAGACGTTTGTCGTGTGATTAAGGCCTTACTAAGCACCGAGGCAAATTGGGTTTTTGGTTTTTTGGTTCTGCAGCTGTCCGCTTTTGTAATCGACGTGGCTTTAATCCCCAACATCGGGAGGTTCCTCATCAGGCTCTGTGAAATAAATAACACGTGATTTTTGATGGAATAATCAGATTTGCTTATTTTCTTGGTTCTTTTTTTTGGGATTGTGTTTGGAACCGACAAAAAAATTTCGACAAATTTTGCGTGGAAATTTTCAGCCAATCAGAGGCCTGGATTCGGCAAACCGGCCAATCAGCAGCCGAGTCGCCGCCTACGCAAAATTTGTCGAAATTTTTTTGTCGGTTCCAAACACAATCCCAAAAAAAAGAACCAAGAAAATAAGCAAATCTGATTATTCCATCAAAAATCACGTGTTATTTATTTCACTGAACCTGAAAAAAATAAATTTTTTGGACATTATTTTGTTCTTACACTTCATAAAAATTAATAGTCTCGGCAATCAAGTCAAAATAAGGGCGTTTATTAAAACATTATCATTTTTTTCAGATCTGAAATGCTTGATTGTTTTGGGATTGTTCTCCTTGATTTTCGATTATCCTGAGATCCCCGCTAAGCCATGTTGGTGATCGCCACTTAATTGACTTTATTTCAAGTAAAAGAGATATTAATGTACCCCGGCAATAGTTTTGATTCTTTCGAAATCCTTCAAGGCAAGAAAAATCAAATAAAAAGCGAGACATTCCAGTAGCATCAGAACGCATTCAGCTATATAAAAGCTAATTGCCAAATAATCCAGCTTGTATGATTCGAACAACTTCGTGGGCGTATCATCTTGTACTTGAAAAACGAGGAAGAGGATGATATTTGTTAAAGGGCCGACCACGTGCTTATAACGTATGATTATTAAAATAAAGAAACTGTTTATACCGTTTTCTTGTATTTTTTCACCTGAAGTGAGCTGTTATTGGCTGGTACGTTTGGATTCTTCACTTCATAGAAACCTGTTATACTGAAGAGTGAGATGTAAGAAAGAGACAGTTTGAGATCGTAGAGAGAATTGATATTCGCCGATGGAATAGACTTAAAATTTAAGCCAACAAGTATCCAATAGAGTCCAGTGAGAGTATTTGAACAAAATGTTGTTCCGAAAGCGATGATATTAACAAGGCTTATTCTAAATAATCTCTTTAATTGACTCCAGAAAAAAAGTACTCACATAATGATCAAAATGCAAACCACGATCAGAAAATTTGCTCTCCGCCTGATACGTTGAGAAGTTTTATCCAGGGCAATTTCTGGTCTTATGGTCTCTGCCTTCTCGCCCCTCTCTTTGAATGAGCGATTTTTATCAAGCAGAAAGTCGTCAAAAGGGAAAGTATCATAATAAAATCGCACTAGAGCGTTCAATCATTTGTTCAGAGCTGGACACAATGAAGCATTTCTTCCTATAATTTCCTATACTTTTGTTAAGGACCCCCGTCAGCTTTTTTCGAAAAATCAAATTTCGGAATTTTATAATTTTGACCCCGAAAAGCACATTTTAAAATTGGACTTTTTGCCGAAAATTGACGAATTTGGCCTTATTTTGGCGAAAATATTGATTTTTCTTGGTCAAAAATTCCTCTTATCAAGTTTTTGAAGCAAGTTTAACCTGACGACGCCTTCAGAACCAAAAATATGGTGTTTATAAAAATTTCCTTTTTATGAAGAAAAAAGCTGACGGGTAGGAGATGCATTCACATGGCTACAATAAAGCGTTCTATGTTTGAATTATATTTATTTACAGTGGAATCTTATGCGTTCCTTGGTGCACCCTCTCTCTCGTAACATCTTCAATTCTGACCGCATCCGCGGCCGGTCCCGAGCGCGCTTTCCTCGTCCAAGTCTCCACCAGATCCGAGTTCTTGTTCTCCGAGATTGAAACGTGATAGTTCGGGTACTCGTCGCCCGTCAGACTTCGGAATGCTTTATTTAAATTACTCGTTAGACGGGTCAAAATATTGAAATTTTTCACCTTGCATCAGGCGCTTGATGTCTTCAAACTTGTGAATTCCGATCTTAGGAAGATTTGAAGCGGTGATGTAGGCTAGTTGGCGGCCGGACAGATTGTTGAGCTCGAAACAGGGCCTTGTTAATAAGTTGAAAAGGTTTTTGAATCAAAATATTTGAAAAAACCGCTTGTGCAAATCGAAAAGATATAACGGCTACTTTGTACCCTTGCTCATCTCTGGACTTCCTGCATGTGCCCCCTTGTTTATCCTGAGGCCACGTAGCCTTTTTTAAGGGTTTCAACAGAATAAGGGGGTTATCATACGAGCTGCCCCAAACCCTAACCCTAACACAGGGGGCTATGCGGCATAGCCTATGCCCCCGGGACCCCCCTCCCCACCTAAGGCCCAAACCAGGGGGCTTTGCCCCCCGGACCACCCTTAAGAGTTCCCAGTCGCTAACCCTAACCACAAGCCCAAATTCTAGAGATATTGGATGGCTCGAATCATAGGCTCGAATGATAACCCCTTTCTACGATTACAACAACAAAGATTGGTTTTGATCCGTATTACTACTGATTAATGATGAACAAGGGGAATCATACAAAAATGTGGAGAATGAACAAGAGTTGCCTTTTTTTAAAAATTAAAAATTTACCTGTAATCTGGAAATCCAATTTTCTCGACAAAATCGGCGACTTCTTCTTTCGTCCAATTAACATACTCTGGAAGCCCATCGACTGTTTTCGCCTTTGGAAGTACAAACTTGTACAAATGAGAGGGCATTTTTCTGAAATTGTGGATTTTCCGTCGCTCGGCGGGAAAAGCTCATTTTTGCTGGTTGCTTGGGCAACAGGGCGACGAGCGTAATTCACTAACGGGCTTTAAAACGAAATTGCAAGAAATATTTAGAAAACTCCAATTTCAACTGGCGGCGCTCTAATCGCACCTTGCGCCAAATACTTGTAGAAATGAGATAAAAGTTCAAGCTCAAAAGCCTTATCCTTGCCCTTTTCTCGACAGGATAACCGGCTTTGAGATTCAAACTCGACCAGAAATCTTAGGCTCTTGCGTCCAAACCTTGCGTCCAAACAAATCGAAGTCCTGGAAGATCTGTGGCAAAAGCCGCGCAAGAGGTTCGTTCTGAAGAAAGCCGCTAAGCGGCTTTTATCAAGGCTCTTCCAGGACCCGAGATGCAGATAAGGGCAAATAAGGGGATCATTCAGTTATGACTGCTGAAAAAATGCTTCTCATATTTTAAACCTGATTAGATTTTTACTTCAAAATTGAGAAAATATTTTCACAGCCATTTTAGCTTCTTGAGAGATGAAACAAGAAAACGTGAAAAAGTGATTACATTTGAAGATTTTTATAACATTAGGGCCCAGTGCCGCCACTCAGCTTGGTGTTCCCCGTTCCGCGAAAATTATAGCGCCGCCCGACGATCTTTTTCAGATGGAGAATCCTTTACACTTGCCGCGGCTTTCCTTACATCTACAGACCAGTTTTTTCGTAATTCTTGCTTTTCTTCATCATCAAAATCAAGTTACATTGACATCTGATGTAACTAGGGTTGATTCGTGAAGTTCTTGAGAAATTTACAAGAATGAGCTTTTATTTATATCGCATTCTTCTTAAAAATCAACGAATGTGACATTCAAGATGTAAAAAGAAGCTTTATAGATGTCCTGAATGTCTCTTTTAGTCAAATGATGTCTATGAATGTCGCTGAATGTCTAAATTGATTGAAAATCTTCTCAAATTGTTCGATACACTCATACATTTGAAGACATTGAAAAAAGCTGCGATATTGAAGGAAATCTTAAGATAAGATGAGACATTCAGAAACATGTAACATTTATCAACATTCTCATACATTGCAAATGTCATATTCAAGAAGATTGTAACATATTTTTTTCGAGCACATTAGACATTGCTAACATTTAACAAAATAAAGAGGTTTGAAAGTATGAGGTCGACATTTGTTGACATTCAAGGATAATTTCTTACATTTGACTTTATTTGAACACCATTTGGCGACATCTCAAACCTTTAAAACACCCATTTCAGTAGAGTTTGAACTCAGTAGGCAAAAAAAACGGCGAATCGCGATTTTCAACGTTAACGATTTTTCCACCTGATCCGGGCCGAACAACCGTTGAGCTAGTTAAAAAGTCATTTCTGCGACAGCGGTGTACATTTCCATAATGAGTTTGTATCGTGCGTAGACACGGACCAAGCAAACATTTCAGACGCTGACTAGCTCAAAATATCCCTCAAAAAGTTGAAGGGGGGATTCTTTTTTACTGTTGAAAATCACCTTCAAAGTTTGAAAGTCATTTTTGGTAGGGCATTTTCTAAACAAGCCAGCTCAGAAAAAAGTGGCGCGACACCTTCGAGCGGATCAGCTGAATCAGATCAACGCTTTGAGCCACAACAAACCGACTCAAAGTTTGACTCCTCGCTTCAAGTTCCATCACAAGTTCCAAAACTCATTGGTTTTTCATTCCAATCAAAAACCATTTTACAAAAAAATCCCTTAAACTTTCAAATTCAACTTTCAAAAACCCGTTACACCCTTAAATTTTAATCCCAACCCTAACCCTTAATTTCCTCTTAGATTGAAAAATCAATATATTTTCTCCGAAAAAATGAACTTGAAAAAAAACCGCCGAGCAATTTTACAGTAATTGGCTTATCTCTTGTCCTGAATCTTTTTTGGTCGCTGTTTAGGAATTTTCGCCGTTTAGAGTTCCACTTTTGCATTAACCGCGAAAAGAACATCTCGCAAGCCGTAAACCATCGACGCGGTTCAAATCTCGTGCCACCGCGGTCGTCTAGATTTCCGTCCAAATGTCAAAAGAGACTTTTCTGAATTGCATTTTCGAACCGACTAAGAATACAGAAATCCTTCCTGTCTGGAAAACCTGAGTCAGGCTTTGAAAAATCTTCTACAAAAAGCCGCAAATTCAATCAATTACTGAATAATGGCGCAGCCGCTTCGCGGCTTCGTTTAGAATAAAGCCGCTACGCGGCTTTTCGTTGAGGAGCTTTCAGACCCTGACTCAGGTTTTTTACAAAGGATTTCGAGTCCAGATTTCGATTGAACCTTTCATCCTTTGCTTTTATTTTGTGTTTACATCCAAAATGAGCTTTTAAAGACTCTTTATCAAAGAAAAAAGGGCTCAACTAATTGACCTAACCAAAGAGGCACCTTGTCGCTGCGGAAGCTATTCCGCTAAATCCTTCATAACTCTCAGGCGAGATCGAAAAGAGGAGCCACTTTGTATGTTTGCCGCCGACAAAGTGAAAGAAAGAGAGTTATCTAAGGAACCGCTCTCACGTTCTCTTGTTTGGAAAACCAAAGATACCATTCTTTCCTCTTTTTGGACTCAATCATGATTCATAAAATCGCCTATTTTGGCCCACTTTTGCATGAACCCTTCAGAAAAAGGCGATAAAATCAAGAAAGAGGATGAATTTTTCTTCATTCAAGAGCCTGTCTTCATCCGGTGACGACACAGTACTCAGAGATAAGAAGATTTATCGGATGAGATTAATAATTTACAGCGGTAAAGTGAGCATATCCCGGATCAGGGGACGAACATACAAAGATCAGCTAATGGTCGAGCCTCAATCATTCATTCTCTTTTTCACTAAGGAAACCCTGAGTCAGGGTCTTACAGATCATTGATGAAAAGCCGCGTAGCGGCTCTTTCAAAATCGAAGCCGCGAAGCGGCTTTCAGTCATTACCAATGACTCATTGCCATTGACTCATCATTATTAATTATTTAATAAATAATGACTCATATATTAAATTTATAACTCATAATATATGAGTCATAATTAATGAATCATAATGAGTCATTTTCTTCCAAATTTATTTTGAAAATTATGCTTCTCCGATTTTCAGACCCTGAATCAGATTTTCTACACAGGTTGCGGAGCCCAATTCGCATAATCTCGACGATAATTTTGGTAAATTGAGATTTGGTCAAGTGGCCCTCGTCAAAATTTGCGCCACCAACGTGCTTAGCTCTTCAAAATTTCAAAATAAAACGAAGAGGAAAGCAAATCACGCGTAAATTCATAACTTTCGCCTCTTCTTTCCAGCGTTTTCGCATAATTCCGCGGCATTCACGATTGCGCATTCGTCAGAGAGGAGGCTGTTTTTTTCTAAATGAGACGTGAAAATTTGGTTATGCGACACGTTCAAACTTCAGTTGGCTAACTGTTGTGGCAATCACAGCTTCAGAAGAAGTGCGGGGGAAGCACTTACCAGGTGAGCGGCTCGTAATTTTCGTTCATCAAAAATCTCCGTAACACTTCCTTGATAAGAAGGGAGGCAAAATGCACAATTTGTCGAGCAGACATTCTTTTTGAAATTGTGGGAAACGCAATTGCCAAAAGAACTTCCGATGTAAGAATCGCCAATTCCAGGGTTGTGTCAGGCAAAGATTTTTATGTAAGGATCAGAATCAAAGTTGCTCTACTGGGATCGGCATCCTGTGTTAAAACCTGAGTCTATGTACCGTATGTCAAATTAAATTGAATGTCCAATTTGCCGTTGATAGCAATGTTCAATCTATTCTTCAAGAAAAAATTACTGTTGAAAATAAACTGTATAAAGTTATGGCTTTTTATTCAATTTCTAGAAAAAAAATTTCATACTCACTTTGTAGTGTGAAAATAGTTCTGAAATCAATTGAACCATTTTTACATGTAATACAGTCAGATAATTACTTTCAAAACACAACATCTCGTCGTTATGTTTTTTCTGGCACCGCGACGAATCAGTATGATTGTTATTGAATTTATTTTTATGAACAAAGAAATCGCGGATTTCAAACGAAAAAATGCTTGTTTTTTCACACTATTTTTTAGAAACAAAAAAAAAATGACTGGCTCCTGAATGTCCTAACTAACTCGCCCGTCTGCGCTGCTGCTGCCCATGAGATCGATCTACTAAAGAGCGTTTTGGCTTTTGAGGGTTTAAGAGATGGAATTAGAAAACTCACTGACTCGGTCTTATGGTCAGCGCTCGCCGCACGATTTATGTAAGGTTCTAAAAATCTTTAATCCTGAAATTGGGAACATCTTCTCGCAGCGCGAGTTATGACGATTCTGCTGTTATTTCTGTTACACGGCTCGAAATTGTTTAATTTAACCAACACTCGAATTTTTATTCTGACCAAAAGATGGTCACACTGACAGGCAGACAGATTAAACCAGAGTTCGAAATCCCGCGTTTGCTCGGGGGAAAATTCGCGAACGGGCAACTCATTGATGATTCCCGGGGGCAAAAACGGTCACGGGCACAAACTGAATATTCCCGCGGGCAAAAGCGGTCACGGGCACCAAATAAATATTCCCGCGGGCAAAAAGGGGAACGGGCTGGTATTTATAGATTCCCGCGGCCAAAAACGGGCACGGGCAATTTGCCCTCGTTCCCGATCGAAAAATTCCCGGGGGCTGCCCGGGGGCAGCTGCTTTTGAAAAATATTTTTCAACTGCTATTCTGAAATGAAAAAAATTCTTCAGATGAAAAATATTTAATTAATAAATATTAATATTAAAAAATATTAATAAATATTTAAATTTATATTAATATTTAATCATTAAACTACGTACAAATCGTTAAAAAAAATTTTTCATTCATGAAATATTTTGTGAATATTGCTTGACGATGCGAATTTTTGATGAACGGTTATTTTCTATTGAAAAAACTCGAGATCAATCAGCAAGGCCAAACCGCGTCTTTCCTGCTTCCAGAATGAAGCTGCCA